ATCATTGTTCGTACACAAAACAGTTACTTTTCTCCATTTTGCAAGTGAATGAACCAACAGGTCAAATAATTCTAACCAAATAAAGACTTTCTTAACAAAGGTTTCGGAGGCAGTGTGTTAAGGGGATTGGGAACTAGAACTTTTCAATATGGCGGATAAATGAAATCGAACCAATTTATGAAAGTTTCGCTAGCCAACGCAAAAGAGTAGGCAAAAGCCGTAGTAGCTATAGAGTGTACAGTGCAAGGTATCTTGTTTAAATGACTTTTCCCCTTTTTTATGTAGTTTTAGAAGCAATAGATAGGTAAATGTTTACGGTGCGAAAGAAAACTCTCCTAAAACGCCGGCCATTGTTTAGCTCGCAAATTTCAGCGTGCGACATCCAAGGCTCGCATTTGATTGGCGATCTGTGAGTTTCTTTGATTATTGACCGATCTGAAAATGTCTGGTTTGTTATTTCTTTGCACTGAATTAACCCTCTTCTGCATTGAATTACCTGAAAACTACATTTATCTTAACCATTCAGAGCTGGGTAATTATTTCATCTACATCATTAATGATGTAAATACCGTACTAGCGCTGAAAAAGCACCTTATTTCGTTCCTTAGTCGAAAGGAGTTGTCCAGTAAATATGGCCTCGGAGATTTTGACGTGGAACTTCATCGCATGGCTCCGAAATCAGGAAGTCTGAAGTCTGTTTCTGGCGAGAAAATTTTACAGTCCATTCAGAACTCCGTCAAAGCAATACAAATATGCAAACGAAAGGTTGTAAAAGCCACTGTCCACACCGACTACTGCAAAGTAAGCTCTTTGTGCTTTGTGTGAGAACTTCCATAGATATGACATTCGAAATGCCAGTCGGGTAGGTCACGAATTTGACTCCGGTACCAGCAATACCATTGTAATGTAATGTCACTTGTATAATTCCTCTTTCAGCATCGTATGCACACAGCAGAATGTTTTTACTTGCAGCACAGATTGAAGTTGGCTTTTCTAAAGGAGGGCGAAGCTGGACAAGCTTCGATTTTCCGAATCCAGCGGTTAAAGTTTGCAGATAGGTGTTCAATCGTTTTCGTAGAATGGGTACTGTGCTATCAAGCGGTAAACTAAAACGAGCTGGCTTAGACAACAGATCAGCACGATATTTCAAGCTTCCTGGCTCGACAGTTACCTTCAGCCTTTAAGGTCAATGAAGCCAATCAAAGATGAAGTACGTTCTGCGATAAAAACAACACCATTAATAAAACACAAGTCTCTAGCATCGTTAAACGTTCCTTCAAGCACTTCAACGTCTACAGGTTGGTGCAATCGCAACTCTATTACACGAGCCTCCCGAGAATCAAAAGCGAGAATTTTCCTTTGCGTCCTACGTTTAAGGGCGTGGAGAATTATCGTCCGTTGAGGCAAACGACAGTTCGGGAGGAAACTACCAAGGACAAGGCAGGGGCCTTACCACCGGCCGTCTAAATAAAGCAACAAGATTTCACCAAAGTGGACTTGTTGGCGGAACTAGGGAATGATTTTAACTCTGGAGATCAGCCGGTAGGGCTCAATAGCGACATCGGAGCCGTTCAAGCTACTTCGGAAGGTGGGAATGTGACAGATGTTTCATTTGTTGACGACTGTATTGTTAAAGTGACAGTTGCTAAGGTGCGAACATATGTAGACGAATATGACACGGACTCACAAAACGACTTTTCTGACCGAAATGATAAAGATATTACCCCAATTACGGTTTCTAGATCCGGGCGGCCAATTCGCGCCCATTTTCGCTCGGATTCTTAAGGTACGCCTACATTAGATATCTCTAATAACCTAAGTGAAAAGTAGGCAAAAGAACATTCCTATCATTTCATCAGAGCCAATCGCAATCGAAAAACATGCTTTGTAAACCAAAACATAAAACCAATATGTTGTGCTAGAGGACTCTTCACAAGTTTGTTGTCTTTCTGACGATCGTCTTTCCAACATTTTGATCGGCACGGGCAAACAGAAGTTTGTGTGCAAAGGAATTGTAACTTATTTGAACACCTTCAAACAAAGACTGAAAGTCACTTGGAAGGTCTTGGAATTATTTCCTTCCAGAATTGAGGAAAAAATGAGTTCTTATTGTATTAATTCTCAGCTGAATTTTCGATTTTACGCTATACGTGCCTTTTCAGCCAAATATAGGGTCTGAAAGTAATAATTAACTCGCCAAGTTAATTAACCGTTAATTAACTTGGCGAGTCAGTGACAACTGACAACTGACAAATGGCTTAAAATCTAACTGAGAACTGATAAATGGTCGAAATTGTAACTCACACACACACACACACACACACACACGCACACACACACACACACACACACACAGGCGTGCGCGCGCGCACGCAGACCCTCTTGTTAAGTTGTCGCGTTTTTTTAAAGGAAAACTAAATGTAGAGGGTACCTCGCCTAGGAAAAGGCATCAAGGACTCTCGACTTGTCCTTATACGGTCTTCTTAATCTTTTTTCTCTAATACAACTCTAGCTACAACGGAATCACCCTGTAACCTCTCTGACTCTTACTGGTTTATTGAATCCGGGCGACTCTGAGTAACTCTGATCGACTGACAGATAACAAACCCTATAATACATGCTTTCAAATTCACTATCGGTGGATATGAGTCGTAATACGAGATACGGAAAAGATCTACACCATTAATCAAACTGATCTCAAATTTATAAAAGAATTTTCTTGGAAAGTTTCTGACTAAATTGTTTTTGAAATGTGTATCCAAGTGTAGTTGTAACTGTGGTTTCGTTATTACTCTCAACGATTCGGATTAATCACCTTCATTTACTCCAATTTACTCGTTAAAATTTCAATACTCAAGAAGTGTCCAGTTTCTTGTTAGATATAGGTGAGTTTATACTAATTCTTGATTTTACAAAACTAAACTTGTAAACTTGTTCAATATCAAATACTGATTGTAATAACACACCATAAAGTGTCGGTTAAATGCAAATCGACATTTGTCGTAAAACGAGGGAATGAAAAAATCCAGATCACTACAAGTCCAGTAAAAATCTTAATTTATAAACCAGTATTAGTAGAAAATAGTGTTGGTCTAAGTTGTCTTTGGAATGTGTATTCAAGTGCACTATGAGTCAATAACATTCTTACAATAATCACAGTTTCGTGAGGGTTCGGATGAATAACTTTGGGTTATCATGCTCATATTTTTACCCGCGAAAACTGCTCTAGGAACGCAGCCTTCAAAGGTCATAACTTGAAGCGTTTAGGTTTCCTTGGGCTACACTTTCTGCATACACGTTCCTTTAAAGATGAGATTCTTGTTGGGAAATAATAGTGGCGATACAAAGAATGTAATTCAGCATTTGGGACTACTGAAATGCAAAACAACATCCTTATCAGGACGAGAGTGTCAAAAATGTACATCAATATCAGCTAAGGTCTTGAAATCATAAATAATACTCTTAGGAAGTGTCAGACTTCTAAACCACTCACTCGAAGCAATAATTGAATATTCTATTAAGTACGTAGTACTCCATTTCATTCATCCAGTATTCACTGCTTGTTACCAGGTTACGTGTTTATTTCATTCCTTCTACAATAAATGTTGTTTTGTGGTTATTTTTGATTATCAAAAAAAGTCTAGATTTAAAGAAATACTTTATGATTCCTATCTATAGCTTTACATGTAGTTAAGCATTCACATCACTCTTTTCGCGACTAATGAACCGGTCAGAGCGGATTTGGACCATTTAATTATTGGTAGCATGTCAATTAGTCATTATGTTCTTGCATCATCTTTCTCTTGTGACTCTTGTGGAACTGGCCACTCGTATAAACATGTGGGATAGGGCAAGTTTTCTACTTTGAATGTGAGACAAATATTCTTCAACACGACCAACCAGCGTCATCAGTAAAACTTCTAGTTCTTTTTAATGCTATAACAATTGAGCTTTATCAGTAGCCCCATGCAGTCTTAGACTGTATGTTTAACGATTCGAATCAGTAACCTTCATTTTTTCCCGTTTACAGATTTTAAAACATCATGATCTTGAGACATTCTCAGTACTCAAAGAATGGATTTGTTTTCTTGTTAAATGTAAATAACTTTAATCCTAGATCTTGTTTTACAAACTATCAACTTGTACACAGCTTAATACTTCGAGAAGCTCTACACACTGAAGTGCCGTTCTATATGCAAATCAACATCTTTGTTAGCATGAGAGTCAAATTCTAGATCAACATCAATCAAAGTCCTAAATTCTTAATCCTAAACTCGTTGAAAGTATCAAACCTCTGAGCCACTTACTCCTAGCTAAAATCGCGTATTTTAATAAGTATCTTCAAGCTACTCTATAATATTTATTCATAACTCACGGCATGTTTAGTATATTTAATTCCTTCTACATTTCGAGTTACAAAGTTAAAAATGTCTATCGCATCTAATAGTTTTTACTTACAAATGAAAATAAGTAGAAACTCTAGCTCTAAATCTTATTATGTGTTACCAAGTCCACCGCCATACAGGTAGATTGGTTTGCAATAATGAGCAATCTAGCTGCAGACCGCAACACGCTTTTACGAAAGGCACCAAGGACTCTCGACTCTCTAAGCGGGCATGCATGTCAACTGACTGTGGAAGATTTAACATTTTTTGTGAGAACACTAATCCAAACTCTTTTATATTAGAATCTCACAAAATGAAAAACAATGCACTTAATGCTTTCGATAAACAGAATCAATCTTTGACCACGTAAGCCAAAACAAGAGCCTATAAATACACCGAGGAACAACCGAGGAACAACCGTTTTTTAAGCCGGCTAAATATTCCTGAAACTTTCGCGAGGGACATGGCCAAGGCTAGTGGTCCAACGACGCACGTCCAGCGATGGAAGTTAAACAAGATAGTCACAACTTCGAAACTCGTTTCCATAGCTTAAACCTAACTTCGCACTTTAAATTCAAATCGTAGCTACAGACAAAATATAGGCGCATTGGCAGATTATACTGAACTTTCATAACACTTCTCAACACTAGCATTCACATTACTGCTGTCATCACAGCTGCTGAGCTGTTCGGCAGGTCTCTTGCTAAGCCAACGAAATAGGCAAATTCTCATTGTGGATCCAAGAACACTGAACACACAAACACACACAGTGACAGGTAAAGAGTACCAAGCGTTGGGGTGAGTGAAATAAAACATCAGGATCATAAAGAAGTTTTCTAATACAAACAAAATATGTGAGAAATATACATTCCTATTTACACCATTTACGTCTACTCTTATCGTAATATGTGTAAAGTCATCTCTTAGACTGTGAATGCCCATGAACAATAAAGTAACGAAAACTTTAGAGGCATTACAGCAAACTTTATCTCTATGCTGAATAACAGTCGCTATTACCATCACACAACAATGAACCATTAATACACCAATAACCCACCACTTGTAGCTGACGGTGAAATAACAGATGGCGAACAGTCGACTGCTCAGGAGGAGCAAGTGAGTTGCATACAATACTAGTTTGTGTTTAACATTCAGATAACTGCTACTTGGCATTATATGGTTCGCTACAAGAGACATCTTATCAGTGGCTGTGAAGGCCCATGCCAGAGTGAGGAAAGAGATAGGTAGAGAAATGATTTGGATAATTGCAGCTGGTTCCTCCTGAACACTGATGGCGTACAACTGAATTATAAATTGTGGAGCACACTCAAGGACTGCCTCAAAGAGTACAACTAAGTCAATGTAACTGAATAGATCTTCAGCTTTGTCTTTAAAGTAGAGGTCGATTTCATCTTCATACCGCCATTTCTTGAGAGTGAGAAGTAAAGCTTCTAGTCTTGCGAAGGCTGCTGAAAATGGATGCAATGCGCAAAGAGCAGTTCTTGCCCAATTAGAAGGTGAAAGGTGTGATCTACTGGTACGCGACAGGTAGAACACTACTGGAAACGCCAAACATGGCAATAAAACAAAAGTAAGCCCCACACCAAACCATACTTTGTGATTCGCGCGGTAGAATTCTACCAGTGTAAGTATGTCGGTGATAAGATCAGCAAAACTTAACATAGCTCCAACAAGGAACACGAAAGGACTGTACCACTTAAGATGTTTCTCTTTCATATCGACGGACGTTTCGTTAGTTCGCGTAATAAGTCGCTTTATATTGACACAGGCTCAGTTAATGAAATAGATTTCTGCACTGTTCGTAATTAGAAGCTTTTGCGCTCAGCTTTCGACTGAAAAACTGCAAAGTTTCCTTTGGTTAGTCTGATTTCACTCTTAAGGTCACGGAAGGAGGTATGCTGCACGTCTGTATTAACTTTATTGCAAAATATTGGGAACGTATTGGTTCTCCGGATATTCTTTGTGACGCAGTCTTGAAGAGCTGGAGTGTACAATAGAAAATTTCCGCGTCTCAAAAATGTTAATTATACAATAGTAAATATTACTGTTAAGTTGTCGCGTGTTTTGGAGGAAAACTAGGTGCAGAGTGAACCTCGCCTTGGAAAAGGCATCAACGACTCTCGACTTGACCTTTTTACGGTTTCTTAATCTCTTTTCTCTAATACAATTCTAGTTACAACAAAATTACCCTTTAATTACTCTGACTCTTCCTGGTTTTTTGAATCCGGGCGACTGTTACTTAATGTCTGTCTTACTCTGAAAGACTGACTGATAACGAACCCTGTAATACACGTTTTAATTTCATTAGGTAGGCATGAGTCGTAGTACGAGATAATAAAAAGATCTACACCATTAATCAAAATCTTAAATTCATAGCAGAATTTTCATAGAAAGTTTTTGACTAAGTTGTTTTTGAAATGTGTATCCAAGTGCAGTAAACAACACTTTAAATAACTGTGGTTTCGTTATTACTCTCAACGATTCGGATTAATCACCTTCAGTTACTCCCATTTACAGATCAGTGAAACAAGATAATCTCAGTACATTTTCAATACTCAAGAAGTGTCCAGTTTCTTGTTAGATATAGGTGAGTTTATTCTAATTCTTGATTTTACAAAACTAAACTTGTACACAGCTTAAGTTCAATATCAAATACTGATTGAAATTACACACCATAAAGTGTCGGTTAACTGCAAATCGACATTTGTCGTAAAATGAGAGAGTGAAAAAAACCAGATCACTACAAGTCCAGTAAAAATCTTAATTTATAAACCAATATTTGTAGAAAATAGTGTTGGTCTAAGTTGTCTTTGGAATGTGTATTCAAGTGCACTATGAGTCAATAACATTCTTACAATAATTACAGTTTCGTGAGGGTTCGGATAAATAACTTTGGGTTATCATGCTCGTATTTTTACCCGCGAAAACTGCTCTAGGAACGCAGCCTTCAAAGGTCATAACTTGAAGCATTTAGGTTTCCTTGAGCTACACTTTCTGCATACATTATCAAAAAAAGTCTAGATTTAAAACAAATACTTTATGATTCCTATCTATAGCTTTACATGTAGTTAAGCATTCACATCACTCTTTTCGCGATTAATGAACCGGTCAGAGCGGATTTGGACCCTTTAATTATTGGTAGCATGTCAATTAGTCATTATGTTCTTGCATCATCTTTCTCTTGTGACTCTTGTGGAACAGGCGATAAGAGCAGTTCTTGCCCAATTAGAAGGTGAAAGGTGTGATCTTCTGGTACGCAACATGTAGAACATGGCTGGAAAAGCCAAACATGACAATAAAACAAAAGTAAGTCCCACACCAAACCATATTTTGTGATCCGCGCGGTAGAATTCCACCAGTGTGAGTATGTCGGTGATAGGATCAGCAAAACTTAACATAGCTTCAACAAGGAACACGAAAGGACTGTACCACTTAAGATCTTCCTTTTCCATATCGACGGACTTTTCGTTTGTTCGCCTTGAAGATCGGCTTGTATTGACACAGGTGTGTTGGAGAGAATAATTGACGACGAAGAGGGTAATTGGCAAGCCTTCCAGAATAATCACTTAAGAATTTGTTCATGCTTAGCGTGCGTATATCAAGTTGCGGATGCGCGTGGGAGGTTTGGAGAGCACGAAAAATGCGTAAGAGTAGTGCTCTTCAAACTTCTTAAGTGCATCCATAACTCGATATACGCACAGCTAAAAGTATGAGCAAATTCTTCTATAACAGAGCGACAACAAAGATCTGCGCGAAGAAGCATTTTTTGTGATAGAGTGCAAAATTCTCTCAACGCACAAAAATTAGTAAACAAACTTCCCTATTGGCTGGTCAAAAACGCGCCATATGTCATACTTTGGTTTGAGCGAGCACATTTAATCCAGTTAACCGATAACTGTGAATGAAAAGCTTAAAAATCTTTTTCTTAAAAATTCCTCACTAGTGTGTTCAGGTAAATATCATAGTTATTTTACGGTAAGTAATTGCAATTAGCTTCTAAACAATCGCCTGGTAAATGCTTAACTAAGCTGTACGGAACATTCAACTGTTTTTCTACGTAAAAACACATATGGAAAAATGAGTTGAAACGAATGTCAAATTCAATCCGGTAAACTGACCTTACCGTAAAAGCCTGTCAGTCAGAATACATAATAAACAATTTTAGTGCGACACTCAAGAAATATTCGCGTTGTCGTCATCAGGGTCGTTCAAAGTGATCATGACTTTCTGCTTCGCCACATACTTTGAGGTAGCACCATACACCTTCAGTTTAAGAAATTTATCTCACTAACACGTTTAATGAAAAACTGCAAAGTTGCCTTTGGTTTAATATGATTTCACACTAAAGATCACGGACAGAGGTTTGTCGTCTGCATCAATTTTCCTGGAAACTGATTGGTTCTCAGATTGTTTTTCTGACACACTCTGGGAGAGCTGGAATGTCCATGATAAAATCAAAACTTTCAAGTCTCAAAAATTCCTCATCATTTTATTCAGGTAAATATCATGGTTATTTTACTGTTAGTTATTGCAATTACCTTTTAAACAATCGCCTGGTAAATGCTTAACTAAGCTGTACGGAACATTCAACTGTTTTTGCAAGTAAAAACGCACATATGGAAAATGAGTTGAAACCAATGTAAAATTCAATCCGGTAAACTGACCTTACCATAAAAGCCTGTCGGTCAGAATATAAAATTAGTGCGGTACTCAAGCAATGCTTCACGTTGTCGGCATCAGGGTCGTTCAAGGTAATCATGACTTTCTGCTTCGCCACATACTTTGAGATAGTACTATATACGTTTAATGTCAACATCACTCAATAAGTTATAACTATTGAACAACATTTAAGAACAAAACAACCATAATTTTTTAGTAAAAAACTAATTTTTCCGATTTTTTTCTGTTACATCAAAATTCTTGCTTGTTATTCTCTTCCCTCTCGATTTATGCCATTCGAGCAGGCTGCTCCAGAAAAAGTGAGCACAACACTGAATGTCGAATCAAGTGACTGAGGACAGACATGAACTTTAGTTTTCTTTTATGAGGCACAGCTGAGTACTGTCCAACCTTTTTGTAGTAACGCGAATGAGTCTGTTGCTTTTCAGTACTTAGTCCGTCTTTTTGTAAAAGAGACTGAGGGAAAAACGCATATAGCATGCAATCTAAGAGGTAATTAATCCTTGACAACTGAAAATGATCGATCATCATTTGAAAATTTACTACTGACAGCCAGGTGAAATTGGTCCTCCACGCATCAGTTTCCTGCACGAATTATTTATCACGCAATTACAGATACAAGACGTGGCAGTAAAAAGCGTCGTTCCCAGACTTCTCCTCCTTTACCTCCTCTCATCACACATTCTTCATATCCTTCACCTCCACTTCCTTCCTTTTTTCACCATTCTGTACTCCCACCTGTCCCCATATGATATCCTATCCAGACTCTCATTTTATTAAAATGTTTGACAGAATTTTCTTTCAGAAGATTAACAATAGATGAAACATTTTCCTTATTTTGAGTCAACTAATGACTTTTACGTGTTATTGTCGTTTCTCCGAGTGAAGCACACAAGAAGATCGGTAAGAAAATACCTTCATAAATGTTTTTAGGAGAAACAACGTCTAGATAAGTCAGCATTGAATAGTTCGTAATTGCAAAGCAATTGTATAAAAACCCATCGTAATCGGTTACTTTTGATGTAAAGAGAAAGTCTCTGATGCGAACAAATTTGTCATCGTTGTAATCGAGTTGAAGGCTGAATCAACTTTGATCGAAAAAAAAAATCAGGTAGTTTCATTTTTCAGTGCAGTGAATGATTTTGTCGTTGGTGGTTAAGCATACAATTGTAGCTGACAAATTACGAATATTATCCTACACATTTTATCTTTGGTAGAACGAAGTGTCGGGTAAATCTAAAGGCCACCATAGGAAAGTATAAGCACCCCTAAGCCCTTTGAGTGACTGTTTAGATAACTTTTATCATAATTTTGATCTTGCACAATATCAACTTGTACACAGCTTTAGATAAGTTTTATTTACTGAGGGAAGTTACCCACCTCGAAGTTGAGGAACACAAATCAACATCTTTCTTTCAAAACAATTCATCCCTAAAAATCGTACATTTATAAACATAAACTATTTATGTAAAACTTCTAAACCACTAACTCGAAGCCTGAATCGAGTATTTTGATAATTATGTGCTATTCCATTCTATCCATCCAATACTCGCTGCTTGTTAAGTGTTTATTTTATTTCTTCTACGGTTTCTTTCTTCTTCTGTCACATCTTTTGTGCCCGCAAAAAATCTTACCAATATATGAAAATAAGTGAAAACACGAAACTACTAAAGACACCTAAAGATCTAATGAAATAGTTGTGACCATCATATCAAACTCATGGGGTACAAATAGTCTTAACATGAATATAGTGACCACGCCCACTTCAACGCCCCACTCAAATCGAGTGTAATTTTCGAATGTTTTACCATCGTGCGGATTCTCTACGGAAAAAGCACTCAATGTACTTTTGAAATATTAAATTATAATATTGTGGCTTTCTATTTCGCTAATTTTCTAACTTCATCCAATACTCGCTGCTTGTTATGTGTTTATTTTATATCTTCTACAGATTGTGTTACAAATTTGAAAGTATCTGTCACATTTTTTGTGCCCGCCGGCTTAGCATCTTTTATCGATATATGAAAATAGGTGAAACACGAAACTGCTAAAGATAACTAAAGATCTAACAAATAGTTGTGATCAATCATAGCTTTAAACTACTCACGTCTGACTCAAATTCTGATTTATGTCTTTTTGATGCTCGCACTTTGATTATCTTTCCTTTATTTTCTACTGACTACTGACTTGTTACTCAATGCCAATATCTACTAAGTAAACTCAAAAGAGCATGCTTATGTATTCGATATCAGTACGCCTGAGTAGGCATGCTGGCCAACTAACTTCGCAAGATTAAACAGTTTCTGTTATTAGAAAACGCTTTTACGACGAAATCTCACAAATGAACAATGACGTACTTAATGCTTCTGATCAAAGGAAAGCAATATTTGACTACGTAAACCAAAACAAAACCTTTCGTGAAAGTCCAAGGCAAGGTCAGGAGACAAACTAAGCACGTCCATTGATGGAAGCTAAACAATAAAGTCACGATTCGGTAACTCATCTCGACAGCTTAAACCCAAATAACATGGGACCTCAAAAATTCAGATAGTGCGGCTACAGGTCAAATCAGTAAATCTAAATTACTAAATTACCAAATTGCTAAATCACACTGAACTAACATAATAATTCACAACACATGTATTCACATCACCGTTCGTCACATGCATTCACATCACCGCTGTTCGCAGCTGGTGAACCGCCGGCAAATTTCTTGCATAGCCACCTAAATACACAAACTCTCATTGTGGAGCCAAGAACACTGAATACACAAACACTCACAGTGACAGGTAAAGAGTACCAAGCATTGGGGTTATAAGTGAAATAAAACATCAGGATCATAAAGAAGTTTTCTAATACAAAAAAAATATGTGAGAAATACACACTCATGGTTAGACCACTTGTACACCAATCGATAATTCAACAAAGTCATCTCTTAGACAGTGAATGCCCATAAACAATATAGAAGAGAAAACGTAGCTGGCATTACAGCCAACTTCGTCTCTATTCTGAATAACAGTCGCTATTACTACGGCACAAGAATGAAACATCAACACGCCAATGATCTCCCACTTGTAGCTGACAGTGAAATAGCAGATGGTGAACAGTAGACTGCTCAGAAGAAGTAAGTAAGTTACATACAATGCTAGTTGATGTTTAACCTTTAGGGCACCGCTACTTGGTATTATTTCGCGCTCGGCAAGAGACGCCTTATCAGTGGCTGTGAAGGCCCATACCAGAGTGTTGAAAGAGATAGGTAGAGGAATGATTTGAATGATTGTAGCTGGCTCCTCCTGAACAATGATAGCGTACAACTGAATTATAAATTGAGGAGCGGATTCAAGGACTGCCTCAAAGAGCAAAGCTAAGTCGATGTGATTGAGTACATATTCAGCTTCTGACACAATCTGGGAAAGCTGGGGTGTCTATGATAAAATCAAAACTTTCCGAGTCTGAAAAATTCCTCATTAATATATTCAGGTAGGTATCAGTTATGTTACGGTAAATAATTGCAATTAGCTTCTAAACAATAGCTTGGTAAATGCTCAATTAAGTTCCGCGGAACATTCAACTGTTTTTCTAAGTGAAAACACACATATAGAAACAGTTTAAATGAATGTCAAATTCAATCCGGTAAAATGACCTCACCGTACAATGTCTGTCAGTCAGAATATAAGAAACATTTTTAGTGTAGTAGTCACGCAGTGCGTCACGTTGTCATCAGGCCGGGTCGTTCAAGGTTGATCATGACTTTCTGCTTCGCTGCATGTCTGGTGCAGAATGGCTTTTGTTTGAAGGACATATACTTACCTAATGGCATAAATTACTTAGGTCGCATTAGAGCTGCCATGTGGGTTCTCGATGGGCTCTAATTAGTCGCAGTTTGTCCTTATAAATGGAAATTTACTCACTCTGACGAGGGGCTAACGCTCGAAACGTCAGCTTTTTTACCCTTTACGGTGGCCAATTTACGTTTTCAACTCAGTCGTTAACACTTAATTACCTACCATACACTCCACCGACGCAACACCACAGTTTCTTTAGAAACTTACCCCCTTTACTCAGGCTGCCTGCCGTTGCGAATATCCAGTGGAACTGAACTGTACATCAAATGTACAAGCAGAGAACAGACAATAGAGTTCCGGGCAATCCCGATCGCTTGTTAAGATCATATGATTATTTGGTAGTCAACTATGTATCTCATATGCGCCGGACAGCTGCGCTGAATTTCGATTAAATGCCAGCAGTCTTTCCCCAAAACGCTTTTGTGGTCTTCAGAATTAATTTTATGAGCGGTTTCAACGCAGTTCAAGCCCAGTTGTCCTCTTTCCAAACCTCGATGAGCAGAAGCGGCTATTTGTTACTTGTTCTCGAACGTCACACCCAATTTCTGTCTTTGCTACTGCTACATTTCATTCTATCTTATCCAGAGCTGATCAATAATTCGCACGATACTTGTTTTAAATGCGGACAATGCGCTTACGAAACGAATTCTTAGCGCGCTCTCCCGCTCATATTTGGAAGTTGCTGAGAGTCGTTCATACTTACTAATAGCTCCATATTCCTTAAATTTGAGAAATTTACCTCACATCACGTTTAATGTCAACATCACTCAATAAATTAGAGCTATTGGACAACATTTAAATACAAAACAACTATAATTTCTTAATTATCCGTTAAATATCAATGTAAATAGCAAATTTGTTCCCTTTTTTTTTACTTATTTTAAACTTAATCAAAATTCTTGCTTGTTATCCTCTGTTCGCTCTCGATTTACGTCATTCGAGCAGGCTGCTCCGGAAAAAGTGAGCACACTGAATGTCGAATTTAGGGACTGAGGATGGACGTAAACTTCTTTTTTTCTTGTACGAAGCACAGCCGTGTACAGTCCAATCTTTTTGTAGTAATATAAATAAGTCTGTTGCTTTTCAGCGCTTGGTCCGTCTTCTTGTAGAAGAGGGTTATTTAGTATTATCAAATAAGTTGATGACGTAAATTGGCTACCGTAAAGAGCATGAAAAGTGACGTTTTGAGCGTTAGCCATTCGTAAATAAAGAGAAGTTTTTTTTCTTACTATTGATTTTACAAAATATCAAGTTGAATACAGCTATAGGAAAAAAATTAAACATGTATTCGTATCACCGCCGCAATAATTTCCTTTAATGTAACCGCCACTGGTACCTATCTCACAAATTCCTATCAGGTGGTTAGAACAGCATTTCAGAGAACAATGAAGCATTGTCGCAGGTAAAAAACTCCAGTATTATGTGCGCCAAACAAGGCATCTTAAGGAAAGCAAGCATAACTCTGTCAAGCTTGCTAAATATTGCAATCCCAGTACCTGTTCAAAACAAGTTTCGTAAACTGTGCAACCGCATCTTGCTGATACATCCAAATTGAAAAATTGGAGTAGAAAGCGAGTTTGAAATCTGGCTATTTCAGGTATAGGTAGAGCATCAAACTACTGCCAGAGTAAACTTTTAAAAAATTAGAAAAAGAATCAAAATATGTAATACTGATTCGCGTTTAGTTTCGATACACAAACAGTGCCTACGCGATTTACAAATTAAAACTAGTTTCACCCAAGACCTTGTCAGTTGATCGCCATTCTATGAAAACATACTCCAGCGCTACCTGATGGAGCGTTAAGCAAATTGCCTGAGCCAAGGGAAAACGCGAGTGATAAGTCTCCTCCTGCCCTGGTGAATTATAATTACCATAATTTTCAAACTCCCTTGTACTTTTCACAGCCTGCAGAGCCGTTGGCGAAGATTTTAAGGCCAAAAAGGGAAGCTAATTAACCTCTCTAAGAAAATACATCTTTAGTCGATTAGTTATGTGGTACATTTATGAAAACAAATCCCTGATAGCTCATCGACTATCTTCAGTAGAATTAATATGTTCTAAATTGCATATTCTAATTCGGGAATTCTAAAACAGAAATCTAAATTTTTTTTGTTCTGTTTATTACCAGAATAAAGTTATTAGGAAACTTTACGGTAACAAAATTCAACTGTACATACGTTAAATTGCATATTTCCTATTTCTATTCTATAACTAGGCTTGTGTATAGTTAAGTCAGAACGTAAGCATGACTAACGCCCAGACTGCAAAAATTCGTTCTGAGCAGGAACAACGATGAGAAAGAAATAAATAAAATCAACGAACGACTAACATCAAAGTTGACCCATTATTTAAGTTATTTCAATCTAGTTGAAAAAAAAAAAAGGTCAGGAATTTAATTTTTTTCCTAATCTTCCTGTTGAAATCACAGGCTTATATCCTCGTCATTTACAAGTCCTGTTTCGGCCTGGTTTATCCAACCAAGAAGGATCTTCCAGGAAACAAAATGGTTGACTACGTGATCCTCTGTGATGCCTATACTCACTAAAGAGAAAGAATAATGAAAGATTTACTGCTTTCTCTATATCTTGAACCAAACCGTATCAGTCTTAAGAGTTCAACGTACTTCTAAACTCTGTGTAGATTCCAGATCACGAACACAAAATCACCGGTATATCTATAAAAACAACAACATCGGCAATTGAATTGCTCTTTCATATCTGTTCCGACGACGTTATGAAGTCAAATTCCTTCATATCAACTCAGTTTCGTCTTGTTGCGTGTCATCTGTGGTAGCTCCATTATTAAGTCTTCACTTCAGTAAATGCACGCATAATATCGATTCAATTCAATGTTCAGATAATTTCGTCACTGCGTTCAGATGATCGGCAAAGTTTCGTTCCTCTTTAAATTCAGACCTCGACATGACATGCGGGAAATAAACTTCTTGATTCCAACTACTTATGGCACCGAACTCAGTCTTTGAGCCTTTGAAAGAACAATACCTCGTCCCTTTAAGCCGACGCTTTCACTTTGGGTTGAAATCGCCGGAAGAACTGTACAGTTGGAACGTGAACCTGTTCGTACAAAGCGTGTCTCACCGAAGCTGTAAACTTGTTAACCAAACAGAAAGCCGTAGATACTTCAAACACCAGGTTATATAGGATGACCACACGAAAATTACCAAGCCAGTCAAGCCGGCCAAACTCGCCCATCAAGTCAAACTTGGTTATACCTGAAATGTTGAAACAAGTCAAAAGCTGGTTAGATTGAGTGTTGTAAATCATAGGAAGGAAATATCAATTTAAAAAAAAAAAGCAAACTGCCTGAAGCGCGGGAAAACGCGACTAATCAAGTCAAGATTGATTTTTAGTTTGAAATCTGACTGGTTGAGAAAGTGGCGCGAATTTTCTGGACCAATCACATGACGAAGTAAAGCAAAACAAAGCAATATTGAATTACTTTCGACTAAAAACTGCTATCTTTACGAAAGGATCATGAAGTTAGTTAGCTGCCTTCAGCTTCGCCTTTTTACAGATACAAGATGCTGAAGTAGGTTTAGGTTTGTATAGTAAAAGATAGAGCACTCGGGGTCAGCCTTGAAATTATTTAAAAAGACCTTAATTACTGACTTACCAAGTGTTCTGGACAGAACTGGTAAAGCTGAACTAAGGATCAATAAGACTATACAGTTGGCAATCACCTGAAATTAGAACAACAAACGATCTCAAAAACTGATTAATTGCCCCTGGCTCTCTATTTCAAGATGAGACTTGGCGTAAAGTTGAAAACTCGCCCTGAAGGGCGCTCAATTTGCGAAAATTTCGGTGGTCATGGCCAGTAGAGAAAATTTGGCGCCTTAAATTCCCGCGAAAGTCCGTATGTTCGCCGATCAACAAGCAAACTGTAACCTTTTCATTCGTGATCGGAGCTTGGCTCAGTAGCCAAAAGTGCTACACAATCTTATTATTCCTCTTCACCTCGGGTTTATTTCTCCATTGCATTGCAGTTGATAGAACGTAAAGTTTCTGTAGTCTATTTCACCGAAAACTCCGAGGAATAACCGGAGTACATGGTGTAGCCCAAATAACACAGCACCATCAATCTAAAGGTACGCATCAAGTTCAGATATCCTATTTAACTTTTTTTAATAATCTAGTTTGCTTACCTTGGTCGTGGTAGTCTCGCGTACTGCAGGACGCAGGCGTGAAAAGTATGGAACGCTGTACAGGCCTACTAGTGACGCAAGCATTAAATAACTGAGGAAAGTTAAGGTGCAATGTTTTTTCTTATGTTAGCGGACGAATTTAAGTGGAAAAAAATACAAATGTATGAATGAACTAACTAGCAAACACATAAAAACGATCAGTTGAACACTACAGTGAAAGGATACAAAATAAGAATGATCTCCAGAAGGGCGCCGAATGTTCCCATCATGGATGAGGATACCTTACCCAACACAAGCACCTAGAAACATGAAACACACCGCTGTACAGTTACAATAGTTGGTCGCTCATGAAATTAAAATGATTCTATCAAGAAATACAGCAAGGCAAGGAGTGGAGTTACAAGCCTTAGTATTCAAATTATCAGGCAAAAAAAGAAACAAGACAAGAGGTACCATTCATAGACATAAAACACCGAGAATAGCAACCCTGGACGATTTGAGTAACGGCAGGGGGTACCGGGTAACCGGTGAAAATAACATCAGCTTGTCACCTCTCTTGTTGATCTTGAAAGATAATTCGAGGGCAGCCATAGTGCCAAAACACTAGACATACTGTTCATTGTACGAGCGCTGCGAGACAGTGCTTAATTCTTGCATCTAGTGGGGTTGAGCCACAGATAGTTTCTAGGCCCTCATTTAAATGGAGTAGTCTCCATGTCTCGGAATGGTGAACATACTGACTGTCATATTCCCCATCCGGCAGAGTTATTGTACTGCGCACGCCCCCTCCCCCTCCCCCCCTCTCTCGTACCCAACAACATTTCTTTCATTTGTGAAAGTATCTGAATTGCTTCCCAAATTCAAAATTTGACTCCAATAGCAGAAAAGTTTTCGAAATCTCAAAGTAACGTTACTGAAGTAAAAACTAAATGCTCATACCGTGGATTTCTTGGGCAGGGCTCCATGAACAAACAGCAAGCTGAGAACATTCAGGGCAACCATGGCCATGCAGCTGGTCTGATTAAAAACAAACAAACAAACAGAAAATTAATGTAACTTTTAGTCTGGGTACTGAAGCCATAGGGTCTAAAATTCGATCCAAAAGGGAACTTAAATGTTTTCTTTGTGCTGGCAAAGGTTATGACTTTCGTTCATTAATGATCTCAAACGTTTGCAGGACATTCGTCACATATAACCTTAATCCCTGTTGCTCAGTCAGTGCAGCGGGAGGTCGGAATCCTTACGACAGATGTCATTTTTTTCCCTTTGAAGGATTTTCAATACAAGCTGGTTGCCAGCGGTGTACCCCAGCCTGTAAGACCTCTTAATATCGTCTGTTTAGCCTGCAACCAGGCTCTCGTATCTTGATTTCGCCTTACGACCCCTTTTCGGGCGCAGCTGCATGGAAAAGGTTACAGAAACCCCTGTCTTTATTCCGCATTTGTTAGAAGTCTTACAAATGTTAAATCAGATGTTAAAACATTTTTCTTTGATCAACTCGTGACATAAAAAACACTACAAACACCTGCAGATGACTTCAGTACCAATTATCCTCACTGGCTATTAAATTTTAAAAAAGATACATGAAAAAACTACTCAGTTCTGACTGGTTAAGATAAATGCAGTTTTCAGGTAATTCAATGTAGAAGAGGGTTAATTTAGTGCAAAGAAGTAACAAACCAGACTGAACAATTCCTTGAACTGTTTAGCCGGACTTTTAACTTTTTTGCGCCTTAAAGATGTGAAAATATCATTGTATATTATTACTTTGATCGTACGTGGCTGTTTGGACCGAACGCACAATGTCACTTGCAGGGTTTGAATAAATTATTTTTGCGCTTGATGAGCGCTTTGCTTCTGCACAACTATGATGGGCTATCTCGTATTTTTTCATGTATATTGTTAATGCGTAATCACATGATTTTTCTCGTGCAATTTGAAATAAATAAGCACTTGGCACTTGTAAATTGTTTCAAAGACCACAAATTGCGCTCGAAATCATGTGATTACCTATACTAATAATGCACATGAAAAAATTAAGCGCGTCTGATTGGTTGAAAATGAGTACAAAGTTGCAACGCGAGTGCAAGTTACAAAAAGCGCGCGCGCTGCCAAAATTTACGTCTGTCTTGACTTTCTGTGATGTTTTTTCATGTACATTAGTAGCAAGTAACAACATGATTTTTCGTGCAATCTGGTGTAATAAGCACTTGTAAATTTTTCAAAGATTTTAGTTGTCTTTCAAAAATTTACTCGTGCTCATTAACATCAAATTGCACTCGAAATCATGTTATTACCTATAAGTCCGTGAGCGGAAGTGCTCATTCGACTAACAGTACATTCAGGTCCATTTAATCCTATCCTAGTGGCAATGTAAACTCACTGTTAAAAGCAGCAGAGTAAGAAGTAGGATTGGATAAACACAATTTCTTTGCAATGATGATGCTCTGATGCTTCTTTCTAGAATAGATGATCAGAAAAACAGGTGATAAAATTACAACAGTTCAGCTTTAGACCATTATTCATTGAAGACTTAAAACAACTGTCATCTACTTTTAAAGCAAAAATGCCAGTTCATCTGTTACTGATCCAACTCATGTGTTCAAAAGAAAAAGAGAGAAATGAAGTTACTGACCAAGCTCCAGTCTTTGAACCTCCAGTTGTTTTAATTTATTTGGATTGTGATCAATGCCATTGTGCATGGTTATTCCATTGCTATAACCTGAAAAAATACAAAGCAGAAAGAAGTGGTTGACAGTAACTTTAAAACCTTAGAATGAGGTGATGGGCACCCAAAAATTGAAGCCAGATAGCTGGGAGAGATTGAACCCTCAAATTCCATAATCACTGATGAGAGAACAACAGTACAATTGATAAAATATTTATTTTGATCTACAAAAGAGAAGAGGGAGTTGGTCCTGTGCAGTACACACACCCATATAAATGATTCCTAACACCTTTCTCATGTACAAAATGAAAGAGTGAATTGAAAGAAGCCCTAAGTGACTCCTGATAGAATTCTATATTCTCCTTTCAGATTGGCTTGTATTTCCTTTTAAACAAAAGAGAATTTGAAGTTGTATCACAACTCACTAAATAAAGGTGTAGAATGATACATACAGGCCGTTGGGACTCAGTCAAGGGTGATTATGACCACTTAATGGAGGTGAAATTTACAGAAATTAAGGGATAAAAAATTTGGGACTTTGGAAACCAACCACTTAAGACAAGGTGACTGTTTAATACAGTGCCGCTTAAAACAGGTTCAACTGTATTTAAAAATACAAAGAGAAAACTTCATACCATTCATTTTCCTTTTGACACTCTCTTTAAAAATACAAAGAGAAAACTTCATACCATTCATTTTCCTTTTGACACTCTCTTTAAAAATACAAAGAGAAAACTTCATACCATTCATTTTCCTTTTGACACTCTCCTCCTCTAACTCTATGGCACTTCTTTCATTGTCCAGGTCTCGAAGAAACTAAAGATCAAGGAAATAAAAAAAAAAGGTCAAAGAAAAGCTGTTATTAATCAAAGTGCCTTATCAATAGATTAGTCTGTACAGTTCATTCCAGCAATCAACATTGTGTCTTAGAGATTACTTTAGAGAATATCTGTGAAGAAATATTACTTAAGTCTGTTTTTCTTCAGATGATAATCAAAGCAACTGTATTTCCTCTCAATGTTGAGTTTATTTCTTCTTCTGAGACATAAAGAAATCTCATGGTTGTTGCAATTACAGTAAATTTTAATCAAGAAATCAATACGTCACTCATTAACAACACTACTCCCTAACATGTGGGGGGCAGTGTCATATGTGATATGCCAAGAGTAAGATAATTTCTGTGATCAGCTGCAGCATTTTTTTTCAGCCAGAGATTATTCATTTTGAAACATTTGATACATGCATTTCTGACTAATATTTCTCTACATTTTATTGATGCAAGATCATCAAACAGGATCATCAACACATACACCTACAAAATGTACCTCTTTGTAACTCTCTACTGATATCATTCTGAGGCTGTCAGAAAAATGATTACTATTGTTGTAAAAAGATTACCTGAGGTTTCACCACATATTGGCCCAGGACAGTGAACATCCGTGCAAATCCAACAGGTGTGCAGACTAGCCAAAGAAAAGTGACAGAGCTCCTTGAAAAACTTATACAACATTTATTTTGACAAGCACTTTGGATTAATTATCACAACACAGATTAAATAACTGTAGGATAATGAGCTTGCATGTCCAACTAAACTTTCTCAAGGTAATGTTTTAATTGGTACATTTACAGTTACAGTTACAGTACTTACGCAGAAGCATCAAGGCTCCAAGAAGTGATATGCATGAATATATGAATGGAAGACCAGGAACCCAGGCCTCTGTGAAAACCAAATAACACTTTTTTAGTAGTTGTTACAGTTATTAAAAAGTTTAACCCTTTACACCCCAACATCAGTATTCATATTCTCCATACTGTTCTCTGTACATTTACTAAGGTGCTGACAAGGAGAATTTGTGTAACAATCAAGAGTTTCTTTAGTTGGTGATCATTTCCTTTAATCTCATGACATTGATGTGTGATTCAGTGGTGATATTGTAAGGAGAAATTAGATGCTAGTCAACTCTTAGGGGTTAAAGGGCTAAGTTAAGGAAAAAAAAAATTTTCTCAAAGGTCACATTCATTCACTCCAATGCTTCAAACTTAAAGTAGGAAACATCACTGGTGAATTGTTCAAACCCTTTTAAGTTCTGGTATTACACAACACATGCAAGTTATTAAATACATTAGCCTTACTATGAAAACTCTGATTGGTAGAGAGCAACAGTCAAAATACAATAGCTTGTGAAGTTGACAGGATAACCCAATATCTGCTGCCAATATTGGGTTTACAATCATGTCTAGTTCAAAGTCTGCCTAGATTCCCAGCCCTTTAATAATGCAGTGTTCTTTAAACTTTAGCAAACTCAGAGGTAAGTATCCTTCTTGCAGATTGTTTAAAAATGTTTTAAAAAAAGACAGTAAAAACTGAATTCTCAGTCTGCATTATTGCCTCAGCCTTCAGCTTCAACAAATCACTCAGACCTCAGTATTGATAATTGATGACATCATGCCCAACTTCATCCCATGATTTCCCATTATTATAAGTGTCATTGTCAAATACATAGAACTATGAACAGCCTGTTTCATGTTAGTCACATATTATATTTTCCTCATAAAATTGAAACCTGATTTGGGTTGTCAAAAGATTTTGAGTAACCTAACTGTGATACACTTCAGGTCAATGACCCCTCCAAGGACAAGGACTCTAGCGGTGACAGGTATTTGAAATAGCAGGTGCATTTTGCAGATAGTGAAGTGTGGTTGCTGGCCCAAGCTCATTATAATTACCTTCATCAGTCGTGCGTCCTCTATCAATCAATGCTAGTCCCACCCACACAATGCTTGTGACCAGAATTGCAAGTAGAATCAGAACAACTGATGTCTCATAGACTCGAGCCATAATGCCCTGCAAAACATCAGCTCTTGCATGTAGAAAACATCTAACTTTTATTATCAAATTCCCCTTACTCCTTCCAGCAAGAGAAAGATGAAAGGGATTGGGGAAGCTGGAAAAGGAAGAGGGTTTGGAAGGTGGGGGCTCATATGCACAAGGGCAAACTAGTAAAAAGTACCAGGTGTCTATTTGCTGGAACAAGGCAAGGAGATGAGCTTAGAATTTAGGCTAAAGTACAAACACCTATTTTACAAATAGTTTTTGTTGCTGTGCCTTTGTTCAGTAACAGATCACGGATAATGTAAAAATGTGGTAAGAGCAAAAAACTGGCACATCAAGCTAAGCTGAGTGTGTTCTTTATATTCTTACCACAATGTGATCAATTGCTGGAGGACTCACGTCAATTTGGAATGATCTTGTTTTATATAACAAAGTAGCTAAATGTTGTCAATGTTTATGTCATGCCTGTATCTTTTCTCTGAGAGATCATTACTAAGAACCAATCAAAATGCATGTATCACTCAGCTTGTTACATTTTTATATTTATCATTAATATTCAGTGTTATATAATAAAGAAAGGGAAATAGTACTCAAAGGTGCAAGAAGTGGAACAACAGGTCGGGGTAGTGGGAGATCAACACCCGCTTGTTTCCAGTATGAACAGATCAAAAAGAGGCCTTCACTCCCACCTTCCCCCCTGTTCCAAGAACAAAAACCAAGACTGCCACTGTTAGCACTCAGCCCACTTACAACTGTATTAAGCATCCTAATCAAGTTAGAATACCCTGTAACTGTACACCAGTTCTAAACATAATTTACCTTTCTGGATCCTGCAAATCCCTCTGACTCCATGAAAAAGTAGGCAAAAGGGATAGCCACAAAGAGTGACATGTATGAGCCTAAAAATATCTGGTTCCACATTCCTGTATAAATTAGAGCCAAAAAGAAGACTACAATGAGCAAATACAACCATGGTGATGTGTAAATTATTTTACTTATACCAGCTGAGCAAAAAAGTCATTTCAGAAGACTTTCTGAACAACTATGAAGTGAAGACTGTTTTTTCGTCTGTCTCAAGTCTGTTTTTTTTTTAATTAAACTGATGGGTCTGTTTTTGAGTGAGGTTAGCAACAACACAACTTATGCAGATTTTGAAAGTTGCACTGCTTTTTGGTAAACTGTCTGTCAGGTTGCTAGTTAACCACACTGAGTTTAAATATGTTCTGGGTTTCACACACAGTTAGTAAACTGTCAAACAAGAGATGAGTTTTACATAACTATCAAGGAAATCAGTATGAACAGTACATAAGTAACACTCAGTTTTAGGACCTACAGCAATCAAACATTCTACTTCAGTTACTACAATGTGACTAAGGAACATTTTATTAACCCTTTAACTTTCAGAAGTTAGTAACAAGTTACTTCTCCCTATAATATCCATATATCCCGCTGTTATTAGCTACACTGATGCCATGTCCCTGCCATTTTTTGTCGTTTTTTGTCATTTTCTGTAATCTATTTATTTTGATTAATGAATTAAGGGGGTAAGTTTCTAAAGAAACTGTGGTGCTGCATCGGTGGGAGAGTATAGCTGGTAATTTAGTGTTAACAACTGAGTTGAAAACGTAAATTGACCACCATAATGAGTAAAAAAACTGATGTTTCGAGCATTAGCCCTTCATCAGAGCAATTCTGACAGTGGCCAATTTATGTTTTCAACTCAATTGTTAACACTAAATTACCAAATTTATTTTGATTGTTGTTGTATGGCGAAGTTAATAAACAAATAAATAAATATTATACAGCAAAAAGGTTATGAAAGTACTCAAACCTGTCAAGTAGAGGTTGTTATCTTAATCTACATGTAGCACCAAATTCTTGTAATTAATTAACATGAAAATGTCTGAAAGCTTGAGGGAAGAATTCAAAATCAAATCTAGTATACAAATTAAGATGAAATCTCCTTGCAGATTTGGTATTTAAAATGGTTCAGTAACCTTGTGCAGTAACTATATTCCCTTACCATGAATAAGAGAACCATTGAGCCATTTGATGTAGTAACTGTTAGGATACATGATCATAATTTCATTACTGAAGATGGACATTGGAAGCAGAAGGACAGCACCAAGGGAGACTGTGAGGGTGAACGTACATAACCAAAAGCTACAACGCAACCAGTTGCACAAGTCAGATTTAACAATCAGCATGAATAGGAACAAATTTAAGAGCAGTTAAACAACAGGAAGAAAATCAAGCCCTGGTCATTCAAAGTGTGGATAATGCTATCCAGTGAATAAATCTCTATCCATTTTTTTGACACTTATCTGCTAAGTAGCAATTTATCTATTGGATAGCATTATCTGCCATATAAACAACCAGCCCCTAAAGTACTTACGATATCCGATAAACAAATGCATCTTCATCATCTACATAAAAAAAAAGAAGAAATATTTTACAGGGCTAGAATTGCTATTTCATTCACACCTGAACCAAAGGGTCTTCTGATATAGAATTAAATATGGAAAGAAAATTCAGGACTTCAGAAATTGTTCCCTGAGGGGATCTCACAATTAAAGATAATTAGACTGTGATGATTTCAAATCATCAAGATGTTTGCAACAAAAGTATTGTTAACAGTCACTACACGGTATTCCAGTTCAGCCCATCAACTACCAAAATGTGAAATCTAACTAATTAGCCATGCATTTCTTTGTCACCTCCTCTGAGAATTTGGTGCTTATTCTTGTGTCTCCCAGTTTACACAGAATTGTTTTTTTTAAATTCTCATTACCTACCAAAGTGACAATGAGCTAAAATACTATGACTCAATACATCCTTGTTACTCTTAACAATTGAAGAGGTAACCTTAAAACTATCAGAAATTATCACCTTGTAACTTCTCCCTTTAATAACCACACACTATCCAAGCATACAGGTAATGAGAATACTCATATTTATCAGGTAAAAGTTGTTACCTTGATCTAACACCAATTTCGGTAACTAATTAAAAAGAAAATGTGTGGCAGCTAGAGAGGCAAATTAACAACCAGATCTTGGAAGTAAACAGGTTAAAGAAACATGCTCCAAAAATCCATAAACTTTTTTAATCTTAACCATTAAAAAGTATAAATAATGACAAAAACTGCATTTTTTTAGTTTCAAAACTACATCCTAAGTTTTCAAAATGTGAAAAAATGAGACCACCCTGCCACAATTTTGAATCTTGCTCAGCAACCTGATACTTTCCGATGACATAACAGACTTGACCTACAGGACATTTCAAACTAGTGTACATGTGAAATGAAAATAGAGAAGCAGATAACCAATTAGCAACTTTTTTTATCTTATACATCACAACATTTGAACTAATTCTGCCCACACTGTTCTCTTCCCATTAATCCTGTTTGTGTCATCAGGTTACTGAGCTGTTTCAAAATGGTAACCAAACTGCAATAATTAGGAAATCTCAATATATCCCTGGAGCTAGTAGAGATGAAAAGTGACTTTCAGTGTGGATATCAAGGAGAGAAAAGAAGTGTTAATTGGAATATATACATTATCTTTCTAACCTGAATCAAGTTCATCTCTTCTTCTTTTGTAGGTGCTTAGGATGGCATGAGAAATTCCATACAAGATGATAAACACAAGCAAAGATATCTATAACAAAAGTAAAATAAACTTGGTGATCATTAAGGCAACAATATTTCAATAATCTCATGTTAAACATTTTATTGGCAATATCTGTGGCTGACTAAGTATCATGCTTCTAAATTACAAGAGATCTTCACAAAATTACAAAAGTATTAAAACCAGGTTTGCAATCTATGTGGGGTTAGTCAACATAACGACTCAGTATTTTTGGTATGAGTTGTGCCCCTAACAGTTTTATCGGAGTGACTTTCAACCGCAATTAAGTATCATGTCCTTATAAATTCAGAGCTTGTATGTTTAAGTAATTTATATGAATAACTAAATTAATGAAAAGAATCGATCAATACTAACCACATATTCTCTAACCGTATCGTAAAATATCTGTTCTTCATCGCTTCCATCGCTGTTTACCTCCATCGTTCAACCACTTAACCATAAGATCGGGACCCTTGCTAAAAATTTCGCCGACATAATCCCTTGTAAAACAACAATCTCCCGCCTTGAAGTTTCGAAAGCTTTTTGGCTTGCAAAATATTCGTTAGAAGCACAGAAAAAATGATCCGTTCGATCACAGTTCAAATAAGAACAATTTTAAGTCGAGATCAGTGTTTAACCACTGAATCCTTTTCTGAAGCGCGCCAAGCGTGTGGCGCATAAGGTTTCAAGTTTCGGTTCTAGTCGACTTTGATCAATCTGTGACCATCCGAAGGCTTAGGAGGCCCAAAGATAACACTATTTGTCACCTCAAGTTATTTTTGGGTCAAGAAAGTTCAAAGACCAACGCTACGTGCTGGGAATCCTTGACGATTTTGCAATGTCAAATGGGATTTTTTGTTTATCCCGTTCCATTTTCCCGTCCATGAGTAAACAGCACAGCCTGGGTCGAGTGGGCGGGAAAAAGGAAGGTCTGGGAAGGGAAGTGAAATCTGAAGAAAAAAAAAATTTTGTCATTCTGAAAGAGTTTCCTTTTCGATTTTTGATACAGATCAAAAGTTCTACTAAGATAATTTGTTAAAGTAGAAGAGGTGTCAAGGCTGTCACCTGCATAACACATTTTGTGATTGCTTACAATGAGGTAATACTATTTGCTGATGCTAGTCAATCTTGGGTCAAACAGGGTTGCATATGTCTTTTATATGATATGCCACAATAACTAATAAACATTTCTAATAAGCCGAATGCCATGTACGTTTTGATTTGTTCGTTCTTACGATCTATTAAAGAACAGATGCATAGCTGACAACACTGTTAAAAACCCATTGAGTGACCAAGACAGAATTTCTCCTTACAATATCAATACAATATCAACCAGATAAGTGATGAGAATAAGGAAAAATACTAATTTGGGGATAATAAGTTGATCCAATGCTAAATTCTCTGAACTAACATTATATGAACTGTATGGTTGACAGTGAGGAGAGTTAGACATTTGATCTGGGATTTAAAGGGTTAACAACATTTTTCTTCTTTATTATATTGAAGAAATAGATCCATATAGCTGTTGGTCTGTTTAGTATAAGAACACAGCCGTCAGTCGTAGTTAGACTATCAATGACATGATCAGCTACACCTTTGGTGCAACCTTCTTGTTCTAACCACAATTTTATGTCATCTGTGATCCAGTACAGAACAGATGCATGAAAGCCAGCAATCTACTTTCTAAAAAGCATCTGCATCTCTCACTTGTCAGGGGTTAGACATGCAGTTTACCTCACAGAAAAGATCTGATGCCAAACTTTGAGCAGGCAATGTCCACCCCTTGAAATGAGGCTCTTTGAAATAACAGGGATTAATTGCCCAATCTTAAAATTTTACATAAATGGAAGGTTTAGTTCATTCAAGGCATCTAAAATAGTTTGATCTCTACTAAGCTCCTCAAAAGTTGAGTGGGACTGAAAATATTTATGAGAAAAAAATGTTAACCAAAATTTAATTCAAAACAAGGGTATTATCACCATTAGAACCAAAAATTTAATTCTAGCCTCTGCTCAATTTTAACAAACTTCCACAAATTAAAAGCATGGAAACTAAAACTAACTTATTTTGTGTCCATTTGTAACATGAAGAGAAAATCAAAATCTAGCGAACATTATTGTACCGCAAATTTTTCCAGGGCCTTACGTTTTTTGCCAAAATATAGATATTTGCCTTATGATGACTTTCCCTATCCAAAGAACATTCCGGGAAAACAAAACGCACTCCAAGGACAATCTGATGGTCTTCATGCGGCAGTTGGAGCGATGCGAATTGTTAAATCACGTTTCTCCTCGAAATGACCAATTCAGATAATGAAGTCCAAACATCAAAAGAAACACACAATAAAAAAATTAAAACATTACAAAACACACGAAAACAGCTCAAAAATGAAAGACTTCGAAGTAAACTTTACTACTAAGACAACAAATGCATACAGGCCTTTGACATTTGACATTAACACAGTATCTACGTACGTCAACAGTTTTTGTTGAAATTGATATAACTTCAGTTCTACAATACAAAAATAGGATCAATACTCAGAGCAGTTGTTAACAAATATCAATAATACAAGGAATCAGAGTAAATTTCTGATGCACCAACACTCTGTTAAGCAGTCTTAAAATCCAGAAATGAAAGGAATGAGTACTATGTGAAATTGTTTTCATCAGATACAAACGGAAGTTCCGATTTTTTTATAGAGCTGCATAAGTCAGATTTGCCATGAAAACGAAAATAAATAAATAATGACGTAGAACTAGAGTGCCACTTTCGCTCAAGTCGAAGGGTTCGTCCAAGAGCAATTCGCTAGTGAAACAAACATGCTTATAAGAAACGTTTCGAGTTACAAGTTCAACACGCATGTACGTAGCAGAAAAACAAAGCATATATGTAACATGATGTATATAGATATACAAAGTAACTTTTCTCGTGTCTTTGTGATACAGTGTCTGGAACGCTAGGAGATCGCCGAGATTCCATGTTCTTCCTTCACTCGCTACCTTTCTTTGGACTTTTCTTCTCGTTCGATTCTACAGTCGGTGGCTTCTTCTTAAACGAACCCTTCGGACGTCCGCGAGGTCGCTTTGGACCCGAAGGTTTAGAAACTGTCGCCTTCTTTTTTGCTGATTTCGAGCCCTTGGGTCGACCCCTGCCTCTTTTGACGACAGGCTCATCAGATTCGTCAGCAGCTGGAGCGGGTGCCTTTGGAGGACGACCACGCTTTTTCGCAGAGTTAGCGGCTGCATCTACGTCAGGCATTCTGGTCACTTGTACTTTTTCTACACTCTACTGGGGAATCCTGAAATGATTACGGCTATTTTAGCAATGCAGAACTGGAATAAACACAGAATTACATTGACATTTTTTCTGAAGGGTGCAGTTGCGATGTAAAATCTTAAAAACAACTCTTGTAGCGAAGATCACCCAGAGGGACGAAACGCAAATTGATGGCGCGAAAATATCACGCGAGACTCTTAGACTTCACTAAGCGAGTAGACGAAACAATTGTGGTGCGAATAATCACTGTTCTAAAAGCGGAGCGACAGGAATGGATTAAAAACTTACCCTAAATTAGCTACGCACACCTGAGAACTGCAAAGTAGTTGACCGTTGGGAAAACACAAGACAAACAATCAAAACAATAAATCGAAGCGACGCTAGGAGGAGGACGCTATCAACATACGCCAGCATGCATTGCGAGGTTATCTGTCAGAAGTTATAGTTCACTGGGCCCGGTTGTTCGAAGGCTGATTAGCGCTAACCCAAGGTTAAAATTTTAATCTGGGTTTAATCATTCCTTTATTCAAAAGCCATTTTGGGATAATGTCCTGTGTTCTTTTTAGAGTATCAAAGAGTCATACTCTAACAAAAACAATTCTACTGAATTTTCTTTTAAAGCTATCAGATCTGAAATCTGCGTTTACACTAACCCTGGGTTTTCTTAACCCAGCAAACCCAGCTTTGGACAACCCGGCCCAGGTTTCCTTCCACTCTGCGTAGGAGCCAGAAAAAGCCTTGGCTCTAGAAATGAAGATTCAAGATGGCGGGAGCAATATACACATGTCCTTATGTAATTTTGTCATCTCGCAAAAATTTCACTTGCCGGAATTTCAGCCTTGGTTTGAGAGAATTTGAAGCAGTTTGTAAACGTCATGCATCTAGTATCCGTTCTTCGAGTGTTAATTTTGTGTTAAAAAACCGCTTACCGGCTTTTCAACTCGATCCTTGTGAAAGACGATTTTCTTGCGCATTTGCCGGGAGGGTTCGCCATTCATTAGGAGAATGGAATTGGAGTTTATCTAGACAGTGCTGTAGGTGAGTATTTTTTTTTCCACTGGAAGTTTGATAGTCTAATGGTGTATTCGCCTTGGATAGTGGTTAAGGATGATGTTCTGAAAAGGTGACCTTCCCGGCCCCCTATTCCTTGCAATCATTGAAAGGGTATTACATCATAACCCACTCAAGAAGTGTAACTTGATCAACTGTAGGCGACCTAAATTCGTTCCCTTATGAAGGAAACCCACCGTAGAACTTGACGAATTGGAAATTTTCTATACGACCTGCTGCAACATTCTAAAACTCAATGCACGATATACACCCTACAATGAGGTTTTGGGGTATAAGCGAGCTCTTGAGCTTTTGGGGTTTATTCCTGAAACCCTCCTAATGCTCAGATTGATGTATCCTGTTTTGTACTGAATTTATGTTTAAAGAAATGGGCTTTTACCCTTTTTGACCCTCACTTCAGCATAGATATTCTCCTCACTTTCCTTCAAACATTTCTAATTCTGTAAAGACAAATTGGATACAAGACTGTCTTAGAGGTCAAATGGTGGAGAAAACTGTTTTAGTGGATCAGCAGGCAAGGGGAATCCCCTTGATAGCTGGTGTTTAACTAAACGGGACTCCTCACTTGACTTCTGAGAGACTACTTATCATTTTGTGAAAAAATTGCCCACTAATTTTTGGGATTACTCTTGTCTAAATGATCAAACAAAGAGTATAACTATTGCATGTAGCTTTATACTGTTAACATACTGAAGTCAATTAGTGAACAGAGGTTGAGGTAAATTGACTCTCCAAAGCAGAGAATTTTGGCAAAATAAATTGTGATCATGTCCCATTTTAATCCCCAGGACTGATCTTTTAACTGTTTCACCCCCAAGATCTAAAAATCAATTCTCTTTACAGTTTGCCATATCTTTCCTTGTAATGTTAGCTCGGAGAATTTGCTAATAGATCAAACAATATCCTGGGCAATGCTTATATTTGTCTTTCATCTCGTCAACCTTGTGCTTGAAAATGTATCGATACATATATCATAAGGAGAATTCCAAAAGGTGCTAAAAATGCAACTTTTTTTACAGTATCAATTCATTACCCAGTAGACAGGTGATGAGAACAGAAAAGTTAGATAGTATTTTATGATTGAATACAAATCTCAGACCTCACATTTTACATGTGAGGAATTTAAACAATGGTAGACAGTAAGGAGAATTACCACACAGATCTAAGGAGTGACAGTTAACATACAGGACATACCACACTTTTAATCTGCGCATCTGAATATATTCATAAAGACATTTGCGCCAAATAAGTATTTATTAAATAAATATTGTCATTGCCCTCAATGTGTTGGAACAATTTTTGTAATGTACCTTAAGTCTTAATATAATTTGGTAATTTTGCAAAGTCTTTACTATCCTTTATTTTGCAGATTTTCGACATATTCGTATACTGAGAAAACACATATGGACCCTCATTCTTTAACAGAAACACATTTATCACAACTCTGTGAAACAATAAAAAAGGTAAACAGTGTCAACTACCCGGTAATGTTTCCAAAGAGAAATCAGTGACTGGTTTTTCATGTCTTTTGAATATAATTTTACTTTAACTCTTTTGTGAGTGACACACCTGTAATATACATGTAATTGCACTCAAGAAATTGGGGAAAGGAAGCATGGCCCGTAAAGATGCCCCACCCCCCCTCCCTCCTTACATATAAAACTCACATGTTCTAGAGATGCATTCATTTTATTAGCCAAGAAAAAGCGAATTTCAGCATAATTGTATGAAAAGCAGCTGCAGCTGGCAAAAATTGTCATCTTCATGTACAAATACTCTGCGTTTTTGCTAGTTGCATTCTTGGTACATGGTGGCAACAACAACTGCAGTATTAATTTGTAGTCTTGAGGTCCATGCATAGCATGAAAAAGAAAAATGTTGAGAAAAAGATACATACTCTACTAATTGTATTTACAATAATTGTATTTGTAGAGTACAAGCTTGCACACAAAATGAAAAATACAAGGGACTTGCACTCATTAACCCTTTAATTCCCAAGAACTGATTTTCAATTCTCCTCTTTGGCTGCTAAACATTTCTTTAGTTATTAGTTATGAGAATTTAGTGTTAGATCAAGATAACAACTTCTACCCGATAAGTTTGACTATTCTCATTTCCTGTTTGCTGAATAGTTTATGAATATTTTAGGGGGAAGTTGTGTCTATCACTTCTGGGAGATAAAGAGCTAACCTTTAAATTCTAAGTATGATCAGCCTGTAACTTCTCACTGTTATACGGCTGAATCATTCAGATCACAAGAATAAAGGAAAGATCAAGAAAGCTTTTACTTGTTAAAAGAATTTCTCCATGTCAGTACCAAAGGAAATGTATAGAAAAGAGTATAGAGATTATTAATTCTGATGCCAGGGTGTAAAGGATTAATTGAAATTACAAGACATAGTACATCCAGTTGCCAATCGACATTTGTAAAATTAAGTTTATTTTAAGAGATTTTTGATACTACTACAACTCTTGAAACTGAATATTTTTTTTTCAATTAAAACTTCAGAGTTTTATACATATGTACACAATGCATAGCCTTGATTCTTTAGGAAACACGGGAAAAAGGCAACATATACATGTATGTGGTTCAACAAGAAAGCAGCAGCTTTTAAAACTTTTCATCAACCTTGTTGATGTGCATCTACATGGGGCATCCAAAAAACTTCCTGAATAAACATGGTCAGAAGATACCAATTCACCTGTATAGAGATGCTGCATTCTTCTGACTAGTATGAAATATAATCTTTACTTAATGATTTGTTAGGAAAATGTGTTAATTATTACTTTTTTCCATCTATTTTATATAGGAACTCAATTCCTCCATCAAACCTCTGAGAGATGTAAGTCAGTATTACTTTGATGGTCAAGGAAAATACATCAGACCAATGATTGTGCTTTTGACTGCAGAGGCGTGTAACACACACACCTCCAAAAACAGGTTTGTTCCTATTTTAATTTACAACTCATACATGAGAGTGGGCATGCAGGGCGTGAAATTGCGCCTAATACAGGTGCCAATACAACTAAATTTTTCACTCTGGCAACCAAATCCTGAAAATTAGTCGCCAAATTGGCAACTAGAATGTTTCATCATAACCTTACCTAGTGATATAGTGAATTAAAAAGATTTGCAAAGATAAATCTGCAGCAAACTTCCTCGTCAAGTTTGTTTCCAAAATGCAGCACCTGTGTCTCAATTGATAGGTGAGCTTGAACGTTGTATATCATCCATTCTAGTGTCCACTTTGTAGCACGTTAAAGATCTTTTCCCTAACACAATTTCTTGAAAGGATGACAGCGTAAAAAAAAGGTTTTGTTTGTCTTTGAAAATGGCGACCAACTTTTTTTCAATTGGCTACCACTTTAAAGAATTTAGGAGCCAAGTGGCTATCAGGAAAAAAAATTAATTTCACACCCTGGCATGCAGCTCAAACTAGGAGCCCAAGTGTTAATGCCACCTGACTAAGCTACAGAGAAAACAAACAACTAGTTTAAACTGAATCACCTCTTGGGCTGAAGTCATTTTGTGTGCCACCACATGAATGATCTCTGGATCAAAATTCATCATGTCTTTCATTCTTTTTGCAGGAAAATCCTTCCATCACAAACAACAGTTGTAATGGTGTCAGAAATGATTCACACAGCCAGCCTGGTTCACGATGATGTTATTGATGGAGCTGATACCAGGCGGGGAAAAACATCTGTCAATAAAATGTTTGGAGAGAGGATGTCAGTTTTAGCAGCAGACTACATTCTTGCATGTGCTTCTCAAGCTTTGGCTAAGCTTGGAAATAGTGAAGTTGTAGAATTATTAGCCAGAGTTGTAGATGACCTTGTAAAAGGTGAATATATTGCTTTATAATTTGACCCCAAAAGCTCTGCATGCACTTTTATTGGAAATCTGAAACCAATTTTTCAAAAAATTTAAAGAAATGGATCAGGAACTGTATGGGGTAGCACAGGCTACTGGATGGAAAAATGGAACACAAAGGAGGAAAGAGTTGGGCACAAAAGGCACCTGTTTGGATCTCTGTTATGACATATGGATCAAGGGCAGTTAAATACCATGTCATCTATGTCATCATCTGCTGGGATGAATTCACAAAAAAGTCATGATGTAGTGTTTAATTCCATTAAGAAGTCAAATGGGTAGCTGATGGTGAAAAAACAGTGTCACATGTTAGATTTCAAGTGCAATGTTAGTTGTGTAAGAGTCATTTTTCTCTCATGTGTTACTTGTAGGTGAATTTATGCAGCTAGGATCAAAAGAAAATCCCGATGAGAGGTTTAATCATTACTTAGAAAAGACATACAAGAAAACTGCAAGTTTGATAGCATGTTGTTGCAAAGCAGTAAGTATTGAGAATCCCTTTTGTATCATTTCTATCCTAGTTTATTTGTCTGGTTTACTTTATAGCTATGAATGTTTTTGTGTTTCATGGTTGATCTCCTGAGCAAAAATCCCTTGATTTGGTGTGTCCTATTGTAGTAATGACTGAAGATAATTTTTTGCAACTCCAGAGGAGCCTTGAAATATTGTATGAGTTGACCTCCCCTTACAGAATAAGTATGCTCCTAAAACCATGTCTATGAGAGAAATAATATTATTATCTTTGTTAAATTGTTAAATGTGCTTGAAAATCATCAGCAGATGCCATCATTTTGAATCTTACGTAGGAACCTGGCTGCTTACATGTGATTTAACAAAGTATCACTCTTTTTCCATCTCAACAGTAAAGAGGGACACCAAAAGATAACCTTGAATCAAATAATTTGTGTTCGTTCATGCGTGTGTGCGTTATGGCCCAAGCGGAAGCTGTTTATCCTCTTGCATGTACAGCCAGGGTTTTTAATGTTCTCAAAATTGTTTCCTTCAAAGAAACAAATTTAGTATGTAACTATTTGAAGACAATTTGTAATGGTTAACTTACCCTTAGGATTTTCAAGACACTGTTAGTAGTGACCTTTACACGAACTTTTTTAAAAGCGGGAAAATGATAACATGCGTATGGTTTCTGAAGCTACTGAAACGTGAATCAATCATTTTAACTATGAATATTTGATTTTCAGGTGGCTGTATTTGGAGATTGTGACCCAGAAGTACAAGAAATTGCCTTTCAGTATGGCAGAAATATTGGAATGGCTTTTCAGGTGCGTCAATTTATCATTTTAAGTCACTAGTGTTTTCATGATTATCATTACGCCCCACCCCTGAAGGAGAAACGCGCCACTGTCACGTACGAGTTGAATGAAGTTGTTCTCTGTCCGGTGTTGTAGGTAGTAGATGATATTCTGGATTTTATAGCCAGTGAAGGAGAGATGGGAAAACCAACAGCTACAGATCTTCGGCTGGGGCTTGCAACTGCGCCTGTCTTGTTTGCGTGCGAACAGGTAATAACACTACCTATCTGCTGAAGACCTTAAAAAAGGTTCATGTCAGTTTAAAAAGAAAAAAAGGAAAGAGATGGAATAGAGATAGGTATAGGTACAAAGTACAGGATTTCATATTTATTAGCGGTTACTATTGGACACGCTCGTTCGGCCAAGATGGGAAGTAAAGAATGCGGTTAATGAGTTAGGGCCATATTCACTACAGAGGAAAGCGTGCGTAGTCTTGTCCAATAAAACCAAGCACTTAACACTTCGCCGCTAACATTGCAGAAGTATAATTTTTTTCCGCTACTGCAAATTTATTTGCTCTGCCTTCAAGAAGCATTGTTGCTGTATTTTGTGCCGTTATTACTGTGAAAAAGAAACGTCTGGAAAAGTTAAATAATATGAAAGAAAAAAGGACCCATAATTTGCAGACTGTGCGAGCATCTCGACAGCCATGGATTGCCAACCAAAACACTGAAGTCAGTTTAACTCACTCACTCTCAATGCCAGATATATAATAAATGGACTTGTTTCCTCTTGGTGTGTTTAATTTACAGTACCCTGATTTGAATGCGCTCATCATGCGTCGGTTTAAAGGCCCTAATGACGTGGAAGAAGCTCGGGAAGCAGTTTATAAGGTTTGTTGCTCTGAATTATCATCTTCTCATCTCATAAGGAAATTCAAAAGTTTCTTTAGGCTTGCTTTCCACCTCAGGAGTCGCTCGAGGGATGGGTGTGGGCTACTTACTTGGACAGTTGCTGAGTATCGAGTCTACTTTTCCTGTCCGTTGTCAAAAGATTATGCCTGTGAGGTTGTTTGTATCTCCAGTTTATAAATTTCTCTTGCGATTCTTTCTTGCACCCTCCTGTCGGCCTTTTGTAATTTTTGCTCCGCCTTCACTGATGTACCCGGCCAGACGTGGTAGATAATGGGCAAATTAAGATGTAATTTAAAGTGGCAGACTAGTCTTTGGGCAAAATGGAACCAATTCATTCTTTGAGATATTCAGAGAGTTGAATGAGATGAACTAGGTTATGACTGTGGTTACTACACCACAGTTTTATTTGTTATGAATTGGAGCACCTCTAGACCCACCCAAACTTGTCCCCAATCTTCTCTCCTTTGTCACCCAGAGGTTCTCTCATTTGTATAAGAAAGAGATCCGTGACGGGAAAGATGGGAAAATCCCTGCTGCTTTGTCGCCGCCCACTTTGACTCGTTCCCATCTCCTAAGTCTGAGCTCATTTGAAGACCCTGGCGATATGGACCGAGCAACGGAATCAAATTCGGCTGTTGGGTAGGACGTGAATACTGACAGCTTTTCGTCAGTTTTTCGTTCGTTATTTCGGTTGTATTGTTTTTATTCTTGTTCACGGTGATAACTTGTTCGCGGTAATGACATTTTCACGTCGATACATACTCGACCGTCGAAATGGCTTAAGAAAGAAACTGATTATCAATTTCCCCCTGATTTTTAAATTTCAGAGTGACGGTATTGCACGCTCTTATACACTGGCCAGTCAATATGCTAAAGAGGCAGTCAAACAAATCAACAAGCTGTCTTCTTCTTCCCAGAGAGATGCATTGATCACAATCACTCAGCAGATCCTACAAAGACGAAAGTAACTACTTGGCGACTTTCCATTTTTTTTCCCCCCGAAAATCTTACTCTTTTATTTTTGTCTATAAGTTGTAAACGAATTGAAAAGTGACCACGAAACTTTTTAAAGGAGACTAAAGACTGACAATATTTGCCGTCTTTCTACATGACTTGTACTTTGAAGTGTAAGAGTACAACTCTAAGAAATGATTGATTCTATATTTAAAAGGATTATAAACTGATTCTGTTTTTTAAATTATGAATAAATATATAGTCACTTGGTTTAAGGAATTCTTACTTATTTACGATATGAAATACGTAAGAGAAACTCACAGACTTGAGAACAATGATGGAAGGAGTTTTAGGGGCCCATCTCATATCAATGAGTCTGTCGAGCGCTCTCACGCTCTTGACCAGCGGCTAAAAGTTTGATGGCTATTCTGCATGCTTTTGTCCAATGGAAAGTGCATGAATTCCATTGAAGATAATTAAAGTCACATGGTACACTAATATAGCCAATTTTTTTTTGCTTGTGTGATACAGATACAGGGAAGTGATGTAATATGAAAACGTTATTCAGCACTGATCTGGTCACAATTTCGTTCTTTTGCTCTTTTGTGAGAGAAAGCAGTAAGGTTTGATAGACTGCAGTAATCTTTGCTGAGATTTCCATAACTCTCCGGCCTTGTCTCCCACTTTGGCACTTTCTAGTTGACGTGGAATTCGATTGCTCTTTTGAACTGTCCTAGACTCAGATAAAAATTGCCGATATTTTCATTGTCCCCTTTTTCTTGAGCAATTTCTAGATGACGTCGATGGTACTCGATTGCTGTATTGAACTGTCCTAAACCCCGATATCTTGACGAAGGACTAGCGCTCGAAACGTCAGCTTTGAAACTCTTTACATATTTCCATTATCCTTTTTTCTCCGGTCTAGCAATTTTTAAATGAAGTTGATGGTACTTGATTGCTGTTTTGAACTGTCTCAGCCATGATAAGCTTTTCCGAGATTGCCATAACTCTCTCCCTCTTTGGCCTTGTTTCCCACGTCTTAAGCAATTTCTAATTGACGTTGATGATACTCAGTTGTTGTTTTGAACTGTCCTGAACTGCGATAATCTTTGCTAGATTGCTCTAACCCTCTCCCTTTCCCGCCATGTCTGCCACTTCTTTGGCAATTTCTAGCTGACGTTCATAATACTCAATTGCGGTTTTGAATTGTCCAATACCCCGATATACATTGTCGAAATTTCCATAACTCTCTCCTTCTCTTGCCTTATCCCCCACTTCCTTAGCAACTTCTAGATGATGTTGATGTTGCTCGGATGCCTTTTTTGAACTGTCCCAGGCCACGATAAGCTTTACCGAGATTGTCATGGCTGATTCCCTCACTAGCCTTATCTCTCACATTTTGGGCAATTTGTACATTATATTGACGATGCTCGATTGCCGTTTTGGAACCATCCAAGACTTTGATAAACGTTGCCTATATTACCATACCATACTATTTTTTCAGCATTGTCTCCTACTTCTTTGGCAATTGTTAGATGACGTTGATGATACTCGATTTCTGCTGTGAATTGTCCCAAACCATAATTAGCATTGCAAATATTGCCATAGCAGATTCCCACGCCAACTTGTCTTCAAATTTTTTGGCGATTTCTAAATGACGTTGATGGTCATCCACTGCTGATGCCCACTCCAGCCTTGTATCTGTTGTGGTTCAATTTTTTTTTCTGGTTTAAATTTTTTACAAACCAGCGCAAAATTTTTAAACTGTTCGAGATTATGATAAGCGTTGCCTTGATTGCCATTCCTGACTCCATTTCAGATCTCTTTCTTATCTTTTTAAAAAGAGACCTGGAAACTTCCTCTTCTTAAGAAGGAGACCTGAGCCCTTCCTTCACGTTCCTCTTCCTTGATTGCGGTCAGTGACTTATTAAACCACTACCGATGCGCGCTAGACGACATAATGAAAGACTGATTTTACTTTTGTCCTAAGAATTTATGACTTGCCAAAACCACGGAGTGTAGGAAACGGTAAGTCATAAATCATTCCAAATAAAATTGACATCTGATGTAATTTCTATGAATGAACCTTTAAAAATATGGTTTTGGAGGTCATTTTGTCCACTTCACTCCACTTCATGCCAACGAGTTAAGCTGAAACCGTTTCAGGAAATAAAACCGTGTTTACGTAGAGGCCTAACTTGATAGCGTGGTGACTGAATTGTTTCTACTTTGTGCGAATGGTAATTTTTTACGTCACTTCTTCTTTATTTTTCTTTCATTTTATTTTATTAGTTTTTTTCATGTATTCAAACTTGATTATTCAATATTTTCTTTCGTGTCACTTTGTTGGCAATCAATTACTGACTCGAAAATATCTTTTCGTTTTATATTGCTTCGCGTCTCACCGAAAAAAATTGTAATCCTTTTTGCGATACAGCCACAGTAAGTATTTTGAATTTTTCCTATCAATTTATGAGCTTGGATGACAGTTTTTACTAATGGGTAGTAACTTTTACCCGCTCACTTGAAGCGGGAAAAAATTGAATTAATATTTAATTAAACCAACTTATACAATTTAATTATGTAACCATAGCCCTACAATAATGCAATAAAGCTCAGTTGAAGGCAATTTCCTTTCAGCTCATTGCATTTTCAAATTTTAAAATTTTAGAAAATTGTTCCTAGAAAAAAACCTTAATTTTCTAATTTCAGGAAGTATCATGTAAAATTTAGTTGTTAAGTAAGTTTGAATTGAGCCATTAATATTGTTTTGTTTTATAAAGCAAATGCCAGTTTCTACAATTTTCATTTCGGTTTTTGAATAAAGCAGGTGAACTTTATCATTTAACGAAAATTAACCCAGTGCTTAATGAATTCCCGGAATAATAACAAAATGTTTCTTTTGTCTTGTTCTTGAAAACGATTTTCATTTACTTCTCATTATAGGATAAGTTAAGTAAATATTATCATTAAGATACCATATTAATTATTAATTTAGACAGGGAACCATCATTAAGCGCCTTTGCGTCACTGAACTGTTTGATTTAACCCTTTCCCAAGATCAGCTGTCATAAGAACGCCTTTCTCTCTCTCTCTCGAAACGTGTCAGATTTCCACAAGTAACTGAAGGTGAGCACGAACGAAGGTGAAAACCGTGAGCTACTCCTGCACCTGTATCCTTTCATTCATTTCCTTGTTTTCAGAGCCGTAAGGATGTGTGTATCAATAGTGAGTTCTTGATAAATTCTTATATCTTGAAAATGCATGACAAGACGAAATATTTTACTTCTTCCCAGATGGAAAAGATTAGCGGACTCACAAGCCTCTGATTCCACTGACTTAGTGTATTGTTTTACCTTCATCACTTTCCATGCACTCTCGGAAAACTGTGTTGATAGTGAAAAGTCCAAACTTCATCTGCGGTCCCCGCACTGGTTCTTGAAGTTAGAGTCGAAGACAGGCTCTTAATAGGAAAACTGTCGTTGTATCAAGCATATTTGCTTTTCCAGCGAGTTCATTCCAGCAAGGCTTGAGACATTTACTGGAAGCAGGAGCCTGACGACATCTTTTATCCGAACACTCAAAAATTTGCTGGCTTTTTCCTCCATTAGAATTCTCATGGGTAGTACGCAAACGTTGGAGAGGATTGTTGCTTCAAGTGATACTGTAAGTAATTTTTCGCATCTGAACAATAACACGGAGGCAATTGATGATATCTACGTGTTCACGCCTGCTGGAGACACCGCTAAACTTGTGCTCTGTTCAGTTTTGTTGGCTGTTGGAGCATTGGGATTTTTCGGCAATTGTTTTTTGTTCTATTTTCTGTGTCTAAAGGTTAATAAAGCCGCATTTCGAGCCAGCCGTTTCCTGAACAATATAAGATTGTATCTGAGGAGCTTAGCTCTGTCCGACATTTTTACTTCTGGCGTGGCTCTACCTCTATTATGCACTCAAGTTTTATTTGATGTCTTCCAAAGTGGGTGGCCATGCAAGATTGCTCGATATTTCCAGTTAGTATTCCCTACCATTACGCTGAATAACCTCATGGTGATAAGTCTAGAAAAGTACTTATCAACCCGGCGAATTCCACGCACGTTCAGCATCGAAACAGTCCGTAAAATGATCATTGGTGCGTGGGTATTTGGAGTCCTCATTATGTTAGTTTCTGTTGCCCCGTATAATGGAATGAGACTCAGTCTCAATGAAACCCATTTTACCATTGTGTGCAGAAATGACGAAAATTTCTACCCATTTCGAGCAACGATGCTCTTATTTCCATTACAGTACATCCTGCCGAGTATATTTGTCAACTTCATCAACATAAGTTTGATCAAAACAGTGTGGAGAAGAAGTAAAACAAGAGTTGGAAACGGTACAACTAACGCTTTCAAGACTCAGCTGACAGCCACGAGAATAAAAGGAACATCGCTTCTCATTGCTATAACCTTTTCCTTCACCATTCCGTGTATTTTCTTCATAGCTAATATTGCATACACTCAGATGGCCAAACCACAACGAGCTTTTGCTGTAGATTATATAATACGCTATGCTGCTGGCGGTTTCGCATTTGGTAGCAGCGTGATAAACTTTACGATTTGCCTAGCTCAAATGAAGGACTTCCGGGAGTTTCTGAAGAGTTTTTTAGTCATAAAAGGAAGGAAAAGAGGCAGACCTCGTATTGTACCTGTGATCTATAGGACAACAGTACAACAGGGCCTTTCATGGCAAAAAATGAACTCAAAAGATATGACGAACTGGCTTGAATTAAGCCATCAAAACAATCGAGCAAAAATATTTTCCTTCTCGAACTCCTTGTAAAGAAACTCAGGAAAAAAATAGACCAAGTGCTGGCAAGCGTACGCTGTCTTCCTTGCTAACAGCTCATTGTTGTCTTTGCTGGGCAGCTGAAGATTGATTCATGCCAAACGATCGTGTATCAATTGAATTATACAACAATTATACAACTCAACTTGTTTGGGTGCTCTCCAAACCTCCCTAGTGCATCCATTCCTCGATGAAAGTACACCTAAAAACATGTACCAGTTTCTTTTCTAAGATCAAGAAGATATCTTTTGACAAATCGATCTTCATGAGTCGACATCAACGAATATCACAGCGGGAAAAGAAACCTGAAATATTTCAGGATTGTACGGACTTGCCACTTGGTTCTCTGTTAGTGGTAGCGTTTATCCGGCCAATGAGAGGCCCGTATTCAAGAAATCCTCCTGTGTCCACGCATTTTCTACACTTATAGGTTGCATGGAACGCTATCTAGTATTGTATGGAAATGAATACACAATAGAAAAGAGGCGAAGCTGATGGAGACGTCAGCAAGTTTTCTCAATTTTTTAGTCACTTCAAAGATATTATAACTATTGAGTATAGCCACTATATAATTTGGTTTTATAAAGTGACTTAATAGTGTAAATTAGCCACCGTTAGGAGTTTCTAGACTAACGTTTTTGGCGTCAGTTAGCCCTAGAATACATGAGAGAAATTTTGGGTTGTACGTGTTTTATATGCAGCAAAATGGAGCTACACCATTAGTAGGAACATGGTAACTAGAAAAACAAGAATAAATTAGTTGAATGAAAAGCGTATGTTGATACCTTGAAGATTAAAAGTGCCGATTTGACAGCTAAATTTCTGATGTAGAGATTTATGGCTTTCCGAACTGCCTATAGCCTGGTTTATAAATAATCCTTTCCTTGACTGGCCTTGGTTATTGTTTTAGATTGGTCTTCTCCTATGCCCAGTTTACGAACTTTGTGTGATGCAAATCACGGGAGCTTTTCAGCGCATTTTCTCCGGCGTGTCGTATTCGCCTTAACGCTTGAGAGCGCTGATGAAAACGACGACTTTAGAAGACGGTTTCAAGAGAGGGGCATTTTGAAAATTCTAATATACAAAGCGTCGCATTTTGTCGCCACTGCCAGCATTCAAAAGTGTTCTAGGAGGGACGGAAGAAAGTAAATGCATCAAAAGGTACGTGTTTTCGAAAGAAAAATTAGAGGGAAAGTCCAAATTATTAAGTGAATGAAAATCCTTCAAGTTACGTTTCGGCGCAAACGAAATTTATAGTTTTGAAAATGCATTTTTGCGATCGTATCACCAGAAAGATTTCCTTTCGGGTGAGAAGCCGGCTTGAAATTCCGGCTCAATGAGATTGCGGACATTGACACCAGAATTAGTGAAAACCTGCACATTCAATTTATTTCATTTTTAATCCAGTGCTCGGCAAAGTTCGATGCTCTGCTCTGCATTTATGAGTTACAAGAATCTGTGTGGAGAAGCTAGCATAAAACTACCGCAAATGAAAATTAGGCTTTTCTAGTCTGCATCAACATCGTTAATATTTTCTTACGAATAATAGGGAAATATCTTCCATTTAGGTCGGAAGGTGTGAGAGAACTTTCAAAACAATCTTTCTTGGAGTGATTCTAATTCCATATTTCATCCCTAAGTTCTGATATTTTATGTAAAAAAACAATACACTCCCCTATAGCATAGCTTCTTCTTTCTGGTGTTTTTAATAATGTAATCCTGTTGCCTAGAACTACGCTTAAAAAAAAAAAAAACAACCAAAAAACAGAAAATAAAACATACCCCTGTCGCCCAGAACTACGCATTGAAAAAAAACATGCCCAAACCGTGAGCCATATTTCAAACGACGAATAGGGAAGTGCTGCTAAAAAACTCAGCGCGGAATACACTCAAAAACACTTTTAAAAAGGCTCACCTAATTAAAATCATATATAAACAATAGTCTTTTTTCTCATTTTGATGTAGATAAACCGGTTATATTCTCTTGTAGGCTTAAGACGCAGGTGATTTCCCAAGAATAGCGTCATTTTATTTTCGTCAGTATAAGTGTAAAGTTAAAATTTTGCCAGCTTCGAACGCAGTACACTTTTTCTGTTGGTGATATTGATAAACTTCAAATTGAAGAAGAAGAGAGAAACAAAAGGGTAGGAAATTTTTCTTATCTATTACTCTCCCAAAGCGAGACGAAGTATAATTTTTTCACTGAAACTGCTACAGTTTTACTTAATGTAGTTTAAACTGCACCAATGGGGAATGCTGATTTCTCCACGCAATTTTTGCTGGAACGAAAAACAAAACTTCGCACTCTTTCCGCATTTGTTAATTTCATAATAATATCTTCAATTAAGAGAAAACAAATTAGATTTGAAACGAATTTTGAAATTTATCGACATGAAGAAACAAAATTGTACCTTTGAGCTGAAAACCATTGTTACACAAAACACAGGAGTATATTTTTTTCGCACAATTACGTCGCACGAAAACTCACTAGATTACATTCACTTTAACTAATGGGGTGATTTCATTACGAAATTGCATTCAATCGAACTAATGCAGTATAGGGCTCAAAGTCAGTCTAAAAGCAGTTTTAAAAGGCACAGTTGTCCATTTGGAAAGGAACCGATTGAACTTAAAGAGGATGAATTATACTCACAACGTATGGTTAATGGTTTAAAGAAAAAGGATAATAGCTATCAGCTATTCATGAGAAACTTATTTCGACAAAAACTGATCAATGAGACGTTTCATTCGGCTTTTCATATGTCGGGAAAATCCCATACGATTGGCGATTTCACTGTTTCGCGACCCTCTCAGATTTTCCCAACATATCGAGAACGGGGATCTCTACGATTTCGAATTTTCATGCGTAAAAATTTGGAACGGTCGGAAAAGAATGAAATCTCCGGTTGTTTGGGATTTTTCCTGATTCTTCAAAACAGGGCCTACGAAACGAAGAGAAAAAACGAGTGGTTTGGTTTTTAATGACAGAAACTGAACATCTAAAACATAAGGTTTTCAAAGAATCCAGACATTTGCATTTGAGAATTAATCGGAAATCATTTGGAAGGATAAATAGAACAGGAACAAAGGCATATAAATGAGATGTCATTTGGTATTTTCTTCAGGAGGTTATTCAGTAAACCACAATCGAACTCCTTTCGAGTGCTTTATCGAGAGTAGATCAAACTTAAGCATGAAACGAGACATTAGGTTTCGAAATCTTTTTTTTCTACGGTCATTCATTATCAGTTCGTGCTACACTTATTTTGTCGTAATAAAAGATTTTTTACCTTCTTTTGCTTAATAATATCATGCGGTTACTTTGCAAATAAGATATATTGAAAAGTGCTAAAAGAACAGAATTAAATTTCGTTCTTAACTTTTTAAAAGTTTTCTCTAAAACACGTAGAATAACTAAGAATCTTTTTGATTTCGTGTAAGTTGGTATACGTGCATTGTCACAATTTCTTGGGTTTTGTTTCTTGATTTTTTTTTTCTTAGCGCTCCTTGATTACCAGCTTTTCATTAACACCAATACTATCCAGCGGAAAGGATATTTTAGACATTCAAATTTTCATGTTTATCTTCAGTTGCTCTTTCGATGATCCATGTAATGAAATAAAATTCTCAAGAGAATTCCTTAAAGCTATTCAGCAAGATAAAAATATATATAGTCACAGGAGTAACTGCAAACCCTTTATAAGATTCTTTAGTGCTACGTTTTTTCCATCGGCCCATAGACCGATAGGACAAAAGTGCTTACTGCCTTCCCCCTGCTAAGGGATCAACCCTCATGAATACACAGAAAGTGGTACCGTTTTCACTGCCTCCAAATCCGAGCTAGGATATTTCTTAATAGTTCTGACGAGGTTTGTTATCAATCGGTTAATACGAGGTTGCTTCGTAATTTGTTTTCCACGAAATAATGTTGTTTCAACCTGTGTTTGTAGGTTTGCTTGCATTACTTTAAACTTTATGGACCAGTTGCAAAGGCGACGAGATATGACGTCATGAGTCGTTAAAATACGTTTTGAACGCGTGTGTCATTATGAAAAACGGCGACATGGCGATATGATCGAAAAGCCACCGAAATCGACTGAAAGGTAAGGAAGATAAAATTTTCCGGCAAAAGAGCCTTGGGAAACCATTGTTCCTCGTCTTGAACGTAGAAGGGTTGGTTAGTGTTGTCATGGTGTGAAAACCACTAAATTGTGAACATCAGGTAGGCCTGATTTTTGTTGGTCACTTGTCAATACCAATTACAAAAAATTTTCCCATACTCCCTATCGACAGACCTGTGCTGAAATGGAAAAAGGAAAAACTTGGTGGCCATCTCCTAACTGGACTTCAAACGATTCGTCACCCATGGGCCGTAATCAGACTGAAGCAATGGACCCTGTTTACGTGTTCACGCCCGCTGGAAACACTGCTAAACATGTGCTCTGCTTAGTTTTGTCAGTCATTGGCACAGTAGGTTTCGTTGGAAACTGTTCGCTGTTTTACTTTCTTTGGCAGAAGAAAACCACAAGTCCAATCCAAAAGAGTCGTTTCTTACGCAGTTTGAACTTGTATATGAGGAGTTTATCCCTCTCTGATCTCCTTTCTTGTTCCCTATCGCTACCCGTTCTATGCCTTCAAATTCTTTTCGATCTTATGCAGAGTGGGTGGCTGTGCAAGATGGTTCGCTATTTGAATTTCGTGTTTCCCGCTATTACGATAAATAACCTGGTTGTTATCAGTTTAGCGAAATATTTATCAACTCGTAAGAATCCTTACACGCTTGGAGTCACCGCAGTCCGTAGGATGATCATTGGGGCTTGGATTTTAGGAATAACCACCATGTTACTTCCAGCAGCCACTTACGACGGAGTAGCAGTGCGTCTAAATGACAGTCATTTTACAGTGATCTGCCGTTACAATCAGAACTTCTATCCTTTTCAAATAACCGCCGTTATTTTCCCATTACAATACGTCATTCCTGGCATTTTCATAACATATGTCAACGCGTGTTTGCTGAAGACTCTGTGGATTAGGACTGGAAGACAAATTCGTCATGCAAAGACCAGTGCCTTCAAAGCAAAACTTACAGTTACCAGAATCAGGGCAACTTATCTTCTAATTTCTCTTACATTTGCCTTTATATGCCCGTATTTTGTCTACATAGGCAACACTGCATACACCCAGATAATGAAACCGCAGCGCTCGTTTTCAACAGATTATATTGTGCGTTATGTGGGTGGCAGTATTGGGGCATATTTCAGCAGTGCCTTAAACTTCATCATATACTTTGTCCAAATTAAGGATTTTCGCGCATATCTAAGAAACAACTTCCGTTCGCGATGCATCAGAATCAACACGTAGTAAAGTAAACAGTTTGCTCCGTCGAGACAGAACAACCTGCAGAAAATTGAAAAATGTCAAGTAAAGAGGGTGAAGTGCATGAAAACTTAAATGTCCTGTGTCCTGTGACAATAGTTTCTTTACTTCAGTCGCCTTCACAGTGGCTTCACGTTGGTATTTTTGACAAGTCTTTACCTTAAATGTATGACGATCCCTATTGATATGAAGAAAAAAGAAATGATTGTAGGCTGTTCGTAAGATTTGAGTGTTACGCGATAGTCTTTTGGTACTTAGGTTAAGTAATTGTGCGCGCATACGGGACGAAAGCTCACTGTGGAAGGACATTTCTTTTATTAAAACAAAAAATCTAATAAGAACAAAAAATGGAATGTTCGTCCGTACAGCTGCTTGTAATTCAGCCCAAACCCTCTGTCGATATGCCTAGCTTATTGATGCTGAATACATGCAAGAAAAGACCATTTTCTTTCGCTGCTCGTTTCAGGCATTATCTTTGTTAGGTTTTGCCTCTCTTAATTATGTCTAAAAGATGTTAAGGTTTATTAGTCTTGTTTTTGGAGTGCAAGTGTTCTTAGTTAATACTTCCTTCGTAATTTGAGCATTGTTCATTAAAAGATTGTTCGATGACATGTCAAAACGATCGAATTGTTAGAACTTCATTCGAAAGCGGATGTTACAACAAGAACAACTTAGATATTGAATGCATGATCAAGAATATACTCTTACAATATATGAAAGCGATTTGTCGGCCGAAGAGCCCGACAAATGTTTGAGGTAAAGTTGAATAATTAAGCGGATATTTTGAGGGTGAATTTCCTCTCCATCGAAATAAATGAAAAATATATAGCAAATTCAGCCAAAAGGTGAAACGAATAGCAACCAAAGATAAGGAAAAGGAAAAAAATCGAATCTACAGCTGTTAGACTGAACCTGAAAAAATGCAATTCTTAAAAATTGACAAAAAATTCAGTCTTGAAATACGAATGGCAGTATCAAGTCTTAGTTTTCCCAACCGAAAAAATATCCAAACCAAGCCCAGAAATTAATCTCAAATTAAAACTTTACTTAAAATTTTCCAGCTGGCCCAGGCGATAAAAATATAACCATCTTAGCCGGGAGGAAATGAGGAGGAGTGTGGGATGGAGTAAATCATGGAGCAAATGTTGTCTAAAATATGACATACAATTATGTCCTCGATCGGAAAAAGTAAAAAATTTTACTCAGATTTGCCAAAGCCGCTTTCGAACGTCTAGGCGTTTTTCCTTGACATTCACATAACATCTTCTGGCTAAGCTCATCGCGAAAAGACACGACAAATTGTGTATTCTAGAGAGTTTTAAATAGTTTTTGCGATAAGCAAGTTGCACCAGCATAAATAAAGCGACATAGTTTTACTTTTCACATCTGACTTTAAAGTGAATTAAATCGAAACAACTTAAAGACGAGTTTTTAAGCGAGACCAGCGTTTAGGAAGTATAAATTTAATTGTGTCGTTGGCAGGTGTACAAAATTTCCATAAAAACTATACCATTATTTCATTAGAACATTTTATCAATTCAAAACACAACTCTTTATTCTATTGAGAGCTTGCAAACTCTTATCTTAAACTTTTTACGTTTAACGGATTTTATCCACTCGAACACGGTGCCTAAGATAATAACTTAAAAATTTGACCATAATTTTTTTTACTCAATGATAACTCTCTTTAAACGATCCCACGATTATCAATGTGTATATTTTGCAACGAAGCAAGCCCAACGCAGATGTGGAGGAAAGGAGTAGAAGTACATTCACCAAATCAATAAGAACAGCCAAATATCTTCCTTGTCCCAGTTTGAAGGTGGGTGCGTTAAATCCTTTCGCTCTCTTGACCATCACACCCCAGTCTCATTCTATTACACAGGGTTGTTGTTTACTTTCTTTCCTCTAGGATCTGTAAGATTTCCTTGCATTTTTCTTGTGCAATTTCCAAAGAGGATTCCGCTTCGTGAAGAACCTACCGCGTAAAATAGTGGTAATTTCAATGGAATAAAGCGCATCTTCGACCACGAAAAGACAGGCTCACTTTTCCCCAAGTGGTAAAGTTTATTGTAATTTAATCTAACTTAGCCATTCTATGTTTCTTTATGCCTCTTGCTAACCGAGTTTCACCTGCTTACTGAAAGTTTCGGACTGAATATGGAATAAACGTGGTTCCGTAATTTTTAATACAGACCAAGAAAACGAGGTTTTTAAGATATTCATCATCTAGGTTCAAAAAGAGGGGAAAGTTTTCAACTCAAACAAACTGTTGATTTCAGCGGGCCGTATAGCTAAAGTGACAAACTATAACGCACGCACTAACTGAGAGACACAATAGCAGTGTCTCTTAACCTGTGTGTTTGGAAATCACTTTGAGATGACTGTCAGTGACAATTTAATACTAATAAGTGCTGATGGTTGAGAGCACATATTACTTACTTCTTTGTTAAAAGTTTCATCACTTATGTCCTCTAAGTTAATCTTCACGTTGTAGAATGCGCCCCACACGGCTGTCTCCAGACTTCGAGCCCCAACCTATGAAGCAAAACATATAATAAATTCTCGTCAGATACTCCGTTCTGTTACGAGGGCACCTAAGTCCAGCCCCTATATACCACTCCTATGTTGTACAATGGTCACAGCCGGGGATTGTGAAACTCTGCTTTGTGTATTCCGACCAGGCCCATCTTAATGTGACAAAAGTTTGCATCTTGCTCTCATCTAACATTAAAACGGGAAAAGGGGTTCCGCAAACTAAACTTTTATGTAGCCAGAAAGGGTAGCACTACTTTCAGTTTCGAGGAAGACATAGATATGCATAACTGTGCCATCCACTCAACCCCAATGTCCATTATTTCAAACGAAAAGTAAGATGAGAGTGACCAGAAAGGGCAGCTGGACTTGCGTACATCCGCACTACTAGACATGTTCTCATACAAGTATTTTACTCCCTACCTGCAGATCAGACTTGCTATTGATATTTCCAATTTTAGCAAGCTCTACCATCGGATTCCACACCTTGGTAGCTGTTTTGATAACATTAAGAGGGACCTGAACAGCGGATCTGAGCCCATCTTGCAATGCCTTCTCACGTCTGAAATACCACACAAAAATAACAACAATATTGCTGTTATAGGTCCAAAATTCATTCCTAAAAAACATGCTGCAAGTTTTTCATTGCTTGTACGGGCAGTAGCGGCATTTCAAAAGTCATCAAATTATCGAAAGACGCAAAGCAATAAGTACTGGTTGAGGAGCTTTAGAATATCGCCAGCAGATATCTATGCCAAACAGTCTGCAGCAACAATGGTGCTTGATTTTGATAAAGATAGTATCCAACATTAATATCAAGACCTACGTTCGCTCAGGGTCATGTCGATAGACGTTCGAGCTAAAAATATCAGGTTGAGTTGTTCGAAACAAGATGATCTCTAGTACAGGTTTAGCTGCCAAGGAAAGGCCAGTTTTATTATGCCGCTAGGTTAGGAACACAAAGAATTGCACTTGTACTGAAAATGAGACCTCCTTCATTGTCCTCCCTTGAAGATGGGTATTCCTCTTTTAACTGTTGGCATTTTTTGCAATTTCGTATCGATGATTTCAAATCAATGAATTCTAATAAAAGCTAATATAGGTAATACCAACAGTTCAGAGCCTTTAAAATCTTACATTTCCTCTTCTTCAGGAGTAGTTTTTGAAAGTTTCTTCGCTTCCTGAAAAGTTGAAAATTCATCATAAATTTGAAGAAGGTAAATTCAAATATTTTAAATAGAAATACGATCCTCTCATAAAGAAACAATCATGTAGCTAGGCTGTTCCTCTTGTAGAAAACGATGAATTTTTGTCCCCATTATTGCAATTATTCAAGTATCCCCAACATTGCTCATTTAATTTCCCTTCCAACATGTCGTAAAGATTGAACTCCGAAGATTAGAGGAAAAAAGGAATCAGCTTTGTCGAAGAAGAAAAACAACGTGAGATTTGTGATATTTTCATTCGTTTGCATTGACTATCATCAACACAAGAGCATGTGAGCCATAGATGAGCGAATCTCGTTGCTTTTCATTAATTTGAGCAGGGTGCAAATAGAAGAGTGTACGTCAGTTGATGAAAGGACGAAAGTACTCGTAAATTGACAAAAGGATACAAGAGCGGTCGGGAGTACACAACAGCCTTTGAGAGCACACGAGAGCCGTCGAGAGCACACAAGAGCGGTCGAGTACAAACGAGTACAGCCAAGGATACGACTTGTAAAAGAGCGCGAACATAATATAAATTCAAATTTACCATGAATCCACTGAATGCATTGGTGTCCGCATCAATCATTGGAATAAAATCAAACATTGCTTGTCTCAGTGGAGGAATAAGTGTCCTCATCTGTGAATCCAACGCTTCGAATTTCTTGTTTCCGTACGATAACCAGCCAACCATGGTCGCCAGTGCAGTACCCTGGCAAAAACAAATAAACAAACAAATTCAAACAATAAATTTTAAACAACAAAGAAAAACAACGAAGAGCCTCTGGGATCAGTACGAAATATGCCCTTTCCCGACTTTACCCTTTAAGTTAAAGTTGAATGTTAACATAAGCAGGGAGTCAAGGCCATCGAAAAGCTGGCTCCATCAAGAATCAGTGTGAACCTTATCAGTGCGATTTCAACTGAATTGCTGTAACTATCATCAATGTCGCGCCACGTTTTTCAATTTTGCACGGTTCCAATTGCCTTGATAATAACAAACACCAATATGTTTAAAAAGTATTTGGCAGCTACTTTTCATTAATAAACCAAAGCATGTCTCAATACTCCACCGATCTTCAGTTCTTTAGTTGCGAGTGGGACTCACAATCTTACGCGCATCTTTTCTCCTTCAGTTGTTCTCCTGGACCACGCTGTCCGAAAAATCTCAAGCAATTTACATTCCTCTACCAAGGTCCTAAAAAATTTGGAACTCTCTTCCTGTTTCAGGCACTCGTTCATCAAATCTTTTTAGCTTAAGACGAGTTTTTTACTTTTTCTTACTTTAATTCACTTAAATAAACACTGAATTGGCCGAGCGGCACATTCGCAGCACTTGTTCTTTATTAAATATATTGTTGTAAGTGAGGAGGCCTCCCCATAAACCCGGTGGCTTCCTAGGTCTGCTCGCCTTCTAAAGGCAGATAAACGATGATGATGAGAATGATGACTCTTTAGATTTCAGCTCCATCAGTAGCGCTAACCATGAAGTAATGGAAGACAGGAGAGGGAGACTATGCCCTGTTTTCTCAGGATGAAACAGGAATTAACTTAATAATACATTCAATCGACCAATCACTGTTTGCAAGACGTACCATAGCAGCAATCGCCGCAGATGCGGATCCTCCCCCTGGAGCTGATGATCGAGATCCTAAGCTGTAGATAAACTGTCGGAAAGGCATCGACACGAGAGGTCCATCTTCTACATCACCAACCATGTATCTGACAGTAGATTTAAATGACGAATGCGATTAGGCGAAAGAGAAGGATTCAACACTGTGCCAAAAACACGCGGCTCAGTGACTCGGTTTATTGATGGGATTCAAGGAATGGAATGCAATTGGTGTACTTAACCAAAAACTGTACCTCCCTTAGAACAACTCACAAAGTACCTTACATACTTACACACCGTATAAAGCTCACCCCTCGTTTTCGCTTTCATTTTCAGCCTTCAATCAATGTAAGTAATACCCAATAAGCCGCCAGCTGATCAGGGTCGTGTTTCCTATTACTGTTATAACAGTTTTATCAATTGCAACCAACATGTCCACTCAAAAACACGTGGTTCTTCATGTGCGTATTTCACATATTGTACTCACTCGATTATTCTTGTTTTAGGATCAAATGGAGTGATTGAGTTCAATCCTAGTCTCTCTATCACCTATAAATGGCAAAAAAATATTTCAAGGCATATAAAAATGAACACTATGCATCATTAAACGAGATGCAAACTGGAGGTAGGTTTTCTGCAATCCAGTGATTATAAAACTGCTTATGGTTTGAAGACCATCCCCTAAACCTTGCCTACACTAGCTTTTGTATTAATTTGGATGTGGTGATTTTTTACGGCGTTTGATTGTGTAGGATTCTGTTTTCACTACAAAACCGGTTCCAAACTGTCTACTTTAGCCCAAGATAGGCCAATTGTAAATACCAGTCCAAAGGGCAAGCTGGATTTCAACTTTACCTCCCACAAGCTCCGCCTTCATATCAAATTTCAAAATATCATGTTTAGCTACCTACCAAACGAATTTTTTGATCTTCACCTACAATAAAAAGATTTTCTTTCTGAATGTAGAAGTCAGCTGTCAATAACATGGCTTCCAGGGGAACAAGACCCACAATCTGAGATCCACAAACAGCAAGCTTCAGTTCCTACAAAGAAACGACAATACCCTTCTGCAGTTAATTCAATCTCCCTTACTTTGTTGTGAGAACAAGTCGGTTCCAAAATTGTCTGCTGTTCAAAATTTCTTTTTTAGATATTGTAAACTCTTAATTACAAGTAGTTATGATTATATCGTGACCTCTGGTAAGATGGGCCTTTCCACCTCTTTGGGATTGCCCAATTTTCTTTAAACACAAAAGGCAAAACAAACTAACAAACAAATAAAAATACAAACAAAAAACTTAAAAGAAATGAATAAAAAATGAAAGGAGCCCACTTTCAATAATCACAGTCATTCACTTCAGACCACTGGATAATTATCAAGTTATAAATGATGTTCTTCAGTGAATGACAAAGGCATACTTGGAGAAAAGAAACTCCAAGTGCTCTAAATAGGATTCTAACCTAGGAGCTCCTGATTAGTTCTTCAAATGCTCTACCACTGAGCTACCAATAATAAGAGACTTGTGGTTGGCTAGGCTGTTTAACTATGTTCATCATGACACACTACCTACATACTGCTAGGTGAATAATGTTGAATGTGATGCTTTTGACATAAAGAAGATGGTGAATTTGAAGCCTGGTTTTTCAGGTGAAAGATGATGTTATTTAGTGAATTAAACAGGCAATAGTTGGAGAAAAAGAACACCAGTGCTTCCAATAGTAGCCAAACCTAGGACCTTCTGATTAGTACTTTGGGAACTCCACCACTGAGCTATAGGTCTGAAACTCATAACTAGGACCCTTGTGACAAACTTCCTGCATACTGATAGCATAGGATCATTAGATAAATATCGCCTCCATTTCAGCTTTTTTTTTTTAGTATTCTATGGTCAATAATTTTCACAGTGTCATGAAACTTTAAAGATAATGTCAGTGCCACATTAACATGATCAAAAAACAACTGATTGCACCAGTCCATACCCTTGCATCATTCACACATTCTTCGAAGGCAGTGTGCATACCAGCTTGACGATAGTCCAGAAGATTTAAAGACACTTGTGCTATATTTGCTTCTTCCAAATACCAGCCCATGCCTTGGCATTCAGAAAGGCGACCTGCCTGTTGTAAATAAGAAAAACATTCAAAAGTTGAACATTTATCTGGTAATGTTTCACTTTTTCATTTCATTTCTCTTGCCCAACAAAGAATATACTGTTTTTCATTGTGTGTATCTCCAAACTTAAAGCTCAGCTTTTTGACTCAGAGTCATAAAATCCGAGCCATGGTAACCACAACAGTCAATATGCATTTGTCAAAGACAACGCTTACCAATCTAATCATTGTGAATGTGACATGTTCATCTTAAACAGGTTATCAGGCATTCTTCAGAATGTTTCAATTTGCAAGTATCACCTCTGCTCAGTCATTCTGTCAATATTTTTGCATGATTACATTGCTGAAGCATACGCATAGCTAAGGGGTTGGGGATTCTGGGGTGTTCCTCTCCCCTTGTAAGCCTTTTTTTTTAAGCAAAAAACCTACAATATTCAGGAAGCAAACACTGGAGAGTCCTCTGTTCAACACAGTGTGATCCCCCTTCCCATCACTCGTTTGAAAAATCCTGGCTACACCTGTGAAGAAGGCCTTGTCTTCAAAGGTATTTCAGAAGTTCCCTCATACTGCTAATATACCACTTTGTAAAACTCAGTCAGATAAGTCGTGATGAAGAATGATGTAATGTCTTATCTTATTTGTTTGAAAACCATTAGTGGTCTTTCAATGAAATCTAAACCTAGCCACAGCTGTTCGAGAACAATAGGCACATTTTCAAAATGATAAAATGGCTGCTTCACAAATCATGTTTAATTAAGCTCCTAATTCACATTTAAATAAGAAAATTTTTCTTGTGGATGTCAAAAGATCTATCATCTTTAATCACAATTAAAGAATTAAAAAAGTCAATTGAAGTCACTATTCATGAGAAAAAAAATTGCCCAATAGGGGGGACCCACATTTCAGTCTTAAATTAAGTTACAATGACTGTGAACAATTAGAACAATCTCATTAACAAAGGTGAAAGAGATGTAGATGAACTCATTGTAATTCATAACTACAACTGTGCTCAGGCATCAAATGACAGAAAGTACAGTCTGTAAGTTAAGTAAAATCAAAATTAAATGGAAAAAAATCTGACATAATTTTCACCTGATCGGGACCTCTGCCTTGTGTCCTCAGATTCAGTGCCAGTCGGTGAGCTTGCTCTTTTGTTCCCAAAATGTTAATATTGTAAGCAATCAAGAACTTCCTTGCTCCTGCAATGGTAGCTCCCCAGGTGGGAAGGAACTCAACTGGACCAAAGTCTGGCTTCCACTCTGGTTTTTTAATCTATTGGATGAAATATGACTTGAGTTCATTTTTCATTAGCTCCCATGAGTGACACAGTAATTTATTCCCCAAAGATCTCATTAAAAATGTATTTGAGATCTGATTGGTTCATTCAGGAACTAAGATACGTAAAGTATCATGTCCATTTTCAATTGGTGAAGTAGGTTTTTAAATTGGGATTGTTATCAATACAATATCAAGCAAAAAAAAATGGAAATAAATATCCCTTACCAAATTCTCCAAACTACTATCAAAAGAATTGAATGGCAATGGTAAGGTGAATTACTAATAAGATCTTGAGAGGGGAAGAGTTTAATACAGGTGGTGCTTTTTTCTGATTGCCTTCAATTTCATAATTTCCTACAGGGTCAACTTTTTCTCAGACACATCTCAAAACTACACAAGAACTTCTAAGAAACATTGTATACAGCATAATAGTAAACTAGTAAATGAATGCAAAAAAATGACAATTTTAAGCCTCAGTCCCCCTTTAATGGCTGGATAAACTCTTGCATCATACATAGAACACCAAGGCTTGATATAAAAACTATACAAATATGACCTTTTTTCCTAAGATGGCTCATAGACATACAAGTCAGTCAAAAGGTTACATCATTTTACCCATAAAATATTTCTTACAATAATCTTGTTCAGATTTACATTATTTGTATACTATTTAATATACAGTGGGATAGTTTAGATCTTATTTTAAGATATAAGCACAGTGTAACATTTCAAGTTGTAAGGTAGAGTTACCTTTTCAGCAAGTCCTTCATACTCTCCTGCCCTAATTTGAGGGACAGTTTTTCGATGTTCTGTATTAGATGCATATCCATACAAATATACTAAAAGGAAATAATTAAAAACTTTCTTAGTGAGGTTTCCTTCCAGCAAATCAAGTCTTTCAAATTTACTTTGTTTTCTGATTTTCTGTTCTCACTTTATCAACCCTTATTTTTTCACCCCTAAAAGTGACTTAGCAATAATTTCTTCTTGCAATTTCACCCCTGAATAACACATTGTAAAGGTCATGAGAATGAAGGAAATGATCAACAACTAAAGAAACTCTTGATTGTTAAACAAATTCCCCTTATCAGCACCTTACAAAATTTAATTGTGTAGAACATTTTGGAAATCATTAGACATGTTCAGGTTCATATTCAGTGTACATTCACAGCTATACAACTTTGACTTCAAAATTTAAGAGTCGATTGACAATTTGCTCATAGCAACTATTGTTATCAAAACTATCATTAACAATCCATCTCAGACAACTCACAGTATATCTCGTAATATCAATTTGTTATAGAAATTTTGAGATACCTGGTATTCCAAGCTCTATAGCTGCTCTCTCTCCAAATACTTTTGCACACTGAACACAGTCATCCATAGTTACACCCTGGACAGGAATAAAGGGGCAGACATCTAAGGCACCAAGCCTTTTGTGTTCTCCTGGAAATAAAAGTGCTTCTATTTTAAGATAACAGGAAACTCCTAAACATGATAAAATAATATAAATTGTAACAAGTTTAGTCCTGTGAGAGCCAATATTTGTCAACATCACCAAAAGTTATCTATTTCCTGTTGAAATAGAATAAATGAGAGTATTCATACTTCCCCTTGACAAGCTTCAAGCTCAACAAAGGTCTCCCTTCACCCCCTCCCCCATTCCAGAATTTTGCCATATTTATTTCTAAGACAGATTTCCTGACAGTTCGCCCCTTAGGTAGCTACATGTTTCACCACTCCTCCTCCACTACTCCCTTCCCCCTCCTCACTCTTATAAAGTTGCTTGACAGGTTTTAGCTGTGAGAGAGAGATCACAAAGAAAACATATGCAATTTCAGATTGTATGTGCAACAAATAGAATTCAAATGGCACTTGCTGATACTTTAAGAAATATTTAAATTGCATAGAGAATTTTGAAAATTATTACATCCAGTAAACTAGTATCAGATTGTAATGGTCACTGATAGAAAAGGCGAGGTTTGTCTATAAACCTCATTAATTATACATACCTGTATCTATGATTGTGAGCGAGTTTATTTGGACCTAAAACAATCTCACTCTGTAAATGTATGCAATATATTCTACAAGCATCAATTTGAGATTTGTACGATCAATGTCACTTTATTTTTAAAACATTTTCTTAATTAATCTGTACAGGAAATGCAGAAACTCTTAATATGACTTGCTACAATATAGAAATAATCTTCAACCCTTTAATTCCCAAGATATGGTTGTCAATTCTCCCCTTCAGCTGCTGCATGCACATCTCATTGTAAATTAGTGGGAAGAAATGGGTATTACATCAAGATATGAACTTTACCTGATAAGTTTGATTATTCTCATAACCTGCTTGGTGGATAATGTATGGATATTAAAGGGAGAAGTTTCTTGTTAATCACTTCTGGGAGTTAAGGGTTCACGCGATCATTTTTTGACACTTCATACACAAAATTAATAATTAATATTCGCTCTATATTCATGATAAAAAAAAAAAACTTAAACCAAGCAAATAACAGTACCTTGGTGACTTGTCATGTCAATCAACTGCATTGCCATTCTTGCTCCATTCAAAGCTCCTTCCACCACACTCTCAGGCGAACCGACAAATGTGTAAACAGTCCTGTTTGTGGACACGCCTGGATCCACGTCAAGAAGTGAACAACCATCAACAGAAGCAATAGCTTGTGCTATGGCGTCGATCACCTCTTTGTTTCGTCCTTCGGAGAAATTTGGAACACATTCAACAATACGAGCCATAATTTCTTTGTTTACAACACTTGCGTCGATGTTGATGAAGACTAAGTCGAGCCGAGTGTCACGAAACGCTTTTATCCAGGCGTTATTCGTGACGCGTAATAGTGTCTGACGTCGGCCTGGGTATGAGGTCGTTTGAAAAGGAGGAATGGCGTTGGACTCCATCCAAACGTTCAAGTATCAATTCAGTTGAAGATGCTTACTCCCGGCTGTATTTCACGGATAAAAACCATTGCAGGCAGAGATGAAATGCAGGAAGTATTTACGGTGAAAGTCTTGGACATCTTCAGATACATTGTTGACAGGAGCTTTCCAATTCTAGACCCTGATTTTACTGATGCTTTCGACATTGTCATTACTGATGGTCGTTACAAGACGAAATGCTTGTTGTCAACCTCTTTAAATTCGCTGGTTTACGAGAACAAACTGCGAGAAAACTCTGTTGTGACTGTCACCGAATGGAGTTCTTTGATCGACGAAGAATCGTTGGAACAAGTACCTTTCGTCATTCTTCAAAATGTTCAAATTTTAAATTTGGCCTCAGAGAATTGTGATGTAGTCCGAGAGGAAATCCAATTTTGCGAAGATGCAGCACCTAATGAAAAGCAAGAAATACCACTGGCAGCTTCTCGCGGTTATTATTTGCCGTTATGGAACGACGAAGACTGCTTTGGAGAGAGGTGGTTTAGTGCTCCAGATTTGCAGCCTGTCAACCCAATTACCAATGCAATCACCATTCATGATCTTAATATGTTTTGGAAAGCTCTTCCGCGTCCATTTCCAGCACTTATTGGGAGAGTGGTTAGCAAAACTAGGCTGAATCACTACGGAAAAGCTTCGGACCAGAAGAGAAGGTATCCCTATCAAGCGTACCTTGAACTTGAGGATCGCACTGCGACGGTTTCTGTTTGCATCTGGAGTTCGTTTTGCGTGCTTTTGTATAACTATCTACAAGTAGGAGACATTGTAGCCCTCTTGAATTACCGTATAAACCGAAGGTTCAATCAAAGAAGTAACGCAGTCTACAATACAAGTGCTTCCACGAGCATCGAGATATCTGTGAATCCTACTAACCCAACAGCAGAAGTATATAAACTGGCACCGAACGAGCTTGGACCAGGATGGAGGTTACCTGGTGTACCCTATAGGTGAGAAATGTTTAAAACTAGATGGAAAAGAAATTATAAAATACTCTTTGAAATTTTTTTTCATCGTGACCTTTTCTTTGATCTGTTAGGTTTTTTTGCAGCAGTGCGATATTCATTAAACATGCCTCTAATGACAATGGTTGGCCAAATCTTTTGGAACAGTCGGTTGAAATCTCAACCAAGACTGCAGCTAACTGTTTGTAAGAGGCTCTGTCAACAATCAGTCAACTATAAATCAGATATCAGTGGACTGTTGGTCAACTAATCGTCAACACTATCCACAAAACACATCATTCATCATAGTTATTGTTAATTCTTGTCTTGGTAACAACATAACAAACTGATAAATGTGTTTGTGTATGATTGGCAGGAAATTTATTCTGTTTACATCCAGCCACTGCAACAATCCAATGCCCAGAGATAAGCAATTTTTTTGTTTCTGATGGGTTTCTTGCAGATTTATTGAACGGAGATCACTTGCAAACTACTGTTCAGGCTTAATATGTGATGTTGTGGGAGTTGTGATGTTTGTCAGCCGAGACAGCAGAAAAAGAAAGGGGAACAAGTTGTCTTTCTGGACCAGTAAATGGGTGCACCTGCTAGATGGTAAGAGGATGCGAGGTAGTCTCTTTTGCTGTATTTGCCTAAGTTACTGTACATGTATGTTCACTCTAGCTTGGTTACAAAATTTATAAAGAATTAGTTTTTCTTGCTTCTTTTTCATCAGAACTTCAGGTTGATTAGTACAGCTAGGTGTTTATAATTATAGACTAATTGGGGTTGTGTTCTACTGGAAATTGTCCTTTTATTGTTTAGCAACTTGTACAACTTGAATATTTTATTACTCAGTTGTTTCACAATCAAGGGAACCCTTTTTCCTTGTGTGATGTTACATGCTTTTATTTTTAAACTGGTAACAAGCAGGAAATGTATTATGACATAGTATGGAAGAGAACATTGTGTTGAACAAAATGAAAAAAGAATTGTGGAAATTGGTCACAATTTGGAAGAATTATGGATTATGTGGTAAAAAAATGCTCTATACACTTAAGAAGCAAAGGCAAAGGGCAAGAACTAAGGAAGACCATGTCTGTCTTGCTGAAGCACATCAGAAAGATAGAGAAAGAAAGAAAGAAAAAGAGTAGACAGGCAAGGAAGGAGTACCTTGAGCACCATCGTTTGTTAAGAAGGCAGAAAGAGAGAGAAAAAAGGCTTGAGATGAAAATTTTTAGGGAGAAGATAAAGGAATCCCAGGTAACACAGTAGGCCAAACCTGGTAGATCATCAGTGGTGAAGAAATGAGAAGCCAGAAAAAAATGCTAAAAAAAGGAAGCAAGAAAAAATATGAAACAAGAGGTATGAGGATATGGAAAAACAAAACGAGAAAACTGTTTTCATTGTATAGGATTGAATGTTTGTTGCTTTCATTGAATATTTTCCACTGCTTTTGTAGTTACATTATAGTTTTCCAAATAAATTTCTGTTGATGTAATTAAAATTGAAAGATAAATGTTTTTCTGTCACAAATAGTGCTCCTACATTGCTTACCATAGGGACATGTGAAAACTAGATGCATTATAGACAAAATTTTACATGAAGAATGTATCGGAAATGAAGAATGTAGTGTCCATACCCCCCTTAAAGGTCATTCTAAAGTGACCTCTTTAAATGGAAGTAAGGCAGTTTGTGCAAAGATATTTCAGGATGGTACACTCAGGGAATAAAGCTACCTACAGATTACTTTTATTTCTTGAAACATGAAATTTTATTTTTGACCCATTCCTGACCTCAAAAATGTACCCTTGATTGTGAAACAGCTGAATTTATTACATCACTACCCTTAGGCACTTAGTGGTTCTTCTTAAACCACAGCCTTGTTAAACTGTTAGAGTCACAGTACTCCAATCTGACACCATGATAACATTTCTTGTTTGACTGAGTAGTTCTCCATTTGTACTTTAGGTACAAGTTCTGTGCCATTTATTCTCCATCTTTATGCTTCCTCACAACCCCAAGTCTTTGATGCCATCACACCAGGAACGGTTCTCGTTTGTGCACGAATGCTGCTTAAAATTGAGGCTCAGGCATCGAAACACCGCAAATTATGCTACCTTACAACAACTAGAGAATCACAGGTTTACCTTTTGAGACAGCCATTGGATGTGAAAGACAAACCCTTTACTGAAGCGGAAGCTGTAAATGAAGTCATCAGATGGCGTCAAACTACAGATGCTAAACAGCTTCTCAGAAAGTCTTGTGTGGGTGGGTACTATGACTTTCCACCTCTCCCTGAGTCTCTTGATTTGTACAAGAGAACATTTTCTCCTGAGGCACCAATGGATCTAATAACCACAGTTAACCTTGGGTTTATTCTGAGAGAGGTTCATTTCAGAGAACACTTACGGCTGCACATTCAGGGCATAGTTGTAGCCCTGGAGTTTGTTCCTGCAGAAAGCAATGAAGAAAGTTCGTGGCAGTCATCTGGGGAGATCAGCTGTTACCAGCTTTGTGAGACCTGCCACAGTGACAAAACCATCAGAGAATCCACTTTCACTGGCCAGTATGGTTAGTAGAAAACTATTATTTTGTTCACAAGTTTTTTTATCCTGTTCTGTTCAGCTTTTGACTCAAATCTATTATAATTAAGGTTATTGTGCAAGTTGGGAAAAGTGATGGCTCAAAGGACAGGGTACAGAAGAGATTGACACACTTTGGTTCAAGCACCAGATTGTGTTTTCACATGCAGCCCACTATTGCCCACATTATGCATTAGTCATTTTGTGAGAAAGACATGGGAATTTTAATGAAGAGTGGTGTTTTGTTTCTTTTCTTTTAGATGAAAATGGATCAATTCCTTCAAGCAGCCAAACCAGCAGGTCTGGTTCTAATTCTTTAAAGATGAGAAAGAAAACACCCAATATAACACAAAATGGACAAGAGAAAAGTTAGTGATTAAACATTTAATTCTTATTATGAAACTCTGAAGAAGTTTGGACTAAAAGAGATTTAGTCAGACATGATTTTTCTTGCACATGCATCCCACCTGTGTTGAACTCATGAATTTGAATGCTAATTATGCTCTCTTTAGTTTTAATTATTAATTTATTAAAATATTAGAGGGGATTGATGTTAGCATTTTGTTTCTTTTGTGCTCTTAATGTGGAAGCATAAAATTCTCATAGTGAGTAACAACTGGCTCATCCTGTCGCTTGTCCCGGTCAGTTTCAGTAGCACGAAATGTTTACGAATGTTGTTACTCCTCCCTGGACAAGTTACCTCTCCCTTAACATTTCGTGGGGTTCCAGAAAGTTTTGCGAGATCTACTGAAACTACTCAACGTGAAAATAGTGTTCCTGCAGTTCTGACAACACCAGACTCATAGAACTGTCTTTTGACAGTGGAAATAAGGGAAGTAAGGTCAAGTTTGTTCAGATAACATATTAAGGTTGGATATCTGCAAAGTCTCTTTTCTCTACATTTTCTTAAATGGAGACTACCGGTAACTGGATATCCATAAACTCACTTTCCCCATCCCCAAAAAGAATCAACGAGGCTAAACTTCGCCCATTTTTTCATGTCATTGTTTCACAAGCTCCTCCTCCCTTCAAATTAGCTTTTTTCCCGCTAGCAAATTTGAAATAAGCACTGCTGTCTATTTACCATCCTCTCTTTATTAGTGAATGCCCCATCTCGTTTTCCCTCTCTGTGAGGGTTCTAATGAGTTATTGCAGCGCGAATACAGGTTTGTCCACATCACGCACATTTTTTAAACAGTACAGGAGATCAGTGGTTTCTCAGCAAACTTGTGGTCATGCCGTATCGAGATCTAGATGAAACACAAACTCTGTTATTGTGCTCATCAGTTTAATAAACCCCTTCCCCTTCCCCCTCGAAATAAATGCTTGGAACGCTCATCTATCGAACACAGTTATTATGTTACATGTGCGTGGAATGATATCATCGATTGCATCGACGCCTTTCTTGCACGTGGTGAAAACGTTTTCTGTTGGCGTATGAAACTTCAATGTTTGCACAGCAAAACTTCAAAGTTTTCTCCCATGTGGGTGAAAGTTTACGTTGCCTGCTTACTTGAAAGGTTTTCGCGCTTGTTGATAGTTGTCGGCAATGGCGTCTACTGGCAACGTACAAAGAAAAAATTTCAAATGTGGCGTATCCCTATCCACCGAATTACGAAATCAAGTGATAGATATCGCACGGCTCGAAGTTTTGCTCTCAAAACACATAAATTTGATAGGCCAACAGCACCTGTCTGAATAACGTGCGTGGAGGGGTAGATACAATCGACGGTATAACAACTGCTTGTTTATCTATAGCATGGGATTCGGAGATCGAAGACGATTCTGAGTATGAAGTTGAAGTTGATTCAGCCCCTTCAAGTAGTGAAATGAAAGCAAATTCAAGCAAAGAATATCACATCGTCACCAGAAGAATTAATCCCAGAAGGAAGTGCAAGAAAGGTAATTACTGATTCGTTTTATCAAATATTAGAAAGTTCTAAATTCGAGGAACTCAACTGAGTTGTGGGTGATAAAATGCAAACCGAGGAAATAACATTAGCCAGTCAGAGGAAAGGAACAATTTTACAAGAGATAAAAACAAGCAAAATGCGTGAGGCAAACGTAAACGCGAATGATTATGTCGTTTTTGCATTGGTTTTGAATGATTGTTGTTAAAGACGCTATGAGTTTTCTGAACTTACTACATAGCGAAGTAAAGCAAAGCAGATACATAGTACTTTCGACACGCTCTTGAAAATTGTTCTATCGCAGCATTTCTTTGTTCATGGGGAATTTACTAGTAAGCTTCGACTTTACTGATGTACCTAGCCCCAGTTCTCCTAGGTTGTGCGCAAACATTTCAAACATTTTTCCTCTTGTTTTAGTTTCTAATGGTGTTGTTCTATCCTTTCGTCCAGTTTACCGTGGTCCAAAGAACGTTCGAATCAAGACGAGATCACGTAAAGTTGGTACTGAGAGAATGATCTCCAATCAGAAACGAAAAGCAAACAAGCGACTCGCTCATCCGCCAAAAAAAGCGAGACGGAAAGTGGTGTCAACAAAGCAAGCGTCCACCAGTGTAAGTAGAGAGGGGGGAAAGGTTTCAAACGGCATTGAGCTGTCAGGAAAGAGAGGTAAAAATTCGTCAAGTTCTTCTGCTTCTAGCGAAGTAGTTAAATACTACCCATTCAGAATTATGGATCAATCGTGGACGCACATAGCGTCTGACATACCTTTTCTTGGATTGTGGAACCCAAGCTTGCACGAAAACACTCTTCCAAAACTTTGCAGTCGAGGACTCACGGATGTCGAAGTAGTACCGACTGCTGATCGGCAAGACTTCGTGAACGCCGAAGGTCACTGGAGGCTTATGATAGCGGGTCTCAATCGACGAGCGATCGTAAATGCGATATTTTTACCCCAGTATTCCACGACAAAGGAGGATGCAAGTGGAGAAAGCGACGTTTTTGTGACCGCTTTGGCAACGGGAGCCTTTCCAAACAGATATCCTGTGGAAAGGCTCTTAAATTACGCTTACGAGGAATTAAAAGAGCGAAGAATGGTATTTGTGTTGGACTTGTACAGTCACGGGCAAGATAAAGTGGAAATCGTTATCAATAGAGCTTACTGACTGTGATAGTGTCATAAATTTAGAGCGAGTTTAAATTGTCGAGCTAAGTGGACAATAGTGAGATTAAATTTTTTGTAAGAATTGCTGGTACTTTTATTCTTCACTAGGCCCAAAAAGGCTGTAATAAGGAAGCCTTGCAGTTTTGGTCGCACTCTGCGTGAACAGGCCATAAGCTATCTCGACCGAAAGGTCCGCTTTGAAGCCTCAGCAAGGTCATTTTTTGTCGTGTTCAATGGCAAGAAACTTCACCCTTTCAGTAGATCTCGCCAAACTTTCTGGAACCCCACGAAATGTTAAGGGAGAGGTAACTCGTCCAGGGAGGAGTAACAACATTCGTAATCATTTCATGCTACTTAAACGGACTGGGACAAGCGACAGGATGACCAGTTGTCTGAAAGCTGTCCTTAGCATTATCTAGATGTATATACTTCCACTCCAGAAATCTTTCCCTTTCGGTACCCCATTCGCACAGAAACTAATCATATCGCTCATGTTGCAAAATAACCTTCCATCACTCCCCTCCCCTGACCCTAACCCTAACCCTAGCCCTCTCCGTGCCGATTTCAAAATTAAATACCAGGTGTATGTATTTTATGATATGCCACGTCAAACAAACTTTATTACTCCCTGGGTTCATACAAAAACATTGTATTGTGTAAAAATTTCTGATTACAATGAAATTTGAATATTGGAACAGTGACAAAGATATATTTACATAGACTACCCACTTCTAAAAAGCTTTTATTTTGATTCGACGTCATAGCTCATATAAAAACTCAAGCGCAAAACAATTCAGCAACTGTTCTAAAAATACAAAGAATAACTCGAGGCGAAAATTCTCTAGTGTAAACATATCGTATGTTTTGACGTAGCAGCTCTTCGAAATCCTTCGAAACAAAACACATTTCATTTTACCAAAACTAATTCTTACAATTTACAATTGTTTGTTCGTGCATAAGTGGAGCGAATTCATCACATTCTTTCCGTATATATGCCGCCAAATTAGTCTTAATCCACTGCTCGCATAATTCTTTAGTATGCGTGTTTCCGTCTTTAGCAGTTAATATCCTTGAAATCCTAGTAACAGTCTTTGGCTTTGTAACTTGCTGGTAATCAAGGCAGCAGTATTTATAAAGGACTTCTCTATACATCCATTAGGGAAATGTTATTCAAATACATCAGATTTCCCTGTAGCTAAGGATATGTATTTACATTGAGGACTTATAGAACTTCTTTCGCCATTAAGCGTCTGGAAATGCACGCTGCAGTCGCTTTTTGAGCGATACAGATGACAACTCTTGAGTTTTTGTTTTTGCTGACTTACGGGTAAAAATGAAAAGCTTTTGCGTCGACTTTTCACGTCCTCTTTAGAGTTCTTGTTAGATGCTTTCTCCCAAAGAAAATCTGTAGAATTCCATAGAAACTTTCTTTCTCTTGTTGGAGATAAGTCATCGTAAGATGCTTCATTACTTCCAGGAATTCCGTTCTTTTTTGTTTCGTCGCTATTTAGAGAATCTCCATCTCGAATTTTCTCTGGATTATCCTGAGCAATCAATAGATCTTGAGCATAATAACAGCTTTCGTGAATTCCAGGCATTTCTTTGCTTCTAATGGTAAATTCGCTTTCTGTTTTGCATTTAGCGCCATCACTCTCGTCAGCCAAAACTTCTGCGAGCGTGTTTTTTCGTTCCAACGCCTTAGTAATTCCATTTACAGCAACATCGGGTATCTCATCGAACTGATTTTCACTTTCTGTACCTGCGCGTCTTCGTTTGAACGTCAGTACTTCACTCTTCAGGCTCCTTCTTCCTCTCAGAACAGCTATAGAATCGTTTTCTTTCGAAGTTGCCTTGGCCAAGCAGCAAGGAAGCAATATGCTAAGGATTTGTTGGTAGCCTTGGCGGAATTCTTTCGTGCGGAGCGCGTATATCAAGGGATTCATCGCAGAATTCAAAAAACCCATCCAGTAGGCGGCGACGGAATAATATTTTGGCAGCTCATGCCCCACTAGAGTGGCGTAAATCGTAAGAACAGAGAATGGAGTCCAGCAGGCAAGGAATACAGCAAGTATTATAAACAGCGTTACTGTAATGCGTCTCTCGTTCAAGAAGGCTGATTTTTCCTCGCCAAAGGAATGACTTCGTACGCGTTTCGTATGAATCTTCACGGTTCGGAAAATTTTAAAGTACGAGAAATTCATTATTGCGAGCGGAATTACAAAACCGCAAATGATAATGAACAGACAGTTTGTTAACTCACTGAGTTTGTTTTCACGAGGGACTTTGACAGAGCACTGTGTTCGCCCTTGAATATACTCGTAGCTGTTCCAACCGAGAATCGGTGTAAGCGCCGTCAGAAGCGCTTGCAACCAAACCCAGGCAACTGCAATTAGTGTCGTCTTTCTGGTGAATATTTTTCTTTGGGTAGGTTGGACTACTCCGATGTACTTGTGAATGCTAATAGCCGTTAGGGTTAATATTGAAGTGAGTAGAAAGAACACATTCAGAAAACCGTTTAACTGACAAAGCGAGTAGCTAAAGATCCACTCTTGCGTCACTGCAGTTATCAAGGAGAAAGGCATGCACAAGAGGGCGACGAAGATATCTGTCAAGCTTAAATTTACGATAAACATATGAGTTTCTGTACGGCGCAACTCCCGTCGGCGATAAACCACTGCGATAACAAGAAAATTCCCAATGATTGCGAGCAACATGATGCAAAATAAGACCGAGGCTTCTAAAATGCCAATCCACTTCGGATCCATGTCACTTTCGGACCGGGTTGCATTTGCGGTAGTGCCGTTCGTATTGTTTTCCATGTCTGTCGCCTGTCGACCTTTCTGGAGATGTAATACTAAAATGCGAGGGTTTTGCTCTTAATTTGCGTCCCACGTCAATGTTAAATTAAGTTTCAAGGCAGTGACATTTGACTGAAGTATCAACGTAGACTAACTAAGTCAATTGGTCGAACACTCGACTCTTTTGTCTGATTTGACAGCAGGCAGTTTAGCGCGCGGAGCGGACCGGGTTTTTTGTTTGAACCTTCGAGAAACTTTGATAAATCTCATGTGACATTAAAACCCCCCAATGTGACAGATCTGTGTACACACTCCGTGAAAATATACGTGACAGCTGTATGCAAATGATTGTGTTAGAAACTAAACATTACTGGTTTAAGAATGATATGCGTAATTCGTGGGTCGGATATTTGAAAGGAAGAATTTAAGCTTCAAATCCATAAGGATCTCACGAAAATATGGGTGAGTCATTGTCTGATTTTTGGAGGCTGTGAGTGGCAATTCACATTTCGAATGAATCCAATCTGTGCAGAAAAGAAGAAAAAAAGGAAAAAACGCCTACACTTATCGATTCCGATAATTTAATAATATGGGTAAAAAATAAATCTGCAAAACGGAACAATAGCATTGTTATCCCCCGAATTTCCGCCTGGGAGAGAAGTGCCTTATTAACTCGGCGAAATGTTTTCATTTTTCTTTTTTCCTGATCGATAAAGGCACCTGCTTAGCAACTTTGTTGTTAAACCAGTGAATCGGCTCATTCTCCAAGAGATCCAACACCTTAGAAAGCTCTTTACCCTCTCCTCGTACGACGAATCAGTCACAGGCCAGAGTAGAACAAATCAAACACAAAAGATGATACTTCATTGCTGTTTTTCATGTTGATGACCGGATATGCCCTGAATGATTGGTAGCAATTGATACTAGCGAACTCTAATTCGCCCAGAATTAAGCGCCTTTGAATATCTTCAGGAAGGATGATCAAACGCGAAAACATTTTAAGAACTGACAATAATTTACTAGGCTGGGTAATTTCGTCTACGATCAGATACAATAGGACACTGATGGCAATACCTATTTTATCATTACACTAATTTCACTTTCTTCATAGTGTTCTATCTATTTAAGATTTTTTATCTCAGAGAAACCAGGTTTGTTGTGAAATGTTTCATGACAAACGAAATTACGAAGATTTGTCAGTGCTATTAGAAGAAAAAACAAAAGATCGCGAAGAAGATGCAAAAATATCAATCCGACAAATTAAAACAGCGTTAGAGATAAGTAATCTCAAAATCATATTACTACGGATGCGCTAGATGTCAAAGATGTGAAAATCCGATTGGAACTGACTTTTCTGAAAGAAAAATTATCTCCGATAGAGCACGAAAAATTTTTAATCAAATATTCGTGAAATCAAGGTCAATTTTGCTTTTTCACGATAACAGTACTTTCCACTTTTCTCTGCGATTGAGACTGACGCATCATTTTGTCGCCGTTGTTAAATATCTTCAGCCCTTATTGATCAATTCTGGGCCGACAAATATTTAATTTTCAATTGCAAATAAGCCCTGTCAGAAGGAAAATGATTTCATAAGTCTCATTTCGATTCGACAAATACAAAGTAACATTGTAATTATCCAAGAGAAACTGAGTTATCTTAATTGAATTGCTATAAGTTTCTCCTTTTCAAATAACGCTCGACATTTCAACCGAGATTGCGGCTTTGATTATACAGATTTCACGAGCCTGTCATTTAATATCGCCTGAAAATCTTGATTATTTTTCTTGTATGGCCAGTTATTGGGGAAATTTTATTGCACACTATCAAATCTAGGAAGACTGACGCAAAAAAACGTTATTTCCCACTTAACGCTAAGCACAATTAGAACAGATTTAATACTGAGACTGTGCTGTGTCAGGCATTATACTCTCACACGAAAAGGTAATAATTATCATTCCGTGTCGCGGAGTGCGGAAACCATTCTGAGCACACACATGAGACGGTACGTCAATAATGGTAATAGGACTAAGAGGAGTCCAATTTGGTCTGTTATCGTACAGGGCCCAGTTGTATAAAGGGCGGATAATGCTATCCTACAGATAAATCGCTATCCAGCGGATAAGTGATAGCAAAACGTACAGCGTTATCCCCCGAATAAAGATTCATTCAGCGAATAGTGTTATCCGACCTTCGAACCTGGTGATTAACAAAATCGGACTCCCGCTTCGCGCTCGTCCGATTTTCTTAATCACGAGTATGATTACCGACACAAAGTCCTGTTACCAATTACTAAAACTGTGACAAAATTTAAGGTAGAAACTAAACATCGGTTATACGTTTTCATAAAAAAAAAAAACCAAAAACAGTTCACTCTGCGAAATGTGAGAACAGCGCACGCACATAACGCGTTCTGTCCACTTACACAGGCACGACGCGTTAACTGACCCTTTAACTGTCCTATTACACTGTCCAATGACAAGCACGACGCGTGCACGGACCTATTAACGCTCAAATCGGGCTGGTGATAATCAAAAGATTTTGCTACATTTTGCATTAATCATAATCATTACAAATTCCTAAAATGTTATTAGTGCATTTACAGCTTCATTTTTCACTAATCATGCTGTACAGTTGCAGTCGGACAGTGTTATCGGATAGAGTAATCGGACAGTTGGCTGTAATCGGACAGTTGAAGCAGCCAATCATACAAAGTCCAGTCAGCTAATCCACCAATCACAGAAATGATCAAAATAACCATAGCAACAACCACTTATCCAAAGTAAAACTGGGGAATTTACAAAATTGAGGAATTTTTAACTGAAGATATTGTCTTCACTGGAGATAAGTGTATTTATTTTTTTTTTTGGAAATCGTAATGGTTATGATTAATTGGTAACAGGACTTCTTGTCGTCCAAGTCTGTAATCATACTCGTGATTAACAAACCGGACCTCCGCTTCGCAGTCGTCCGATTTTGTTAATCATTCGTATGATTACAGACCGACTGGACTCCACTTGGTCCTATCATAATTATTAATCAAAACTATAACACAGTTCTCGAACGTGATTAGTAATCACCAGCTCAATTTGAGAGGACAGTGCACATGTCATGCCTGTGTAAGTACGCGTCGTGTGCGCGCCCTACGAGCTCGTGCAGATTTTATTGTCTTTGGAAAAATTCCCTCTTGCTTATTAACACAAAATTGCCAGAAATTGCACTTGAAATCATGTTCTTTCCTACACAAATCGGGCTGGGTATGATGACCAACTACGTTGGAGAATTTTTAGATTTCAGAATTTCCATTTTAAGTGTGCAAATTAAGTCTTAAAATTCGTAAATACTTCACTCGTTGCGCAAGAAAAATCCAAGGAGTTTTGCTTTACTTCCACAGTGCTTCAGCCGCAAATAAATGGGCTCAAATCTTCGGTGAAATCCTTAGTTAAAAAAATAGAAATCGTTCTCTAAGTCAGTCCACATAGCCTGGGAGCAGGCCGCTGTAAAGCGAGCGTTTCTTTGCTCTCCCGCTCCCCGGGAAGAGTTGAGACATCGAGGGGAGGTTTGCAGGGGTCTGGCACTAATAGTGCTTCACTCCTGACAGACCTTTGCTCAGGAAATAAACGCTCGTGCCGAAGTGCTAATAATAAAGGCTTGATTGTACGCTATTGTAACAGTAGCATTTCCTTTCGCTTTTGTCATAATAGTGTCTTTGTTGTGTGATGTGACAATGGTGGCATGGCAGTACTGTCGTGACGTTTTGCCTTAGGCAATGTCCATGATTGCTACGCTTGCCATTCTTTCTGAGCCAAATTGATTCATCAGGATAAGTACTTAGATTTCCCTTATGTTCATTCGAAATTGTCGATAATCTAGCTGTTTCCCTGACGATATTGGGGATTCCCATTTAGTCGTAAAACCGGAAGTAGCTTGAGAGTTACACACAAAAGGAATCATTCTTGCGTAAAATGAGCGGCTGTCAGTTCAGATTGTTCGCTCCAGTATATCAGTGCGCCACAAGCAATGACTTGATAGGGGTAAAGAAGAAGGAAAATGACCCCATTCGTACATTTTCGTTCGACTGTAAATTTTTCAAGATTTTAAAGAGCAATTTATTGTGAGTGCTTGATCTCAAATTCACTCTTCCGTGAGAATTTGTCCGCTTTCTGGCTGTTCACGCAAGCAGAACTACGCTTCGCGAATGAAATGGTCGCTCGTAGCAATGATTTATTCAACCAGGAGAAGATATGTGGTCGTGACGATTTTCTTCACCTCGGCGTTTTGGCTGATTGTAGAGTTGATACTACTTAGCTACACCAATGTCGAACTCTCTCAAGCAGATATAAATCAATTCCCTGATTCAAGGAGAACTGGTTCGATTACTTTCGAATCTTCAGAAGCTTCAATCGAAGAATTTAAATCTGTGTACGTAACGCTCATTCCCCCAAATCCTAGAGGACCAGGAGAAGGAGGAGAAGCAGTTCACAATGATCAGGATGACCCAGCTCAAATAAGCCAGGAAAAAGAGGGATATAAAAAGTATAGTTTCAATGAATTGGCAAGCAGTAAGATTTCGTTGGAAAGATCCATTCCTGATAATCGACCAGAGAAGTAAGTATCCAAGTTACTATTTGTATTAATGTTATTTCTATCACTAAGTAGTTTTGGAAAGTCCGCTCTCCGAGTGATTACATTTCTTAGTTTCCATTGCAGTTTTGACTCTTCCAGCGGCGAAGTCACTTCACAGCTTTGTGTTTATATGGCTCGCTCGGCCAAGAAATTGATGGCGGATTCAAATATTTATCAACCGGTTTTTACGGTGATAAAAGATCAAATAGCCGATTTTGAAAAGATGCATTATATTAACCTTAAGATAATTTGCCGTATTCGAATATTGTGGTGCTAATGTTGAAGTTAAAATATATTTTTGCGTTAAATGAATCTGGGGAAGTTTGTTATCGATTTGCAATATAAACAAGTTTGCCGTCCAACTCACTTTGCTGGTGGTTTTCACAGATCGAAGACAAAATACAAGAAAACAACAGGACGATGAAGAACGAAACTCGTCTTATTCAGAAGCGAAGAAATTAGATAGCACTCCTTCACGAGCCTAAGAGTATCAATATTTCACTTTAAAAAAATCATGAGAGTCGATCTTCATTATTGCGCTTAAGCTTATGGCTCTTTTATATTTTACTAGCGTTGTTTCGAGTCTCATTTTTTAAGCGAAAATGTTTTTAAGCTTCATTTGACACACGGTCATTAACCGAGTTAAGTTGGATGTGAATGAAATCATTCCCTGCAGATTTTTGAATCAGTAGTTTTCCAAACGAGGAATTGAAGGGAACGACAATGACTATGCAAATTTTAAGTCGTGTCACGCCACGAAGCTAATGGACTTGCGAATTGTTTTCCACATTGACAGGTGCCTTAGTCTGAAGTACCCGACAAAACTTCCCACTGCTAGTGTTGTTATTATCTTTCACAATGAGGCGTGGTCGACTCTTCTACGGACAGTACACACAGTTTTAGCGCGATCTCCGCAAGAATATTTAAAAGAAATAATTTTGGTTGATGATCACAGTAATTTCGAAGGATATGGTAAGTGGTTTTTATCCCCCCCCCTTCAAGGGCACCATTTGTTACTCTAAGGGCCTTTCCTTGGGGAATGTACAGGGGAGAGGAGATGTATCTTTAAATCTTTAAATAATGAAGAATGAGGTTGGAAGTGACTGCGACAGGTCTCTCTCACAAACTGCTTCGTTCATAATACTCCTAAAACATGTCGCTGCTGGTAGTTCTGAGGCAGTCATCATCGCACCAATTCAGACCAGCTGGTCTAAATTTGTGAGACTTTACATGACAAGGAGAATATTCTAGATCTGTCGAAGGCACAAAGCTTTTTTCTTAAATTCCAGTGTCTTACGAAACAAATTGTCGTCCAGGGCGAGCTGCGACTTGTCTCTCAAGTGTGATTACCCCTGAGGAAAGAACTAATTTCCCAAGGAAAATTACGAAAAGAAGATTTATATTATCCCCTCTTTATCGCGAATGGCAGTTTAAATTGTCGCTACCAACTCAGCAGGAAACTGTTTGAAGCTGTGCTTAGTCTTTCAGGTGTATAAAGCCGAAGGCTGCTGTCCAAGCACAAAGATAAATCCTTTGTTTTGCCGTGTTTGTTTGCTTTTTTTTTTTTTTCGGTCAAACAGAACTTAAAAGCTTTCAACGTGAGATATAGAAAAATGATATTTCCATACCGGCATATGGTGGTGAAATGTGCCAAACATTAAAAAATAGTCGACAAACACTGACCAACATGAATATTTTGCTGGCCGTGACGCAGGCTTCAGCTGATTTCCTGTGGCGATATTGATAGACCCTTCCACTTTTCTTTTCTTTTTTTTTTTTTTTTGTACTAATATGGACCATAAAGCGGAATTTTACGGACAGTTCCGGTAAAACTGTCTTAAGTTTAAGGGTAATTAGTTAAAAACTGACAAAGATATCCCGTCGCAAATTCAACATATTTTACAAATGGAAATCTCCCATAATGCAAACTTATGTAAAATTGTCAACTGTTCGGAGCCATGTTGTGATTCTTTTCGGAAATCGATTTTAACCTGGCCGCTTAAATAATTTTTAGAGCGTGTGTCTAGCAGTGTCGATCAATTTGTTAGAACTGGCCCATGTCAAAAGTTGAAAACGAAAAAAAAAAAGGAGAAAAAGAAATTTGAAATCGTCTCATGCCATCGCGATTGATGTGGTGTAGTTTATCAAATAAACTTTTCTCCAGTGTTACGTTAAACAAGCGTGCCTATAATGATTCAGCGCAAATGTGGTTGTGACAGACTTGACGACTCTATACAATTTAAGATATTGTTCAACACCTGGTGAGATGTTTGTTTTATACCAGCAGGTGTTTCGAGTCTAGTAAAAGAAATCACTACTGTTCCTCTTGAGTGTCAAAGAAAAACCTTTTTCTGTTGAATATCTCCCAAGCATTCTCGAAATATTCCTGCTCGATAGCTAGATAAGCGGACCTTTAACCAAAGAAAAATGAAATTGGTTGTAAATGTGTTTTGAACTGAAAAACTGAACAAATAAACGGAAAAAAGCCAAACAAGGAGGCAAAGCAATTACGTTTCCCTCGCGCGATTACAACCCGCTGCGATTCAATTAAGTAGCTTTTGCTTTAACTCAATTCCAATTTTTATTTTTGGAAAATAATGCACTGCATCTCAATTTCAAAACTTACTCTGGTTTTATTTCCTATATATTCTCATAAATATTTTTTCGTCCGCTATTTGAATGTGTAAACCCACCTAACTTGTTACAGACGAACCTGTATCAAGCGGTCACCCAAAGGGAATGGCGGAATGACCGTTGACTGCAGGTTGACCAGCAAATGACTTGCGTAACGTTTGTGCGTAATATTTGTCGTAACGGTCCAAAGAAGAAAGATAATCTGCAAAACTTTGAGGATGTTTGAACTCAAAAGTGCTAACATCGATTTAGGGAGATGTTCGTTTCATTTCGTTTCCCAATTTTTATTCTTTCTTTTTTCAGCTCATCTCAACGAAAAACTGAGTTCGTACATCCAACACTTTCCCAAAGTGCAACTCACTAGAGCAGAGACCAGACAAGGTTTAATACGCGCCCGGCTGATTGGCGCCAAACAAGCTAAAGGCGATGTCCTCGTCTTTCTTGATTCCCATTGCGAGGCTAACTACGGTTGGTTGGAACCGCTGCTTGCAAGGATCGCACATGACAGGACTATTGTCGTTACCCCAGATATCGAGGTTATCGATTTAAGAACGTTTTCTTATGCTAAGGGTAAAGGAGGCTACAATCGAGGGGTCTTTAATTGGGAGTTGACTTTCAAGTGGAGGGCATTGCCAGACTATGAGAGGGAACGACGCAACAGTGATGCTGATCCTATCAGGCAAGTGAAACCTTATTTTTTAGTGTCTTCATTACCCCAATAATCAGGGAAACCTTTTTAAAATCCAGGAGGGGAGGTGTTTATCTGTGTTTGTTTGAAGGATGGGGGCTTGGGGTGGAGTTGGGGGAAAATGTGCGGCGGCGGGAAAATGTGATAGGCTGGCATCCTTTACAGAGAGTGCTCCTGGATTCTCAATGATGCGGAAACCGAGTTCAGCTCAAGTCAATGATCTCGTGTGTAGACTTAACTTACTTTATTCATCATTGCCGTCTTGATTGTCATCATATTATATTATAGCCAAGTACATGAAGGTGGGAACTTCATCCCGTCTAGAGGTTGTCTGCTTGCGTGAGATTTTTCTACACTGCTCTACGAGAAAGTTGGAGATTTGTGTTTGCCATCCTTTTACGTACAAGTATACTACAAAATAGTAATCTGAGTTTATCTTTAGTCCCACGACGTAGTCTCTTCAAATCTGCATCGCGATGTTCCTTCTGCATGTTGACAACCCCTTCAGGCGACGATGTCAAATGTTCATGCTTCGTCATATAGAACATAATTCTCCATTGGGATTGTCTTCTTGGATATTTTTTTTAACTTCATGTTTTCCGCAGGTCACCCACAATGGCTGGTGGGTTGTTCGCAATCGACAGAACGTATTTCTATGAAATTGGTTCATATGATACTGAAATGTCTTACTGGGGAGGAGAAAACGTAGAGATGTCCTTTCGGGTAAGTTCGGTTTACTCTGACCAGCATGTAAATCCCTTTTATGACAAAAGAAAAAAAAATAAACAGAGAAAATCTTAACGATTATTTTGGTTTGAAACGGTGTGTAAGAAGGGCGGTTACTCAGTGGTTATTACGCAGGGCCCCAGAGATCTGGGTACTCTACCACGTGTTATTGAGTATTGTTCTTGGATAGAACACTTTACTCTCTGCTGCAGTGCCCCACCCAGGAGTATAAATGAGTACCAGCGAACTGCCAGGGAAGCCTTAAAAATGCAAATTTATCTGCATTGAACTAGTGTCTCCTCTCAGAAGTGAAGTACATTGTTCAAGTCGTTTCATGCCACAGAAGCCGTGATAACTTCTCGCAGCTACGCAAGTTTGACGTGTATGCAGACATTACCTTAGTGTCGCGATTCGGTGAAATATGCCTCATTTTAAACATGCAATAAGTGACAATGACAAGATGGATGCTATTATTTGCTATTATTACTTACTGAGTTATATTACTATTATTCCACTATAAATCTAGCGAAGTGAGAGCCTTCCCTTCTCTCAATATTGTACACCATCGATGCAAATGTCATTCAGTGAAAAGACATCATCCTTCACTTAAATCACCACGCTTGAAATTTAACCATCTTCATTTACTTATTAATTTCGCATAAGCAACGCTATCGACATTCTTATTCCAGCAGTATGCAGGAAGTTTGTCACCATGGACCTTGTAAAACGGCCTATGCGACCACAGGTCTTCCACAGCTCCTCGGTAGAGTATCCGAAGTACTCATCGGAAAGTTGTAGGTTCGACACCTAATGAGAGCACTCGGAGTTCTTGTTCTCTGAGTATGCTTGTGTCATTTTAAAAATATCATCTTCCGGCACTTAGAACCCCAGCCTCAAAATATACCATCTTCAATTACATCATCCTCGCTAAATTCCGAGATCGTTTGCATGAGGAGGGGAGGGTAGTATTACCATGAGAATGAGAGGTGGGGTCGTTTGAGGGCGTTAGAGACTATTGTTGTTACCGTTTTTTAATGTAAATCGATGATGCTCGAATGACAATATAATTTCACTTGATTTAGAGAATTTTGAAATTTTTGACTGTGGACTCTAACTTCCGGTTTTATTATTAGATCTGGATGTGCGGAGGATCTCTCGAAATTCTCCCGTGCTCCAAGGTCGGTCACGTGTTCAGAGAGAGTCAGCCATACAAGATTGGAGAAGGAGCAATTGACAAGAATAACATGAGATTGGCTGAGGTCTGGATGGATGAATACAAACAAATCTTTTACGCTATGAGACCGCAGCTCAAGGACAGATCTTATGGAGACGTGTCCGAGAGAAAGGCCCTTAGAGAAAAACTTAAATGTAAGAACTTCAAGTGGTATTTGCAGAACGTGATCCCAGAATTGGACATCCCGGATATGTACCCGCACGGTAGAGGGGAGGTGAGAGTGCATTCTAAACATTTCTTTGAATAAAGGGGTAAGTTTCTAAAGAAACTGTGGTGCTGCGTCGGTGGGAGAGTATTTGTCAGAGCGATTCTGACAAGGGGCTAACGCTCGAAACGTCAGCTTTTTTACCCTTTACGGTGGCTAATTTACGTTGTCAACTCAGTTGTTAACACTAATTTACCTGCTAAACATTTCTTTGTCTGGATACTCGTTTGCTTGTCGATATTTTGTTTCCATAATCGTAGAAAACGATTTTTTTTTATTTTGTAATTGGCCAGACTGGCCTTAGCCTCCTTAGCCTTAGCCTGGCACTTTTTTTTTAGCCACCACGTTTTTTTTAACTCTCTTTTTAACTCTGACTTGTATTGACTTGTAGGTCCGTAATCTTGGTACTGACCAGTGCTTAGATACGTTAGCGAAAAATGAGCCAGGCGGCGAACCTGGCATGTACATGTGCCATGGCATGGGAAATAACCAGGTAGGCATGTACATACGGGTATTAATAGATCACTGACGAATCTCCTGCTAGCTTGTGTACCTTTTGGTTCTCTGTGCGCTTCAATGCGATGAGAGGCGAAGCCTCAAGTGGTTATTCAATTACTATTATCCGTCCCAAAACCTTCGTGGCTTCTTCGCTCGACGCTTCAAGGCGCACGCACACACAAAAATAAACTGCGTAAGGCCTAGGTAAGTTCGTATAAGCCATCTGAAAAGACGCGAGCAAGCGAAGAGTCAAGCGCCTCAGTATTCTTGGGCGCCTTACAAGTAATTACCACTTGACATCCTCCAATTAAGGCATACAAGCGATGTTCTGCCAAAAGAAACGGATTCCCCTACATTTTGCGTTCAACTTTTTAAAATTTTCATTGTCATTATATCACCCCTAGCTGACGTTAATTGCTAACGATTTCTGAGCGATCGCAGTCCCAAGCATCTCAGCTTATCCTTAGCGAGCTGTCGGCCATATATTAGGTTCAGATTTCAATACCTGTTACCAATAATGAGTCACCATTTTTTTCAGTTTTTCATGTACACGAAGAAGAATGAGTTTTGGCATGATGATCTGTGCTTGGATCTGGTAAATGGTGACTCCAACACCAAAGTTAAGCTATACAATTGTCACAGACTTGGTGGAAACCAAAAGTGGGAACATGATCGGGTGAGTCACTGTTTCTAGTGATGGCCGAGAACAATGTCTTAGGCTGCTTTGGTATGGGAGAGTAAAATTAATTGCACCGTAGAGATGACTGAGCTTGACTGACTTCTGACCGTGCGCACCTCCACGGGGGAGACTAGAACTAGTGAATTCTTATGGGTTGAGACATTAAAGATAGAGCTCATGGAAATGATGTCATAATTTTACTGTTATTGGTTGAAAGGCTTATTTTTATTTATCTTTTCTAGCCAGAAAAAAAATTGTTGAAACTACTCTCTGTCCAAGTTGGCGGCATTAAAAAAAAATTGTTTGAAAATGAGTGGTATTTACTCAAAGGATTTTGCCCCAAAACGACAGTATATTATTTCACGGCAATAACGGCAAAAAATCTGGCTCATTTTCGGGCGTCGTCTAGAGAGTGAAACTTATTTTTCTGTCATGTGTCTTTTCCGGCAGGATGGGAAAATTCGTCACGTACTACACGACGTTTGCTTAGATATTGAAGGGGATGGCCTGGTCGTACGGAAATGTGACAACCGGCAAACACAGAAGTGGAGGTTCTCAGCTTACCCAGAAGAGGACAGAAGTAAAAGTAGTCATTCTGACGTGTTATAACAAGGGATATTTCAATTTTAGGATGTTTTTAAATTCTTTTTTTGTTAATTACATTTATTAATTCAATTGTGCCTTCGCCGGTCAAAAAAAGTATTTTTTTTTAGAACTAAGATACAGTTGGAGTGGTGTTATCTCTAGTTTTTAAATCAGTTTCTATCATGTATCCTTACAGTCCAGGTTCTAACTTTCTTAGTCTCCCTGGTTGTGTGCCGTTCAGAGCCCAGTTGTTCAAAGGGCGGGTAACGCTATCCAAAGGGTAAATCGCTATTCAGCGGACAACTGCTAACATAACGTACTGCGCTATCCACTGGATAGAGATTTATTCAGTAATAACTTTATCCCAACTTCGAACAACCGATGACAGACCATTAGAATTTTTAGTTAAATATTTCAAAGCGTTGCGAAATTGACGTTCACAACTTTGAGACAATTTCAAGTGCAGTAAAGTCAAGGAAAAAGCTTGAAAACAATGAAGAAGTAAAGAATAGTAGGCAGTATCGGAGATCATATTGTATCAGTCTATCTTCAGTATTTGGAAGGTGACAGATCAAATTCAAATTGTTTGTAGTAATTACATGAAGAGAAATTTATAACTCACGCGATTCCAATCTTCCCTTTAACCCTTAGCACCCTAAGAGTGACTTGCATCTAATTTCTCCTTACAATATCACCTCTGAATCAGACATTGAGGTCACGAGAATATGGGAAATAATCACCAACTAAAAAAGCTTTTGAATTTGAAACAAATTCTCCTTGTCAGCACCTTAGGAAATGTATAAAGAACAGTATAGAGAATATGCATACTGATGTTAGGATGGGCAGGGTTAAGTGTCACAGCCCAGGACCAGTTACGCTCTTTTCTCCCTCTTAGGCAGAATTTGGGATAACGCGCGGGGTTCAAACTACTCTCGCATTCACGTCAGTACCAATACAAATGTAAGACTCGCATGTTGAAATACATGTTTTTAACTAAAAATGTGACTCAGTAATGTTTCCTTTGGGTGAATCACTTGATAACATCATTATCGCTCGAAGTCAAAATTACACTTGTACCCTCACCAGTATCGATGCAAATGTAAGACTCACCAGTTGAAATACATTTTTTTCCAAAATCAATACTTTATTTAGGTGAATCACTTGATAGCATTACTTCATAAAAATATATGTAGCATAAAATTACATGAAAATCATTTCAAAACAATTAGGAAACAAAGATATGATCCGAGGAGGGTCAGAAACAAAACGATCGAAATTTCAAAATACCACTAAAATTGCCAAAACTGCATCAATCACAAATTTGCGCGTCTACTTACGAAAATGGACGATGAAATGCTAATGATTCAAGGGAGGGTTCTAAATTGCAAAAACAGTGTAAATTACCAAATTTTGTTAATTTCGCATCTGCTCTTGATCCTGGATAGTGTGATCGAAACGTTGAAGATCTCATTCTATTTAACCTACAACTATCATAAAATGGTGCGTGACGCACATATGGATAGTTTAAATTTCCATTCAATTTGTCTGAGTATTTTGTGGAAAACAGTCACTTCTCGCACTTCCTCACACTCGAAATTGAATACACCCTTACGGTGTCTAAGATTTTGATATCGGGTTTTCGCCAGATGCAGTAGTGTAAAAACCAACCCATGTTTAACTTTGTATATAATCAATTGGTTTTTTTTTACCAGATGCATTAGATAAATCAGAGACTTTGGCCTCGGCCAATCATAATTCAAATGAAACTAGCTTAGGGACATGTTACCGCACTCGCTACTTTTTCCCGCGAAGTAGGAGAAGGTAAATTTTCTTACACTCTCGCCAAAGGTAAGTTGCGGCGTCATTCACCACACAATCATTAGCTTTGCAGCTTACTAGTGAACGAGAATAAATGAGTTAAACTTACAGGGGAGATAAACACTGTTGAAAACAGATTTCACATGCATTGGAGCAATTTTCGAGTGAGCATCGATAGAAACCTGGGATTGCATTGGCTTTGTACCAGTCCCCAAGCCTGTGTTCTGATCGGCTACGGTGACTAGGGTGGCTTTGGTTTTTCTTGACTCAATCGAAAAGCGCTCCATAGCAACGTTCAGTTAACAAATTAAAAACACAAAGGGAAAACAAAAGTGGAGTTGCAAAGACTTTGAAAGATTAGAATCTACCTAGAGGTATCAGTTTACCCTAAATTACTATCACACGGTAGCAAAGCTTTGCAGTCAAATGTTTACCAAACTCTTTAACAAAACATTCAATTTCTGACAGCTGTAGTGAAAACATACTATCTGATAACAGCTATCGATTATAGATTAGGGATTCCAAGAAATTCGTTTTAGTCAGCAACGTCATTTACAGTCAATCTTTGTCGAAAGCTACTCTGGATTTATCGAAAAATGTAAAAACTTTTCAAAAATGGTCAATACTGCTATGTTCTACTACTTCGTAATAACCTACTAAGAACTGAGCAGATCACTTGAGTGTATCACACACTATATCACTGGCAAAGCTGAAAAAATTTCTAATGTATACGTTTATAATATTTTCTTTACTCTAAGCGCGCGCAATATAAATTCTTTTATAACTCGCAAATATCGTAATCCATCTCAAGTTACTATAAAGGATTGAACAAGCCCTCTTCCTTTTGAACTCTTCTCTCTATTAGACGCCCTCCCCCCCCCAACTGTGCCCTACTATCTATCAAACCTCCCTCTCTATCAACCCCCCCCTAAGAATTGAACCCCCAATTTATTAACATTCTATCTCCATGCAACAAAGCTCTATTACCCCCCTTTTACTTTCTCTGTCTACAATCCTCCCCCCTTCTCGAATAAGCCCCTCTTTCATATGAGCCCCTTTCCCCCATCTATTAGAAACCCCGTCCTGGCTTATCATTTTCTTGTACGCTCCCGTCTCCTCCTTCCCTCAAGTTCTAAAACAGTAGTTTTATGGTCATTTGTTTTGGCATTGCGCACGAAAATATACGTCTTTTGGAGTCTGCTTTCCGTTTAAAATATCGTAGCGTTTTGACCAGACATACATGCCCTATACGGAAGTCATTAAATCTGGGTGAGAGAAAATGCCCGGCATTATATCCTCCCCCCACCCCCGTAGCTTAATAGAACGTTTATAGTAGTTTTAGACTCAAGGTTCCTGGTAACAATATCACAAGTACCTCGCATGTTTCTTGCGTGTAACGTGACACGTACTTTGCGTTTTCTTTGAATGATTTAGTGAAGAACAAACAGACTGTGCAGGGGATATGCACCAGAGCAAAATTGGCGACACTAGACTGACTGTTTCTAGATCCTTCCGGGATCTGCAAAAACGGGAGTTGTCTAAAAATAACTTAACAGAGATTACCTATGGAGCACGGCCCACAAAGGGAATAGAGTCTCTCAGCTTGATCTCTTGTGATAACTGATATATTCAACTTGTTCCAAAGCGGGAACATTCAGGTGGTGTTATGTATCTTTGTACTTAGAGAAGACCCATCTCTGTGAATCGCGTCCGTCACAAGGATTCATAACTACGTACTGTTCTCCACTGGATCCACGATCTAAGCATTGACCCGTACTGACGTGTTTGATAATTCCCTATTATAAAGAAAATAGATAGAAGATGACATAAAATTTCAGCCCTTCTCGGGACTCCCTTTCCCATTACAGACACTTTGTATTAGTGTGTCCTACCGCAAAGATATTTAAGACCATGATTATGACTTGACGTGCCAAAAGAAACATCATGCCTTTGTCTTTTTCTATCAATTCTTCCCAGTGGCAAGGGATGTAACCAAGAGAAATCACATTCCTGTTTAAAGGATGTGGACGTCGAGGAACAAAACATAGACACAAACACAAAGCAATTCCTGCCAGTTTTGGTTGACGCATTAAGCTATCTTCAAGACTTTGATTATTTGATGGAATGCAAGTCTAGCCGGCAAGCTAGTCCTCAATGTTAGCCTTCGGCGCGGCGTTTCTTCACCCGCGAGAAGGTATGAGGCCTTGAGTTACCAGATTCCAACCCGTGGATGTTTTTCAACGTCCAAGAAATACGGAGCGAAATGCTCGGTAATACCCCTGAATCCTTGTTTTAATTATTCAAAAGAAGTAAAAGAACTCTCTATACAAACTTACGCTTTTTTTGTCGTGTTCCCATTTCTGATTGCCGCCCATCCCGTGACATTTCAAGATCTCCACAGGAGCCCCAGCATAAGACTTCGACACGTCAAGACAGTTCTCTTCCTCAAAGATTATCTCGCCTTTTGACGACATTACCAGCATCTAGACAGGAAGATTATAAAATAAAACCACAACAATCGTTACAAATTGATGTTCCAAATAGTGAGACTGGTACCCACAGTCTCACTATTTCCAGCTCACTCTCGCTCTTTAGCGTAGGAGAGAACTTGAGGGCGAATTTGTGGGGGTCCTTATGGCAAAATTATGTGATTTTTCGGTCGATGGAAAGATTTGAGAGGTTCCCATGTTATTGTCGCTTAAGAGTTTTGAAGAGATCGGAGGTACATTCCTACAAATCAAATTGGTTTGTATTGATACGACATGTCAGAGAACCCTGAAAGTCTTTATTTTGATTTTTTCATGATGACAGTAAATAAGAGAATTTTTGTCCGAATTCCTTGTCACGAAAAAGAAATATTATGATCGTACGTTGCGTTAAGGGGCAAAAAAGTTTTCTCTCGAAAGTCATTTAAAAGTTTTCCAAAAGAAGTAAGTAGCCTTAAAAAAAACTTTTGGTTCTGTGTACAACAATGTATCAAGATGCATGAATTGAGAAAACTGCCAAAGTTGTTTTTAAAATTTCACAGAATGCAGAAGTTGTTCAAATTTCTCGTAAAGTAGTTACTTTAAAGCTGTTTCACGATGAGGACTGGTTTTTGCATTCTCTTCAATTAACGCTGATAGTGTTATAGATAAAACGCCAATTTTCCTATTTCATATATAATCAACACTCCTGTTCCTGTTAGTGCAATACCTGTACCATGGTAACATCGAAAGTTCTTATATCATTCTGTTACAAACCTGATTTCCACCCTGCCCATGGCAAACATAAGCTCCCATTCGAGCTGAGTGTTCGGGTTTGGCTCCAAGGCTGTCCAAACAGTATCCACTTGGCGGGTTTCGAACCTATAAGAGGTAAAGACACCTTTTATATCAGCAGGAATAAAATACTCTTGAAACAGAAACTTTAGGGATAATCACGATGTAAAAAAAAAGTAATAAAAACGAAAAATAAAAAGAAATAACCCAGGAATTTTGTCAGATAGGTTCCTGAGGTCACTCATTTTAGGGGGCTCCTTCATTGCTCCTGCGGTGACGCAGTGACTCGCTGGATAGAGCGCCGGAATCTAGGACGGGAATTCTGAGTCACAGAACTGGTTGGGTCGTTTTTTTGAGTTTTTAGACAAAAAAATTCTCTACTCACACAAAGCCTTTCCCCAGCTCAGAGTATGAATGGGTTCGTAAGAACTATCAGAAAAATTTACGATTTGTTTGATGTGGAGGGGAGCGAAGGGAGGTTTTGAGAGGGGAGGGTTACTTGCAGTAACCTAGCAACCAGTTCTGGAGAACCAACTCTCGTCGCTCCTTCGAGCTTAGATCGTGCAGCAATGCAACTTCGTTTCACCAAATATCCCTTACCTCGCCACTGGCTGGCGGATTTAACTCGGGCATCTGGACATCTGGGTACACGTTTTCTATGTACCACTTAAAGCTTTTGCACCCTAATCTCTTCCTCAACTCCAGGCGCTTACTGATGTCTCCATACTCCATGTTCCTCGCCTGTGGCTTCTTGTTATAGTAAAGTTCCTTGTACTCGTCCATCCAGACTTCCGCCAGTCGATTGAAGTTCTTGTTGAGAGTCTTCTCCACTCCATCCGGGAATTTGTACGGGCTGGTGTACTTACGGAACACGTGACCAACGCGAGAACAAGGTACGATCTCCAGCCGACCACCACACATCCATATCTGTAAAGTAATCCCCAAATCTTAAATCTGAGTATTTTAATAAATGTACCTCACATGACTCTTAACCCTTTGACTCCCAGAAGTGATTGAAATCTAACTTCTCTTTCTAATATCCATCCACTATCCAGCAAAGCAGTAATGAGGATACTCAAACTCATCAGGTAGATGTTGTTTTCATGATATGACACCAAATTCTCGTAACTAATTTACAAGGAAATGCGTAGCAGCCAGTGGGGAGAATTAACTATAAGATGTTGAGAGTTAAAGAGTTAAAAATATTTTCCTTTCTTCTGATTGTGATTAATTAGGTTTTGGTCTTAAGACACTCAATCAAAAAGCGCTCTAAAAAGGCCAATCAAAAGCTTTCAGAATAATGAACTTAGAGCTGCGCTAGTAAATAAGTCTCACCCTGAAGGAAAGCTCGAGATTTTCTCCTCCCCAGATGTCCATCTCTTCGTCATACGACCCAAGATCAAAGAAGTACTGTCTGTGGATGGAGAACAAACCACCTGCCATCGTGGGGGTCCTGAGTATGAGACAGACATAAGGACAACATGTTAGCTCAAGTTGAAATATTTCTTTCTATGATTGTTGCTTTTTTCAAATATTCTCAATATGCAGCGATAGTGGACTAAAGCAATAACTATCACTGCATACTAGCATGGTTTTAAATCTCGCTTAGAGTTTCAAACCTCTTACGCAATGTATCAAGCTTCCAGCAGTCTTTTTATCTATTCACACTGTATTGCTTTGCCGTTCTATTCATTGCACTCTGGGATCATGATCAACCTGCAGCTTTGCTAAAAAGTCTGTCCACATCTTTAATCCCTTTTGAATAATATGATAACTTTTAAGAACAATTTTTCTTTCCCTCTTGACACTTTTATCTCGTTACCTGATGGGATCTGAACTATCTTTTCGTAGTTTCTGTTCTTCCGGGGGAATTCCTTTCCATTTAAAGAACAAATCCCAGCCGAATCCTCCTCTCTGATCAGCGTTTGCAGAGCCTTGGTACGCAAATGTGTCGGCATTCAGGACTTCGATAGCGGGGCACACAACATTGGAGCGTGAATCTGCAATTCGCGCCAAAAGAGGCTCTGCCCAGCCTGGGGTCGCCTCGCAGTGCGAATCAAGGAACGTGAGAACTTCACCTTTGGCCGCGTAGGCACCTTTCAAGCGTGCGCGAACAAGCCCCTCCCGTTTATCGTTCCGTAGCACGGTCACTTTGCTCATTGTTGCAACATGGTCATCCAGTGGTTTACCAAGTCTCTCTACGAGAAGCAAAAAAATGTGAACCCTAAACATCTTTCTCGTAACGAGGAAAGCGACAGGAAAAGGTTTCAGGTTTACTATCGAAGCTTAACTCAGCTTCTGTGATGTGAGGCACCTCGAAGTGTTAAATAATTTCCCGGAATGGAACGATAGTCAAAGAGCATTTTCAGTTGAGAGTCGAAAGTAATCAAAGTCAACGATTGCATTGGTTTTTCGCCTTTAATTTGGCCTTCCAAGCGCCCATCTCCCGTTTCACACTACACAAAGAGCTCACCAGGACTGGAGCCTGGGTACTAACCACCAAGGCATCATGTGACAATGAAGAGTTTCAGTTGAAACTTCCTATGGCAGGTGGACGGGGAAGTTACACCACAATGTATTTAGTTCACCCCTTGACTCCCAGAAGTGATTAACATGCAACTTCTCCTTAGAACATCCATACATCATCCAGCAAAGTAGTAATAAGAAAACTCAAACTCATCAGGCAGAAGTTTTTATCATGATCTAACACCAAATTCTTGTAACTAATTCAAAAGGAAATGTACAACTGCTGAAGGGAGATTTAACAATCAGATCTTGAGAGAGTTAAGAGTTAAGTTCTGCTAAAAAGAAACACACATGTCCAAACTATTTCTTATGCTACTTACCATCCTCACTGAAGTCATCAACAACAATAATTCCACTGAGCAGATCAGGTGGTGTCCTGTTAATGACACTGTGTATAGTGCGGAGCAGCACAGACAATCGTTCTTTGTGGAAGCAGATTATAACAGTCGTTGTTGGCAGCTTTGTTGGGTATGCGTTATGTTTGGCCTTACAACTGGTGATGTAAGAGGATCACATCAATTTTAAAATCAATACATCAATGTGTAAAAGTAAAGATGTTTAAATGCTGATCATGTAATGGTGGTATTTGAACAGTGGAATGAACAATCATGGAGCACCTTCAATGCCACCAAAAGTGTGCCCTAGATAGAACTATCCATCAAACTTTTCTCTCATTATCTTGTGAGATGTTTCTCCTCTTGATGAAAGTAAAAAAAAAAGTGCTGTTGCATTATAGCTCATTTGGGTCATTCATCTCTGTCTATAATCCAGACCAATACCTATTGAACTGGTCACACTCTTTCTTTAGAGGCACTGTTTCTGACCTTGAAGATTTGTCCCTGAAACAAATTTACTGACTTGAGAATTTGAAATATTATTGTCTTTTATTGGATATGTGTTGCAGTTTCCACACCAATCTGTCTGCCAAAAAATTCTCTCCATCTTAGCTTTAAGAATATAATGTCAAAGCAAACAATATTATCAAGTAGATGTTTCATTTTTTCTTCCCCACTTTTCTTCTCCACAATTAATTCACATTGTACAGACAAATTTCATTTGATTTCCCCAAGAAGTATAAAGGTTAAAATAATTTCTGGTTAAAACAACTTCAAACTCATTTTCTTACTTTTTTTTACTATGTTGAACAAATATCAAAGGTAATTTACTTGGAGCTAAAGGGAAAAAAATAAACCCCGACTGAAATAATTTTGACTAAAAATTTATTTTTAAGCACTCTATATATGTCAGATACTCTAAACAGCACTTTACACTTGAAAAGTTTTATTTTTCTGCTTCTCAAAGAATTGGAAGCTTTCCTTTTCCTTATATATTTTTGTCCCTACTTTTCATCATCATTTTTAAAGACTTTTGGTCAATAGCTTTTTCCTATGTAAAGATAATAATCTACTGTCAAAGAAATGTCCTTTTCTCATTATTCTGTCTCAAATTCACATTGATCACTGAGCTCATCTTTTCAGCTGAACAAACAACTTTCGTTGATCTGACATGATTTGCCAATGCCTCATTGAAAAAAAAAATTTCAAATGAAAATAATTTTTTCGTTCTTTGATTCTTTGTACCATTGCAAAAGAGAATTATTCCCACTTTTTCATAAAAACAAAAGAATCTTTATTAAAAAAACTTTAAAACAAGATTTAAAAAAACTTGTAAAGAACAACAGAAGTTTATAATCACATGTAAATTATAGTCTTTCTCTTTGAAATCAATTTGAAATTTGAAAATTACACCATTATTTAAAAATCAATTTAAAGATTTTAATTTAAAATTCATAATTTTTCTCAGAAATGACTTTCCTCTTAGATTTGTTAAGCTTTGTGTTAATTGAAAGTAAAATTAACATTTTCTCAACAATAAAGCTTAAGTTGAAAGAAGCAGGGAATGACACCTACAATTTGTACCTTGTGGATATTGGATTTGACAAAATTTTGAATTCCAGATGCTTTGAATTCTGTGACTAGTCATCACAAATTACAGATCAAATTGAACTAAATTTCTACTAAGGATAGTGTTTCATCAAACAGGAAATTCTCAGACATTGCAGAAAAATGATATCCAAAGCATGAGAGTGTTAAGGGTTATTGATACTCCAGAACAATTGAACTAAATTTCCACTGAGGATACTGTTAGATAAAACGGAAAATTCTCAGACAGTGCAGAAAAATTATATCTAATTTAATCTTGAGAATGTAAAGGCTTAGTGATACTCCAGAACAAAATTTACCATAAACTCAAAACACAAATAACAAAATAGAAACTAAAAACTGCCTAAGTTGAACATTGGACATAAATACTGTTGGGAAAATTAAGAGTTACAATGTTTAAGTTTACACTAGCCTGCACAATTATTCCTGCAGAAAGATGATTATTTTTATAGTCACAGAATTTTACAATGATACCATGGGTAGTATTCAGAAGTTTCTCAACATCCATGTTTTAAATGTGACCTAGGGTTCTAGCCGACAAATCCGATATTGCACCTGCCAACATTCCTTTCAAATAAAAGTTAGAAAAATAACTATCCTACAGGGAAGGAAAAATAGTTGGAGTTAATAATACAGACATTGTTTGATATAAACTGGAGACAAAGCAATATTTCTCCACTCTGAGCACAATAAATTATTTACCGCAAATAACAGCTTTAACATGAACAAACCCTCACATGGAGATCAATATATTCCGGTTTTTATTTCACAGACTGCCTAAACGAGTTTTAGTAGGAGTTTAGTGAAAAATGCAATGCTCAAATTGATAAATTCAGAACTTCAAAAATTCAAATTCATAATTATGAAGATTGAAAAAATAATAAAGTGCCAAAAAAAAGTGAAATAAGAATTCTGATGTTTATCCTAACCACTCATGACGACCAATAATTATTACAACATACTACATCAAATTAGCTGAGTCTTCCTTAGGGAAAATCTGAATTGATGATCCACACCTCTAATCTTACTTGTGGACGAAAAATAATTAAGTCTTTTAAAAAATCTGACCCAATCAGAAATTAACTGAGTTAAAAACAAAGTGAGTGGTGGATTTGGCTACTACATGTAACATCCTTATTGAAACGAAAATTTTGAAGTGTAATTTTAAAAAAGTTACTATCGCTAACGCTCAGCCAAGATGAATGAAGGCATGTAATTCCGCACACCGGAAGTGTCCGGTTAAAATACGGTTTTCTGAAACCCTTAGCTGAGCTTCAGAAAAGCAGATGACAAGAATATCAAACATTCAATTAATATCATTGGTGTAGATGAACTTCTTTAACGCAAACGAACATATAAGTATGTTTTAGATAGAGCACTTGAAACTTACCGGTCTCCTCTCACGTCCTCTAAGGTCCTGTCCAACGAAATCTTGTCGCTAAGTACCCAGTTGAATGAATGGTCGCCAAAATGTTGTTCCGCAAGTTTTTTGTCCTCGTCGGACATTAAGTAAGCCGGTTTGCCTCCTTCTCCGAGACCACCAGGATTCGTGCGTTTTGCTATGCTCGCGTCGTAAACTTCTCGAGATCTTGAACCACTGTTTTTTGGAAGAACCCCCGCCAAAACATTCACTGCTTTGGCAGCGCTAGACAGAAGGCCATCTTTGGCCGCCGGTTTTTCAGAAGAACCCTTTTCCCAAGGATATTTAATGTGCTTTTGGTGGTCAACAGGACGTAAAGGATTTACACCAGCTCCTTTCATGTAGTGATGTTTATCACTGTCTAAAACTACAGGCGCGTTGAGCATTGTTAGTGATTCGCGTGTTATCTCACTGTTGAACATCAGCACTAATACAGTAACGGAGAACCAAAACGTTGATGTCACAACTATTATGTTGAAGATCCTCTTGGACGACATGCTGAAAACTAAAGATTTTGTTTGGATGACTAATGTTTAGACAGCAGGGGATGGATGCCACGTATAAATATTGCTACCGTTCGCGAGATTCCTGAATGATTTCAATCCCGAAGGTGCAACCATCTGGCACAAGTTGAAGTTTTTACCCACATTACAAATTTCTTTGATTGAGATGTCCTCCGACGATGAGATTTGAGTGAATGACTGTGTCGCCAAACCACCTATAATCTCTCTAAACGGGATGCAAGAAAGGTAAATAACATTTTAAGATTACTCAACCTCCCCATTTGATGTGAGCGTCGGAAAACCGGAAAAAGTCCTTGAACCAGAAGGCTCAGTAGCCTGGCCAGCTCTGAGCAACCTAGCCTCATTGCAGTATAAATATGGCGGTGTTTGGAAGTTTGGAATCGCTGTAAACATGTCTAAAGAGATCAAACAAGTTGTGGAAAAAGTTGTTTTCTTTTCGAGCCAATACGGATCAGACAAATCGAAAAGCTATACAGCTGCGAATTTAGCTGGGAAATTTTACAACTACCCGAACTATGGCGATTTCACCCAAGCATTTGTTTTGGTAAGATGTGTTCAACTACACACCTCTACAGCTGACTAAACATATGTTGTAAGCCACCAACAGATGAAAACTCGACAACATAACAAGTTTCAGTGTGTTTGAAATGTAGGAATGATCGAACCTTAAAGTTTGAAGTAGTTATTGAGTCCAATTGATTAAATTGTGAAGCTAAAGATACAGTTTAGGACTGGAGGCATATATGTTATTTGCCGGCCTACGGCCTCGGGCTGCATTTTCAAGATCAAGGTCACAGTTTTTCACCATACGGACTGATCCTTAGCCGGTAAATAACATATTAATTTTTTTTTAAACTTAACGAAATTCTCTCCGAAAGAACCCGAATGATTCAGGGCTGTAAATACGGCAAGATCTTCTATAAACTGAACAATTTTTGAGCAAGTAAATGGTAGTTAAAGTAGAGGTGATGCAAATTAAAGAGAAATGCTTCACCGAAACATTTTCATTTGTGTAATGATAAAGGTGATTTAAAAGGCTTCCAAACAAACTTTGAAACATTATTTTTACAAGTATCTGTCACAATCTGACACCTGTCAATTAGAGAGTGCGTAAGAAAAAAAAGCGCATGTACACTTTTGAAAAACAAGGAAATTAGTTTGGCAAGGACTGTCACAACAATGTTTTCTTCAAAAACAGCCTATGATCTAACGGAAAGTATTCACTCTCATTTATAATTAATTCATGAACAAAGATTTACCTCTGTTTGTTAAGGAAACGGCGAGGAAAGTAATTGTGAGTAAATTCAAATTTTTTATTTTGAAGTTTTGAGTTTGTTTGCTGTAATGGCTTGTGTAAATCTGGTCTTTCCTCCGCAAAAAGTAAATTTGAATGATACACTCCAACAAAACACAAGGAGATTTAATGTAGCCTTTTTTCATTGAATTCCTTCAGTTTCTGTTGTGCAATTTACAGTACAAATGTCCAAATTGAACAGACTTGGAAAGACTCACAGAGAGCATATATTTGTTGTAAAACTGAAATTAAAACTTCACTTGCCCTTTCACTGCAAACAAATTGTTTGAGAAAATTCAGATATTAAATGAATGAAAGTTCCATCAATTAGTTCAACTGTAACCAAATACCTCACATTTTAACTTTCTAGGTACTATTTTTGAGTGATTAAAATTAATTGCAGACAGTTTTTAGGCCACTTGTCATGTAATGACACTATTACTTATACAAATTCATTCTAAAACCAATATTTTTCTGTCAACCAAAGTGATTTGAGAGAGAGGAAAGAGAGGATTAATAAGTTATTTCTTGGCTTGAGGTAGTGACCAACATCTTTGCTTAAAAATACTGCCCAGCCGGAAAAAACGAGATATATTTGTGAAAAATGGCAATGAAAGTAGGGATGTAATCGACAACTCACAAAAGCTTTATCGTGGCCTGTGGGCAGAGATAGGAAAATACTGACCAGGTAAAGAACCAATCAGATTGCAGGATTTGTTACCATGTCCTCCGAAAAAAAATAAAACTGTGTAGTGAACGAGTAATGTTCTGAAGGCCACAAGCTAGGTGCATAAAACTTCCACAACTGTCAATTTTGATTCTCAATTGCTCTAAAGATATTAAAAATAATCACTTGAAGTTAGACTAACTAAAGCTGAATCCATTTAATGAAAATATTATCAACCAATCATTAGAGGAGATCTTTCTTTTTTCCAGAGATCTTATGGACCATGGTGGGAAATGTCACCATCATTCCGAGCCCCTATTGACAAGTCGAGAAGAAAACTCAACAGTGAGGATTTCGTTGGTAGGAAATATAATTTTGTAGTTGATGAAGAACAGCATAATCAACACATCTTTTTGATGATGGGTTAAAATTGAACTGCAAATTAGGTATTACAGTTGTCCAAGTTTGCCAATGTGTTGGTGCTGATACGCACATGTAAGAGAATACAAGCATGTAAGAGAAAGGGGTCATGCATACTTGAGGCATCTGTGCATCAAGATTTGGTCGATTCCATTGGTCTACATGTCAACCAGCAATCAGTTCATTGGCTGAAACTTGATCACCTTATCACAAGGCATAAAATTAATCTTTTTCTTTCAGTAGCCAACTGGCTCCTAGATATTTTGTAGTGGTAGCCAATTCTAAAATATTGGTTGCCATGTTTTATTAAGGTGCATATAACACCAACAGTCCACCTGTGCACCACAAAACTCAACTAAAATGCTGTTAACTGTTGATCACAATGTGATGGTCAAGGTGTCCGCTGAGTGTTGAATGATATACCAACCAAGTCTCAACCAACAGTCTGCCTACATGAATCACATGGTGACTGACAGTTGGTTGACATGTCTATCAAGTATCAGCCAATATATTGACCAACACTGGGTTGCCATGTCAACCAATAGTATCAATTGATACTCAGCTGATAGATGCCTGAAGTGCACATGATCCAGAGAGAATGTCCTTTCATGTCCAATATTTTCATTGTCTGCATATAGTGTAGTGATCAAATTATTTCTGAGATAGACACTTTTGGGAGAATCACCATGAGGAGCCATGTAACATTAAACAAAGAGTTGTGCAAAATGTGCCATTTTCATTTAATCTTAAAAGATTATGTACACAGTATGGCATGCATTATGAATTATCGATAATCATCTTGAATTCAAAATTATACACTATTATAGCATTAGCTTGAAAGCTTTGTGGAATGATTAGGGGATATTTCATGCAAGGTGAAAATAACAGTCTGCTTAGCTGGCAGTCTTGAAGGGGAACACCTGAGCAAGTTGCTAAGCCACTAGAGGAATGAAAAACAAACAAAAAAAGTGATATCTGCTATGCAGTCTACACAAATGCAACACCACTTGTAGCTTAAAAGTGTACCACAATTTGGAAAACAAATGGAAACAAAATGAAAGTCTGTAATCTGTAAAATGAAAACCTGTTCAACATAAAATATCTTTATTTCGCTTACTGTATATTGAAATTTAAGATGCTAGAGGAAAGCAATATTTATTGAACAGTCATTTTTTAGAATGACATCTGTCAATAACCTGCTTTTATTTTAGATCTTCAATTTGAAGAGTCTGTATACCCCACTAAGATTGAGATTCTTGAAACCTACAATCCTGGAGCAGTGGTTGGCGTCTTGGCCCTGGAGTCTGTTAGCTCTTTTTCAAAGTCAAAAAAACCCAGGTTAGTGCTCTCTAGGGTACATTTATAGTCCTCTTAAGTGCAAAGACTCTTCAGTTAATTCAACATAATGTTTTATTCCATGTTTTATAAGCAGCTCTCTGTGGAAAGCATGAATCACCTTAAAGTTAATCGTCAGTTGCTATTGCAAAAGGTTCACGCAGTCTTTTTGTTGTCTAGATTTAGTGTTTTATTGTTCTTATTCAAGTGCAATACATGGGGATCTTCTGTACATTAGTCTCAGTCTTCATGAATAACTTTGTGAGGATATTACTTTTCTTTGTAGATGGAGAACTCTGTGGTGTGGAGCTCCTCAAGATTGTCCACCTCGAGCTAGAAAATTTACCCCACCCCTCAAAAGACTAAATCATCCTACAAAGTAAGATTACATCTTCGGTCAGTGCATGAGAAGCAACACTGCCTCATGCAACTGATTGTCTATTTCATTTAAAAGTTTACAAGTTCAAAAGCAAGGTGAAGTTTATGTGCCAATCAATTCAAAGTTTTATCATATCTCTTTCCCCTCCCCCCCCATGGAAATCCCCTTGCCATTTGAACCTAAACTTTTGAAGATTGGTTTGGGGTGGTGGTGAATAGTTTTGCTCAACAAGGGTCAAAGAGATAAAACTGAAGTACTAAGACCTTTTCTTCTGAGCTATTCACTTGCAAAAGTGAACTCTTTGCATTTGAACACTTCCATAATTATTAGAAGATTAATAGTCAGTCAGACAAGGAAGGGGAGGATGTTAAAGCTACATATATATATATAAATCTTGATTATAGTCTATCCTTGTGGTATAGTGCTTGATGTGTTCGCAGAGTGACTGGAATATCTGAAAATTGGACAAATCAATAAGACATAACTTTTCTGTGACTCTGAGTTTCGGGCTTATGCAATCGTCAGACAGATTTTTATCTGTCTGATGATCTGATTAAATCTGTCTGATTAAATCTTTCTGATGATTGCGCAAGTGTGAAACTCAGAGTCACAGAAAAGTTATGTCTTATTGATTTGTCCAACTTTCAGATATATAATATATATAACATATACTGAATCACACACTGAATCAGATGTTTCCATACTTAGCGGTTATTTCAAGGATTAAGCAACAGTTCAGTTTTGTGGTGTTGATTGCAAATAGCGATAAAAGTTTTTTCACATTGTTTTAAAATGTTTTTCTTTGCTTAAACACAACAAGTTTGATTCAAATTTTAGCAAAAGAAACCCAGGAAATCGAGCAAACAAGCTTAAATTGTGTGCTACTTTGAAAAGCATTTAATCTATATGAAAGAGTTTTAATATTTCTGTGTTACACTGTATATGTCTCTGGTGTTCTGTGACATTAATTTCTGTGTGTTAGACGTCAATAGCATATATTAATTATATGGGACTTAGGATCAACTTATCAAGCTGTTATGCGCTTTTGGATTAAAAAAAAATTGGAAATGCCAAACATGCAACTTAAAATGGTAATTTTTGAAATTATTCGCATGCCACTATAAAATCTGGATAATTACATGAATGTAGGGGGAGTGGAATACCATATTTCTTCAATTAAGTGTTTGGGTGCTTATTTAAATTTCAGCTAAAAGCAGACATGTTTATCAGAAGGAGGACACTGTAATTGCACATACCATATTTATTTGACTATAAGCTGAGCGATTTTTTACACAAATTAAAACTGAAGTGTATTAAAATATGGGCTCTAGAGGGGGTCTCAGCTTATAGCCAAAAGTTTTGGAAAAAAATTTTTCTAGTGCATTGGAAACTCTACTAAATCAGGATGTATTTACTTATAAGCCGAGCTAAAGTAAAGAAACACAATATGCAATTGTTGTTTTGGTGTGAAGGCTGACAAGGGACACTTTTAAACTCAGGATCCTTGCTGAATTCTTTTGCCTTTAGATGTCGCCTTAATCCACTAACAGCTATTTTGAAATAAATGATTGAGAACATGAGATTGTTGATAGATCCTACAGATGTGTAGGTACTGGTGATGCCACTCAACAACACTGTTAGTTTTAAATTGATATTTTGGATCACATTAATTCATCTGAGTTATGATTTATTACCTTTCAATTGAATAGTTAGTTATGGGTAATATTTATTAATTTGCGTGTGTTTTCTGAGAGAGAAGATTTTTTTGCCCTTTGCATATTAAATCACCTCTTGTATACATGCGTGTGTGTTATTATCAAAGCCTCATTTATGAGAATCAATGTGGTTTTTTTCAGAAAATGTTAGGTTTTCCCTTAGTTAACAATTCAGTCTTGTAATAATGAATGGGTCTTGGCTTATAGCCAGGTATTTTTGATTTATTTTTGGTTTTCATTATGCCAAGTCTACACGTACAAAGTTTGGGGTCGTGGCTTCTAGCCGAATAAATACGGTAATGACAATTTTGTATTAATTTCAGATTAATTCGGTTGGAGTTCAATCAAAGTCATCTCAGCTATTACACTGAACTTGATGCCGTTATTTTGTATGGAACAGCAACTAGCAATGACTTTCAGCATAAGGAATTGAAAAGTTTAGCAAAAGGTGATGATGCACAGGTGTCTATAACAACAAACTTGTTTGCTCAACTGTCTGTCAAGTCTGGTGAGAAAGATAATAAAAATGGCAGTCAGGGAGAGTTAGGAAACAATGGATACTTTGATATTTTACCAGTAAGTTTTTTGCCATCTCTGTTATATAATTACTGTTTGTTAATTACTGGCCTTTAGCATGCACATGCTTTTGTTTAAAGCATAGAGAAGAATCCTTTTATTAGGGCAGTACACCATGGTGCAGGGCTGGAAAAAACAGCCCTGCATTCCTGTGGGATGCAAAATGGAGGATGAATGGAAAAAATAGAAAGAGTGTATCTAGATAAAAGAATTGCTTGTCAAGCGAGTTAAGTTAGGCTGAATGGTAAAATAAAAAACATTTGCTTGAGCCAAATATTTTCCCATCCAGACCTGGTTCCTCAAAGGGTAGGTAATGCTATCCAGTGGATAAATCTCTGTCTGGTGGATTGCATGTACGTTTTGTGGACACTTATCTGCTGGATAGTGATTTTTTCATTGGATAGCATTATTCTTTCTTCAAACAGTTAGGTCCTGGTCCTTGATTTCATAAATAAGTACATGTTGGTTGTAAGGCAGACTTCTCATTAAGCAGGCACCCTGTGGTTAGTAGATCCACTACAACCCAACTTCCAAGTTTCCCTCAATTTTTTCTGTATAAAAAAAGTACAGTGTTTAAGATTGAATTTATTCTTTAAAATGTATGTTCCACTCAATATAAATTCAGTGTATCCCTATCTTTCCCCATAGGACGAACTGATTCACTATATCTTCTCATTCTTGGAACTGATAGACTTAATCAGAGCTGCATTTACATGTAGGTAAGGTCCTCCTAACTGATAGTAGCAGTTGACTCAGATTGTGTCTAAATTTCTTTGCAACTTTGAAATTTCATATCCATGGACAGATGGTAAAATATAAAAAGGTAGTTTCTAAGATGGTGAAGATTAATATAGATTGTTCATGATAAACTTATATTGGTAATAACATGATTTTGAGTGCGAGATAACAAATGATTTTGAGTAAGAGAAATCATGTTGTTATTGATGTTAGAGTCTCTTTTGACAGAGATTTGTAATTTCCCAGAAAACTTTGCATTCGTGTAATGAAACTTTTTAGCCAATCAGACGATTTTCCACATATATCATTATAAGCATGAATGGAAATAGGATTCAACAAATGTTTTGAATATTTTTTTATCGGAGGGTAAAAGGAAGGAGTAATAAAACATGACCACAATACAAATGGAAATATGGTTGGAATTTTTGTTACTAGTAAAAAGTATAAAACATGACCCAATAACGTATTCATTTGATACAGTAAGAAAAATCACGTTTTTTGCGATACAGTAAGATCAGTTTTTTTGCGAAATTCCTCATCGCCTTTTCTGTAACTATTTCATGAAGCATCCAGCAACAAAATCGAAATTGCCTGGGTTTAAATCCCCAAGGTGAGCTCAGATTTTTGTCTTTTGAAACATGCTTACTACAAAGGCTCAACATCTTGTTATCGAGAAACGTTTTTCCTTACAGCAACTAAGACAACCTTGATTACTGTAACCAGACTTCTCCCATGTTTCTTTGTCCATGTTTCTGATTAATTTGGTTAAAATGAATGAATTTGTAATTTTGACCTGCAGATTGTTTTCTGTACATTGCTTTGACCCCGTTTGGTACAAAGAATTGGATTTGAAGCCCTACTGGAACCAGGTAATTGTTGCATTTCTTATTCGAGTTTAGTTTTGTTCAAACAATAGAGTGTCTGTAGTGTAAAATTTAAGCCCCGTTAAAACAGTCATGATAGATGATGATAGTTTCGACTATCACGCGCGTTTGTTCACGAACTATCATGCACCATCATCGACTATCATGTAGTTTGAACATATTCAAATTTAACATGGCAGTTGATGATAGTTTTTACAGTTTGAACGAGCAGATGATAAAGAATGATAGTTTTGCGGCAGCAGTTTGCCAAAAACGGGTTCAAACCGAAATGGCAAAAGGTGAGATGACTTAAATAGCCGTCAAAATGTTGTATTATTTCTCGTAGTTTATTTTTTTCATGTCCTGGTAGGCTTCAGTATCTTCAAATACCACCGAAATTGCTGATCTCGTCGCGCGCCACATTTGTCAACAATTACGCGGTCTCACTGCGTGATTTTGGCAGCTATTATCAACTATCATGAACCGTTTGAACGGAAACATGATAGTCTATTGTAAAATGTTGAGAGAAATGCGCGCGCCGTGATTGGTCAGGACGAAGAAGAAGTACGAGAAGCACTCGCTTTAGGCTCGTGCTTCTCCGCACCTCTCTCGTGTTGTTAAAAATTCCCGCGTGCTTAGATAACTCAAAAATACACTCGGCGCGTTTTTTATTTCCTTATGATAGTGAAGGAGAGTTAAAACTATCGTCAACTACCATCAACTGTCAATAAATCATGACCAGTTGAAGGGGCTTTAAGCTTTAATCGTACATAAGTCAAACTTAAATAAAACTTGGAAACTCTGTAAAATTAACAACGTTCGGTCTAGGCAACGAAGAGGGTCACGTGAACAGGATAATCATTCGCCAGGTTATTGTCAAAAATATCTGAACTAGTTCGAACAAAGTTTTGCCGTGTCAGCAAAATAGAAATTCATGCTTTATCCCGTGAATACGAGAAAAGGTGAGAAGCTTCAAGTCGTGTGAAAATTAATCGCACAAAAATTCCTTTGTTTCCTCGTTTTGAGACGCTCGAAATGACTTACAAGCGTCTTCATACTCGACTCGAACGTCTCGAAACTCCACTCGAGCCTCGATCCGCGAAGTTTTCGAAAATTGAGGATCGAGAATCGAGTTTCGAGGAACTGTCAACTTAGTGTTGAGCAGTACTATAGGTGTGCTTGCATTTAAAGAAAAAATTGGGTGTGTTTGTGAAAACTTTCATTGATGCCATGGCAAGTTGAGAAGAGGATTTCAACTTGATCAGGCATAACAGGGCATTTGTTAATGCCGATATTTTACTAGACTATTATATTTTCATTTTCCCTTATTCGAACTGTTCTGGCTTCATGTTTTTAAAGGGTTAAATCAGTACGTTTGAATTACATGCTGATATCCATGCGTCTTTCTGTCCTCTCCAGATAACAGATGAAACATTGGATCATCTTCAAATTTGTTGTGCTTCCACAGAAAAGTTGGACATGTCCTGGTTAGGACCTTATGACGCTGTTACCCGCCATGGAATTTCTAGGTATCGTATTTCTCCTTTGGCTCTTGTTCTGACCGTCCAATCACAAATCCTGGATTTACCCAGCCTTTCTTATGTTGCAATTATTTTCCCATGTATCAAAGTTAATAGTCGAGTGGAATAAAGAATGATAGAAATGAAGGTTTCTTTTAAGAAGCTCAACTGCGTTTCTTTTCACAGATTTCTGCGGAAGTGTGGAAGTAACCTTTTGTGTTTAAGACTAAGTTGCTGTCAGTTTGTGGACGGTGAAGTGATTAAAACCATAAGCAAGTTTTGTCCCAATTTGGAAGGTTTGTTCCTCTTGAAAATTGTCTCATTTTTCTGTTTCTTTTCTTCTCGGTTGAAAGTATAACTTTAATATGCAAGAAGTAGGTCACGCAATAAAAAAAGGCAGCAACAACAAATGTACCTTTTCTAGAGAGGGACCACAAAATATTGATTTAATAAGATTGAAAAAGGCCCTAAATTGGAAGAAAAATAAAAAAGGGACAAATTTGGTGGAGAATTTAGAGGTTGACATGGAATCCAGATAGTGAACGCAAAAAAAAAAATATACTAAATTTAGAATACGAGCAGTCCCTCTTGCGTACCGCGTAGCCTCACAAGTAGCCTCACTCCCAGAGTCCCTTGCGGCGCGCTCACAGCGATGGATTTCGCTGATAACGAGGCGCTGCTATTAGTCTAGCCTATATTTTTTTAGGAGAAACAAATTTTCACATAAATCTTATGTTTTGGTTTGCTAAAAACATTTTAGCTCAGTCAAACTGATCATACAAATACTAACAGAAGAACCTCCGCTCACTCGAACTGCTAAGGGAATGGAGGCAGTACGAGATAACGGAGGAATCTAGTTGCCCGAAATAAATGTACTCTTCATGCTCTTTACGCAACTGACGCCTTTTTTTGTTCTGTCTCCACAGAACTTGACCTCCAGTCCTGCAGTTCAGAGTCGTTACTCAGTGAATATGGGCTTCATGAGCTTGCAAACTTGAAAAAAATGAAACGAATCAATCTTTACCGAGTTCCCGTCAAGGATCTTCTGCTGAAACAATTGATTCAGTAGGTACTAGCATTGATTATCATGGCAAAGACTTCTTGTCTCACTGGCAGTCTCCCCACAATTATACACCACTGTTTAGTTTTTAGGTTTGTTTGTTTGGTTTATGGTGCATTCCTGAAAAATGTTTTGACAATATCAGTTTTAATCTTTTTGCGAACGTTTCGACGATTTGATGGATGTCTTCAGGTGGTGTATATGCCTTTGTTTCGTTTTTGTCTTTGTTTTTGTTTTTTGAGACATTAAAACGTAGCGGCTACTACTTCCAATGTGCTCTGACATAAAGAAATCAACTAGAGTGTCTTCATTTTAGCATTTTCATTCAAACGGTACAAACCAAAAATATTTTGAAAGCGCCATAGGGTTAAAAAATAATTATTTTTCGTCTGTGTCTCACGAACCTCCGTGCTCAAGCTACCGTGCAAAGAATAAAAGAAATTGGCTAACGACGACAGTGGAGCCGTGCAGCAGACCACATTTGAAGAAATACCCCTTCGTGGCTAACAAGCGTACAACGAAAGAACGCCAAATTTGTTTGCGGAGTTGGGGAAAGCGGTCTCGTTCCTCAATCTTTTTTTTGTGTGTGTGTGTTTTATTAATTTTTATTAATTCAAAGTTACATACATTTTTCATAAACAAACATAATTCACATAAACAGACAGACACGGTACATATATCTACATACACAATCCACAGTTCCTCTTAGCTCTCCTCGGCTTCTAAATATAATACTAGTACAGTGCAGCAACAAACATGAGATTCTATATCATCTAATAATTTTTGTACTTGTCCCATTTCATATTATGAGCTATTAGCTTATTATTTGATTTTGCGATCATTGTCTCGAGTTGGTGGATCGTTTTAATTTTGAGGTTTAATACTTTAATTGAATTAATTAATTAAATTCCTCAATCTTGCTTTGGACCGATAAACGTTATATTGGTGGGATGTATATTAATAATGTTCAATCTTTTGTGTCATATTACTGCAGGTCTTTTAGTAATCTTCAGCATTTGAATCTCGGTGACTGTCAACACGTTACGGAATGTGACACCATCATGCAGTTACTCAGTGAATACTGCAAGTAAGATCAACTTATCATTACAGTAACGAGTCTAAAGTATTAAAACTTCGATACCAAATCTAGTTTCTGGTTTATATTATTATATATATCCAAATGATAGTGACGTGTCTTCCAAGTGTTCAATTTATTTCGTCTAGGATCGTAGCTTCAGTGGGTAAACTTATCCCTTTCTTTTCTCTTTCTTAGAGGATTAGTATCTCTTGATTTGTGGAGGAACAAAAGCCTTACAGATTTCGGTATCATGTCATTAGCTGACGGCTGTACTCTACTGGAAGAACTTGATGTGGGGTGGTGGTGAGTACCTTTTCTTGGCTTTATAGGGAGGGACCGTCTTGGCCGAATGTGTTTCCTTTTAAGGGCCCAGTCGTTCGAAGACCGATTAACGGTAACCCAAGGTTAAATTTTAATCCGGTTTTCTTTATTCCTTCGTTCAAAAGCCTTTTGTGGCCAAAAAAAGAGCGTTAGCCCTTCGTTAGCGAAGAGAGGAATTTTGGGTTGTATGTGGTTTATATACAGAAAGATGGAGCTACATTATTGATGGGAACGTGGTAACATAAATAACACAAGGATAGAGTAGTTGAATGAAAAGTGTCCATTGCGGGTATTGAGAGTGCTGATTTGAAAGACTATCACTCTGACGAAGGGCTATCGCTCGGAACGTCAGCTTTAGAAACTCTTTACGGTGGCCAATTCACATTATCAACTCAGTTGTTAAAACCAGTAAAATCTTATTATACCCTGCCGACGCAGCACCAAAGTTTTTTTTATGAACGTACCCCGTTTATTCATTAATTAAAAAAAAAAGTTTTTTCAGTCAGCGGTAGGTTTTGGCCTCGTCAACTTTTGCTCGAAAAGTGCTTAATTCATTTATTAGCAAGCAGTTGTAGATGAACAAATTCGCGTTTTGTGTTTGAAATGTGCAATGGTAGTTCGTCTGTCATGAATTTTTCGAGTGTAAGGAGAATCTCTTTCAAAACTTAATTTGTGTCTCCTCTGATTTTCAACCGCTCTTTCCCAGACCAAAATGCTTTTTAAAAAAATGTTCCCCATCACAATGACACACACTTATTCCATAAATGTCCCATTACTGTACCCTCTCCTCTCCCCCTCAGGGGAAGTGAGAGGGGGTTCTACTTAGTTCTCTATCATGGTAAGCAAGATAAACGATTGGGTTTCACAGAGGCCACCTTCTTTGAAGTCCTGTAGTCCTTGTAGTTCTGACTGGTACAATCGTAAAAAATCCATTCAGAAGAGTCAGTGGGCATTTATTACTACCGTCGAACCTGTATTCAGCGGTCACCCACTCTTAATACAGGTTCACGTAATAGGAGTCAAACGCGATAAAAAGCCTTTTTGTTGTTACAGTCCTAAGAAGAAAATAATCTGCAATGCGTTCACGACATTTGAACTCAAAGTACTTACATTGATTCTGGAAGATAAACATTGAATAAATTTGACCTGAAAGATTATTCTTAGTATTATTTGAGTGGTTCCTCTTTAAGTGACCGTTCAATACAAATGGAAGACAATACAGAGAGACCTTTGGGACTCAGTCATGGGTGGGAGGTGACCGCTCATAGAGGTGAAAATTACAGTACTTAAGAGAAAGTCATTTCGGGACTTCGACAACCGAGCGCGCTTAATACAGGTTCGAATGTACTTTTCTTCTTTTGACAATTTTTTTTTTTTCTCTTCTGTAGCTCCACAGTGACAAACGCGGCGGAATGTATATCTTGCTTGACCTCTAAGTGTAGGAAACTGAAAAAGTTGTTTCTTACAGCGCTGAGGTAATTTAAATTGTCTTTCGTTATTCAGATGTGTTGTTTAGTTATTTGTTTCGCTCTATTTTCTTTGTTTTATTTTCCATTGATCTTTTTGTTTTTCTTGTAATGTCCTTGTTTCTTAATATTTTTCCCTACTTACGAAAATGATTTAAGAACGTCTTAAAGGAAGCTGTAAGGAAATATTTTCCAAAAGGGTTTCAGATACGGAAGTAATTTTTTCTAAACAGACCCAAACATAACTTCGAATTGTCGTCTACTAATTTTGCTGGTTCCTTGTTCTAATTAAACGGAATTTTTGAAAGACGTCTTTAGTGCTATCAACGGAGTAATGAATTCAGTGAGGTTGAGAATCACAAGCAAAATGACTGAGCTTTCATTTGACAGACAAGAAAGTGATTACGCGTTTTACAGTGTAATGGTTTCGTCTAATGGCTAAGTTCCTTTGATTACATTGCAAATTTTTTAACTCAACGATTTTCATGTTTTCAGGTCAGTCAGTGACGATGTTATAAATGCGTTAGCAAATAACTGCCCTGACTTAGAACAAGTAGATGTGCTGGGAACTGGTCTTATTCGTCCCCATTCTATCACCAGGTAACTTTTTTTTTCTTACAGCGTCCGTTGACATGAAACTAGAATGTTTCCGCCTTTCCTTCTCTTCCATTTTCGTATTCCTGTTCGATACCCCGAATAGTTCGAAATCGAAACAGGGAAGCACGAAATTCCCTCGTTTCCTGTTTTGGAAACTTGAGGTTCACCGATAGCAGAGCAATTTGGATAGGTGCCATATTCATATTTTTTCTACGACTTCCGCGGGAATGGAAGTGGTAAATGTGCGTGGAGAATCATTCTCAGTTGTAATGAAATCATTACCAAATTTATCTCAATGACCAATAAAAACTAAGAAAAGGTCACAACTAGCAAACGAGACCCAAAATAACAGTAACAAAAAACAGCCTGCTGCGCAGGAGAACGCAAGAGACCAAGTCGCGATTATATCTGATAAGTTAAGAGCAAGGAAGCGCGAATTTCCTCGACCTATCACAGAGCGAATTGAAACAAAACAATACAGTCGCAGATTACGTGGCCTACCCTACTCAATTGTCAACTCCTCTATCATCACGATGGTGTTTTGCGGAGAATACTTGTGACAAAAATGTTAGTTTCGAATGTGTTGTTGCTGGTGCGCTCTGTTTTAGGCGAAACACGAGGTCGCGGAAAGTGAGATGTGTTGCTTTCTCTTGTAGGTTGTTAAAAGAATGCAAAAAGTTGCGGTTCCTCGATGTCTCCTTCTGTTCGCAGTTATCAAAAGAGTTTGTCGAAAATTTGCGGTCTATGTATCCAGACGTGTCAATTAAGAAGAGTTTTGTGACGGACGACCCGTTCTGATATGTAAGACCCGATACTGGGTTAACCCTTTAAACCCTAAGAGTGGATAGCATCTAATTTCTCCTTACAATATCACCCCTGAATCAAAAATTTATGGTCACGAGAATAAAGGAAATGATCACCAATACGAGGGACTCCTGGTTGTTAAACAAATTCTCCCCATCAGCATCTCAGAAAATGTATAGAGATCATTATAGAGAATATGCAAACTGATATTAGGGTGTAAAGGGTTAACGCGGAATTTCCTAAGTTGTCTATCGGCCGAATGCCTGAATTAATTATGGTCATAGAAAAGTAGTCGCCGCTATTTGGTTACGTGGTAAGCGCTTGATAAACCACTGATGCTTCTCCGGTGCACTTCAATTTACATTGAATTCTATGTAGGAAAGTGTTAATAATTTAGCGTGCCGAACAGGCATAACTTTTGCTTTTATTAGGCGAACGGAAGTAAACGCGAATCGCTAGTCACGTACTGGTGATGAAGCACCATCGTTCGTGATCCGCGCTCGTTTGGCACTTGTCTTTGTTCGCCTGAAAAACACAAATAACTTTCCGTCTGTTCTGCAGGCTGCTAATAATGTGATTCATTTTTTAATATTGTAAAATTTAGATAACTCAGTTATTTTAAGTTTTATGTAGCTTAGTGTAGCTTACAATGTAAAGAATGCTTAAAACCGCTCTTTAATCCATCGATCAATATAATTTTTATCCTCTAGGTTTTTAAATTCTTTTAACGTATTTACTGTTACTTCATTAAGTGCTGTATTATTTTACCATTAGCAAACGGCAAACAGATGCAATCATTTTTAGAAATAGTAAGAATTATCGAATGGCCATATCTCACGATTGAATTATTTCTATGTTGATCAAGCTTCAAAGGAATTAGCTTTCTCGCTTAGACAGGAACTGCAGAGAGGCAGGGACCTCACGTTTGGCAATGGGAAAATTATTTATGAAATTAGAATAAAATCGCCAAAAATATGATGCAGAAAAATTTCATAATTTAAATGTAATTTTTTCCTTGGCAGAGTAGTCGCGCACATAGACGACAGACATGAAGGGCGATATATGTTTATGTTCCTTTACCCTATAACTCCCAGAAGTGATGAACATGTAACTTCTCCCTGTAATATCCAGCCATTATCCAGCAAAAAGTAATGAGAATACACAAAGTTATCAGTTAGAAATTGTTATATTGATCTAACACCAAATTCTTATGACTGATTTACAAGGAAAGGTGTAGCAGCTTGAGGGGAGAGTTAACAATTAGATCTCGGGAGTTAAGGAGTTAAATGGCTTTTTTTCGGTGAGCGAACCTCACATGGAAAAAAGGCTATTTTTATAATTTGTCTATTTCGACCCAAATTCATGTCTGATTTTGGTTTTGTATTCTCTGGTTCAGTCGCTGAAGGCATGACCATTTTATTTTCACGTTGATCGTTGATAAAAACGTGGTGGAAATTTTGTAAAGAAACATTTGCCGTCATTCTAGTGGAGCTCAAATAAACATTTACCGTGTGAATAGGCCCGGCCGTCGCCCCCCCCCAGAGCTCCCGCGTTCGCCTTTGTGCCCCCCCCCCTTCCCTATACTCCCCGCTTTAAAAGATACGGCGTAGGCCTTATTTTCTAGGTCTTGGAACATGGTAACAGATTAGTAAATGAATAAAACAGAAATACGCTAATTCATTTAGTCATTTCCATGACATTTCAAACAAACTTATTTGCAACGTTAAGATTCTGAATCCCTTTGTCCTTGTTTACCGGCCAGTTCATCTGTTTCCTTACTCGGAACTGGTTAGATCAAATGACCACCACAAACCGTATAATATTAAGCCAAGCTTTAATAATTATTCAATCTAAGAGAAATACATTTATAATTCGCAATTAGAACAAACGCAAATCAAGTCTTTATCCTGTAACTAAATTAAAAAACTTCAATATAAACTTACTTCTGTGGCGGGTCGTTACAACAGTCTCACTTTACGGGTTAGCAGATTCTTCAGGTAAGCGGATTTAGAGACAGAAAAACGATAACAAAATAACTTCTTTCTCACTTCGATTCTGCTGAAAAACTGACTTAAACCATAATAATCTAACGCTTTTAAATCAATCTATTGAATTAATGTCAATCACGATTCTTGTCATCGAATAAATCTGTCAACACGAGGCAACGCCTATTTATTAAACGAAACACCATTTACCTTCTAGTTTTGAAACTATTTTTAATTGACTTCCCTGCGTAAATAGTTTCCGGTGCTGTCCGCGGCATGGAACAGGTGTGAGACAGTCTATTAAAAAGAATGTAGAAATAGCAGTTACTAAAGAGGACCGTCCGAAATTTTCAAGAATTTTAAAAAAGGTATCAGTAATTTGATGTCTTAAATTAAGGATACGATTTCTTCGATGTCTATACGTCTTTCTGATCATGGCAATCGTCTGAGGCCATCGATCAGTGCATTTCATTTTCAGGAAGAAACGGACATTTAAATTCAAGTTTAAATATAAAACAACGACATTGACAAAGCAGCGACAAACCCAGTAATTGTTGTACCAAGCATTTGTCTTCCATTTATCCGCATCTACATATCGATCCTGTAGACACTCTCGCCCTTCTCTCTCATTGTAATTTCTTCTCCAATTACACCTATCGAATTCCAAAAGCAGGAAGCGGGAAGCATGAAACTTGCATGGCCCCATCAGTCTGTTAGTTATCAGCTTGAATTTCACAAACAACAAAGTAGGGTAAAAGGCTCTTTATTTTCCCCTTCTCATCTCGGATTTCCGTGTGAGAGGAAATTGATGGCATGAATAAAGCCATCACAGACTTAAATTGAAACGGCTAATCTCAAATGCCGCCAAAACTCTGCTGGCTCTTGATTAACGATGGTATGTTATGTCGGACACTCGTGGCGTAACCTTTCAAATTTGGTCCCATTCGGTATTACAAACTGTGATTGTTTTCAACCCTATTCCGGACAAAATTGAACTCAGGATTAACTCAAGGTGGCCGGATCAACCTAAGAGGACCGAATAGGGTGGGGCACTCATTTTCGGCGAACCAACCAACACGTGTCTAAATCGCAGCCAGGCGCGCAAGCCCTGATTGGCGTCGCTTTTCGCGTTTCTCGTGCCAGACTCTTCGGATCTTAGACCTCATGTTGGAGAACAAAGAAGACTAAATTAACTCTTGCAGACTTCGTAAGAGGTGCGCTAGATGTTTGTGTAGCAACCCTAATGACAGCTTTCTCGCAGACTAGGTTTTGCGAACTATTTTGATATTTTTTTCGTCGGTAGTTGATTCTTCTGTCGTGTTTCATGCTTGTTTCATGTTTTGATCCCAGATTGAGATTTGGCGAAATATTTCAATTGCGCCTAAGTGTTAAACTTTGAAAATTTTCTGTCTGAAACGTCACCGAAGTCGCCCTGCTAAAAATAAATTACGGCTCTGTTGGGTATACCTGACAAAGGAACTGAATGAACTTCTGTTCTCAGAATCATATTATTATATTGTGGTCGTTGATTTTAATGCAAACAATGTCAATTCCTTTTAAAATGATTTCAGTTGAAGATTTCACTTGGTATCATGTTGTTTTTAGATTTATATCAGGGTTAATCATGTGTACATGTATGTAACATGCAGCTGTCTACATAGGTTTCCAAAGGTAACTACTAACCTATAATTCTACTTGTTATATGGGAGTGGGGGGGAAGGGGTCAGTTCCCAAGAATAGATAAAAGGGAAAACAAAACACAGATCTTTAATAGCAAGTATATCAGAAGATACAAATGGTTACAATCCTTCACGCATCAGCAATTTAAGCTGGCTTAATTCTTGGATAAATAAGATTTCTTTAAGTTTACGATGATAATCGCCCATGCCCAACGCCAATATGTGAAAGTAATCCCACTTGTGATTTGACAAGGTCAGCCGTGATGGCCGATGGGAAGTCACTTCAACCTTCAAGTGCTCGGGTTTCTTCATGCCTAGACGTTTTTGCATTATTTATGACCGATATATAAAATTAGATTTCAATTGCAATTTAAATTTTAAATTGCCTTAGACTTTTGAGAGTGCTCAAGGGATTCTTTTTGGAGAGGAAACACTCAATACGACAGATATGCCAAAAATTATTACAAGATTTCTGGTGTGAAGAGGTTTGGTGTCTCTGCAAACCCAGATAAGATAACAAGATCATTTTATCTTTGTCAAAAACCGTCGAGACAGAGTCGAAAGTTTTATTTTTTCTTTGCGTTTTCCTTCTTATGCAAAAAACGGTTTGCCTATTTTAATTATTGAAAAAACAGCCGACCATTCTATGCTAACTTTTTGTAAAGTGGCCATTGTCTCTGCTAAATCGACTTTGAGTTGCCTAGCGACCAGTGCGAAAATGTATTTGTAATATTTTTGCGCGCCAACTGCCACCGTCACCTGATGTGACGTCACAAACATTAATATATGCGTTCACAAAGCTTCATGTTTCGTGTTTCGGTTTTGTGAAAGACAGAATCTACGGAAGTTGGTTTGGTTTGATATTTTTCGAAGTAAGGCGAATTATTGTCCAGTTGAATTCACTAAGAAGTCATTTTTTTACTACATTACTTCTTTTAAACAAATTTGCGGGCAGTTGTGGATTCTGTGAGATACGAACGTGTACAGACGAGTGTTTTCATTTCTGATCGGCCGTTCTTTTGATCACATCGACGAATTTCAAATACGTACGCATTGTTTACTGTTTATCTGACCACTTGATCTGAATCATCCACAGCGTTGATGCGCCAACATGGCGGTTGGAAGAGGGTTCTTCGATCAGTACTCGGTCTTCTGCGTGTTCGGGTCTGTTGTCGGATGTGTAGTCGTACCACTGATCACACAGGTAAGGTACTGGAACAGGCGATCATGTTTAATTACACTCTAGAGCATTCCTTCCTCTTAACTTGAACCAAAAATGTTGACCATTGTTTCCCTTTGCTTTCATATATCACAAGTGGGCCTCCCTGTTTCCTAAAATATGCTGTATTTTTTTTCCTGTTAGTCTGTAGAGAGTGTTATCTTTTCCGCCATTGTCATCAGCTTAACGGCAACTCATCTCACTAAACGAGCCAGCAAGTCAGAAAATTCGTCTCAGGTAGGCTGCCTAAACGCTGTCGTTAAAATGATCATCCTTATTAATCCGTCCAGTTTCTATAAATTTTATTCGAATATCCGTCCTCAAAGCAGTTCTTTCTAATGCTTTTCGAATTTAATTTCGATCGTTTTCGACGTTGGGTTAGGTCAATACGAAGGAGGTGGACAGGCGAAACAGTCGTAAATTAAAAGACCGCGAGCGTGAACAGCTACCCCACATCAAAAAGAGGAAACCTGCTACACAGCAGATGCAGGTATGAAAATAAAAATGTCCAATTCTCAGTGTAATTGCGGCCTTGGGGTTGATTAAACATATGCTTTAAGATTCGGTTTACTTCGGGACATACGAGCCGTTCACATGTAGCTGCCAAGTTACTGCCAATACGTTGCAATAATAATTCAATTAAATTAAGTCGATTCGTTTAACTAAAAGGGTTGTCTGTTTTCTTCCGTTGGTCAGGAGATACAGAATATACAGCTTTTCCGCTCGAAATTATAATATCTTCATATCACTTAAGTGGTATTACTTATATTTCCATATTTCATCATTTCAGAAGTAGGAATGAAAATCGAACATCCTCGCAGTTCTTTTACCATGTTTCTTGTTTGGTATTTTAGAATCTTTATTGTATCAATGTGACCATTGTGGCAATATATTTGACCCTTTCCATCAAACAGCGAACGTGTTACTGAGCGCTATAATATAGAAGAGATTACAGGTCTACTTTGTGTTTCAATCGTTGAGCTATCAAAACAAATACTTTTTACCAGAAATTTGCCTGTATGGCGAAAATTGTATATTTTTCTAGCTAGAGTTAAATGTTGCCGCGTCTTGCATTTTTTGCCTCATTCTTGTGAACGTTCCTTACATGGCCATATTCGCTTAGGAAGATTAAAATTCCTTCCCTGTTTGACAGCTGTAAGATGAAACCTTCAAATTAATATTCCACCTTAGGTCTTTGTCTAGCCAAAGTGTTCCAGGTGCCGAGTTATTAATAGTTTGTCTTCTTTCAGCAGATTACTTCAAAGTCTTCAGATAATCGAAAAAAGAAACCGGAAGACCAGTTTAAACTTGATTTGGCCAAACAGCTTGAGTTGGTGAGCTAAAGTTTCTTTTCTAATCCAGTATTTTTACATGATGACATTTACCACAGAATATTTAGTGGTATAGAAACATATTTTTGTTTGAATTAATGTCTGTTGTTCTTTTATCAGTTGACTGCCTTTGAGGTATTTGCAGATAGTATAGTGGACTATTTGATTTTAAGCAGTCCTTGATTTTTGCTTTAATCACTAGATACTCTCACTGGTTTAGTACAAATATACAAAAATATGCTTTTCATCTAAGCATACTTTAAGTGTTAAGAAAAGAATAGCTTTCCTTGCACATTTTGTCCAATTTGAATACACAGTCACATTATACTCAGAAGTTGCTGCTTAGATGTTTAAAACTGTTCAGTCATCATAAATACATTTACATAGAATCACATATTAGTAATATACACACTTCACCATTATTCAGAAAGAATTGGGATTTTGAAGTACATGTAGTTTTAGAGCATGTTATAAATACGCTTAGTATTTGTTTCGATAAGAAATGGTTTTTTCTTCATGAAAGTACATCATGCTCTGAAATCGACATGCACAAAGGGCAAGAAAAAATCAAACAAGGTAGACTGACGTGCTGGGCAATCATTCGTGAAATAGGTTCTTTATATGATAAGCTGCACTCTCAATTGAAGACAAATTGATGCATTGGACTAGTATTTTGGAAGTGGCCCCAGTTGTTAGAAAGGTTGGATAAGAATATCCACTGGATTAATTTTGATCCAGTAAATAGAGCAGTACATTTTGTTGACGCTTACATACTGGATAGCAATTTATCCATTGAATAGTATTGTCAGTCTTTGAATGACTAGGCCTGAATATGCAGAGAAGAATGCATGTGGAATTTTAATAACACTGACGGTCTGCAGGAGCATCTAGGATAGATATTCATGTACATGACACAGTTTAGGGGGTCTTGATCAAAAAAATTGAGGTAATGTTGTGATTTGCGTTTAAGTAAAAGTCATAAATAAAGTAAGTTTTTATTACATGTCTAGTAGTTGAGGAGCCTTTTTGAAAATTACTTTGTGATTCAAATTTGCCATTTATTCTCTACCCTGATTGAAATTTATACATATTTGTATTAGTTTTCCTTCAAATTCTCGTTTAAAATCATTCTGCATGTGTGCAATTTGTAGTGTTGTGAAAAGATTTATTGTGGATGATTGGGGACTCATTCAAAAATGACCCTAAAAAACTCTCTCTAACCCTCTTGATCACAATTAATTGTATGGAATATCTCTTTCCTTCTCTTTTACAATCATGGTAACAGTGGCACTCGTAAAATATTTGCCAACAGGATAAGGGCTGTACCACAAAGGGGAATTTGTTTTCACCTCTTAATTTTTTTTTTTAACTCTGTTTTTTGTTATATTAACAAAGTTAGGGTTTTTATGTGGTATAAACCAAAACAATCATTTGCTTTAATATTTACCTCGCTGCTTTGGGGATTAGGGTAAATATCCACCATTTTTCACCTTCACTCAGGTGAATAATATAAGTATAGTTGCTGGGGTGATTATAGAAATGCATGCACTCTGATTGGTAGAGGGTTGTGTTATATTTGGTGATAATCACCTTGCACAAAGTGAGTTCAGCAGGGGCTTTAAATTTCCAAATGATTGTCTTGTGTTTGTCAATGATATGAAGGACACAATAAACATGACATAAGCACTAAAGATGCTACTTAGTTTGGTGTGACACTTTTCAAAAGAAAGATATGAACTTTTTTCTAATTGAGTCAAATAAACTTGTCAAAATCCTGCGGAAACTGCCTGCCTTGTTGTTATGAGTAATCAAATGATTCAATGATTCCAACATCAACATAAATTTACAACAGAATTCATATGCATTTAAGCAATTATACCAAAACAATTATTGCCACAGGCTCAGTGAAAATTGATGAATAATCCCCTCAACTTCATCTCAAGGATTATTCAACAATTTTTACCTAGCCCGAGGCAAATAAATGCTAATTATATGAATGTACTAGAAGGGAATAAATATCTAACTATAAAAAATAAATTTTTAAATAAATATATGAACAAAAGTGTACATCAACCACCATTTTATTGTGGCAGTTAAAAAAAGGTTTATCATGGGAAGTTTTGTTGTGTGTTAGTTTGCATGAACTTTCTTGACAGTTCAAACAGCTCTCCAAGATGCGCTTGTCTTGCTTACCAGGGTGACTAGACAACCACAAGGGGTGGAAGTTGAAGTGATACAAACATTTTCAAAAGGTGTCACTCTTCATGGTTATTTGTGATAAAAATGTGACTCATTTTCTTTGGTGGAGTTTTTAGCCATTTCATAACAAGATCTGATTAGTAATCTCCTTTCTATCTGCCATACAATTCTTATGATGTTAGTTTGGAGAATTTGGTATTGGATCAACAGATCATCTCCTAATCGATACTTTTCTTTATTCTCATTGCTTGATATTGTATTGATATTGTAAGGAGAAATTCAGACTTGGTCACTCATGGGAATTAAAGGATTAAGCCTGAAGATTACGTGCAAAACTTCAGAAATGCATACCAGTTATACTGCTTACTCCAAAGACAATAGATGTGATCAGGGCTTTAGGATGTCATATAATATCACACATGGTTCTTTTCCTGGCAACCAAAATGTTATTTTTGGCAACCATATTTGGAACTAAGGCTGCTAAATTGCAATTATGAAAATTGAGCTTTAATCATGTACACACTAGAATTTCATGTTAAACTTCACCAATTTTCTCCGAAGGAGTGACCAACAAGGAAATTCTTTTTATAGCATGCTCCGTGTAGTTTCAAATAAAAAGATTTGAGAAGAAAGCAAAGAAATTCATATAAAGGATATAATTTCGATTAATGCCAATGTTAGAGGTGATAGTATAAGAAATGTATAGCCCTTGTTACTGTTAATAATGATAAATAAGTCCTGGGAGTGAGAGGCCCATTCCTATCCATTATTCTTCAAACTAAAGATTTTAGATATTTTCCAAGTCAGTACTTGTGAAATCACCAAATTCATGTTTTAAATAACCTATTGCCCCCATTGCTTTAATCCTTTTGGAACAAATAGCCAAATTCACTGCTGTGGCATAAGAGCTGCCAGTAATAATCTAATGCCTTCATGTCTAACCAATCTCAAGCAATTTACATATCTCTACCAAGGTCCTAAGATTTGGAACTCACTTCCTGTATCAATCACTCGTTCATCAAGTCTACATAGCTTCAATACCAAAATGTGACAGTTTTTACCGAAATAATTGCCAAGCTGGCCAAGCTGCATATTCACAACACTTTTTAGTTAGTTATTTATTTATTTATTTATTTAATACACTGTTGGAGGTTAAATGGCCTCTCCCAAAAGTGGGGTGGGTTCTGGAGGTCTCCTGACCTTTTGATGCATATTATTATTATTGCCGTGTATTAAAATGGCAACTATGTAAATTTTGAAGATAAGGAGATGTGATCAGCCTTTGGAATAGAGTGAGTGAGAATATGAATCTGTTCATAGGAACGAAAACAAGAAGAAAAGAAAGAAAAGAAGGTCAAGAAAAAGGAAGAACGTTTAAAGAGAAAGGAACATGAAAGGGAAGAGAAGGAGGTAAAAACTATTTCAATGGTTAACAATGCATAGCTGATTACATCTAGGTACATGTGCATCTGTTTTCTCTGCTGTTAACCCTTTAACTCCCAGATCAAATTTGTAATTCTCCTTACTGTCAACCATACAATTATTATAATGTTAGTTCAGAGAATTTAGTATTGAATCAACTGATTATCTCCAGGCTGATATTTTTCTTTATTCTCATAAGTTATCTGGTTGATATTGCATTGATATTGTAAGGAGAAATTCTATCTTGGTTACTCATGGCAGTCAAGGGGTTAAAACAAGATGGGTGGAGGAATTGTATTTTCTTTTGCCTGCCTTCTCTGATTTCTTCTCTGGTATTTGTGCAAATCAGTATGCATACCACAGTTTCTACACAGTGGAATTTTTATAGAACAAGTTCTTTTGGTCTTTTGCTGATGGACGTGTACACACGGTACCCTTATATATTGTTTGTGATATGTGTTTTGAACTAAAAGATCTGGCATATTAAAGGTAGGAACAGACTCAACAGCCAGCTGTAGCACCATGTCTTGGCAATTATAACCTTTCTGTGCAGCTTGGCCAATTCAATAATAAAGACAAAGTCACACCAGTTCAAATTTGTACAACTTATCACAGTTGTTAATTTGGGACATGTACAGATTTTCAGAACAATTCTCCATGTCATTTGAGACTACAGCAGCCTCTTGTCCCATGATAGACTGTGAACAAACTGCATTTGACTCAACAAAGCAAAAATTCTGGCATGAAACTGCATAATGTTTCAAAGAGGGCTCAATTTTTAATATCCAAATGGTTTAAATCGGAATTATCTGCAAAATCTGTTGTTGTTTCTTGTCTTTTTTTGTTGAAAGACCATTTTTAAAGGGAATGTTGACCATGCAAGTGACAACAAGAGAAAACATCATTTTTTTTCCTTTTTCTTTTTTTTTTATTTCATTGGCCAACTCTGAGAGTTTCTTAAAAACAAGTGTTTTGTGCTTCACTTTGTTTACCAGAAAGAAGAACAAAAACTGAAGATTTATAAAGAACAGAGGCAAAGAGAGATGAAAGAGAACCTCAAGCAAGGAGATAAGGTTAGCAGAAGTTAGTCAAATTGCTAATGTTATGTGGTGTGGAGATGGTTTTCGAAGAGGGTTGGTGACTTTCAACATTTCGTCAGGTTTCCCTGACAATTAGCCGGCACTAATTAATTCCCTTGGTCTGTGACGGTGAACCAAGAACATCATTCAACACAGTCCTGGTTGATGCAAAAATTAAACCAGAGCCTTGTGCGTGAGTCCAGTGCAGGTGCCAGTAGGTTACTGCGTGTTTGAAAGCAAACAAGCAAACAGCAGGAGAGCTTCCTTGTGCCATCATGTTTGATGGTTTGTTTGTCAGCCGCTTGTGGAAAAAAAAGTCAACCAGCTAAAATTGGCTAGCCAAGAGAGTCCATTCTCTAGCATGTCAGAGATGTCATGTGGTTTGCTTGGATCGTGTGATCAAGTGTTAAAGCGGGAAAATGTGCTAACGACGAATCTTTTGATTGGTTGAGCGGAATGTGTTTCTTAACGTACGTAAATTCTTTTTGGGTGATGATACACTACACTACATAGAAGGGTTGTTTTGTTAATATCTTGAATTTATATTTTCTTCCTACACAGAACACGCATCCACCTCTCCAAAGAGTAGATTCTGGAAAGACAAGATTTAGCACTGTAAAACTTGCAAGAAAGCTTGAATCCTCAACTATTCCTAAATCACCTCCCAAAGTACCTGCTTCCCCAGTATTGGCTACACATGCGCAGTTCCTCTCAAGACAGCGTTCGCAATCCGAAGGAAGTGAAGGCGAACCTTCTACTCCACCCCCGTCAGTATGGAAAGTACCGGAATATGTCGAGCCCAAGTGGAACCCTGGGAAACCCGAATCAAAAACGGACTTGAAAAAGACTCTGTTAAATAATGATATTGTTTGTGCTAAAGTTAAGCTTGAGCCGCCATTTAACCAGCTACATAATCCTGTTTACAACAGCCAGTCGTTTAAAAAGAATCAATTTATGAATCAAAACCCCGAGAAAAGCTTAGCGCCTTGCGAGACGAAATCAAGTTCGCCTCCTGCCAAGGTCCTGGAAAAGCCAGATAACCGATTCAACACGTATTCCAGTTTTTCCGGTCTAGATCTGCTATCTCAGTTGAAAGAGGAGGGTAAACTTAATTCAGACACCGATGTGAGATCCTACTCCTTATTTGGTCCAGACGAACCGAACAGCGCCATATTCCGGTCCCCGCTGACTGGCCATTAAGAACAAATAATGCATCTTTTATTTTCTTTGAAATGGGAGTGTATTAAAACAGTATTTGCAAAGATATTAACTATATATTAAGTGCCAAAAGTTTCGGTTTGTTTACTGAATAAAGTTACTAAAGATAATTATTTGAACGATGAAATTTTTACAATGCTCTTCCTTCTTCACATTTCCTGTCAAATGGACTGGTACTTATTTGTACTCGAAGGGTGGGGTGTAGGGGGTTTGGGGCTAAAAAGGGGTACCGTGAGATTAGCGTGTCTTACCTGAGAGGCAACTTGCACAACAGGATAATCGGGTGCGGAATCGTCAAAAATGAAGAAAGTGGAACGGACCCAAGTTTTTTCGATTTTTGGGGCCATAGACGCTTATGAACTGAGAAAAAACACGGGTCCGTGCTTAACCTTAAATAACTTGGCACGCATATTTAGTAATTGAAAAACTTTGGGACCGTTCTGCTATCATGGTACGTCCGTACCCTACGTTATGAACGGCCTTAAAGGACCGGCCAGGCTTCGAAGCTAGACCTTTAAATGACCTAGAGGCCTGCACCAAGAATAATTACCACTCCATCACGTCTTCCAAATATCTTGCGCGGCATGTACAATCTAGGGATCTAGGACAATTCAGTGCGTATAGATTTCGATTGTCAGACCTGCGGCGCGTCTCTGTAACGGTACTTAACATTCCTGTGGCCCTTTCTTGACTGTTCCAGTGGTATTCGGAACTTAAATTAAGGCTTTTATTTGTGTCGTTCACATTGCAAGGTCAAGATAATAGAAGTGTCATAACGCGAACGATGAAACAGAACGAAGCAATGAGAAATTAAACAGAACGGAGAGATTTTTGAGCTAAGACCCGTAATAGTTTTCCTAAGATTTAGATTTAATGACATCGCGCCCGAAAATATTTGAGACTTTCGATTAAGGGCCCCCAGATACGGTAAGTTTGGAAGTGAGATACAATAACAGCATGTTGGCCATGGCTAAATCATTTGAAATCTGGTATATTTCAATAGCATTCGTTGAGGTAAACATTCTCAGTATATTCTCCCTCCGGAACGTCTCGCACAAACTCGCGCCTCTAAGGCTTGATATCGTGCGTCAGTCAAACGACTTCACCCTAAACGTCACTGCTCACCACCCCCCCCCCTTATTACCCCACCCCCTCCCCCCGCTTCTTCCTCGATATTCCTAGTTACGGCCGCGAAAAGCGGTTCATGAACGGGACACCTCTCACACTTTAAACCTAAGCTCAACGCCTTTGTTTTTAATCATCTCATTTCATCCTTGAAAACAGTACTGTTCCAAATTGTCACTACATAATGGTCTTACAAAGTGGCAAACCTGAGTGCCTGAGTGATTACTTGCATGCGATTACATTGTGGAAGTAAGAAATACTCGTTTTGCAAACAAAACTTAATTATACGCCTTCACAAGTTATTTTATGTTAGCAAGCTTTCTCTTTTTAAGGCTTCCGCCCTGATACACACTGGATCGTTTTTAAGTTGCCCCAAGTTCAACTCCTTGGCTGCGCTTTGCAAGGTGTCAAATAGTCTGCCTCTTGCCAGTTGAGATTCCCAGTTAACCATTGCGTCTATAATTGTTTACTATGCCTCATTCCATTTTTTTAAAATTATTTTATTTCTAGACTCTGTGACTTGTGAAATGTGTCGTAAGACCCGTTATTATTTATTTATCAATTTATGATAAGTTTTTTCTTTTCATGAATATCCTTCTTTCCTGTATGAAATATCATCGACAACTAGCCTCGCATGTTAGCTGTGTTCTAAGGACTACTACTGGGCGGATGGGACGGGATCAACCCTGGTACCAAAAAATTGAGCCACCAAGGAGTTTCTTAAGCCCTTGACGATAATTTCCATTGAAAATGAAGCAGATGCAGGGGTTTATCGCACAATATGATACAGCCAGAAAAAATGCAACAATACTGAAAGTGTAGTACCCACAAGAAGATATCAGGGCCCTGTCCGCGAGAAAAAGGTATCCTATTTGGCTGGAAGTGTAAGGAAGCCAGCATATCGCAAATGCAAACACGATAGCTATCGACATCTTGAGCACATTTCGCTCTCGTCTTTCTCTGTTTTTCCTTGAGTTGTCTGATTGTTCGCCTGGCGTTTTCTGTGACTTCAGTTTTAAAAAAATGGCGATGTAAAGTATGGCAATGGACAACAAAGGAATATAAAACACCAAAATTGAAAGGGTCAGAATGTAGTGTTTGAAAGACTTAGAGTCCCCAAAAACTTCACTCCACTGCCCCTGACATTTGGCCCCTCCAGAATACTCAACAACCGTAAAGGTGAGGAAAAACGGCGAGTAGACAGCCATGGCGACTATCCAAGAAGCAAAAATTAGGAAGTAGGACAATTTTCTACGGATAAGTGGCGAACGGAGGGGAATTATCACAGCCCCAAATCGATCCACTGCCACTAAAACCAGGTTCTGAATTGACACACCGGTTGAGACATCTGCCAAGAAAGTTGTCATCTTACACAAGGCCTCGCCAAGACGACCTCTTATTAACCAGCCCAGATGTAGCTGTGTTATGTATGGCGTGAACAGGAAAAGCGAATAAATCAGATCGGACATGGCCATGTTAACGATAAAAAAGTTGATGGGGTTTCTTAAGCTTCTTGTCCTGTAGACAACTATCCCAATAAGGGTGTTTCCCACAAGCTTGTTGTAACAAGCAACAAACAATAGTTTCTCCGATTCTTCTTGCTAAAGGATTGAAACAGTTTGGAAATGTAACTGGCTGCCCTCCATTCACTGTTGTGTTCATAGTCCGGTTCGCTTGCATTTCTTTCATTGGTAGGAGTACCTTTCTGACACTGGCAAAGTACTGAATTTCCTTTTTAGCGTACAGCTCTCATAAATGAGTTCTACAAGTCGACTCGTCGGAGTCGACACCAATCTTGGTCTACATCAATCAATCGATCAATCAAATGATAGTTTTTATCCGTACATGGAAACTTAAGCAATGACAGTAAAAAGGTTAATGTGGCTTTTAAGCTCTCTTTTAATTTCATTATATATTTCGATCTTAAAACATCAATGTAATGAAAATTAAAGAAAGGAATGGATTAAGATAAAAGAAAATATGTGCAATAAAAGCCCAAAGAATTAAGTATGATTTGGGTTTAAAGACTTCAGCTATCATTACGCGAGAAAGCAAACATGTGTTAAATGAGAATTTGAGGTGGTTATGTTACGGATGGTTTCTTCTGGTTGAAGCAAATTATCGTATCATTGATGATGAATAAAACATTTCCATATATTCATTCATGTTCCTCGACGTTTTGAAATTAAGCCTACGTAGAGTAATTAGCGTTGACCTGAAGGCTGACTTGATTCCTGCCGTGACCAGGTGCAATCTATAAGCTGCTAACAATTATTACTCAGGAAACAAACGTCAAGCTAAAAATATTCAGATCATTGGTCCTAGTTACTACAGTTTCCCATCCTTACTTTTCGCTCAGAAAGGAAAGGATACACAGAAATTGACAGATTCTTTCCCACTGGAGGAAGGGGGCATCACATTAAATTCTTGTTAGGGTTGTGCTGATCTGTTCTCCAACTCCTTATTCTAATTATATGGATGGTGCCAGCTGAAACGGAATCTAATTTCGCTAGGCCAATATGATAATGCAAGCAAAATCGATCTTATCAATGGCTATAGTCACGCACTATTCCAAGATATTTAGGTTTGTAATCCAAACTGAAAGAGCTAACTTTGTCTTTTTTAAAAGAATATTCCCACCAATTCCATTTGAATTCGATTTTTTTAAATCAACAGTTAATGTAAAAATCTTTAAATCAATAAGCCAATAGGGTCTTCAGAACAGCGTTTGTGTGTCAAAATGATTCCATGAATATCCCGATCACTGCCACTTGCACAACCAATTATACTGGCTACATAGTTTTGGCTGTAAATGAAAAATTTATCCCGGGTATTTTAAAGTTTTTTCTTATGTTTGATGTTATTGAAAATAGGGGTCACCGGCCGGGAACCGATTTTTTCCGCCCACGCTCGAGCAAGCGCGACCATGGTGTGACGTACAGTCCTTTACCCAAAGTTAATAGACAAAGCATTAAGCAAAATGTAGATCCAGATCATTGTACGCTTTCGGACGTTCAGTACGGATGGAGAGAACTACGTCAGCGGTGTTCATATTTACGCATTACTGCAAAGCCCTCTCTGCTTTATTGCATACCGTATATATTTGATTAAACGCCGCGGCGTTTATCAAATTTTTCCTGATTCAAGTGCGGCGTTTATTTAAAATCCAAACATGTTTTCGTGCTTGTCCAAAAAGTTATTTTTAAATCGTTCTCAATTTCACGATTTGCATATTATTATATTACTACAATACATAATGTGAATAAAGAGTCAATGTCGGTTATGCTTCCTCGACATCAGAACTGGTACATTCAAAAGGATTTGCGTCTGGTTCACACAAAATTTTCAAGTGTGATCGAAGTATTTATCACCGTGTGCTTTTGAGTCTATTATTCAAATAAACGCCGCGTCATGATGCGGCATTTATTCGAAGGCGGTGTTTATTTATATTTCTCCTCTAAATTGCGGTGTTTAGTCGGGGCGGCGTTCAATCGAGTAATTACGTTATGTAGCGAGATATGAAGTTTACCAGATATTCTGTTGGAGACTGGTATCTAGTACAATACAAGATGGCGGCAAATGTGGACACTTTGGTTAAAGATTTTTAGAACACAAAGAAAAGATATGGAATGATGGATTCTGGCAAGCTTGAGGAGACGCGTAGAAACTTTGGAAGATTTTATCAGTCTGTTTGAAAGCTTTATGTAACATTAATTTGAAAATTTATTTGTGCATGTTGTCTTCGAATTCACAAAAAAATTAGTCTTGATATGTCTGCAGGATATCTTAGTTTGAAGGAAACGACCGTGATACAAATTCTACCCATGAGAGATCTGAGGCAACTTCTCCTTCCAATTACACTAGGAATGCTCATGTGCGACAAAAGTTCCCTGTTCCAGACATGTCTTGTTGGTACAGAGTAGTAGTTTTTCGATGTTGTGAATTCTGTTGTCTTCTTTTGCCTTATTTTCTTATTCTAGGGAGTGTTCGTCCAGAAGAAACCACAACTTCTCAAGGAAAATAAAATAAATAGTAACAGTTTGGATAGGAAATTTAAATGTAAATAAAGTAGCTTTGAAAAAGATGTTTTTCATCTTGTCACGAGTATGGGACAAAGAAAAAATCCTGAGTCCCCATGAGGATTTGAACCTCAGACCTTTGGATTCTGCGCTCCGATGCTCCACCACTGAGTCACAGAGACTCTATGGTGAGTGAGGTCTATTACAAAGGTTATATGACATGTGTCCTGCATACTGTTAGGATCAGCAATGTTGATAGTGTCACGTTTGTAAATAAAATAAGAGAGATGGAAAGTTTTGAGCTCGGTAAAGAGAAGGTTGTCTTTTGTCTTTTCACAAGTGTGAGACAAAGAAAAAACTCTGAGTACCTTTCTCACTGTAGAGTCTCTGTGGCTCAGCGGTAGAGTAACAAAGGTCTGAGGTTGGATTCCTCATGCTAGGTTGTTATGCTTGGTTGCCAAGCCTTTGAACAGGAGTGAGACTTAGTTTGACCTTGTTATGATACAAACGTTGCTGCTTTTCAAATGCAAATGACTTTGTTAGCATGCTAACTCTAACCCTCTTGATCAAAATTAATTGTATTGGATATCTCCTTCCTTCTCTTTTACAATCATGGTTACAGTGGCACCCCTAATATATTTGCCAACAGTATAATGGCTGTACCACAACGGGGAGTTTGTTGTCACCTCTTAATGTTATTTTAACTCCATCATTTGTTCTACTAACAAAGTTAGGGTTTTTATGTGGTATAAACCAAAACAATTATTAACTTCAATATTTACCTCGCTGCTTTGTGGATTACGGTAAATATCCGCTATTTTTCACCTTCACTTGGGTGAATAATTGTTTATTAGTATAGTTGCAGGGGTTACTATAGAAATGCATGCGCTCTGATTGGTGGAGGATTGTTTCATACCTCGCAATAATCACCTTGTGCAAAGTGAGTTTAGCAGGGGCTCTAAATTTCCAAATGATTGTCTTGTGTTTTGTTAATGATATGCAGGACACAATAAACATGACATAAGCACAAAAGATGCTACTAAGTTTAGTGCAACACTTTTTACCTTCACTTGGGTGAATAATTGTTTATTAGTTTAGTTGCTGAGATGATTATAGAAATGCATGCACTCTGATTGGTGGAGGATTGTGTCATATCTTGCGATAATCACCTTGTGCAAAGTGAGTTTAGCAGGAGCTCTAAATTTCCAAATGGTTGCCTTGTGTTCTTGTGTTTTGTTAATAATATGCAGGACACGATAAACATGTTATAGGCACAAAAGATGCTACTAAGTTTAGTGTAAAAAGGAAAGATATGTTTTTTCTAATTGAATTAAATAAACCTGTCAAAATCCTACAGAAACCACCTGTCTTGTTGTTATGAGTAATTAAAACAGTTATATGTGATGGTTCCAACATCAAACCAAGTTTACAACAGAATGCAAATGCATCTAAGCAATAATATACCAAAACAATTACAGCCACAGGCTTAGTGAAAATTGATGAATACTCCTCTCAACTTCATCTCAAGGATTATTCAACAGTTTTTACTAAGCCTGAGGCAAATAAATGCTAATTATTGGAATGGGATTGTACTAAAAGGGAATAGATATCTAATGATAAAAAATAAATTTTAAATAAATCTATGAATGAAATAGTCAGTCAAAAGTGTACATCAACCACCATTTTATTGTGGCAGTTTAAAAAAGGTTTAAGGCCACGATAGATTCTGATTGAGAAGTGTTCGCAATAACAAATTATGTACCATCAAGTTTGAAATATTTTTCCATGGAAAGTTTTGTTGTGTGTTAGTTCGCATGAGCTTTCTTGGCAGTTACCACAAAGCACTCCAAGGTGCACTTGTCTTGGTTACCAGGGTGACTAGACAATGGCTGTTTTACCTAATTCGCAATGTAAGGGGCAGAAGTTAAAGTGATGCAAACATTTTCGAAAGGTGTGACTCTTTCTCCAAGGTTATTTGTCAGTGATAAAAATTTGACTCATTTTCCTTGGTTGAGTTTTTAGCCATTTTATAACAAGATCTCATCAGTAATCTCCTTTCTATCTGCCACACAATTCTTATGATGTTAGTTTTGAGAATTTGGTATTGGATCAACAATTCATCTCCTAATTGATACTTTTCTTTATTCTCATAGCTTGATACTGTATTGATATTGTAAGGAGAAATTCAGACTTGGTCACTCATGGGAGTTGAAAGGTTAAGCCTGAAGATCACATGCAGAATTTTAGAAATGCTTGCCAGTCATACTGCTTACTCCAAAGACAGGGGATGTGATCAGGGCTTCAGGATGTCATGTAATATTACACATGGTTCTTTTCCTTGCAAGCTAAACGTTATTTTTGACAACCATATTGGGAACTGAGGTGGCAAAATTGCAATTATGGAAAAAAAAGATCTTTAATCATGTCCACACTAGAAATTCATGTAGAACTTAGCCAATTTTTATTCCAAGGAGTGACCAGTAAGGAAATTTTTGTTATAATATGCTCCGTGTAGTTTCAAGTAAAAAGATTTGTGAAGAAAATAAAGAAATTCATATAAAGGATATCATTTTGATTAATGCCAATGTTTGAGGTGTCAGTTTAAGAAATGTAGAGCCCTCGTTACTGTTAATAATGATAAATAAGTCCTGGGAGTGAGAGGCCCATTCTTATCCATTATTCTTAAAACTAAAGATTTTAGATATTTTCCAAGTCATTACTTGTGAAATCACCAAATTCATGTTTTAAATAACCTATTGCCCCCATTGCTTTAATCCTTTTGGAACAAATAGCAAAATTCACTGCTGTGGCATAAGAGCTGCTAGTAATAATCAAATGCCTTTTTGTTGTACCAATCTCAAGCAATATACATTTCTCTACTAGGGTCCTAAGATTTGGAACTCACTTCCTGTATCAGTCACTCATTCATCAAGTCTTCATAGCTTCAATACCAAAATGTGAGAGTTTACACCAAAATAATGGCCAAGTTGGCCAAGCTGCATATTCACAGCACTTTTTATTTATATATCAAATTATTTATTTAATACACTGTTGTAGGTTAAATGGCCTTTCCCAAAAGTGGGGTGGGTTCTGGAGGTCTCCTTGCCTTATGATGCATATTACTATTATTGCAGTGTATTAAAATGGCAATTGAAAAATTTTGAAGATAAGGGGTTGTGATAAGTCTTGGATTTGAGTGAGTGAGAATATGAATCTGTTCATAGGAATGGAAACAAGAAGAAAAGAAAGAAAAGAAGGTCAAGAAAAAGGAAGAACGTTTAAAGAGAAAGGAACATGAAAGGGAAGAGAAGGAGGTAAAACTATTTCAATGATTAATGATGCATAGCTGATTACATCTAGGTACATGTGCATCTGTTTTCTCTGCTGTTAACCCTTTAACTCCCAGATCAAATTTGTAATTCTCCTTACTGTCAACCATACAATTATTATAATGTTAGTTCAGAGAATTAAGTATTGAATCAACTAATTATCTCCTAATTGATATTTTTCGTTATTCTCATCACTTATCTGGTTGATATTGTATTGATATTGTAAGGAGAAATTCTGTCTTGGTCACTCATTGGAGTTAAGGGGTTAAAACAAGATGAGAGGAGGAATTGTATTTTCTTTTGCCTGCCTTCTCTGATTTCTCTGGTTTTTGTGCACATCAGTATGCATACTACAGCTTCTACAAAGTTTGATTTCTCTAGAACAAGTTCTTTTGGCCTTTTGCTGATGGACATTTACACACAGTACCCTCGTGTATTGTTTGTGATATGTGTTTTTGACTAAAATATGTGGTGTCTAAAAGGTAGGAACAGACACAACAGCCAGCTGTAGCACTATGTCTTGGTAACTGTAACCTCTCTGTGCAGCTTGGCCAATTCAGTGATAATAACAAAGTCAAGCCTGTTTAAATTTGTGCAACATATCATAGTTGCTAAGTTGGCGACAAGGACATGTACAGATATTCACAACAATAATCCATGTCTTGAAACCACTGCAGCCTCTAATCACTTGATAGACTGTGAACAAACTCTATTTGACTCAACATAGCAACAATTTTGGCATGGAACTGCATAGTGTTTCAAAAAAAGCTCAATTTTTAAAATCCAAATAGTTTAAATTTGGAGTTTTCTGCAAAATCTGTAGTTGTTTCTTGTCTTTTTTGTTGAAACACCATTTTTAAAGGGAATGTTGACCATGCAAGTGACAACAAGAGAACACATCATTTTTTTCCTTTTTCGTTTCTTTTCTTTTTTTTTTATTTCATCTGTCAACTCTGAGAGTTTCTTAAAAACAAGTGTTTAGTGCTTCACTTTATTTACCAGAAAGAAGAACAAAAACTGAAGATTTATAAAGAACAGGGACAAAGAGAGATGAAAGAGAATCTCAAGCAAGGAGATAAGGTTAGCAGAAGTTAGTCAAATTGCTAATGTTATGTGGTGTGGAGATGGTTTTCGAAGAGGCTTAGTGACTTCCAACATTTCGTCTGGTTTCCCTAACAATTAGTCGGCACTAATTGATGCAAAAATCAAACCAGAGCCTTGTGCGTGAGTCCAGTGCAGGTGCCAGTAGGTTACTGCGTGTTTGAAAGCAAACAAGCCAACAGCAGGAGAGCTTCCTTGTGCCATCATGTTTGATGGTTTTGTTAGTCAGCCTCTTGTGGAAAAAAAAGTCAACATGCCCTTACTAAAATTGGCTGGCCAAGAGAGTTCATTCCTTAGTATGTCAGAGTTGTCTTGTAGTTTGCTTGCATCATGTGATCAAGTGTTAAAGCGGGAAAACGTGCTAACGACGAATCTTTTGATTGGTTGAGCGGAATGTGTTTCCTAACGTACGTAAATTCTGATTGGGTGATGATACACTACACTACACAGAAGGGCTGTTTTTGCTTATATCTTGAATTTATCTTCTCCTCCTACACAGAACACGCATCCACCTCTCCAAAGAGTAGATTCTGGAAAGACGAGAATTAGCATTGTAAAGCCTGTAAGGAAGCTTGAATCCTCAACTATTCCTAAATCACCTCCGAAAGTACCTGCTTCCCCAGTATTGGCTACACATGCGCAGTTCCTCTCAAGAAAGCGTTCGCAATCCGAAGGAAGTGAAGGCGAACCTTCTACTCCACCCCCGTCAGTATGGAAAGTACCGGAATACGTCGAGCCCAAGTGGAACCCTGGGAAACCTGAATCAAAAACGGACGTTATGAACGGCCTTTAACTCTTTCATTCCCAGGCTCCCGGGGGTGGATTTTAAGGATACAAGAGGACCAACAAATAAATGTTTCTAAGTTGTTTAATGGTCAACATACTACCATAAATGAGATATCAAATGAAACTTTAGACATTTCTTTTTAAGAATATATCATTTAATACAGTGTCATATAGTCACAGCTTCTAATAAAATATTAATAAACTTAATAAAAATATATTTTAATATAAAAAATTAACATTTTTCAATTTACAAAGCCTGTAGCAAGACCCAAATGTTTAAAATGCAAGGTAAAATTGTCTACAAAATTAATTCTATCTCCAGTACTCTACTTTAGAATGATAATCACCCCAACAGTTGTGATCCTTCTGGATGCACAGGAAAACATTACACACCCTGCAAAATATGCTTGGGCGTGGCACATATGGAACTGGGGGTGACCTATCCTTGGGAACATCTTTGAAGTCATTTTTATGAGATAGTCTTATTTTTTTGCTGCAAACAGCACAATTTCCCCTAGTTGCAAGCATTTCTGGCATATGTGCACCCACATTTTGGAGTCGTAACTCCTCATTTCGTGGCGCATTTGGGGTCTTTGGTTGGGTACGGGAATTCCCTATCAGACCCTTGGCCAACTCATACCTGAAGTCCAAAGCAACCCTCCTAGGTCTGTTTGTTCCCTCCCTTTCATGGCATTCAATGACAAAGGCATTGTGAATGGCCACCTCTACCTCATGGAAAAGAACACGACGGTACCACTTCACTGTTTTCCTGATACAAGTGTAATACCTTAGCATTTGATCAGCTTGATCAACCCCACCCATGCAATTATTATAATCCTTCAACAAGGGTGGGCAAGGGACATCTCCACTTTCCCTCCCTCTCCCGCCCCTCTTCGCGAACAACCCTTGCCTCAGCATTTGCCCGGCGGTGGAAATTCAGGGGGTGAATGGTAGACAAAAAAAATAAACAGCTTTGCTGTCTAGCCACCCAACAGCAAGAAGTGGACCACACATCCGCCATTGATATGTGCCCCTGGCCAAGCCCCCCTGGTCCCTTCAAATAATATTTCATTCGGAAAATTCTTCCTCGATCCCTTGATGGTCCCACAAGCATAAATACTGTTTTCAAATAAATACTGATAAAGATCCACGCTTGTGTAAAAATTATCAGTATATAAATGATGGCCAAAACCCTCCAATCCAGTGCACAATTCCTTTACCACCCTAGTTGCTAGTCCCACCTCTGCCCTTTCCCTGGATTTCTCCCTATATACAATTGCTGCCTATAAATATATGTACTTTCTGAATCTGCCAAGACCCAGACTTTGATGCCAAAACGGATTGGCTTACTTGCAATAAACTGGCGGAAGGACAAACGCCCCCTCAAGGAATCATACATTCATCAATAGATATGTTCTTATGGAGATTATAAGCTTTTTCAAAGTTAGGAAAAAGCAGTTCCAATAGTGGCTTTATTTTGTGTAACTTATCGTATCCTGGTTGTCCAACAGGAACAATAGCAGCATCATCAGAGACATGCAAATAGCGCAAAATCTGGAAAAAGCGATTCCTGGGCATGACTTGACCAAAGGCAGGAACATTAGTAAGCCATTTCTGCTGCCAGTACATTTTAGCCTCAGGCAATTTCACAATTCCCATGGCAATGTTTAGTCCAAAGAATGCCTTCAGTTCTTCCAGGGTCACATCTTTCCAGGCCCCACCATCAGTACCAGCAGCCCTCTTCCTTTGTGCATTCAGGTTTGTCATTGTCAATAACAAATTCCACACATGGTGGTCAAAAAACAGTTCAAAGTACTCAAGAGCACTTGCCTGCCTCCTCTCACCTCGTCTTGTTGGCCCAACAGCACTTGTAAACTGTTTTAAATTTCTCCTGCTGTTTTCCTCTAACCAAACATATTGTTGGCCGCCATCTTGGATTCTGGCTCCTCGGTTTCCTCCTCTCCTCCCTCTGGCTCTCACCGCTCCTTGGCCTCTTCTTCGACCACGTGCTCTGCCAATGGCTTCTCGAAGCTGTCGAGACCTGTCTTGTCGCTGTTCTCTCACATATTCACGACGATCTACCTCACTTTCACTCGAAGACTCGCATTCTTCATCCGATAAAGAAGGACTGTCGCCAGAATTATCCTCAATTCCCACTGAATTCTCAGGAAAAACGGCCACAACTTCCTCATCTTCGATCTCTGACTCAGACGAGTCATAAGCGATCGATGGATCGGCGTCCATCGCATCTAGCCGCTCTAAAACTTCTTCTACAGACAAATTTTCTCGAATTCGACAAGTCGCCATTTTTAAATATCCTGATGATAAACAAGAAAGGTGTAACTATCCGAGAAAGGCAAAAAATTGCGAGGAAAACGTCCCAAACTAGCCAGAATAAGACTCAAAACAACACTGATGGCTTTTAATCGTACCCAGACTCCGACTTCACGGTTGTAACACGAGGAACGCCTGGAGCTTTTTGTGTGTGGTCCAGGTAGCCCTGCAGGGCTACCTGGGAAGGAAAGGGTTAAGGACCGACTAGGCTTCGAAGCTAGACCTTTTGATTTACAGTGCCAGCGCCAAGAATAATTACCACTCCATCACGGCTTCCAAAAATCTTGCGCGGCATGTACAATAGGGATCTGGGACAATTCAGTGCGTAGATCTCGACTGTCAGACCTGAGGCGCGTCTCTGTAACGGTAATTAGCATTCCTGTAGCCCTTTGTTGACTGTTCAAGAGGTATTCGGTCTTGTAAATTAAAGCTTTTATTTGTGTCGTTCACATTGTAAGGTCTAGATAACAGAATTTTCATAATGCGAACGATGAAACAGAACGAAGTAATGAGAAATTAAACAGAACGGAGAGATTTTTGAGCTAAGACACGTTATAGTTTTCCTAACATTTAGATTTTTTGACATCGAGCCCGAAAATAATTGAGACTTTCGATTAAGGGCCCCAGGTATTAGATGAAAGTTTGGAAGTGAGATACAACAGCAGCAGCTTGTTGGCCATGGCTAACTCATTTGAAATCTAGTATATTTAAATAGCATTCGTTGAGGTAAACATTCTCGGTATATTCCCCCTCTGGAACGTCTTGCACAAACTCGCGCCTCTAAGGTTTGATATCGCTCGTCAATCTAACGACTTCACCCCCCGCTTCCGCTTCTTCCTCGATATTCCTAGGTACGGCCCCGAAAAGTGATTCATGAACAGGAAACCTTTCACACTTTAAACCTAAGCTCAACGGCTTTTTTTTTTCTTAACATCTCATTTCATCCTTGAAAACAGTACTGTTCTAAATTGTCACTACATAATGATCATACAAAGTGGCAAACCTGAGTGCCTGAGTGATTACTCGCATGCGATTACATTGTGGACGTAAATAGTACTCATTTTGCAAACGAAACTTTTAAAATTATACTCCTTCACAGGTTATTTTATGTTAGCGAGCTTTTTCTTTTTAAGGCTTCCGCCCTGATACTCATTGGATCGTTTTCCAATTGCTCCAAGTTCAACTCCTTGGCTGCGCTTTGTAAGGTGTCAACTAGTCTGCCTCTTGCTAACCATTGCGTTTATTATTGTTTACTATGCATCTTTCCATTTTTTCAAAATTATATTATTATATTTCTAGATTCTGTGACTTGTAAAATGTGTCCTAAGACCCGTTATTATTTATTTATCAAGTTATGATAAGTTTTTTCTTCTCATAAATATCCTTCTTTCCTGTATGAAATATCATCGACAACTAGCCTGGCTTATTAGCTGTGTTCTAAGAACTACTGCTGGCCGGGTGGGACTGGATCAACCCTGTTATCAACAGATGAGCCAGTAAGGAGTTTCTTAAGTCCTTGACGATAATTTCCATTGAAAATGAAGCAGATACAGGGGTTAATTGCACAATATGATACAGCCAGAAAAAATGCAGCAAGTGTGAACATTTTGTACCCACAAGAAGATATCAGGGCCCTGTCCGCCAAAAAAAGGTATCCTATTTGGCTGGAGGTGAAGGGAAGCCAGCATATCGCAAATGCAAACACGATAGCTATCGACATCTTGAGCACATTTCGCTCTCGTCTTTCTCTGCTTTTCCTTGAGTTGTCTGATTGTTCGCCTGGCGTTTTCCGTGACTTCAGTTTTAAAAAAATGGCGATGTAAAGTATGGCAATCGACAACAAAGGAATATAAAACACTAAAATTGAAACGCTCAGGAAGTAGTGTCTGAAAGACGTAGAGTCCCCAAAAACTTCACTCCACTGCCTCTGACATTTGGCCCCTCCAGAGTACTCGACAACCGTAAAGGTGAGGAAAAACGGCGAGAAGACAGCCATGGCGACTATCCAAGAAGCAAAAATTAACAAATAGGACAATTTTGTACTGAAGAATGGCGAACGGAGGGGAATTATTATAGCCACAAATCGATCCACTGCTACTAAAACCAGGTTCTGAATTGACACACCGGTTGAGACATCTGCCAAGAAAGTTGTCATCTTACACAAGGCCTCGCCAAGACGACCTCTTATTAACCAGGCTTCGGAGCCCAGATGTAGCTGTGTTATGCTTGGCGTGAACAGGAAAAGCGAATAAATAAGATCGGACATGGCCATGTTAACGATGAAAAAGTTGATGGGTTTTCTTAAAGTTCTTGTCCTGTAGACAATTATCCCAATAAGGGTGTTTCCCACCAACGAAATAACAAGTAACAAGCAATAAACAATAGTTTCTCCAATTCTTCTCGCTAAAGGATTGAAGCAGTTTGGAAATGTAACTGGCTGCCCTTCCTTCACTGTTGTGTTCATAGTCATGTTCGCTTGCATTTCTTTCATTAGTAGGAGTACCTCTCCGACACTGGCAAAGTACTGAATTTCCTTTTAGCGAACAGCTCTCATAAATGAGTTCTACAAGTCGACTCGCCGGAGTCGACACCAGTCTTAGTCTATATCAATCAATCTATCAATCAAACGATGGTTTTTATCATGGAAACTTACATAATGACAGTTAACAGATGAATGCGGCTTTTAAGCTCTCTTTGAATGTCATTATATATTTCGATGTTAAAACATCAATATAATGAAAGTTAAAGAAAGAAATTAAACTAATATAAAAGAAAATATGTGCAATAAAAGCCCAAATAATTATGATTTGAGATTAAAGACTTCAGCTATCATTACGCGGGAAAAGAAGCATGTGCTAAATGAGAGTTTGAAGTGGTTCTGTTACAGATGGTTTCTTCTGGTTGAAGCAAATTATCGTATCATAATGACGAATGAAACATTTCCATATTCATTCATGTTCCTTGACGTTTTGAAATAAGCCTACGTGGGGTAATTAGCTTGGACCTGAAGGCTGACTTGAGTCCTGCTGTGACCAGGTGCAGTCTATAAGCTGCTAACAATTATTACTCAGGAAACAAACGTCAAGCTAAAAATATTCAGATCATGGGTCCTGGTTATTACAGTTTCCCATCCTTACTTATCGCTCAGAACGGAAGGGATACACAAAAATTGACAAACTCCTTCCCACAGGAGGAAGGGGACATCCCCTTAAATTCTTGTTAGGGTCGTGCTGATCTGTTCTCTAACTCCTTATTCTAGTTATATGGGCTGTGCCAGCTGCAACGGAATCTAATGTCGCTTGGCCAGTATGTTAATGCAAACAAAATTGATCTTATCAAGGGCTATAGTCACGTACTATTCCAAGATATTTAGGTTTGAAATCCAAAAAAGTGTTAACTTTGGTTTTTGTAAAAGAATGTTCCCACCAATTCCATTTGAATTCGATTTTTTAAAATCAACAGTTAATTAAATTAATAAGCCAATAGGGTCTTCAGAACTCTGTTTATGTAGGTTTTCATAGTCAAAATGATTCCATGAATATCCTGATCACTGCCACTTGCACAACCAATTATACTGAAAATTCTAAAATTCGTCCCTTTAAAGTCCTATGTCATTTTCTGGTTTGCGGGCAATAAAACGCTCTAGACTACATCTCTAGTCAGTAGATTCACATTGTTTAGTTTTGAGAGAGAGAGACCATCAAACTCCTTACTGAAGTCATGGCTAAACAGAAGAAACGTTTAATAGTACCTTCCCACGGGGCTTTTCAGCAACATGATCACCACACAATAAAGAAATGTCTATATCACAACAAAATTACTGCTGAGAAAAAAGATGTTTCTTCATTAGATTTTTAAAAGCCTTGAGCGGGGGAGCAGGTGGTTTGAAGAAACTGTTTATTTTCCTGCATGCGAATGGTTTTCCATCCTGTATCAGATTGCTGACTAAGCAAAACATAGGTACGCAACGCGTGCAAGAGTTTTTTTTTTTTTAGGTTTAGCCAATATCCGAACAAGCCACAACAATAGCTACAAGTCCGATTCACTGCACGTCATTCTATTTTTTAAGACACGATTTGATTGGCTCCATGATACACCACCCAACCCGATTGGTTTTAACGTATCTACGTCACTCACAAAGGAAACGAAAGTATCACTCTGACGCCCAAATGTCTAATTAAAATAGTTGGCGGTGACCTCTAATTAACAAAACTACTTCTACCTGAAAACCAACTGTCAAGTTACCTTTTTTAACGGAACCATCACCTCATGAACTAAAAGTGTATCGAAGAAAAACGTCTTCATAGACACAAAGGGTGCGTTCCTTTGGGAGAACCCGGATCGGATTTCTGATCTGTGGCGTTTCTTTCGAGCAAATCCATTTACAGATCAGTGATCTATCAAATCCACTCTAGACAAGGATTCATCGGATCACTGATCTGCGTGATCTAAAGACGGATCATCGGATCATCGGATCATTGATCCAACGCGTTCCTTTGGACGAAGGATCCGAAATTAATCATTTTGCCCAGCGGTGCTCAGTTTCAAACAAGTAGGTATTTCAAATATTGACCGGAAAGTTTGTTGGCAAGCGCTCCACAAATTCGGCGATAAACACGAAATAAAATCGATTTTGTAATGCTAAATAGATCGGTCACTGATCGTAGGCATTAAGGGTTCCCAAGTATCCATATCGTAATCAACACTTGCTCCTGTTTTAATTCCATTGTTTGAGTTTACCATGAAAAATGTACTTCTAATGAATAAAGCTAATTAGAAAATTGTGCACGCTAAATTAAAAGCCCGTGCAGTTAGACGAGCCATTCAGGGAAGAGCTCAATAACCCACAGACATACACAAGTCTTAGGGCCTGTTTACATGGAGGTGGGGGACGTCAGGTAGGTGAGGTAACCCGCCCGTCCCTATAATTTCTTATTTTATTTTGATCACGTTTACATGATAGGTGGGGTGACCTGCCTAGGCGGGTTGCCCGGTCTGCCAGGTAGGGTAACCCTGTCAGCCGGGGTGACAATTTGCCATGTAAACGTGTCAAGATGGGGTAACCCGCCTAGCTGGGGTCGCGTTCATGGCAAAAAGCTCAAAAGCGAAACATGTATATTTTAAAACTTTGTACATTTCCTAACCGTCTCATGGCAGAAATCACCAGAAACCGCAACGGACACACAAGGAGTGTAAAATGTTTACATTTCGGAACATTTAGCGTTGTAAATCGACCATATTTGGTTTCCCAAACTATTCCGTATAACGTATTAAGTCAACGGTTCCTCTTGAAACCAAACACCGCGTAACACAACGCGTGACGCTTTCATGAATAAATACATATGTCTCCGAGAAATAACCTTTCGTCTTTTTCGAGATGTGAGCTTGGAACGCCTCTGCCCAAACTCCTTAATTGCAAGCGCAACAACAACCTCAAGAAAACTCAACCCAGCACCCCGGGGTTGTAAGATTGCATGTAAACGCGTTTAATTTTTCGATCACGGCTACGCGGGTTACCTCACCTACCTGGGGTCCCTCACCTCCATGTAAACAGGCCCTTAAAATAGGGCACTTTTTGGAATTCTCTGAGAGCTCGTATAAGGAATAGTAAACATGATCAAGATGAAATGAGAGATGATAGCGGAACTCGCAGAGTGTAGTCCCATAATTATACAAAATGGTAGTAGTAATAGTAACCCATCAAGCCGAAAAAGACCAAGAAATTTCATCCTTGCAAATTTCACCGCCGTGAACCAGAGAGATATTTTGAATATGTCGAACAAGGAACTCGAAATGTGGATTTCAAGTGATGAAATTGATGTTAGCGCCGAGGAAGATTTGTTTAAGATCATTCTAGCATGAATTGATCATGACAAAGGCAAGCGAAAGAAATGTTTCGCCGAGTTATTTCGTCAAGTTCGACTCGTTTATGTATCGCGTGACTTTCTTGGCAGTGATGTCATGGCAAATGATCTCGTGAAAGAAAATTAAAGGATGTATGGATCTTGTGAGGGATGCTGTTGACTCAATCTACTCCAGATATTGTGATAACTTTTCTGTTTCACCCAGGAAGTCGCTTGAGATCTCTTCTTTTGTGGTGATTCGGGGCGAGGAATTGCTCTGTTATTTTCTTGGCGAGAATAGCTGGTGCACATTACGTAAGATACCATCTGAATATGGCAAGTTACAGCATTTATTTCCTTGCAAAGGGGATTTGTACAGTACTGCAAGGCCAAAATCAGTTATAGTAAGCTACAATCCACACACCAATAGTTGGACGCGGTTAACAAATATTGGAGAAGACACATATTTGCTGAAAATATATGTTGGAAATGACGAATCGTACGCTTTGCTGTCTGATGTATGCACATCTTGTATAGATAGTCACATAAGATCTTTGGAAAATGATCTATGTGACAGAGCTCACAGCACTTTCATCTCTAAGTATAAACCAGAACCACAATCATGGCAGAAAATCTTATCTCTTCATCTTTTTTATCACTTTGTGAGGCGAGACTTTTGTATTGTAGCCAGTGAGCATTTCATCTATTTTATTGGCGGCCTTGTTTGTGTAAATATGCTTAAAAAGTACCTGAGCGACGTTGACAGATATGACCTTAGCAAACACCAGTGGAAGAAAGTAGCTGACATTCGAATTGCAAAAAGAAGAGCGATCATTAAACCCATAATGCCTTACGGCAGTATGATTTGGACTTCTTGCAGTCAAGAAAATCTTTTGAAAGTCCTGCGTCTTCAAAAACGTGTGGCTAGAATAATTCTTGATGCCAAAAGAACAACACCTTCTGTCGCCTTATTTAACTCCCTAAAGTGGATTCCCTTTTATGCTGAATCATATGTAAATCGATGCACTTTAACCTACAAAAGGCTACATGGCAAAACCCCTGAATATATAAATGATTTACTTATCAGGAACTCTGACACACATAATAGATCAACCCGTTTCTGTAATCCGGCTTAACTTAAGTTGCCCTCGATATAAGAGAAGTAAGGAAGGTGGTCGAACTCTTGCTGTGAGAGCGACAAAGGAATGGAACAAACTAAGTGTGGGCCTCAAACGTAGTACTATTGTTAAAAACTTTAAGCGTCCCGTTTTTAAAATAATATTAAATAATCAAATTCTTACGCAATTATTCATGTAAATTTTAAAATCTGTATATAACCACATTTTATAATCTTATTTTGCGATGTGCAAAGGCTTATATACTATTTTAATTACTATTAATATTGTTACAACTATTGCTATTAGTTTTTTTTTTAGGGCTTTTAGATTATCAGTATTATTACTGTCAAATGTTACTCTGATTAAATAAAGTCTTACCTATCTACCTAACTACTTACCTTCATTCTCTTCGAAAAGATCATTTGTCACGACATCAACTCGGCGAAATATTTCTTTCGCTTGCTTTTGTCATAATCAATCCATTCCAGAATGGTCTTAAACACCTCTTACTCAGCGCTAACATCAATTTCACCACTTGAAATCGACATTTCTAGTTCCTTGTTCGACATATTCAAAATGTCTTCTCGGTTCGCTGAGTACATAGTTTTGGCTCTAAATGAAAAATTAATTACGGGTATTATAGAGTTTTTCCTTTTGTTTAATGTCATTTTAAGTAGGGGTCACCGGGAACCGAGTCTTTTCACCCACGCGCGAGCACGCGCGACCATGCGCGACCATGGCGTGACGCGCAGTCCTTTACCCAAAGGTAATGGACAAAAAATAAAACAAAATCTAGATGCAGGTCATTGTATGATTTACGTTTTCGGACGTTCAGTACGGATGGAGAGACTGACTACGTCAGTGGTGTTCATATTTACGCATTATTGTATGACCCTCTCTGCTTTATTGCATACCGAATTCATTCGATCAAACGCCATGGCGTTTATAAAATTTTTCGTGATTTTTTATTCGAGGGCGGCGTTTATACGAGGGCGTTATATATAGCGTTCTCAATTTCACGATTTGCATGTTAATATATTACTGCATACATAACGTAAATAGTCGATGTCGGATATGCTTTCTCGACATCTGAACTGGTACATTCAAAAGGATTTGTGTCTGGTTCACACAAAATTTCCAACTGTGATCAAAGTATTGATCGTCGTGTGCTTTTTGAACCTATTATTCGAACAAACGCCGCCTCATGATGCGGCGTTTATTTCAGGGCGGCGTTTATTAATATTTCTCCTCTAAAGTGCGCTGTTTATTCGAGAGCGGCGTTTAGTCGAATAAATACGGTATGTAGCGAGACATGAAATTTACCTGATACTCTGTTGGAGACTGGTATCTAGTACAATACAAGATGGCGGCAGATGTGGACACTTTCGATAAAGACTTTTAGAACAAAAAGAAAAGATACAGAATGATGGATTCTGGCAAGCTTGAGGTGATGCGTAGAAGCGTTGGACCATGGTTTGTCAATAGAGATTTTCAGTCTGTTTGAAATTTTTATGTAACATTAATTTGAAAATTTATTCGTGCTTGTTGTCTTCGAATTCACAAAAAAATTAGTCTTGATATGTCTGCAGGATATCGCAGTTTGAAGGAAACGACCGTGATACAAATTCTACCCATGAGAGATCTGAGGCAACTTCTCCTTCCAATTACACTAGGAATGCTCAGGTGTGACAAAAGTTCCCTGTTCCAGACATGTCTTGTTGGTAAAGAGTAGTAGTTTTTCGATGTTGCAAATTTTATTGTCTTTTTTTGCCTCATTTTCTTATTCAAGGGAGTGTTTGTCCAGAAGAAACCACAACTTCTCAAGAAAAAGAAAGTAAATAATAGCAGCTTGGATAGAAAATTTAGATGTAAGTAAAAGTAGCTTTGAAAAAGATGTTTTTCGTCTTGTCACGAGCATGGGACAAAGAAAAAATTCTGAGTCCCCTTGAGGAATTGGGCCTCAGACCTTTGGATTCCTTCACGCTCCGATGCTCTACCACTGAGCCACAGCAACTTTACGGTGAGCAAGGTCTATTACAAAGTTCATATGACATGCGTCCCGCGCACTGCTACAATCAACGATGTCAATAGTGTCATGTTTGTTAATAAAATAAGAGAGATGGTAAATTTTGAGCTCGATAATGAACTAGAGAAAGATATTTTTCGTCTTTTCATAAGCGTGAGACAAAGAAAAAATTCTAAGTACCTTGCTTACAGTAGAGTCTTTGTGGCTTAGTGGTAGAGCATCAATTTCATCAGGTTCAATTCCTCATGCTTGGTTGCTGTGCTTGGTTGCCAAGCCTTTGAACAGGAGTAAGACTGAAGTTGACCTTGTTAGGATACAAAAGTTGCTGCTTTTCAAATGCAAGTTACTTTGTGTGGTCTCTATCTCAATATGGTCACCTTCAGCCTCACTCCATGTCATAGGCTTGGCAACTAAGTACACAACTGCAAAATGGCCTATTGTCATCATACATGACTGGATGCAAGGAGTAACCTACATAAATCAAAGTGATGTAGCTACATTATAAAATCATTTCATACCTCTTTATTGAAGATACATGAAAATGGTGGAATGAGGCAGAGCCTTTGTATGAAATCCCTTCATTGTGGAATTTCAAATTACAATTTAACTCTTCCTTTCCCCCCTTTGTATTATTTCCATATTTAGGTGCAGCATGCATGATTTCATAAATTAGACAATCACATCAAAAAATTCCAAACTTGACATCGAAAATTGATGTGGGCATGTTTTAGCCCTTTTTTGTTTGTGTTATGGAGTTATTTTTACTTTTCTTAGCTTTTGTTTTCACAAATTGTTTACCCCTTTGTTTGGAATTGAAAGAAGCTTTGAAGTTTATATTTGAACCAAATGTTTTGCTTCATTTAACAAGTTTAATACAAGTCTCATTTTCAATGAATGGGTTTTTTTTATAGCTTTATTGGTGGGAGGGTGGGGTTGCCTCATGCCAGAAAACAGTCCAGTAATAAATGGCAGCTATCATTCCTGAAATCATGTTTCGGGACCAAGTACTTTTATGAATAACAAATATGTCAACTTTTCTGTGGCAAAGGAAATGTGCCCATCAGATTTGTACATGTCTATGTATGAGAGTTCATTATCTCATCGCCATTTACCTTTCATGACTGCTTCTAGTCAGCAGTGACCTTTCCTTTATGCTGAAATAACTTGGTAGAGTACATGTACTTAAGCATGTGCTTTCTTTGTTTTAGATGATATAAAGAAAGATGAAAAAATTCAGGGGGATCCTTTTAAGAGTATCTTTGTTGCAAGACTGGTATGTGACCAATATGTGTTTGTTTATCATGATTGTGACAATAAACGAATGTTTGATTGTTTGCCTCATGATTTAGGGTCATTATCAAGGCCCATTAGTTGAAATTTTATTGGGAGTACTGGATTTTAAAAATTTGATAAGGGAAATGGGTCAAACCTGTTAGCTGTGCATCACTGTTGAACATGAAGGAGGATAACTGCACTGTTACAACAGAAGCGTGGTTGTTGTTAGCTTTGGCCAGTGCAGTTTGACAATTAATGTTCAAAGTCAACCAAGACATTAACAAGCGTTAAGCATACTGTGTTGTCCTCAGCTACAGGAATGAGGACCACCAAATCACTGGGTTCCATTTGGTTCCATTTGGAAAATCTCAAATGTTGTTGTGAATTCAAGTTATTGATAGATCAAACAGCGTTAACTCAGGGCTAACAGTTTATGACCAGTGACATCTGGAGAGAGAGTGCAGGGGTCCAATTTCCCCCCTCTTCCCTTTCCCATCAGACCTTTAGAAGTAGCTTCTCAAATGGCTAATTTTTGTGTAATGCCATGTGAGGTTTATACTAAGTGAAGGCGAGGGGACAAGCATGGGTTGGGTTAGAAGTAATTTGCAGCAAAAAAATTCTGTGGTTTTTGAATCAAAATTTAAACCTCCCTCCTTCATTAAAATTCCAAGATTTGTCCCTGATCACTTACTGGGTAGTGTGGTACAAATTTACACATTTACTTAGTTAGCAAGGTTTGTAGTCCATGTTGCATTATTATTACAATATTATTATATTCTTTGTTTTCTTGAGATTTTTTCTATCTTCATCACAGGACTATAACACAACAGAGGAGAAATTATTTGAGATTTTTGGCAGGTATGAATGTTCACCCTTCTATAATAATTTTTCCAGTGGTGTGCGGCAGGAATAGTGTTCAGGTTATTGTCATTTTCACATCTAAGAGACCTTCAAAGTGAAAAGTCAGTGGAAATGTATTTCTGTCTATTGAAGCAATATTTGGTTACATTAAATAGATTTTTCCGTTCCCACAGATTAAAGATAATATTTGTACATGTATTCCTTTATGAATTCTAGTGAACTGTTTTCAAAGTTCTGCATAACCAGATCCTTTTTGTCGTAAAAACATGAGAATCTATTACCAGTTACTCTCAGTTTTAAAGATTACATGGCAAAAAATGACAGTGATGTAATGAACGTGTAATACTATGTTAGGGAATAATATGAATAGAAGAATTGCCTTATTGTCAAATTGTCAAATTTAAAGAGATAATTTTGCTTGGATTATGCAATTTCTTTCAACCATCTCCTCCCTAACTTCTTCTAATTCAAAAATAATTGTTAGGTGAAGTTGCGTTTTTTTTTCTTTTTCTGTCATTATTCAGATATGGATCCATAAAAAGGCTTCGGCTCGTGAAGGATGTAGAAACTGGAGAATCGAAGGGCTATACTTTTGTGGAGGTACAGTCCTTGCCGTGCAGTTCTTGAAATTTAAGCTCCGAAAATTTGGACTTAAATCCAGAAATATTCCAGAGTTGATATTTTTCATTCTTCTCATCAGTTTTTGCTTGACAATGTATAGACATTGTAGGAAGAAATTATCAGCTGTCTTTGATGAGTTATAGGAGTGAAAGGGTTAATCCAACACAAGGTCTTTGTCTCTAAGTTTTCAGATGAAAGCGAAGCAAAGAGAGCCTTGAGAGAGACCAAAGATAAACCACTTGTGATTGATGGAAGAAAGGTGAAGAAAAAAGTAGACTAGAAAAACTCGAAACTTTCTACAACGGGATTGTATTATCAACGGGGAGCACAAATGCTGTTTCTTCTTTACGTCGCTGTTTCTGTACATCTGCGTCGCTGTCTACCAATCTAACCTCTGAAAAAGTTAATGGCAACCGTTATCATTTACGACTCTATCCTGACTCCGTGAAGTGCACTCAAGTTTCACAGAAAGTTACATCTTAGTGTACCCTAGCCTTGCATCCACAAAACATTTTCTTGATTGTTTTTCGCTCATCATGTTCGTTCGTCATGTTTTGGAGTCGCAAAATTTTGAGAGTGATATATAAAACTGAGGTACAAGCATTAGCCAAAGTTATGGATTAGAAGACGAGAATTGAGCGCCAAAGAAATACTCACACTTTGGAACAGCTTTAAAATTCTCATTCTGTTGGTCGGTTGGTAAGGTGGTCTTCCTTCTGTAATTCATGATCAGTAAGTCAGTGAGAAGGACAAAGCTCTTTGGACAGTGAAGGACTGAAGCATAACGATAAAATCTCATGAGATGCCGTTTAAATCCTACCAAACATCGAATTAAACCACTAATACGGGAAGATAGACCACAAAAAAGTAAAGAAAAGAAACGCTCATTTTTGTTTGTTTTTTTTCAGATTCTGGTTGATCGTGTTCGGGCGGGTGTGATAGAATCCTGGCTACCACGTAGATTAGGCGGGGGTCTGGGTCAAAGGCAGAAAGGAACGCAGAGATTTGCTTGGAAGGTAACACCTTCATAGTCGTCCAATTCTATTCTGTTATATTGAAGTGACAAACGAATTGTTATCAATGTGATGCTGTGACCACCTTCCTGTTTTTTCAGATAATGCACGTGCACATGTTGCAAAGGAGTATGTTTCTCAGCCAACGTTTGCAAAATAACAGTCACAACTTCATTAATTTTTAACATAATTCCAAGCTTGTTTTTCCTTCTAACAGCTCGCTTACTTTGGTGATCCTTCTCGAATTGATCATGATGAAATTTACAGGAGGCAACAGTTATGGATGGAACACAACAGGTTGGCTGATTTTTACTTACCACAGTAGGCTTATTCCGATTCAAGTTTGATGAAACATGAATGTGACGCGTGCTTCATATGAAAGGACTACATTATGATGTAATTTTTGACTCAGCTTCATTGACATTTTCCTTTTTTAGCAATTCTCAATATTGTCTCAAAACTAATCCATTATTGCATCGTAATTTGGTATTATGAACTGAGTTGATAACGTAAATTGGCCACCTTAAAGAGTTTCAAAACTGACGTTTCAAGCGTTAGCCCTTCGTCAGAGCGAATGCAGCACCTTGGTGACTCGTCAAGTCGACCAACTGCATTCGCTCTGACGAGGCGCTAACGCTCGAAATGTCAGCATTAAACCTCTTCACGGTGGCCAATTTACTTTATCAACTCAGTTGATAATACTAAATTACCCTGTTATACCCTTCCACCGACGCAGCACCAAAGTTGCTCTAGAAACTTACCCCCTTTATTCAGGATTGCTTTTGTTTAGTTTACTTCGCCCTGTGATTGGTTCAGAAAAACCAATCACCCAATCGATCACCCAACCAATCAGATACAAAGTAGTGACTCGAAGAATTTACATTAGCTGCCATGACATAACTTGATGGTAAATAAAGTATGTGCTATTATCTTTCACATGAACTTTCTAGTTGATGATAATTGTTAAAAAGTACTCTTTTCTTTTCAACGGTGTGTATATTCTATATTGCAGACGTTCCATGAAACTCTCGTAGACTTTGGTACAAACTGGATTGTACGACGATAAAACCAAATTATTTAAAAACGAAACTCTCCTGTAGGACTGAATCCACCTGTCACCCAGCCCTATTTTTTATTTCATTCCCAACCATTTGAATTGAAATTGATACAGGATCTTACTGCACACCAGGAAAGTGCTCCGAAAAGCTGAGTTCGAGCAGGGGTAATGCTATCTCAATTGAGCCCTCAGTGCGCTCCTTAGTTGTGTCTGCAAAAATTTCTTCTGCCCTCAGGCGAAAAATTTTAAAGTTATTTAAGCAGGCAAGCTTACAATGGCAACTGAGTCTGTTATCGTTGGCCGACCGTAGGCTTGTAATTTACAAACTTTATGAATCTTCCCCTAACAAGCCATAGATACACAGAAAGAAAATACGTTGTACTGCTTTTTTTATTAGCTGCAAAGCGGTTCAGTTTTTGCATAGGCAGCCTACTAAGGCACCGTAAAAATGTAGCTGTGTTACGAAATAGACAAAATATAATAATTAGCATGGGAATGAACGATCATTTTACGAGCGAGTTTAAATAATAATAATAAAAAACTCTGCCCAAATTCAGTTTTGTGTTCCGTTGTTTAGAATTAGTGTTCTCTGCCGATTTAAAATTGTTTAATGTGTGTCTTTTCAGTTCCTTTCCTTTTTCCCTCCAATGTCTGGTAACGTGGGGTCAATTCCCGACCAGAGACCGTGGGCAATAAGTTTTTTGACTAATGGAAGCGCAAATTATCTTATTGATTTGACAAGGCTCTTTGAAATTTACTCCAGTTATTGATTACGAACAGAAAAATGAATTTTTTAGTGGGAAATCACCCAAAGTGTTTTGTCTCTCATCTAATTACTATCATGAAATGAGTGCCCGCTCGTTTGGCAACGGTGATGAATTTTCAAGTCTTAAACGGACTTTTATAGAAACATTTATTGTTAAGCCAAACTCCTGTTGTTACTAAAATTAGCTTTTCAAGTGGGAGGGATAACATTTTTAAGAATGGGGTGTGAAGTCTCTTAGAAAGTGTGACGTCATTGCTATTATCGTGCCATTAATTGCAGGTGTTTGAGATCAAAAAAACGGAAACAACTAGAGGGCGATAGGGAAATGAACCGTGATAAATATTTTAATTATAACTTTCTGCATTTAAAGTCTATCTATCATTGGAAAGTAAGAGTCAAGCCCTAGTAAAGCATGGCTGTTGGTAATTACTACGTTCAAACGATTTCGAAGATTGTTGAAGATACTTCTCTTTGTTTCGTGTGGGTTTCCGAGTGAACTATTTTAAATATTAATGAAGTTCGCTGAGGCTTAATTATGAGTCAACTCTGAGGCAATTGTCTTTTGAGGTTGTTATGATGATGCGTTCGTAAATATGTTCCAGCCTTATTCCGAAATTCTCTTTTATATCTCAGTTCTTGTGTTAGATTAAGGCTCTTGAGCCAACGACAATGTGCACGCAACTTTTCCTATCATGAATCTTACTAAGGTCTTAAATGCAAGTTATGAGAGTAGAACACGCCATCGCGAAAGCTTTAGAGATCGTAATAGATGGCTCCACAAATTCTCCCAACGCCGTTATAAGAAATTCACGGAAATTGTTGTGAGAAAATTATGTAAATCGGTTTATAAAGGTTGACTGCCGGGAGCTAGCAACCCCATGTGGCGAATAGCATGTCACTCAGAAGATAACAGAAGTTTCCAGGTGTGTGAGAGTATGCAAATTTTAGCATCGCTAAAGGGTTTGAGTTTCCCATAACTTGTCAACTACTTCATCGTAACATAAGAATACGAAACACGAAGGAGATTTCATCCGTCGAGTTTTGTTTTAACGATTCGTGATTGTTAAGTCAGAAACTGACCCAAAAGAAGACGAAGGAGGCCATAAAGAAGTCTGCAAATACTTTACATGGTTTCCGTTGGTGAACCAAACGAGGCCAAGGTTTGCTGTTATTGAAACCAGGTTTTTTGCAGGTGTGTGCGCAACTTTCGTAACATAATTTGATTGTACATAGGGCGCAGCCTACATGTTCTAGAAATCGAACTCCATGGTAGATTTAACTTGCGTATAAGCTAACAACCATGTTGAATCGTTCAGAGTAAGTTTACAGAGTTGTATACGTATTTGATGAGGAAATATTGGAACGGAGGGCTTTTTCTTTTACAAACAGCACGTTCTACATCACAGGTGTTGGAAAAATCTTTAAAAAACCGACTAAGAAAGAGGTAATTCGGTTTCTAAATGAATTGGACCGCAACACTGAATGAACCGGCTAGTCTCTGAATACTCTCTCTCTCTCTCTTTATTTCTTAACTGAATGAGCAAGTTCCATAAACATCGTGTGGTTTTTATGTCAGATGATAGCTGAGCTACCTCAAAAAAATTGTTTGTCTTAGCTTGCTTGATTTTGTTATGAAGAGAATGATGTAAATTTTCATGTATGTTAGGAAGCTCCCGTTTCGATAAGTCAAGATAATTTTCATCCTTTCATACTCCACTTAGCATTTTGGTAGCCGCGGGGAATAAGAGCACAAATTTGTGCTACTAATCGGCTCCAATTGCTTATTTATACAAATTAAGTTCCAGTCCGAGTTAGAACTGTTGACGTCGGACGGTATAGTCATAACTCAACTCCCTGTTTTCTTATGGGTACAAGCAACTAACTTTTGATCTTCGACTAATGCATAGTTTTGTAAATATTATCGGTTTCCAAAGCAATAGTAATTTACGAACCCACACTCACGCTGTTATGTTGAATGGTAGAACTAGCTCTGTACATCATGCAGCGAAAATAACGGACCACCATTAGATGGCGAGACTTATTGGAGGTATAGAAAAAAAATTGAATGGAAACCAAAGAAGATGTTATTTTCTCTGTATAAGCAAATTTTCAACGGAAGTTTCTACTTAAGCTTTCGTGTTATTAAAATAAGGCTGAATTGTAGAAATTTGGCTTTGTGATTATATCAACATGTTGCGATACATAATTTATTATAGTAGCGTTGCGCGTCATCATTGATGAAAGTTTTCTTTTGGCTCAGATAATTTGCCTGAGTATAAGCCATACCTTCAGCTGGGCGACATCTTAATTTCTTTCGATCAATAAATTATCCTGTGCATCATTTCCGAGTTTACTAGGAATTCTCAGTATCTAGCACGGTACAATTCCTCTTAAAAGCACTAAGGCGAATTTGGTTTTCATCCAAAGTAAGAGATACTAGCCAAATTGCTAAATTGCCAGCAGTCGTCTACTTCAGGCCATATTGATTTGGAAGTGGGTGTTTCATCACGAGGAACCGTTTTTCTAATTAAAGTTAAAGAAGGAAAGCTTGAGTTCCAGTCTTTATTGAGGAAACAGTTATTCACCTGCTCCATCGTATTTACTATTTTTTATTGCGTCTTTGCGCAATTTCAACCCAGAGAAAACAAAAACAAACAAGAAAAGAAACTTCGGATATTTATTGCAGTTTTGTGTTTTTATTCTGTTTACGGATGTGGACTTGAACAGTGCTCCAATTCCTTTCGTTTGATAAAAAGTGAAGGTTTTTTAACACGGAGATTAATGTTACAGATATGGATGTAATACCCGTTTTAACAATTAAAGTAACTTAATAGATGTTTTGGATGAATTTTCCATCTCAAGTCATTCCCATATGTGTTTCCTGCGACAATATGGTTATCTATTACTTAAGCTTACACCTGGAAAGGAATTTTCGTATATTGCTTAACCTGTTTCATTGACAATGTTCTCGGTACTGAATTTTTTATTAACTGTTCTCAGGTTTTGAAAGCACTGAAAAGCTCTTTTGAACTGAATCGGCGTAAAAACAGTTTTTTCTTCTCAACTACACATGAAGAATCGATTTTGGATTTCGCAATAACCTTTCTCTGAGAAAGTTGTTTACATTTTGAGATGACCTATCCGTAAGCATATCGATTATCTACCGATACAGCTATATCTCCCGGGAACCAAATATCCTCACCACATACAAGGAGTTTATCCACCTGCACGGTGATAACACCAAAACTGAATTGAAAATAGGGTAAACATTGAAGTCTGCTTCCAAATATTTAAAGATAACCGCAAAGTATTCAAATCGATCCGCGTGTTACAGCCTTTGAGCCAATCATTCAGGGCGATTCTACGGAATCGTAGCTATTTTTCCAAGTTCAAGGTAAGCTGTACTTGCCACCACTATGCGGGATAATGGGAAGGCTGTTTGTTTATAATGAAGGAATTCATTGTAATGTATGCGAGGTAAATTGTAACTGAAACGCTTTTCCTGCTGAAAGGTTTAAGTCGAGGCCTCCAAATTTGCTCGATGAATTTATTCAGGCAAGTTATTCAAGTTCGTGGTTATCAAATTACACCGAATTTACATATCGCCGTTACATGTTTAAGTTACGCAGTTGTGGATGTTCCTCCAAACCTCAATCATTGTATCATTGTAAGAATAATTTTATTTATTTATTGATTTGTTTCCCAAACGATCAATACGTTTTTTTCAAAACAATTGCGAATGCAGGTGAAGATGGAAGGCTTTATAATATATTTATTCTATTGTTTGATACCAATTGTGGCGCAGGGCATGCTCATAGGATGGATTGTACGAGATGGGTAGCAATGCACGAATGGGTGATAATGCAAGAGTAATTTTTGGAAGAGAGATTACCTCCATGCAACGAACTGCATCTGTAAGCGAGTGCAGTTTTCCCCGTACATTTTAAGCTAAAAAAAATCAAACTCTGCCCTTTCCTTACAGATGACCCACTGAATGGTTTAGAACGCGTGCTTCTCTGGTCAAGAAGTTAACAAGATGTCGAGAGGGACCCAAGGGCTCAGCTGGTCCCAGGACTTCCTCTTACTCTTTATTCTGGTTCCTGCGGTGGTTGGGCAGTTTACTCTACCGTTCCTTTACATGCCTTTACGTAGCCTGCTTCCAAAATATTTCGGATCAAACGAAAAAGATCTGAAAGTAACCACTGAGCACGTGAGAATCTTGTCTTATTGGTCTTTGGAAAAAGCATATTCTGAAAAGATGACTAATATTTTGAGTCGATTGGCAAAAACCGATTTTTACCAGCCAGTATCATTTACAGCCGCTGATTTGAAAGACTTAAGCTATCAATGGACATACGAGATTCCATTTGGAAGTGTTAATGATTCTTTGAGTAATGACAGCGTCGCCCTAGCATTAAATGCAGCAGATTTCCAACAGAAACTCTTGAAATATACGGGTGAAAAATTCTTATTTACTGTCAACAATGTGGCGTTAAGGTTAAAAATTCCAATAAGAAATCTCTCTCACTCTTATGATCCTGGAGACTGGGAGACTGTCGTAAATGCAATGGTTTCAGAGAGTTCTTTGGCATTTAGTAACAAACTCCAACTCTCATCCGTGGATGCCTTAGCACGACTGGTGAAAGTAGAGACACAGGAATTACTAAAACTTACCCTTGGCGCTTTTGAGAAACTGGTTTTTCCTCTCCCTCCAAAGAAGGCGATTCTTGACGGAAACACGACATCCACGATTTTCAATTCTTCAGATATCTCAGAGGCTTTATATCCTGAGAGTACTTTGTCAGAAGCCCTAAAACATGAGGAAATTAAACTTTCTCCTCAACAATTCGGTATTTTGTACAACATGAGTGAAGAGCAAATCAAGACTTTAGACCGATCGACTCTGAAACAGATTTATCACATGTGCATGATTCCTATTCAGGACCTTCTGAAAAAGACGTTGCCTGATGCTTCTGTAAATGTTTTTGGATCAGTTTCTCGTGCACCTCCATGTCCAGTGTTGATCAAAATAAAAGGGAATTCGATTTCCTCGTTTCAAACCAACCCAGTGATCACCTCCGAACAGACGACTGTGCTAAGAATTCTCACAGAAGTTGCCAATCTATCTTGGCACGCCGTCCGCTGGTCGGTAGATGCTTCTTTATCGGACTGGGAGTTTCTAGATGCTGTAACACTCCCACAACTTGCTGAAATCTCAGGATATGAAGAAGAAAGTTTGCGAAACGATTCTGCGAGCGAGTTAGTCAAACTTGTATTCTCCCTAAGGGAAAATGGCACCCTTGACAACTCGACGGAGAGCTATCGTGCATTCATTGCAAAGAGGCTGATGGAGACATTCAACCTAACATTGAACGAGGTGGCTACGTTAACAGGGATGGCTGATGGTTCTTTGGTGAACGTTTCGTCCCCTTTCCTGTTCAAAAGCTTCTTCAATGCAACAGTCGTCTACTTCAAGCTGAATTCAAGTGAAGTTATCAAGGCTCTGCAGATGACCGAAGAAGATCTTCACTACTTACCAAGACAAAAATGGAATGACACGATTCCTGTCGTAATTGACGCTGTAGTTAAGATCGAGGCCACAAAGTTGCAAATGTCAGTCGCAAACCTGTTTCAGTTGATAGGATACAACTCTAATGAGCTTACCATTTCTCAGCTCAAGAGGATTTTCGGAACTCGGATCCAAGAGGTCATTGAGAAGAAAACGAGGTTTGAGAGCGATCCCATGATCTGGTATTTAGCCAACAATTCTATCTCAGATGCTGATTATTTGAACACGTCGGTTCATACCATGTTGTTATCTGGAGGTGGCTTCACAGATGTAGAACTAAACCTCATTTACGATCTCAAACTTGATCAAAGGTTCATCCTCGAAGGTCTGCAGTTTAGCGACCTACCTCGTGTTTGTCAGTTTAATACCTCTGCTGCTAAAGAAAAATCACTCTACAACATTACAAAAGAGCTGGTTGGAATAGGAGAATCTCCAGCTTTGTGTGGAACAACAAGATTTTATGTGAATGGAAGAAACAGGAACATGTCTTACTTGCAAACAGCTTTCACTGTCATTGAAAACTCGACTGTTTCATTCGTGAATCTTGTGGAAATGGTGACAAGACTTCCATGGCGGGAAAACGTGTGGGCTTTCGGTTTGAAAATGGAAGACTGGACAGCGCTTTATGTTCTAAATCAAGAAACATTTAGAAATGTCACTGGTTTTAGCTTGGATGTGTTTCGGTCCAAAACGCTCTTGCAGGTATTTCAAGAGTGTTTACAGCTTCAGGCGGACAATGATACAGGTTTTCGTATGAGAGAAAGCCAAAGCAGGGGACCCACGTTGGACATTATTAACGACCTGTTCAACACAAACGAAGATGAACTCATTCGGTTTGGAGGCATGACCAAAGCGGATTTTAAGAAGCTGTCTCCCTTTGAAGTGGTTCCACTGGTGTACAAATATCTGGAGGTAAAGTTCAGCGTGTCGTTAAAAACACTAGAAGCATCGCTGAAATTGCAGCCTGGAAATATAAATAAGCTCGCACCAACCGAATGGAAAGAGGTGATTCCTTTTGTGAGGGCAGGAGTCATTCGAGGTGGCCGTCGGCAGCTTCATGTTAGTCTGTCAAATTTCGCAAAGCTGCAACAAGAAACAGTGGAGAGCCTCCAGAACTTAACTCTGGCACAGTTGGAATCAAAATGGGACGACAGTGTGATCAGGCTTTTAAATAGTAAATTGGCCATGGAAAATGAGTCAGTGCTTCATATCATAACGTCTGTTGGCCTTTCAAAGGAGCCTCTTGGAGAGATAACTGTATTGGATTTCACTGAAAACAAGATAAACCTGACAAAATCAGAACTATTGCTACTTTACAACTTCAGCTCCATTGGAATTGAAGCACTTGGAAACTACACTTTCAACGAAGTCTCGCAATATTGCCAAATCTCTGAGAACAATCTTTATAATAAAAGGCCTCACGACATCGTAGTCTCGCTTCTGGGACATAATAACGACATGACATGCCCCAAAGTTGCTTCACTTGTTGCTGCTGCGATAACAACTGTCGATGAACTGGCTGCAAAATCAAATTTTAATGTACAAGATGATGTCAGTTTGTTAACGATGTTTGAAGATCAATTTGAGCTACCATGGCCAAAGATTGCATGGGCAGTGAATGCCTCGCTAACCGACTGGCCCGCACTGGGTGCAACATCTCTGTCCAATATCTCCACCCTGGTATCAAAATCCACAGGCGACTTAAAGCGTCTTAAATCATTGAGGGAAATAACAAGTCAGCTATTAGCCCTTTCAACAAATTCTTATACTAAGCTGTTAAACGACTACCGGGTTAAGCTAGTCAGCAAAGCATCCAGTCTCTTTCACGTCAACTCCTCCAAGTTGTGTGATAACTGCAGCATCGTTAATTTATTGTGGAAATCGCTCATACAGCTCAATTCTCAAATTGATTTTGATCTCCATAATCTCCCTTATGAATTGAAGGTTTCTTCCTACGAGTTCAACTTAACTCTTCCATCGCAGTGGTCACTGATAGTATTTCCAATAGTAAAAGGAGCGTACGCTAAAGCTGCTCTATCGCTAGAGATGTCCCCTGCTCGCTTGGCAATTCTCCTGGATATCCAACCTCCAACTATCGAAAATATGACTGTCAAAGATTTCCATGATGTCTTAAAGCAGTCTATCCAGCCCTTGATTTCTGCCAAGACCGCTTTGATGAAATCTTCTTTGATGGACCTTATCACCGCCAGCGGAAATAATTTTTCAGCCCTGAGGAACGACAGTATCTTTGATCTCATCGACTCACTTATCAATATTCCCATTCAGAATCTTACCTTCATCTTCAACTGGACGGCAGAACAGCAGGCCATACTCAAGAATTATACTCTGGATGATATGATTTATTACAGGGGAGAGAAAGTTGGTAACGAAACCCTCTTCACTTTGGCCAGCTTCGTCTTTAGGGAAAATCTACCCCCACGTACCCCAACACCGCCAACGTTACCCCCGTGTAAAAGAGGATTGGTCAGGGAAGGAGATAGCACAGAATGCAAAGGTAAATTTGTCGTTGATTTTGAGAATTCTTAAGTCATGCTGTCCAATTGACCTGTTCGTTAAGTAACTGTGCGAAGGCCAAAACGTTTTTTATGTGCAGAATTGGTCTTCGCCAGAATGAGAGCATTTTCGATTTTCCTCCTTATTTTAATGTGATTTTGCCTTTCAACAGGGACCTATTTGCTGTCTTTTGCCCGCCCACCTCTCTACTTTAACGATGTGTTGAACAAAGTGTTTTAAGTAGATAAAGTTTAAATGGCGTCGTTTGCTCCTCGGTACTTGTTAAACTTAGCTAAGAAGTGTTTCTTTTATTACATAGATATCGACGAGTGCGGCTCTGGAGTGTGTAGCAAGGACAGTCAGTGTCAGGACTATCATGGGGGTTTTGAGTGTGAATGCAAAGTTCCCGGCCATTTTAAAGCTAGTTTCAATGAGACATGCAAACGTGAGTAACAGTTATATTGAATGTCACGCCTCATCCTATAGTTTCACAATTTCTTCCCGAAGCTGTACTTTGGTATTTGACATATTTTAAAATGTAGGCTCATTTTAACAAATGAAGCCTGAATGTACATATCTGCACCAAAATGTCTTTTTTGCCAACTTGGGCTCATGGAAGTGTATTTTAGGTAATTTAGTGTTAACAACTGGGTTGAAAACGTAAATTAGCCACCGTAAAGGGTAAAAAAGCTGACGTTTCGAGCGTTAGCCCTTCGTCAGAGCGATTGACGAAGGGCTAACGCTCGAAACGTCAGCTTTTTTACCCTTTACGGTGGCTAATTTACGTTTTCAACCCAGTTGTTAACACTAAATTACCTGCTATACTCTCCCACCGACGCAGCACCACAGTTTCTTTAGAAACTTACCCTTTATTCGAAGTGTATTTTAGTCGATCAAACCAAAATAAGGCCTGGAGTGGATGCAAAGATTACAAGGATGAATAAATTGGGATTCTTTATGAACTTTCGTCAACTGTTGGCACCAATCAAGGTTTGACTCACAGGTCATGCCTCCTATTTTGCAGCTTGTAAGACATTTAGAGGTACTCTGACCATTTCAAACAAGGTATTTGGATTATCCCTCAAGAACAAAGCATCAGGGGGTTACTTCGATTTCAAGGAAGAATTTGAGACGACGGTAAGTCTCCAGACCATGTGTCTTTCTAGAAGATTGAAAGCAAACCTTTCATGTTGCCTCTCTGATTTATTTAAAGTAAGGAATTTATCCTTGTAGAATGTTGGGGAAGCTTAAAGAAAGAGACAGAAATGGAAATGGAATCGGCATCATGGAGATTAAATACTTCATGTTGTAGTAGCAATAATATTTCACAGTGCCCTACTCTTGTTAAAATATTTGCTTTTCTTTATTTCAGGTGAATCAAGAATTTAGGAAATCAACAATGAACCAATATTACTACGGCTGTAGAGTCAACAACTTCAGGTATCAATCATGGCCCAAAATTTGGATTAAAATTTCTCATTTCTTAGACTCCTGCATCGTGATGGAAAGTAGCTTTGAGTGAGAACCTAGTGAATGTGTTGACTTCTCTAATATGAAGCTAAACTCCTGTGTTATATTCCCCCTTCTCAAGAGAACAGTCGGGAAAACTAGGCAGGGAATACCGCTGGGGAAAGCCCATAAAGTGGACAAGCATCTTTCCTATAAAAGCAGCGACGATCCCAGTTGCTTTATGATAATGAAGCCGCGAAGAAGGCAACTGTTTCACATGAGGGCCATGTATTCATAAGCTGACTCAATCAGTTGTACCTTTCCTTATTTAGCTCTTTTCACTGCTATTCATCTAAAGGCCGCATTTCTAATCGCTTTTTTTCTATCTACACTTTGTAGGAACGGTAGCGTCATCGTTGACTTCCTGATCTTCACAAGTCCACAGTTTTCTGGGTCCTTGCAGGATTTACAAGATGCCCTGGTATCAAGATTCAATAATTCACATCTCGGCACATTGAAAGTCAAAAATCCTGAAATTATAGGTAAAAATAAAAGTTTTTAAACACAATAATTGATTTTGGATATCTTGAAGAATTAAAATTTTAGGAATGGATAAATAAACCTTCATAAATCACCTGACGAGCGCCATTTGAAGGCTTAGTTTGGTATCTTTTGTGGTATGAGGAACTCAAGTTTCAAAATGTCAGCATTTTTTTTAAGTCATGAGGATCTTTGATTTGATATGGATAAAAAGTTGATGGATAATAATGTCAATAAAATCATAAGAATACCTCCATAGGGTTGTTAACTGGTATACGACTGGAGACATGTAATTTAATGTTGTGGTTATGTCTAAATGTAAATCAACCTTCTTGTTAAAGATTTTGATGAGTGCGCAGCTCACCGCGATGATTGTGGCCAACATGCGAGCTGTGTGAACACTGAAGGTTCTTTTGACTGTAAATGCAATGATGGCTACGATGGGGATGGTAGAAAGTGTGAAGGTAAAATAGTTGAACTGTTTTGTGAATTCAAGGGTTTAGGGTTTAGCTTACCTGAGTCCAATCAAGAGATTGTAATCTCCTGGTCCAATTTAGCAATAAGAAGGTTATAAACCTATCGACACTTCAATAATTACTGAAGATCAGAGAGTATTTTATCGCATGTAACAATATCTGGTTCCTTCTTGACACTCCTGGTATGTTCTCGTATCACAAAAGCGATGGTGAAAAAAATTGGCTTTAGAAACACGTACAGGACAGACTATTGTAGTTGTCTGTCAGTTGTTTACTCATAATAAGCATCCCAAAATTAATGAAAAGATAGAAGAATTCCATCCTATTACATATTTATGCAGTCTTCTAAGGCTAGAGAATCTTTTGAGGACCGTGAAGAACTCGGGTCATCTTTTGAGGAACAGCTATTAGTTGTGTAATTTACATGAGGTTCCAAATGAATTTTATTTTGCCTTCTGCTCATTGCTTACTTAGAAGTCCAAAGAGTGATTGAGCTTTTCAACAAATATAATCATCTCACTTCATCTTGATTTTAAAATTTTTTCAACATTCTTTCAAACGTCGCCCAACATCTACCTTCGTCAACATTGTGGTCATCTTGATTTCCGTACACACAAAGTAGAGTATCTGTGGATTTACATACATTTGTTTTTGTTTAATTTTTTTTTCTCAGCGGGATTTTTTAAGACTATGTGGTGGACTGTCATCGTTGCAGCATTCCTTCTTCTAATAGTGGTTATCATTGTGGTATGTTTGGTGGTGAAGAGACCCAAACCCTCTGGAAGGTACTTGTACCAACTTTACTCTGTAATACCTCTTTCTGAGTGAACCGTTGTTTTTTATGTGAACAAAACCGAAAATTAATTTGCAGATATTTACCTTTTGATCTTAATTGTCTGCTTTAGATATGGTCTAGAAACAGATGCTGCTCTTTCAAACAAGAACAACAGACGGAACAGCGGTGCCAGCAAAATATCGTACCGTACTGGTGACGTTTATTACAAGGATAAAGATGGGAAAATGCGGCCGGGCACTGCACATAGCTCCAGCTCCCAGGAGAATGGGAGATCCCACCCACCACACTTTGTTGACGATGAGGAGGACGACAACGAAAAATTTGAGCCAAGTGGTACGATGAGAGCTAAAACGCCGTTTGAGCTGGCAGTTGAAAAGAACTCCAGGAATGGAAACGTCTATGAGCAGAGAACCGAGTTTCAATTGTCTGAACTGCCTTCAAACGGGGCTAATGGAGGAGTAATGTCCTCCGTTGAGAACTAACAGTGAATTGAAAAAAAAGGACTAACAGTGATAATAAATGCAAAAAGTAGCCAGAATAAGCTTGCTAAGCAGCCATAAAACGACAGAAGGCCGAGGAAGGTGTCGTATTTTGATTCGAAGGACTCTAGAAACGATGAACGACATGAAAACAGAGTTCGTTAGTCTTATTCGAGTCCATTACGTCTCTTAGACCGTGCACCTTTGTAAAGTAAGCCTTTGGACCTAACTGCATGAAGAGTAAAATATTCAAGAAAAAGATTTATGAGATAAGTAATACAAGAGATGAGTTAATGTAAATCGAAACATGGATCGATCTGCTTGATAACAGAAGATACCTTTATCCTATCCTTTGAAAGTTCCCCTTAACTATTTTGAGACTAATGTAATATTTAAATTAGTGAAGAGGACACCATGATTTTGCTTAAAAATAAACTGTTATGTCATACTTAGTAGGTTGTTTCTTTGAATACTAGCGTGCGTGTGAAAATGCTTTCGGGTCAATTTCTGTGAAAAGAAGTGACGTCAGTAACTTGAGGATATTGAGGACACATGAATCTGATTTGTCTCCAAAAACTGTCTTTATGTGATATAAGAACCTACATGAAGAAATCACGCGCTTCGTATTGGCTGAGAACGAATACATATTTGGTGGCAATACGAGTGCAAATTTGTAACAATAGCAAGCGCGCTGTCAAAATGTCGTCTATTTTAATTTTCTGTGATGTATATTATTAAATAGTAATAATATGATTTGTCGTGCAATTTGGTGTTAACATGCACTTGTAAATTTTTCTGACTACAAATTACACTTGCCCTGCAATGCTGTTGTCTTTGAAAAATTTACTTGTGCTTATTAACACCAACTTGCATTGGAAATCATGCTATTACCTACATTTGCGCACATGTCAAGAAGACCATTAACAAAAGTTTCGTGCAAAATTGTCTACGAGCAGGATCACTTAGGTAACATCCTCTTACGTGGCCACATTCGTCAATTACCAAACATTTTGTAGTGAAAATTGTCGGTAAATCCAACTGCTCTTGCTTCCAGATGCCCTTGTTGCGCAAAAACGCTCATATATGCGGTTTCCGCCAGGACTAAACCCTAATGCGGAGTCTGATCAAAATAAGGTAGTAATGAATAAATGAACAGAAAGAGATAAAAAGATAAATTAAAATGTAATCATAACCAACCAAACAAGACATAAAAAAGGGTTTCTTCACTTTATTGAGACCCATTATCCTTATCAGAAAAAGTGCCACAGGATAAAAATGAGGCCATGAGATTAGAAAACCGATAATTACCCAGGGCTAGTTATGCTACTTCGTGATGCGAAAATTTTTCAAAGATGTCGACGCAAGTCTTGACAAACCACCCCCCCCTCCACTCCCCCTAATAAGAGAACAGTTGTAACACGTAAACCCGTTTATCATTGAGTGAAGAGTAAGGCTGCTGCCGTAGTTGCGTAACAATACACAGAATAATCTCCAACGGTACATGTATCTTGATAGAGAGTAAACCAATGAAGTTGTTATATTCTACCCTATTGATGCCTTCAACAAAGGGTCTGGCGAGATAAGTCTAAATTGGTATGGAGAAATACGGATAAGTCGACGCCACCTACTTATCAACGAATCAAAGTTACGGATAAGAATTTGGGCGAACTGAAATAGTAAGGCGTAAACCCCAAAAGTAAGTACAATGTTTGAGTTCACCGATTCCGTTGACGAAATTGGTGAAAATCTATTTCTCTAAAATCAACAATGAAATATTTTCTATCCAATTTCCGGTTCCCGAAACTAGGAGGACTGAATACTAGTTTAGTGCGAATGGACTTGTGGGATCACTCAGATAGTCCATAAGTTCGCAGAATTGCGGCAAGAATAGTCTTTATTAATGAAGGATGTCAAACGATAACAGCCACGTTTAGTCTTTCTTACTAATCTTAATCCCTTTTACCCTTCTCAAGAGGAAGTTGAATTGACTGATGCGCTTGTTAGGTTATGGTTAGTATGAATTACTCGGTCGGTTTTTTTGTCAGTAACTAACATAACAAAACGAAAAACACAAAAGGAAATTTTTCTCTTTTACCGCTTTAAATTTCTAGCGGTACCTGCACAAGCAAGCTTCTTAAACAAAGTTCAAGAAATCGTGTTAAACATCATTACTCACCATCGAGATAATTTAAGTTACTTTATTATTTACATACTAAGACCACAAAATCTTGTGAATCTTTATAATACCAATATGGCTCAATCAAAACCATGTTTGTAGGTTACACAGAATAACATCAGAAAGAAAAGGATAGTTCTGTGTCCAAACCTGAACAAACCTTCTCGAAATTGGCGGCTAACTATCAATACTATTATTCTGGAATTTAAGTCCAAAAGTAAGCACCCTGAATTCTGTAATACTGCACATTTCATTTGATAACTCTTTAATAAGCCGAGAATATATAGACCTGAAGAAGAAACCACATCCCCAACAATACGAACGCATTCTAATACGGAAAACGCCATATTGACACTTTCTCAATAATTGGAATTGTACGTAAATGAAAATTGAAAAATCTATTATGGTGGGCATTATTGTTGCGGTGGGAATGTGTTTTCTGATTATAACTTTTGGGCTTCAGTCGCAATTTTAGAAAAGGGCCTGTTCACTGTTCAAAATTTAAAACATTTCTAATCAATAAAACTAGAAAGCAATGCTTCTTCAATATATACTTTAATCAAAAGGCTAAGAGCCTCGTTATCGTTAATACCATGACGACTTTGCTTTCACCTGAAAGAAAAACGAAAAACAAAATTTAAAGACAGGTCTGATTTTGCGGTGACGTCAAACAGTTAATGTCGTTTTATGAATGATTGAATGACTCAGTCTTCATTAAGTTGAGAACGATCTTTTACATCACGCTGTCCATAAAACGAGCTCACTCATATAAAAATTAATCAGATTTACAAACGTAACTTGCACTTGAAACTAGATAAACAGTAAAACACCTCAATGCTAAAAATAACCCTTCTCTTCTACTCCATAAACCGTTTCCTATTCTTGTCACTGCTGTCGATATTACCTTAAGTCTGAAACTAAATGTGAAGATTCACGCTACTATCTCAAACATATATAGCTTGGGAAAAGGGAAGTCACTAACAAGAAAAAAAGACTGTCATGACGTGGTCGCACGACATGAGCGGCACCGCTGATACTAAAAACTACCAGCTCAATTAAACATAGAAGATAGGGAAAAAGCCAAGCCTACCCAGTTGTTATCACAAGTAAGTAGATATATGTTTTCACGCGATTGATAGAAAAGCTGACCGCAGAATAACCTAGATATAGTATATATGATCTATGAGAACTGGCCAAATGTTTGCTTTGAAAACTGTCTTACAACGGCAAATGCGAAAAGAAAAATAAATGAACATTAACATAGGGTGGAAATTAATAAATGATTGACATGCTGTTCCCTACAAGTTCTGATAACAAGTGTACATTTTGTGATGCTTACTCAAAGGCATCTTGATGTTGTTGCGTGACAAGACTGAACGTCACGCCCTAAAGGGCGATAGGAAGCCACCCTGGAAAGGGCAAAACAATAAGTCAACCAACGTATGTGACATGAACTCGGGTGTTAGTGACGTACATTGTGTGACACACTTGTTACATCCACAAAGACGGGACCGATGCGTAAAATCTTCGTTACACAAAGTGGGTGTTTTTGTTGACGCACACGAAACACATGCTCCACGGTCGTTTGTTTTGTTGTTTTTGTTCAAACGCTTTACACACAACTTCCCATTTGACACTAATTTTTAACGGCGACAAGCTTGATATCTAAGATTTAGAGTACAAATCACAATTTCAACTCGAATTTAAAAGCGTTTATACAGCCTTTAGGGAATGAATAGATTACTTCTATGAAATGCGATTTTCTCACTATACAGTTTTCTCCATTTGTCATCCTTTTTTGTAAATAGTACAGAAAAGTAGGTAACAACTCTTCCTTATTGCGCATCCAGCATTATTTTATAACACTGTTCATGAACGTTTTGGTAAATAAATCTTAACTGAAGAAACTTAGACATGAAAGGCATTGGTTATTGCTTTAAATATGACGAATACTTAAGAGTAATTGTCTAATTCCGACGAAGTAAACACTTGACATGAACGAAAACGTTTTCTGTAGTATAAGTAGTTATCTCCCTTTATCAAATTAAAAACTAAATCAGATGCAAACCTCCAGCAGTTTGCACAGATTAAATATTCACTAGTGAAAAGAAGCCTCGATAATAACTTGACAATTTAAGTTTAAGGCAACATATGTTTAGGAAACGACTTTGACAACTTTTTACATATTGAAATTCACGAACTCTACACCAAAATTTAGAGTAACAGCTGAAATTTCAAAGCTAATAAACTACATGTGTACTTCTGCCCGCAAACATAACCTCCAAGGTTTTATTGACATTTTGCGATTTGCAGCGCCTTTTAATATTACGTACACAGGGCTGGTTAAATCTTAGTTAGGTATTATGACTTTATCTAGTTGGACGAGAGCGAGTTATAATTTACGACTGTTTTTAAATAGCATTGGAATGAACTGATCTATGTCAAGGATTTCTACTGATTTTCATGGTCAAGCACTCTTTAGACCAGTTGAAACTGTTCTTTTATTCATTAGATGAACAATTACATTTTAGAGGGGGAGGAATGGGTCACAAGCTGAGAAACATTTTATATATATGTGAACTGTTTTACCCAAACAGATGCAGAAAAGATAAAACCCAGAAAGATTTGCGAGAAGAAGGAGAAGGAGGAGAAGGAAGAGGAGGAAAAGGAGGAGGAGGAGAAGGAGGAGGAGAAGGAGAAGGAAGAGAGGGAGGAGAGGGAGGAGGAGGAGGAGGAGGAGGAGGAGAAGAAGAAGGAGGGGGAGGAAGATGAGGAGAAGGAGGAGGAGGACAAGAAGAAGAAGGAGGGGGAGAAGAAGGAGGAGGTGGGGGAGGAGATAGGAGAAGGGGGAGAAGGAGGAGAAAAAGGAGGAGGAGGAGGAGGAATAGAAGGTGGAGAAGCAGGAGGAGGAGAAGAAGGAGGAGGAGAAGGAGGAGGAGGAGGAGAAGGAGGAGGAGGAGGAGAAGGAGGAGGAGGAGGAGAAGAAGGAGGAGGGGGAAAAAAGGAGGAGGAGGAGAAGAAAGAGGAGGAGGGGGAGGAGATTGACATTCGACATTAATCTGTAATCGCCTTCAAGGCACTTTGTTCACCAACAGATAGATGAACCGGAAAGACATACAAGCAAGGGTAAGTATTACAGTATTGATATTCTTTTGCTCAGACCACTCACCTGATTTGCTTGTTCATCAACTTTACGTAAAATTTCCTTTTGTTGTTTGGGGCTGAACCGTAGCAAGGCTACTAACACTTTAGCCATTTGCTGCAATGAAAATAGAGTAGCTGGTAAATGTTTACTTAATAACGATACCTCAGGCAGAATTTTAAGTGTTTACACACGTATGCATTCTCAGGCTTGCGAATGGAGACGATATTCTCAGACAGTGTAGTTCGCTAACCTTTTTTGATGCAATTTTCAAGACTAAAATTCTCATTCTCCAGAATTAAGGCTACGAGTCTAATGACAAGGCCTAAGCAACACTGACTTTCTCGGCTACACACATTCGAAGGTTTGCTCCAAAACTGAAAATTCTCCTATCGCGCTGAGAAAACTTTTTGGCGAAGTATTTTCTTTAACACTCAGCTGCCTCAAAAACATTTCATCCAGCAGTTAAAGCACTTGTTACAGATTGGAAAATACTCCAGAGGCATTTTTCAAGGTTCCTGAACAATGGGTTCCCAATTTCAATACAGACTTTTAAACGAACCCGAGACTTGGAAGAAACATACTTTTGCGAGCTTTCAACCGTACCACACCAAAACTGGCACATTGATTACAAGAATAATAATAAAAATTAAACAAAGCCATAGAAAGAAAGATCATGATCTTGAAAGGTTAGGACTACACATAAATGAAAATTTCAGATTGGAGTCAAACGTTATGGATCAATATCAGTATCTGGGCAACTGCCTACCTACCCCTCCCCTAACCCAACATTAACCCTAACCTGTTATCAATTGACTGTTGTTGGGTTAGGGAAGGGGTAGGTGGGCAGTTGCCCACATACTTATGTTGATCCAACTTTCTCACCTTTCGTTCACGGCCCATCATGTATTCGTATAATATATTTCGAAGATACTGCGGAAGTGAAAGCATAAAATGAACAAGAAAGTTTGTTACACCAACACTATGCTCAAAGAAAAAAAAGATAGAGAGAGAAAAAAAAAGCCTCGTGCGCCAACCTCGAACTCCGTGGGTTCCACGGGCGACTGTGGAGGGCCTGGATCTAACAGAACAGGGCTATCCAACAGAGGATTGGACACCAGGTTCAGTTGAGCGGGACGATTTCTGCCTTGTAGTGGAGATCCACTGAATTGTTCAATCTGTGACAGTAAATATGATAATCACTCTTTTTATCGTTAAATCGAAAAAAAAAAAAACAACAACAACCAATAAGGTGTCTGTCCACGGTCGTTGTATAACTGCACATACATTACTATGTAACACACGCTCCAGGACTGACCTGTGATTTCAGTGATTCCTCTCTCTCCTTCAAGCCACTGACTTCTGTTCTCAACCGCGTAATTTGTTCCTAAAAAAAAGACCGAGATAAGATTCTACTTAGTGCAAAAATCTGAAGCAATTCAATCTCTCAATACAACTTTAAATCATGACTAGCAACCTTCAAATAATTATTACAGCTAAGGAAACACAGCGCTCACTACTTTGAGAATCGAACGAAATGAGTGGGAAGATCTTCATAATAACACCGCAGCTATATTTTTCAACTATCAAGCTCACGTGTCTGATAAATTGCGTACAAAACATCAAACAAACCTTCAGCGCTGTTTGACTTGGATCCTCCGCAATAGGTTCCTGAAGGAAAAAGAAAAAAAAATTGTGAGAAAAAGTGCGTTTCCTGATTTCGTTTAGGAAATAGTAAGAATGAGTAAATCTGAGAAGAAAAAAGCTGACAATCGCGTTTATGCCAGATCTGTTTGGGCCATTGCTCAGATACGTAAAGCAACTGTATTAAAGCGAGTGTAAGTGCGATGCTTTTATAACGTTTGTGTCTTGCTTGTTCTTAAGCGAATGTTGAACATAAAGTGGATAATGAGATGTCACAAAAGCTTCACAAACAAATATCGATAATGGATGTGAGATGGGGGGTGGCCTGTGATGAAATATGTCAAGTTATGTCACGTAGATAAAATAACACACAGTAGTGTCACTTGGGTATCGTAGCTAAGGGGCGTAGTAAAGCAGTGGAAGATGGTGTGAGGTGAACAAATGAAAAGACATTCAGTAAGTTAGAGTTAGGCGGTAAATATTATTAAAAATGGACAGGCGTTGTTAATAAGATATGTCTCATAGCTGTGATTAACATGGCAAAAGAAAATGATCAAATATGAATTAAAAAAACAACTATGAACAACATAAATGATCCCACAAATACGACACTCCTTAGGATTAAAGAAACAGCGGAAATTGTCAATGCAGTCATGTTGAATGGTGACTTGTCAAAAAAATACAGTGCTACGTCAGAAAAGTATTGTTGTTGTTGATGTTGTTGTTGTTGGTCGTAAACAGAAGTATTTGTTGCTCAAAAACTTAATAGTGAATATCAGAGGCTCCTGGTCTCTTCCTGTGATCTCTTCGTGCATTCCCCTGACTTACACTATTGAGGGACGAAGATGACCCTGCTCTCTGTAGCTGTCCGGGTTCAGCATCGGTCAAACTCACATTCTGTGCTTGAATAAATGACTCTTTTTGATTTAATAACTTCTTCATTTCATTCTGGTTTTTTTTCATTTGAGTCTTGAACTTCTTCTCGACGGCGGCCACTTCAGATTTGCGATCCCTGGCGTGCGTTTCCAGCTCGTTCTTATGGCGATTGTGTAACTCTTCAAGTTTGCCTCGATTCTCCTCGTGAAGCTTTTCCATGTCGGCTTCATTCTTTCGAACCATCTCTTGTATCGTTTCATGATGTTCCCTCTCGACGTTTTGCAACGCTTCGGAATGAGTTCTGTTTAGTTCTGTAATTTCACTGTCTTTTTGCGCCAGCTGCTCCTCCACGGTTGTTTTCAAAGCTAACATTTCCTCCTCTCGCAGTTTAAGTTCTCGCTGATATTCTATGATTTCAGTTTTATACTCATCGATTAACTTCTGTTCCTCTCTCTGTCCTTTCTCTATCACTTGCCCCAACATTTCTTGTTGCTCTCTTTCTTTCTCGCTATATTTAATCTGAAACTCTCTCAAAAGTTGTTTGATTTTCGAATTATAGTCCAGCTCTTTTTCGCTCAATTTAGCTTTGCATTTCTTCTCGCACTTTTCCAACTCACTGGCATGTTCTTTCCGCAGATTATCCATCTCCAATTCATGTTCTTCCTTCAGTACCGATTCCTGCTCATGAAGAGCATCCATTTTCTCAACAAGAAGATTCTCAATGTTTTCTGACAGCTCTTTGTTAGAGGCATCTAGTTTGTCAAGTCTTCCCTGCAACTCTTTTTCGCGACTTTCACCTTCAGTTTCTTTTGCCTGGCGAAATTCCTCGAGTTTTGATTCTAGCTCTTCTTGATGAAGTTTCTTTAAGCCCTCCATCTCCTCCTGATGTTTCAACTCGAGATCCTTGATTTTGCTTTCTGATGAGTGCAGCGACTCCATCACATTGGAGATGGCAGTCTCTTTTTCTACAGCTTGTGCACTGAGCTGTTTCCTCAAGCCGGCAATTTTGCTCTCTGCTTTCTTCTTCATTTCAGTCAACTTGTTTCTATACTGTTCAGTCAGTTCCTCCGCTTGTTGTGCCAACTGCTTTTCCTTAGCGTCTTCGATTTCCTTGAGCTTTTCGTGTTGTTCTTTCTCTTTCGCTTTCAGTTTGGATTCAAAACTGTGCGTCTTCTTCTCCATTTCAGCTTCAAGTGTCTGCACTCGATGCCGCCACTCAGCTTCCTTTGTCGCAACAGTATCTTGAGCCTCCTGCTTTTCGCGACTCAGTTCTGCCAACTTCTCGTCGATAGCCTTATTGTTGCTTTCTCCGGTCACAATCTTTAGTTGCAACTCTTCCTGGCGTTTTTCATTCTCTCTTAGTTTGTTTTCGTAGCTTTCCTCCTTTTTGGCCATTTCTCTTTTCAAAGAGGACACCGTCTCGTGCAGAGTTTTGACCTCCTGATCAGTTTTCTCTTGACTTTCCCGCACTTCGTTTAACTCTTGCTCATGTTTTGCATTCATACTTTTGATTTTTTCCTTTGCTTTTTTGATCTTCAACTGCAGCTCCGATGCAGTGTTCTGTGCTTCGCTCAACTGGTTCTTTGCCCTTTCCTCCGATTCAAGACGTTCCTCTTTGTTTTTATTTGTTAATTCCTCCATCGCTTTTGTATGCTCTTCAGTCAAAGTCTTCTTATCTTCTTCCTGTTGCTTCAGCAGGTTTTGTATCTGAGTTGAGTACCGCTGGTTGATCTCATCGCATTTCCCTTTCCATTTTGTATTCAACAACTGAACTTCTTGTTCTCTTTCCTTTTTCATTTGATCCAGTTTCTTCTGCAAATTCGTAGTCGTCGCCTCCGAAGTTTGCTTCACTTCTGTTTCAACTTTCTCTAACTCGGCCTTCATTCGTTTTTCTTGTTCAAACAACTTAGCTTTACCCTCTTGAAGTTCTTTTTCTTTTTTAGCACGCTCCTTCTTCAAGTTGTTAAATTCCTCGTTTAATTTACTCTCCACATCACTATGTTTTGTCTGTGCTTCGTTGGCTCTCTGCTTCAAAGCCTCGATTTCTTTCTTGTGACTTTCCCTTACTTGTTCAATTTCTTTCCTAAGTTTGTCCTCCAATACAGACTTGGCTTCATATTCCTCCGATAACCTGCGTATCTCCTCTGCTTGTTGTTTGTAAGTTCTCTTTAAGGTATCAATTTCTTCGATCAGCTTTTTCTCCTCGTGATCAAACGCTGTCTTTATCTGCTCTGCGGACAATCTTAGTTCGTCCATTTTAATCGTATTCACTGTTTCAGTTTCGCCCAACTTTTTTTCCAGAACTTGAATTTGCTCTTTCAACTTTCGCTCCTCAATTTCAAAGACCGCTTTACTCTCTTCAGCAGCTTTACTCAGTGCATCGATTTGCTCTCTTAGCTTGGTTTCCTCGAAGCCGAATTTCTTTTCATTCTCTTCAGCATACTTCCGCAGCTCTTCCATTTTGCTACAATGCTGGGTCTCTGCATCGGATATCTTAACCTTAAGAAGCTCGAACTGCTCTCTCAAGTTTGCTTCCTCGGTAGCAAACTTCTGCGCCCTTTGTTCTCCCGATCGTGTTAACTCCTCCACTTGCTTTGATTTCTCAATCTCGACTTCTTCTATCCTGGATTTTAATCTTCCCACATCCTCGAGGTGTGCCCGTTCTCGATCAGCGAATTTATTCTTATCTTCCTCGCCGCTTTTCAGCAGTCCCTCCATCGTCTTGGAATGTCCTTTCCGAAGTTCGTTCAATTCAATTTCGTGGTATTTTTTAAGTTTCTCCATTTCAACGTTCTGCTTCTCGTAAATCTGCTTGATTTGCGCCAGGTCCTGTTGGTAAGTGTTGGTGACTTCCTGCAGCTTCGCTTGATAACTATCCCGCATCTCCGCGATTTCTGATCGGTGCCTTTCCATTGCTTCGTTCAACCGCCCCTCCGTCTCCATCTTGGCATTTTCAAATTCACTTTCGCGATTCGCTAAAGCGTTTGTCTGTTGTTGAGCGAGTTCCTCAACATTCTTTAAAGACTGATTCTTAATGTCCTCGACGTCGCGTTTATGACTTTCAGTCATTTCGCTTATCCTACTTTCCATTTCCACGTTAAGATTCTCGATTTGCTGTCTAAAACGTTTGTTCTCTTCGGCCAATTCTCTTACCTTCTCCATGGCGGACTCCTTCTCTTCTGAAACACTGTTCGCTTTGGCTTGCAACTCTTCCGTCTTCGCTTGATGTATTTTCTCTCGCTTAGCAATTTCGTTCCTCAAGTTGATATTCTCTTTTGTCATATTCTCTTCCTTTTCCCGCGCTTCGCTCAGAAATTTCTCCATAGTCTCCTCGTTTTCTCTGCGTATACTCACGACTTTGTTCTCCCAGCCCAAGTTCAGTTCAGATATTTCCGCCTGATGTCGCTCCTCGAGCTTCGTTAGTTCTTCTTTCCTCATATTTTCTAAATTCGCTGTTACATCTTTGACACCCATATCATGATGCTGAGCAATTTCGTGCAGTTTCTCCCTGGTAACGTTCTCTTTTTCAAGTAGCTGGTCGTGGAATTCCTTTTCCATTTTATTGACCAATTCCTTCACTTCCTTTTCTTTCAGTTTCATCTTCTCGTCGTGTTGCTTCTTCTGTGTTTTGAGCGCCTCCTGTTCAAGTTTCAAAGTTTCTTTCAGTTTCCCAATCTTTTCATCTCGCAGTGTTATACTTTGACTAAGTTCATCAATATTTCGCTGGGATTGCTCTTTTTGTTCATTCATTTGGCCAGTTAAACTCTGAATCTTGTTATTCAATTCAGCAATTTCGGAATTTTTATCGTTGAGAGATTTCTCACTCGAAGCCGCTTTGCCACTGAAATCTCCGCGAACCTTTTCTAACTCAAGTTTCCATTTCTCTTCAATAAGCAATTTCTCCTCTTGAAGTTTCCGAATACTTTGCGCATGTTCCTCTTTCAAACTCGAGACCGTTTTCTCGTGACTATTCTTGCTTTCTGAGGCACTCTGAAGACTTTTCTCTTCCGCAAGGAGCAACTGTTCTTTGTACTTTTGAACGTCAGTTTGATATTTCTGTTTGAAATTTTCAAATTGAGTTCTATACTTCTGGTTTAATCCGGCCAATTCTTCCTTGAGTTTATTTTCGTTCTCTGCGGAAGCCTTTAACTTCTCCTCGAACTCTTTGTTAATTTTTTCAAGCTCGTTCTTTTTACTTTCCACCTCTTTAACTGCCACGTTTTCTTTCTCCTTCTCCGAACTTAAAACCTTCAGTTCTTCCTCTCTTTTATTATTAAATGCTGTCTCTAGCTCTCTAATTGTCACCATCGCCTTTTGCTTGACAGCCTCAATCTCATGATCCTTCTCGGTTTTCATTTCGAGAAGTTGCTTTTCCAGTTCCTTGGAGTAATATTCCTTTTCAGTAAGCTTCCCTTTTACGTCGACTAATTCTCTCTCTTTTTCCTTCAAACGATTATCCCGGTCTTTCGTCAGCTCCTCCACTTCGTTTGCTTTCTTGCTTTCAGTTTCTTTAACTTTATTCTCCAGATCACTAACAGTACTATCTTTTTGCAGTAGTTCTTTGCGTAAATCTTCGGCGATTTTGTTAGCATCGGCAACTTTCTTCTCAAAGTCATTTACACTCGCACTTTTTTCCGACTCAGTTTCCTGTTGCATGATATTTACTTTCTCCTCAAGTTCCTTCGCTTGGTTTTCTTTTTCAGTGAGCTTTGTCCTAAGTTCCTTTACAATCTTTTTCATCTCGTTGGTTTTACTTTCCATTCGTTTGGAGACGCGAGCAAGTTCTGACTGCTTATCAGCCTCAAATTGTCTCTCTTTCTCCTCCAAGTCTTTCACATGTTTCTCAGCCTCGGCTTTTCGCTGTTTCTCCAGTTCAGCCACTTTTTGTTCGGCTTTCTTAGAATTCTCGGATATTTCACCCATTTTCGTTTGATGCATTTTCTTGAATTTGGCCAACATTTTTTGATGTTCTTCCTGTTTTTCTTGAAGGAGATTGCTGTGTTGCTGGATCATCTCCGCGATCTTAGCCTACCAAAAAAAGGAAGCTTAAGATTGATGGATCTATTCAATACAAAATGCTTTCGGGGGAAATTGAAAATCGTTCGCAAATGCTTCCGCACGACTCTTTTTGCGGAGGATGCGTAATAATTTACGGGGGGTTAGGTTACCCACGCGTTCATTACAGTACAAAGTTTATCAGTTTACACCGGCTGCATTCAGCAGAAAATGAGACGACAAAGGGGGGTCGGGTGAGGGATCCTGCTTCTAGACTTGAGATACATGTATGCCAATACCACTTATTCATAGACAATGTCTTATAACGGAGCTGTGTACCCCAGGTGTCTGTATGCAGTGTTCTCCCTTATTTTAAGCATGACAGGTAAAATAAATTTTCAAACCGGTATAGCAATCCTTTTACCCGTTGAATTTTCAAGAATTCCAAGCAATTTTAAACGGCAATAAGAGGACCCTTAATCGTCCTTTGATGCACCACAAGGATTGTTGAAAATCAGAAACGATCAGAAAGCACTCACTTGTTCTTGTTCTAGTTTCTGCTGAGTCTCTGATAGCTTCTGCTCCAAATCTAAAAAAGCAATGACAAAGATGATGACTGAAAACCTAAGAACTCCTCTTTTCCCAGAAGAAAAGGTACCAATAACTTTTTATGTTGGAGAAGTCTAACTTCACACCTCATTCAATAGGGAAAAGATAGAGAACTGTACGAAAAAAAAAGAGTGAATGTTAACGTGCGTTACGTACAGTATTAAAATGTAAATAATCTGATTAATGACCTTTTCCCCATTAGATCCCTGCGTTATCTCACCTTCAGTGTAAATGCCCTTTAAATTTAAACTCTTATTAAAGCCAAAGTTGGCACTCAAATGTGCTTTCTACCTAAGGCCTCAATACGTGTAGTGCAAATGTATAAATACATGTACACCCTGGCCACTAGAAAACACTAACGCAGCAAATAAACAGGAAGTCTCGATCACAAGTAGACTTCGTATAAATTTTCAAAACTAGATACATGTACCCAGCAAATAACCAACTAGAACTAAAGTTGGACCTGGTACATGTACCAGACACATGTGAACGTTTGTCTTACATTGAGACCGTTACATGTAGAATATTTTTAAACTTCTCTTGCCTCTCTTTTCAACAGATGTCTTCTGCAGCTCAGCCAAGAGGTTAGACATCTTACTGGCTTGTTCCTGTCCAGTACGCGAAGCTTCAGAGGTTTTACTTTGTAGATTTTCTGACAGCGATTCCATTTGTTCCCTCAAGGCTTGGAGTTCTTTCTCTTTCTTCTTCAAAGCGGCTTCTTTCTGTAGCTCTTTCTCGTCCACTGCTATCTCGATCTCCTTCACCTAAAAACAACCAAACAATAGTCATTCATGCCCAATACGAGCCATATCAAATCAGGGGCTTGGGCACGAGTTTCCATCGAGAGAGATGTAACGTAACGTAAGTGTCTCGCTGTTTTGGGGAGTGCCAAGTTAATTCATCATGCCAAGTAGTCCTTTTTCTTGAAGGGGGGGATCCGCTCTACCCTCTAGACCCCTCTTACTTAACCAAAATGTTTTAGGCCCAGCTAACTTGTCTTCCGAGGAGAAAGTCTGTGAAAGTGGCCATCTATCAAGAACCTAAGACCTGCTCAGCCAAAACGAAAAGGTGAATTTAAATCTGCCTCTACAATGAGTAGAAAATGTTCTCGCATCCTTTTACAATTACGCACGCATTAAGTTGTTGTCGTTCAAAAGGTGGATAGCACACCTTAAGGATCCTCCCACCAAACCGCCGAGTCCTACCCCCGAAACAATTTGTACACCGGATTTTGTCTAGCGTACGTGTACTTCTGTAATACCTTTTCATTGTACTTCAACTTCATCTCTTCCTCTTTAGCATGTAAGATCGACTCCACTTCCTTTGTTTTCTTAGTCAGAGCCTCCTGTAACTCCATTTCCTTGGCAACTAACATTTCCTCTAACTTCTCGTTCTTGTCCTTCTGCATGACTGCCACCACCTCCGCCTTGTCTCTCTTCAACTTCTCCATCATTGATTTGCGCTCATTTTCCTCCGCAGCTGCAGTAGCCTCGTATTTTGCAGTCATCTCTTGAATTTCTCGCTCCTTCTTCAACTCTGCAATTTCTCTTCTCTTTTCTGACTCTTCGAGTTGCTTCTCCATCTTGAGAAAGAACTCGTCTTTTTCTTTTTTCATTTCTTCGTTTTGAGCCTCACGCTCCTGCAGAACTTTCCTCATTTCACTAGCGTTGTTCACAGCCTCGTCCTTTTCCCGCAGCGCAGTCTGTAGGTTGTCCATCATGTCCTGAATAGCTGTCTTCTTCTCTTGTTCTAGTCTAAGTATCAAGGCTTTAGCTTCCCTCATTTGATTCGAAGTTACATGATCGTGTTGAATGGACTTTTCCTAGCAACGTACAAAAAAAAAAAAAAAGAAAGAAATGAACAAGATAACTTTAAATAAACTCCTTCATCCCCTCCCTCGTGTGCAGACTGCTTAAAACTAGTCTGTCCCAAACCGCTTTTTGTTTTTTTTCTTGCAATCAAGTGGGAAAGCACGAAACAAGCACACAAGAGTGAGCGCGGATTGCAGAGAGATCGTGATCCTTGTTTCGCTTGCGCTGTGGCCACTAATCTTAACAAAACTGAAGGTCTGTGAACAGTGTAGCCAAAAAATCAGCAATAACATTAGCAATATATCAAGCAAATCTAAAAATAGTAAATGTACGCAGGTGTAGAAAATCAATGTCGTACTTTATTCTCGTTTATTTCCCTGGCTTGTTTCTCCACAAGAGCTTGAAGGCCTTCCATCTATAAAGAGAACGACCAAACTTACCCGTCAACAACACTTCACACACAAGAATCTGCACAAATGTAACTTCATGAGCTTAAGTGCAGCCGAAATCATATTGATTCATGCAATATCCTTGCATGAAAGAGCCCTAAATTTTTCATCATAAGATGGTTTGTAAAATACCCCCTTCACGAGTTGTCAATTCAGTATCACAAAATAAATAAGGCTGGTGGAATCTACGGACTGTTTTGTGAAAGGATCTTGAAAAATCTATCCCAAGAAATCAGTTCTGAAGGTAAACGACATGTAACCAGTGTCAATTGACATACAATACAATGGTCTATTTTCGTTCTGAACAATATAATCCACGCATGGATACAGATCTCATCTTCAAGTATAGATAAAATCTTTGATAAATAAGCAACACAGACATATGAGGGGTACCATTCACAAAAAACCAGGAGTTTGTGTTGTGAAGCAGACATGAATGGTCAATAGATAGAAACAATTGTACGTTTTACACATGTTCTAGTTAGTGCAGTATTAAGTCAAAGATGAAACCACCTATCAAGAGCATGCTGCTTTTTTTCTGGTGGTTAAATACTAAAAATACTCCATAGATCACAGAACATCTACATCAGAAAATAATGTTTTTAATGGTGCAGCCGTAGATGTAAACATGTTCACAACTGTATGTAACTGTACATAATAATGAAACTGTTCCTTACCCTCTCCTGCAGACTCTGCTGTTGAAGCTTCTGTTCATCACTTTGAGATCCTGTAATAAATAAATACCAATAAATTTACTCCATGTACATTTATAGAGGGTAACAACCATTGATTGAAAATTGAAAGGTGTTTGTCCCTCAGAAAACAGGGTTGGAATTTGGCATGGTGTTTTGTGTAGAGAACGGAAACCCAAAGAAAAAATCCTTTAAGCAAAGATGGGAACTAACAACCCCCTTGTGACAAAAAGTTCAGGAATCAAACCCAGGCCACAGGGTGGTGGGGGGAGAAGAAGGAAGGAAAGCAAAAGCGCATGGCCACTGCAGTATCACTTCTCCCATATGCCATCCCACCAATGAAGCTCAAGTTCAAAAGAGTCATTACACATTCAAAGGCAAAATCTTTTAGATAGCTCACCTAAGCCAGCATCAAGAACATCAGTTCCAGGAATTGCTAGTGAGCCTTGCTGCTTGAGTAGTTGAACCTATCATGGAGCAATTATATCCAGATTTAGTTTCCAGGTGAGGCTAACATTTAGTTGTAAAGTACACCTAGTTAAACTAAAATATACAGTGGTCCTAATAAACATTCAAACATCCAAATAGGCAGGGTTGATGAGAAATGCTGATGGGTGCCAATATCACAAAATAAAAAAAATTAAATTATTTTGAGAATCAAAGATGAAGAATTTACCCACGAACATAATGAACAAATGTACTAATTATTATCCACCTGTGTTTGTAGAGCTTTGATGATATCTTCTTTTTCATCTAGAGACAACTGAAGTGTTTCCTCCAAATGCATCTTGGCCTGTTTTTCAAGTTCTATGGTCTGTGAACAAATGGAAAGTTAATAAATTTGTCAGACTGATTTATAAAAACTGACTCAAACTGCCCTGTGATTTTACAAAATATCTCAGATTTCTACACAAACCACACAAAGGGAGCTTGATGTACCTGCGATGCAAACTCTCCTGAATTACCAGGCTGAGTATAACTCACAAGATTTACAAAAGTCATTTACACCTACAAGTACCAATAACTGTTACACATCAACACTGAAAACCATTGCCTCTGAGAAAAGATAAAGACTACGAATGTATGAACCTTCTTTTGTGCACTTTCAGTAATCATTTAGTCATCAAGCCAGGCCATCACCAGTCACAGCATGATTCAAGAGTTTGTCAAGTAACACCAACATCAAACAATCAAGGCAATGAGACTCTCCTATAATACACACTTCTTATTACAATGTTTATCAGTTGCATAACATGTAAACATGTACACCATAATTACAAGATATTTCAATTATTTACCCTCAAAAGTCAAGATAATTGTATCACACTGTGTTTTGCAAACTTAAAATTCACCTCTTTCATCTCTGATATTCTTCTAAGAGCTTTGTCCTGACTCTGTGTGAGATTATTCTGCAAGAGGGTACATTGACATGCATGTATGACATACTAGTTCAGATCAGATCCAGTATCATATACCCCCTTTATTCAATATCATTATAGCTTATTGTTCAAGTTTTGCATGCAAGTGATCAAAAAACACTTTTGATCAAATAAAACTAATAAATAAATGTAAGTTCTTTTCAGTCAATTGCAGTCAACATTAAAATAAACAAAAACTGCAGAGAGGAAAACAGCAACACAAGTCATCTTTAACCTATCAACTTTTCACACATTTGTTTACATGTGTACCTGTAGCTTTTCATTTTCCTTCTGTAGGTTCTTGTATGCTTCCACAACCTTCACGTTCGGGAAAACAAATTGGAACATCATCAGTTTATATTTTTTAACAACTACAGCAACCCATATGACAGATTCTAAGGATTCATTTCTACTCACTCCAGAATTAAAAACAAAGATAATTGTCCAACCTACATGTACAGTATCTGTAAAAGGATGGCCATTGTTAATTTACCTTTCTAAGAGCCTTTCTCTGTTTCTCTTCAGTATCAAGTTGGCTTCCCATACAGGAAAACATCTTAAGACCATTGTCTCAAAATATTCCCAATTATAAACATTTCTTGAAATACAAGACTATGTGTACATTGCTGAATAACTTCAGAAGTGAAGTTTGTATAAATTTCTTCATGTTTAAGTGTACAACATGAGTTACTGTTTCTCCCGACATGTCGGCCAGTGAGATGTTAATGCACACTGAAGAGACTTACAATAATTAAGCCAGGTGAAATGCTCCTGGTTGTGAATTAAAATAACATCTACATTTTGTTCTTGATACAAGAAAAATTATTCCCAGAAACATGTACTTAGCAGTTGCAAGTAGAACTTTGTTCTAAAATTCATAGTCAGATGATTTGGTGCTGTTTAAAACTAGTCCTTTCATGTCAGTCTATTGTCTGTTGTAGATTTTTATTGTTCAGGCTAATTTGAATAAAGGAAAAATTATGCAAAATGTTTCTAACCACAATCATATCAACTGACATTTATTATTTAAGCTGCATTCCATTCAACATGACTGAATACCTAGGTAACCTCTATAAAAACTAACTGTCCTTTACATATTTTATGCCTACAACAACAGAAAAAGAGTTGTAACTCGATTTGAAAACACATCTCTTGATTTGTTCATTTCTTTTCTTACTTTATTTACCAAATAAAATTATACCTCCACTTAAAATATAAAACAAAAGCAAAACAAAATTAAAAACTTACTTTTATCTCAAAAAAAATTGCCCTCATTTGCCTTATGCTGAGGTGGACAGTGCCTGACATTGATCACTTGTAATGTTTCATATGAATTTCCAATGAAAATGATTTCAAACTATACTGTGGATTGGTTTGTATTTTTCTTTGTTATAGAGTTGTGGTCATACTTCAGAGACAAGATAAAATCACAATGTACGACCTAACTAGTTTAAAAAATAATTTACACTTGTTTACATTACACTTATATTTCCTGTGATTCAGTTCATTGCTATGTGTTGAGATTGAATTTATTCTCATTTCATATTTTGATCATAAACATTCAAACCAACAGAAATACGTGTAAATTTATAAATTATACTCGGTCAAAATATTCTAAACTGAGAAAAAAAAAAAAAAAAAAAAAAAAAAAAATTCTGCACCATTATCTTACAAAAACCAATTTGTCAGAAGTATTTTTTTCATGTTCACCTGATTTGTGATTTTTAATTGCCAAAACACTAATCAGAATTGCTTAATGTCTAAAGCTGTATCAGTTATTAATGGTACAGATGAGCACTCAGATTACAAATGTACTCTTGATCACTAAAAGCAAAGTTTATGACAATTGATACTAACATAAGAAATTTCAGCATTTGTTACAAGTAGCTATTCCAGTGATGCTGAGGTCAAAATTTATTAAATATCTAAAAACCAAATTCATCATTGGATGGTAAAAGCTCATTTAGCGTGAACAGTGTTATAAAAACAGCCATGGCCTAATTTGATACCTTCAATATACATGCACATTTAGTACAGAGACCAGTGAGGAGAATGAATCCCAGCCCATGAACAAGATCAAAGAAAGACAAAAAAACTTAAGGCAACATGACAAAAGAAGCACCAAAGCAGGGAATGGCTAGGAAATCTGGCTGATTTCTTTCCAATATGTGTTAGTACACTTTTTTTTGGACCTTGCCATAAACACACCTGTCAATAGAATTCCCATCATTTTGAACTGAGTGATTACTAAAAGTAGACTTCTCCTTAATTCAATAATATGTGAATGCAAAAATACAAAAGATTGTGCATGACAAGGTAGCTCAAAAAGTAAATGATAACTCTGCTGTTTTCATTTTCCATTCTTCCTGGCTTTCCTAACCACTCACATCAACTACAGAAACTGTGCCAGTGCTAAATGCATACAAGAAAATGGCCTAGCCCTTTTAGCCATTCCCGCAAGTTGGGAGACTACTAACATTGTAGCTTTCCTTATTAATTTGATTGAAATCAAAATCCTTTAAAATCATGTAAAAACAAAGATGTTACAAAGTGCGATACCTCTGAGAATCTGGTCTTGTAACGTGCCAAGACTCTCTCTTGTTTTCTAAACATGGCCACCACCTCTTCCTTTGTGGCTCCCTCTAGGCGAGCCCCAGGTGTGCCGGGTGTGCCACTTTGCTCTGCATCCGACTCAGTGTCAGACCGTCCTCCCACAGAAATAGGGCTTGAAGGAGGGATTGATCCTTGACGTTCAACAGTTCTCTTGGGAGTTTCAGTATCACTGATGCTGTCCTGTGACAAAGTTTTACTTGGGGTGCTTGTGCTCTTAGGAGGAGTTGTCTCACCAGAATGAGGCTTTTCTCCATTTCTGGAATCAGGCTGAACAGCCTAGACAATGAAACAAACAAACAAACAAATAAACAAATTAGGAAGGTCTGAATTTCACTAACTTCCTTGCTTTACTTCACTCGAGCATTTTCGTGAATTTTATCTTCATCCTCAAGTTGCTTCTGATTTAATCCCTCCAACAATTTGTCAGAATTAAACAATAAACTGTTCTAAGACAGGGGATTTCATCAAATCATTAAATGTTCATGAATATATATATGTACTGAGTTAGGGAAAAAACAGAGAGACTACACTTTCTTCCTGACAAGCCTGTTTCACTCTTCAATGGAAATCTTTTCTTGTTCACTGTTTTCTAGTCAAATTTAAACTTGGAGTGTTGTTGTTATTGTTGTTTTTCTGCCATCCAATAGTGAGTTAATCATGATTAACATGTGTTTTTAAATGTTTTTTCCCAAACTCATCAAAGTACTATATTGTAAAGTTCTGTAATATATATATATCTATATAATATGCTTAGTTATGCACACATTCTGATTGGTTCTCACTTATGATCTATTGGAGGACAGACATAGATGATGTCATCATTAAAACTTTCTTTAATTCTTTATTATATAAAACAAAGAGATTCCAAGTTGCCTTGCGTCTGTTCAGTAATAGATCACAGAGGACGTCAAAATGTGGTAAGAACATCAGTGACACACTTGGCTGCGCCTCGTATGCCTCTTTTTTGTTCTTGCCACATTTTGACGTCATCTGTGATCTATTACTGAACAGACGCACAGCAACTTGGAATCTATTTGTTAAATATATATATATATATATATATATTACAGAACTTTACACTGTAGCACTGTGAGAGGGCAAAGAATCAGATCTTGCATTCTGATTACCTACATGCGTAAGTAGGTAAGATGCTTGGAATTAACCAGCTTCTCTGTAACTTTATCATTAGTGACTTTTTTTTGGTTTATCCTTTAAATCTTTTCAATCCATCTTGTCATAATTTTTTGTGACAAGAAAAAGAGTTCTTTTGCCTTTGTATTAACCTCAATATTGTTGATGTCACAAGTGAGTTCAGATTACTTTTGGTTCTATTCTGCAGAAAAACAACACCAACAACACTCCAAATTTAAATTTGACCAGAAAACAGTGAACAATAAGAGATTCCAATAAATATCTATTGCTGAATCAAATTTTACCTATTTAAAGAATTCTTTTCAAGATAATTAGTATCAACAACTGAGTTGATAATTTCAAAGGCCACTGTAGGGTTTTTAAAGATGATGTTTCTTGGGTTAGCTGACCTCCTCAAAGTGGCAAATTTACATCATCTACTCCGTTGATGAAACCAATTATCTGGTAATATCCTCCATTAATGAAGCACCCAAGTTCCTTTTAATTAGAGATTTAAATTCCTTTTTATTTCATTTTATCTCTTTTTCCTTTTTATTTCTGATTTGTTTTTAATACACTGACTATTACAAATCAATAGCCTGAAACCTTTAAGATTCACAACATTTTAAAGTTATGCTGAAAAAAGAAACCTTTGACAAAAAAAGAACAAATAGACTAAGAGGAAAAATCAAAGAAAGTGCCAAGGATGACACAATCACATATAAAAATACAGCTGTTTTGAAAACAGTTATTAACGAAGATCACTGATCACCTCCGATCTAGTATAATTGATTTGGAAACAAAAAAATATCTGATTTTCAATCAAGTTTAACTCACTCATGCGATAGCTTCAGGTCAATCATTTGTAATATACCTTAGAATCAAGAAGGTTGTAGACTCGGTCGAGAACCTCTCGTGGCGTAGATTTCGGTTTGATCTGTGATGTTTTAGGAGTTGATGATGTGCTCGAAGGAGAACTTGTTACATTTGCAGCTGAATTCGAAGGCGGAAACACACGGTTTTCTTCAGATTTCGCCTGGGTTACATTGCTACTTTCATTGCCTGGCTCTTTCGGAGTCTAAATTATTCAACACAAGACGATCAGTAGAATACACACAGAATAAAACTTGACAAGATCATTGTTCGTTGAGAACAGTTAAAACACTTTTATCACAGAAGAGTAAATGACGCGTGCAGTCGATCAAAACTTTGAATCATTACCTGACGTGCATTTTGCTTCAGGGGGGTCTGTTCCCCATCCGTCTCCTCCGCTAATTTCTGCTTTAGTTTCTTAAACATTTTTTAGTTCATCTCATTCGATCAATACCACCAGACTATCCGCCATCTTGGATTTTACCTTATGCTCCACTGAGCTTGCGCACAGGGAGCATTCTTACATGCGCAGAAAGTACCTTGACACGTCAGCGACTGCGACGAGAAAAATAAAGAAGGGTACGGCGGGGATTTTTTTTTTATGGTGGGTGAAAAAAAGGGGAAAATAATTCCTTAGTTTTTTTTTTTTTTTTTTTGACAAACGTAAGGAGCAGAATTACACATTATTTTTTCAAGCCTTTCATGCTTTATTTTCCTGGCTATTTTTTCAAAAGGCTGGCAAAAATAACGAAGTAAAAGCTAGAAGTAAGTGAATTTTCATTGCCAACCTCGGTTCCAATGCTCTCTCTCTCTCTGAACTTCCTTCACTGACATTGCGTGTTCCTAATTGACACATTAAGCCACTTATATGACAACATAACTGTGACGTCACCGAATTTCAAACTCATCATCCTGACGAATTTCGTTTGTTTTGAAAAATTATCTTTGGTTACTTACAGAGTTCAAAAGACTTTCAAATTTCAACCATGTCGGACCTCACACCCATGTTTTCAAGTTCTCGGATGGCAGAATTGAGACAAGCCTTCGACAAGCACGCTAATGGAAACTCCTTGAAAGGCGAAGACTTTGGTAAAGTGATGAAAGAGTGTGGAGAAGAAGTCCCTGCCTTCAAACTGCGAGATATCGAAGAAGAAGTGCAGAAAGAAAAGCGAGGGATGTTAAGCTTTGACGATTTTACCAAACTGTTTGCAAGGCTGTCTACGAAAGCGGTTGGAGGTGCATACAAAAAGGCCGTTGACAGCCGCAAAGGAGTGCAAGCTGTCGGAGGGACTTCAGCATCATCTGCCGAAGGGACAAGACATTCGTTTTCTGATGATGAGCAGATTGGCTTTAGCAACTGGATTAACTCAGTTCTGGAAGATGATCGCGATTTGAAAGGTTAGAAATGTGATATACAAATAGAGATTTTCACGTTAAAAAGTTTTCGTTTACTAGAGTTGTTGTAGTAAAACTCATAGATGGAGAAATAGATATTGAAATTTTCAACCGCTTTCGGTGAGGATGGAAAGATTTCCAGTGAGTTTATTTTAAAAGAAAGTGTCCGTTAACTGTAAGAAGGAACAAACTGCTCTTAGTAACCAGCAAACAGTGAGTTCGACAGAAAGCATTAAATTTATTTACACCGGTATGCACCCTCGATAACAATTTTTCTCTTAGCAATTGCGTAGATTGTCCGAAATTCGTGCGTTCAGTTCACTCAAATAACTAAACCTTATGCAAGCTAATGATAATTATGTTTTGGATTTATTTGACACAGTGTATATATTCAAAATTTGAGTAAGAGGGAAGGTTCTCAAATGACACATACCTCACTGTTATTGGACTCATTGCATACGAAGCAATCTTCGTTTTGCATCGGCAATACATTGTGACGGAACGGTGAACTTTTTGAGCCTTGAGTAAAAATTTTGTTTTACATAGGAGAATTCTATGCGAGGGTCTAATAATTTAATTTGGAGAAATGACATGCAGGATTATTTCTCCGATCAAAGTTTGGGGGGCGGAGTGGAACCGCGGGTGATTCTTTCTCAGAAGCAACGCCCTACGTGGGAATTGTAATACGAGGTCTTGCAGGAATGAAATAATATGAATTCACTCCAGCTGACTCTTAGTTTTCTTTTGAAAGTCGAGTCGAGTCAGATCAGCTTGTTGGTTCTCCTTTACCAGTTAACACTACCCAATGGTAGATGAAATCTTAACACTATGTTTCTATCCTCACAGGGAAGTACGTGCCAATTAATGAGGACGATAAAGATGGTCTTTTCAAAGCCGTTAAAGACGGGATTCTGCTGTGTAAACTCATAAACTGGGCCTGTCCTGGTACTGTGGACGAGAGAGCTATTAATAAGACCAAGTTAAACGTGTATAACATTCACGAAAACCAAACGTTGGTGTTGAACTCAGCCATGGCTATCGGCTGTAACATCGTCAATATTGGCGCGCAGGATCTAATTGAAGGCAAACCTCATCTGGTGCTGGGTTTACTGTGGCAAGTTATCAGGGTATGTGAAGCTTTATGGTGAACAGAATTTCTCACAAAGTGCTTAAAGTGTTTATTCGCTATCTTTTCGCGTAACATTAGAATCTAAACTTAGAGAATTTCAGTTTAAAATTTTAAACCGTATTATCTTTACAAACGAAAAACTATTTCGTTTTGGCATGGCTGATTCGCCGTCCTGTGCTTTCTGCCAAACAGAGGTTGAATCCGTAGAGCATTTACTCTTTTCCTGTAGAGTATCATCTAGTTTTTGGAAACATGTCTTGTCCTGGTTGTGCGATTATAACATCCCTGTTGATAACCTTGAAGAGGAAGATGTCATTTTTGGTAAGTTCGATATTGCAGAAGATTTTCTCCTGTTTAACCAAATTTTGTTTCTGGGTAAGTTTTATATTTACTCTCGGAAATACCTAAATGGTATTCCTTCTCTTCGAGGTTTTATAGCCAGGACTAGGCGTGTTTACAATATCGAACTCCGTATTGCCGCGAAAAGAGACAAATTAACTAATCATTTTAGAAAGTGGGAAAGGTTAATAAGCGTTTTTACGAATAAGTGATCGTGATGTCATGATTAATTTCCATCATTAGTTTAAAAGTGATGTCATTGTAACTTACATACGAGGTAACCGTATTGCTGTTATAGCTTTGTGAGTGTGTGCAGCTTGGTAATCTTCTATTTGTACCGTATTAGTGTGTGTTTTTCTCTTTTTTTTTTCTTCCTTAATTTCTGTTTTGTATTTAAACATCAGAAATGCTTTGATAAAAATAAAATTAAAAAAAAATTTAAAAAACCAAAGTGCTTACTCCAAAACTGTTAACATCAGTGTAGGCCTCCAGAGATACAGGGCCCTCTCCATTCGACTAAAATTTTCGATCTGAATTTCCAAAATTTTCGCATGTCGAATGGAACGTGGGCGAAATTCCCTGGGTCAATTTTCTTAGCTTTTGAGCCACTCGATGATCTCCATTTACCCCGGTTACGTTGGAAGACAGTGATGAAAGAGCTAGCTTGATTGTCGGCTTTATGCCGTTAAACAGCTGTTTAACGGCAGTAGTGGGCTCAGAGTATGAAACTGTGCAGGGTTGTAAATACACAGTCCAATGCGACTCACCGCAATCTTGCCGAAGGCTTGTTATATGATCTAAGATCTTTGACATAAAGGGAAATACCTTATCGATCGATTTTCAGCTCATAGCTGAGCGAATGAAACGGGTAACGGGTCTAAATGATTCAACGCTACCTATCTTAAGAAAGATCTAGAGCCATTGAAAAGCATAAAAGATTCGTCTATGATGCACTGCATAGCTGCTCTTTCCAAAAAAATTTTGCTGTTCATGGGATCATTATAATTCTAATGCTTATTATTGCTTCTCTTAGATCGGTCTGTTCAGGCAACTGACTATCCAGAACTGTCCCGGACTTGTTCGCCTGGTTGAAGAGGACGAGACCATCGAGAAACTTCTCCGTCTTCCCCCGGAAGCCATCTTGCTCCGTTGGTTCAACTACCATCTTCAGGATGCCGGGCACCATCGGCGAGTCGCCAACTTTTCTACTGATATCTCTGATGCGGAGAATTACAGTGTTCTGCTTCACCAGGTAATCCTTTATAGCTTTAAGTTGAAGCTCGGACTCCTGAGATGCGTAGCATGAGAGCTGTCCTCTGAGAGCATCGTCTGAATTGTGATTTCTTCACTCTCGACGTGGTCTGATCATTCTCTCAGATTCTATATCTGCTTCCGTTAAATCTGAAACAAACCATACAACTACCAATTAATAATTTAGAACCCAGGATAAAAACCATCACAGCTTCTCTAAAAGGACCAATTTATTTGGATACTTTTGTAGCAACATATTTTGGATTCACTATAAGGAAGAACCGACGTTCGAAACTTCAGCTTAGTATTTCTCTCGACGATGGCCAATTCCCATCTTCGGCTCAGTTGATACTGCCAAGTTACCTTGCAATAACCCCAAAGACGAGGCGCTACAGTTTCTTAAGAAAGTTACCCCCTTTTATTTTTCTTTATTCTGTTTAGTAAGGTTACCTTTTTCCCCTTCCAGATCGCCCCTCCTGAACTCGGGATCGGCGAACCACACATTGGCGTGTCCGACCCAACGAAACTTGCCGGGCTCGTCCTCGACAATGCAGCCAAGATGAAATGCCGCAAGTTTGTGCGAGCCAAGAATATTGTTAATGGTAACGCGAAGCTGAATCTAGGATTCGTCTGCAACTTGTTCAATAACTATCCTGCACTGAAGCCAGTTGAAGAAGAGCTGCCCAACCTTGAAGAAACACGAGAGGAGAAAACTTTCCGCAACTGGATGAACAGCATGGGAGTGAAGCCGTTTGTGCAACATCTCTACCTAGATTTGGATGATGGTATCGTTCTTCTACAGCTGTTTGATTTGGTAATGCACAAAGAACCAACGTCATTTGTTTATTTTATGCCAATAACCGAAAATTCATTCAGGGCGCTTTTCCGAGGAGTATCTTGAATTAACATCAAATTTATTACAACTATTATTATTGGAAATTTAAGCTTCGTCATCGAATAAAGAAGTAGGTCAAACCATTCTCACAGGTGTGGGTCAAAATACAAGGATACATGATTTGATAGCTAATTAGTTTTCCGTGTTTTCAGGTGAAAAAAGGCGTGGTGGACTGGGGCAAGGTCAACAGACCACCTTATAAAAAGATGAGCGAGAGTATGAAGAAACTCGAGAACTGTAACTACGTGGTCGACGTCGCCAAGCAACTCGAATTTTCCGTGGTAGGAACCGGAGGCAAAGACATCTTGGACATGAACAAGAAGCTGGTCCTGGGTCTCCTGTATCAGACCATGCGCGCCTACACATTGCAGGTCCTGCAAAAATGCACCGGAAGCGACAAGAAGATCAAAGATGAAGAAATTGTCGCATGGGTCAATGAAAAACTGACAAAAAGCGGGAAAGACAGCAGAGTAACCTGTTTTAAAGACCCCACCATCTCAAACGGCAAGTCAGTGATCGATCTAATCGACAGCATCAAGCCAGGTGTTATTCAATACAACATAATGGCAACAGGGGAGACACTGTCAGACCACCAGAAGTTGTTGAATGCCAAGTACGCCGTCTCCATGGGGCGAAAGATTGGCGCCAAATTGTACGCGCTGCCTGAGGACGTAGTGGAGGTCAAGGCCAAGATGGTACTGACCGTGTTCGCTTGTTTGATGGCTGTTGATCATGCGAATACTGCTGGAAAGAAATGAAGTGCCAGATTTAAAACGTTTGGGAAATGTAAAACACAAGAAGAACATTCGTCCATTATTTACAACAAACTACTTGAGAACTTATAAGTACTTCTTAAAACACAGTAAGGTTATTTTAAGCGATGAAATATTGTTTCTGGCTATAATAAGCGTTGCAAACGGTTTCGAAACAGTAATTGTGGTTGCACTGTTGGTGCTCTCTTCACCAAGTTTCACTGATTACATTGATCGTAAAGTGTTTCTTAAGATTAAGTATGTCTGGCTCGTTAGTTCTTATCGCTTGATCTGCATGTCAATAAAACTGTTCTGTTCTGGTCAAACTTATATAAAAGTATATATTTTTCTCTACCTCATACTGACTTAGCACCGGAAAGGTTTTATTTCGGCTAACATTGTAGGGGGTGGAAGGGGGGGGGGAGGGGAAGAGGAGCTGCAAGGGAGTAGGGGGGGAAGGGTGAAATGTGAAAATCTCCCAGACATTGTTGATTTTGATTGTAGAGGTGAAATTTGCTCGGTAGTGTGAAACTGAATGTACATATTTCGGTCGGGTTTCGCTAGACTAAAATGATTACAACAGCCAATCAGTTATCAGAAAGCACATGGATCCTATCAAAGTTCAGATTCTAACCAGGGATAATGCCCCAGGCGCGAGAAAACACACACGACAAAGTCTGCACCTGATTGGTTGAGAGGGAGCTGAGGGGTTTGTAGACCAATATCACCAACCAACCCAATTCAAGATAGAACATTTTTCCAAGAGAGGAGCGAAAACTTTTCGGAGCTGAAAATAACTGTCGACTGAAAATTCTTGACAATATGACTATCTTCGGACACAATTGAGAACTTTATTTAAAATCACTTAAATAAGCCGATAGTTTACGAATAGACCACTCGTACCCTACTCTTCTCTTCAAAATACACGAATTATGTTCCAGTTGTCCTATACTAGTAATCAAGAATACTAGATAACCACGTTTAAGTAATCACTGGGAATGATACAAGTCACTCATTTTAGGACTTACCAGTCCAAAACATTAAAGTTCCGTTTAATTACCTTCTCTATTCCCTTACAGGGACTAGCATCTAATTTCTCCTTCCAATATCACCCCTAAATATCAGATTATGGTCACGAGAATTAAGGAAATGATCAACTAAGATCACTCTCGATAGCTGAACAAATTGTCCTTTTCAGTACCTTAGGAAGTGTATAGAGAACAGTATGGAAAATTTACCTACTGGTGTCAGGATTTAAACGGTTAAATGTTTGAAGCGGCGGTTGGAGCTATCGGCATAATTCTCAACCTTTGTTATTCAACCTTTGTTATTTTTATATTATCATTCTACGAAAGATATGTTTTTGATTAAAAATAATTTCCACACCTTTCATTAACGTTACGTAATTAATTAATAGTATTCAACTCAATGAGAACCATCATCACCTTCAAATAAAGCCTTCTTTAGGATTCTATAACTCTCTCAAGTAATTACGAACTTCATCAATCAATCAGGTAATATGGAATAGTAAAGTTAGATAAACGCTCCATTGCGAGAAGTAGAGTTTGGTTTATGACCAAATAAGTTTAGGATCACTCTTTGACTAAACCATCACTGGCCACTCCGTTTTCCATGTCTGCACTCTTCGCTGCTTTTTTCTTCACCTCCGTTTGAAGACGACTCATATCCGCGAATAAATTTCTCTTAAGGACAGCTGAAGCAGTAATCACCCCGCTGAACATCGCTCCAGCGAACCCACAGCTTAAGATATCCTGTCCGGTCAGGTATAACCCAGGGATGGACGTATCCGGACGGAGTTTCATCGCGGCGTTGGGACTGAACCGGTCAATGTGATGATCAATCCCGTATATCTCCCCACGAGGAGCAGCGATGTAGTATCTGTTACTCAACGGACTCCCGACATCAAAGAAATCAACCCGGTCGCAAACTTGCGGGAAGAGCTTGCAAGTTTGTTCCCAGATGCGCTTGCCGATACGGTTTTTGAATTCCTCGTATTCCTCGCCCCGCTTCATAACCCGTTCGTTCTCCCAACGCTCAAACCACTCGTACGGGGCAAGAGTGATGACGGTACATGTCGTTTTACCGGGGTGCCTCCTGTCCCAATCGGGGTCTTTAGTCGAGGGAAAGGAGATAAACAAAAGGGGAATATCTTCAGTTCCGGCGGTAGCAGCGTCCGACTGTAAGTACTTCCTGGTGCTTTTATCGAGTTCGTTGTCGGTGAAAGCCCATACATTGGAAGCTTTTAGTCTGAAGTCCTCTTTCGTCCCCTTGAGGCCGACGTAGACCGACATGGCCGCGTAACCATGACGAACACCCTCGGATTTTAGCAGGTTCTTGTCGGGTATGGGTTTCTCACATCGAAGAAGGGTCTCGAATGTGTTGTAGATCCCTGCAGCCGAAATCACAACTGGAGCAAAAATATCCATCTCACTACCGCCCTTTTGAACACGTACACCTGAAAAAACAAAACAAAACAAAAACAGTTTTGATAAATAAAAACAATAAATTATGTTGGGTCACGCCATGTTACTGGGTATCACGTTGAGTCATGTTGTGTCTGCCACTTAACCACAGTGTAGTCAAATTATTGCTTTTGAACTGAGGTTAATGTTTGTTCAGGAAGTTCATCTCTTGAGTTACCTCTATACACTCAACAATTATCACTTGAACAAGGTTTTCACCTTGAAAAGTTGCACTTTAGTTTTTTTAACGGCTCATGATTTATAAATCAGGGAATTATTCCCCACCTTTTACTCATCATCCTTTTATTCTGAAGTACTTGCGACCCTTTTTGTACTATAGCAGGTTTATCGCATTGTTCTTTATTATTTTTAATAACAGACGAATGAAAAAATGACGTGATGCGCTGACGCTAGCTCTAAGGCAAAATAATCTGAGGGTAATACACAAAAAGAAACAACAACAAAAGCTTTGCGTCTCTTCAAACATCCTACCTTGGACTTTCCCAGAAGCTTCCTCAACAAGAATTTTGGAGACCCTTGCTCTGACTAGCACTTTTCCACCCGCTTTCTCTATAACCGGAATGATGTGGAAAGCAATCTCGCTTGCCCCACCACGTGGATAAAATGCTCCAAATAAGTAATGATTTGCAAGTATGGCATGCATTGCAAAACTGCCTTCTCCTGGAAGAGTCCCTTGAGAAAATAAACAAATAAAAGATAAACGTTATTGGAAAGGTAATTCAAACATTTCATGACTACAATAAAGAGCTCTTCTCATAATGCTGATAAAATTTAACTCCCGGATCAAATTTGTAATTCTCCCTGCTGTCAACCATACGATTCTTATGATGTTACTTCAGAGAATTAAGTATTGGATCAACTAATTATCCCCAAATTGATATGTTTCTTTATTCTCATCACTCATCTGGCTGATATTGTATTGATATTGTAAGGAGAAATTCTGTCTTGGTTACTCATGGGAGTTAAAGGGTTAACATGACTGGTAGGACACTTATGACTAAACGATAGGAAATGAACACATCTAATACTTTGTAAACAGAAGCACTCTTTTCCTCCACTTCCCTCCCCCTTATCTGCAATGTTCTCTTTTCATTTCCTACAGTACTGACAAAGAGATCTTGTTTGACAATCAGATGCTTCTAAAATTGGTGATCAATTTCCTTTAATCTTATAACCTTAATATCTGATTCAAGGGTAATACCCTTAGGGGAAATAAGAAGCCAGTTACTCTAAACCCTTTACACCCTAACATCAAATAAGAAGCCAGTTACTCTAAACCCTTTACACCCTAACATCAAATAAGAAGCCAGTTACTCTTAACCCTTTACACACTAACATCAAATAAGAAGCCACTTACTCTAAACCCTTTACACACTAACATCAAATAAGAAGCCACTTACTCTAAACCCTTTACACACTAACATCAAATAAGAAGCCAGTTACTCTAAACCCTTTACACACTAACATCAAATAAGAAGCCAGTTACTCTAAACCCTTTACACCCTAACATCAAATAAGAAGCCAGTTACTCTAAACCCTTTACACTCTAACATCAAATAAGAAGCCAGTCATTCTTAACCCTTTACACCCTAACATCAAATAAGAAGCCAGCCATTCTTAACCCTTTACACCCTAACATCAGTATGCATATTCTCCATACTGCTCTCTAAACATTTCCTAAGATGCCAACATGGAGAATTTGTCTCACAATCAAGAACTTCTTTAGTTGGTGATCAGCTCCTTTATTCTCCTGACCTTAATGTTTGATTCAGTGGTGATATGGTAAAGAGAAATTAGATGCCAGTCACTCTTAGGGGTTAAAGGATTAAGGGTGAATGGGCTAAGGCGCAAAGTTTGCTAGCTCTTACCATAGTCACCAAAATTGTACGCCAGGACAGTTTGAAGATCCTTATCATCTGTCAGCTCTTCCAACACTTCTGCAACTGATCTTTTAGAATACTTGAAAAACTTTGTCATCCAGTTTGAAATTCCAGTTGTAAACATGAATTTGGCCAACCATACAGGCATGAGTTTGAAAGCTACATAACCTGGCATTGATTTACGAACATCCTACAAAAAAGGATTCAGACATGAAATTTTTCTAACAAGAAAAAACAAAGTTTTAAGAACAATTCTTCCCGACCTTGAAAACCAAACTTAGTGAAACCATGTCACTGTTCATGTACATTCTGAAAAATTACCCTGAGTTTTCAAGTTCATCACTTCAATTCCATTTTTATCCCCTATGTTCTTAACCTTTAACCCTTTCATCAGCAAGCATATTCTCCACTAAGGTGCTGACAAGGAGAATCTGCTTAACAATCAAGAGCTTCCTTGGTTGTTGACCATTTGCTTTATTCTTGTGACTGTTATGTTTGATTCAGGGGTGGTATTGTAAGGAGAAACTGGATGCTGGTCACTCTTAAGGGTTAAAGGGTTAATCATCTTCCTTTTCAGCCAAGTCTCTTGCATTTTTATCCCATCAAGCCACATTATATTTGTGGAATAATTTTGATGATTATTTTTTGCATTGTGCATGTTCCACAAAAAAAAGAACCTGATAGCATAACTCCTTCAGAATTTGCCATCTACCTACTTCTTTACACCACACTGTAGCTTGAGTTAGTGCATGAAGGACCATAAACAGAGTGTAAATGGAATTAAAAAATTCCTGGGAATAGCTACCACATAATGTCTGTTCACTGAATTAGCATGAATCTGCTAGAATTCTATCACAGATAATATGATCTAATTGCCTCTTCTTCTATTTACTGCTATTTATTCCATGAAGATGGTGGGTAAAGTGACCAGCCTGACAGTGCACTCTTGTAGATAAAATAAAGCTAAAATATACACCTGTCTTTTACTTAATTTCAAATGACTGTCAGGTATTTATAAGACAAAAATTGGATAATTCACTCTTGATTTCAATGCATGGTGGTAAATTTGGGTTTTGTCCTCATTACCTGTCATGTGATGGAAATGTTAAGCTCACAAAGCAAAGTTTACATTTACTGATTAAAGAATAAGCAATTGAGCAGTGATTTTGTTCTAACATTGCATTAAACTGCTACCCATAGGCTCATTCAGTTATGGGCACCAGCTGACCACAGACAAGAAGTCCCATATATCCAGTACAGTTCTTGAGCAAGTTATAGTACTATCATGAACTACCAGATACATATCAAGATGTGTAAACAGAAAAATGCATGTCATAATCAAGATTTGGTATGGATTGATTTGATCATGATCTTTCCAGTGTCAATATGAAACAAAATGATGGTAGTCTTTAAGATTCTGAATTACAAAGACAGGTTATTTCTCAGTCAGTCAGAAAAGTCAGATGGCATGCTCATTTGCTTTTGTGTCACATTGGACACATGGTGGACAGTACTGTAGGTAAATCTAGATTCTGTTGAGGTTTTTATTTGTTAGAGATGCTGCATGTAGGATAACAAAACCAGTGCTCAAAAACTGTATCAAAAATATGATATTTACCTTAAGCAGTTTCATGTATTGATCAATAGCTTTCCTTTCTTTTGGAAAACTCTCATACAATGCATTGCGGTATTCATCCTGTCGTCCACCACAGATTGGGTACTTTCTTGCATTATCTCCATTGCCAATCACTACAGTGTCAAATTGTTTTTCAAGGGGAACCCAATCCAGCTGACCTTCAGTTAGTTGATCTGAGAGAAGACGCATTGTCCCTGTGCAGTTCATTTCTCCAATGTAATGAATACCTGGATCAAACTCATAACCTGTAATGTAAACCAGAAGGTGCAAAAAAATGAAATTTGCTATTATCACTTAACCCTTAAACACCCAAAATTGATTAAGATGTAACTTCCCCTACAATATCCATAAATTATTCAACAAAAAGGTAATGAGTATATTCAAATTCATCAGGTAGAAGTTGATATCTTGGTCTAATGCCAAATTCAACTAACCAATTTACAAGAAAATGGGTATCAGCTGGAGGGGAGAATTAACAATAAGATCTTTGGAATTTAAAGGTTAAGGGATAATTCTTAGGTATGTAATTTACAAAATCATCATGTAATGCTATGCAATTTCTGCAACTTACTGATTAAGTTTGTGAATTTGGTAACAATGTTTGACAGTTAATAATTTTCTGGCAAAATGTAAGAGAAAATTGTAAGAAGAAAGAATGTTATTCCTAATTCAGATCACCCAATCTAGATAGGTCTTGTCTAAGAATGCAGGATTTTCATAGGTATCTAATTTAAACCATAATGTTTTATTATGATTAAGTTTCAACAAATTTCCACATTCTGACCTAGATCTCTAAAGAATGACACAAAAACAGCCATGTATAACTCCACTTGACGCAAATGTTTCCTGTTGTTTTAACAGCTTACACTACTAAATCAGTATTTATCAAACCTTGGGTAGTGAAAAGAAAAGAAAAAACACTACCATTCAAAAGTGATGGACTAGAAAAGCCTTTCAGTCGACTCGTAAGAGCACCAAGAGCCTCTGTCCATGAGGCAACAATAAAATCAACTAAAAAGTCGTTAGCTAATCTGAGTAATTTCATTAGGCATGGAAGATCGAATAATTTTTCTGTAACTATGCAATTGTAGAGCTCTCTAGATAAAATTTCGATGACCCGAGCTGTTATCTATTCAGCCATTGCAAACAATATTGAGCTAAATCTTGAGTTACTTTACTATCCACCTGCTCTCGTTTTTCTACAAAGAACCCTCGCCATGTACCATTACGTAATAAGCCACATCCACCTTCCCAAACCTTGTTATAAGTTCAATTTAAAATGACGAGCCGTATTAGGGCCATGTGCTGCACTGGCTCTTCTGCCCGACCCGTAAGCATGTTAATGATGATGCAAGAGAGAGCTGAAAGCTACAGATTACGGATAACTCAGACAGATCAACAGGTTCCTATAAAGCATAAACAGACCTTTGTCTATAAACGAATGGCAGCATCCTCCTGCTTGATCATGCTGCTCTAACACCAGAACCTTCTTTCCTGCCTTCGCCAAAAGGGCTGCAGAGGTAAGCCCTCCAATTCCGCTACCTATCACGATAGCATCGAGGTTGTCAGGCACTTTCCGCGCAACAAATCCTTGCTTGATCACTTTGTCCCGTTCCGCCTGGTCTAAGACCAGGGGTTGAGGTGGCCTTCGACAGTCAAAGGTGAAAGGGTTTGGTCCTCTTTTATTCAGCTTTGCACGGATTCTGAAGAAAACTAACGGTATAAGGACTGCAACAAGTAACGTTAAGAAAAGAAAAGTTCCAGAGGAATTTTGGAGAAAAGTTGAAACCAACTCAACAAACTGCATCACAAGAGCCATGTTTGTTTCTCATTACTCCGATTGCGCGTAAGGCATCATGGGCTATGGTCTTGTCACGCTCGAGAGGTCCTGGATACCAGAGAAGAACTTGAGGCGTGGCGAAGGAGCGGCCACTATTCCTAGGTAACCTCCCCGGCCTACCTAAAGACAAAAGAACCGAGAAAGTTACAGCGTAACTGAGCTTGCTGAAATTAAAACACACCGATAATTACAAGTATAATTATGTGAACTAAAGTGGATCATGGAAATTATAGCAAAGGATGGAGTTCCAGAATCAATCCACTGTTATTAAAAACATCTCTCTCTCTCTCTCTCTCATGTCCTTTACGCCTAACAAGCATGTAGGGCAGCAACGTGTTCCCCCCACATCTGGCGATCCCTTGTCATGAACTTGATGCCCTCCCAGGTCTTCCCCATCTCCTTTATTTCCTTCTCAACTGTCCGTCGCCATGTGATCTTGGGGCGACCCCGCTTGCGTTAAAAACATATTAACGTATTAAAAACATAATGCACTTGAAAAAACTTTGACAAACCTGTCCTTGAAGAATTACAGGTCTTCTTGACTACATTGGCACAACTATCCCAAAACTTGGGGTCAGACTGCATGGGCCATTTGTCGCAACCAGCATCATTCCAAAACAAGCAAATTCAGCGTCTGTCCACCCCCTTCTTCCAGAGGACTTTATTGGAATGTTTCCTGCTTGGAGGAGACTTTTCCTAGATCTCCCTTCGGTCGACTGCCTTTTGTTTTTCGGCTTACCCGGCGTGTCGCCTTGCTCAACAATAGGCCTTTTGGTGGCCATAATCGGTCGCAAACACTAGCACGAATAAGTGCATAAAACAATAGCACCGTTGGAGAGCGTTTGAGAGCGTTTAGTCACAGCTGTAGAAGAAGGATCAAAGCAGCCATCTAAACGTTTTCTAGGCTTTAAACTACCACGTACATCAAATTTGACCTGCTCGAAAACCGGTCTCAAATTATACCTCAAAAACCAGTGATTGCGTTTCGCTTTTAAAAGCAACTAAATACGCCACAAATACGTATGAAAAATAATTCTTCTCTCTCAGTGTAAGTCAAATTACTTTTAGCTATGGTGAACGAGAAAAGAAGCGACCTAACTTTTTAGTAATCTCAGGAGCCCAGTAATAGGCCCCTGGTAATCTTCAGCAGGAGCCCATGGGCTCCTGTCTTCAGTCAAAGACTGCCGATTTATGTCGCTTTCGCTGCCATATTGAAAATAACGTTACCATAATGCAATGCAATCGGAGTGCGCACACCTTCCGGGTAACCCCTATCCTTATGTTAATAATTTATGTAAAATGTATGCAAATAATTTATGCAAATAACTCCAACTTTCGCGCATGCGTAAGGATCAATTTGTTACACCAGTTTCACCTCTACCACATACGGCCAAATAATTATTTTAGGAGAACCGAAAAGAATTAGCAAATTTGTGCGTGTACAATGGGACATTCCAAAATGTGGTATAGTATTCTTTCTTTCCCAAATTCTTTTGATTCCATAAACAACAACTCAGAAACAAACGAGAGATCATGATGACTGCGTGGAACAAATCATTCCTAGCATTTTATTTCGATCAGTTTATCAAACAGCAGGGCAGAGTTAGCGACAATTTAACAATCGTTTAATAAGTCTTTTATTCCCAGCTCTGATTGCAAATGTCGAATTTGTCACTTGTAATAATGCATGATATATGATTTGTGACATCACACAATATCTGTCCAATCGAGTGACGGCCGCGGTGTTTCTTCTGTTTTCCAAGCCACAGTTTTTTACTCCGTATCAAATTGATTTATATCTCGATATTTTTCACTTTCAAATGCGAGTTTAGAAACCATGTCTTAACACGAGGCAAGCGAGTTCCTTTCGTACCCATACAGAATTTGAAACTTTTTGGATTTACCATGCCATAACTTACCGTGCAATAATACTTTTGTTCTTTGAACCTGCCGCTTTTACCCTGAAGCATGGAGCCAATTTGCCCCTGTTTATTCAGGCAATTTTATGCTCAAACAATAGTTTAATATTGTAAACTACGAAATGCTTATTAACCTACAAATAAATTCTGAAGAAGAGTTTCAATTGGAATTCTACGTAGTGTAAACCGTTTTGGACTTAGGCGCCTTCTGTCGCTTCGGTGACACAAGCCTTAGGTGGTTTCAATCAAAGGTTTCATATCCGAGAAAAACAGAACAAAAAGGGTTCTTTCACAAGCTCTCGATGGAGACGTTAATTAAACGCACGCAACAAAGACTGTTGTCAAATTCTTTTTATTGCTGTCTATTATGAGAGAAAAGAACAGGCAGGCACACCACCGGGAATGAAATAACACTCGATGTCCTACTGCGCGGTTATTAAACGTGGTAACTTTTGAACAAGCCGATGCAAACGCCAACTTAGTACAATGCAAAAAGAAAAGCTGAATTAACCATCTGTTGCTTGTTTTATGCATCGAGATTTATATGCAAATACTAGATTAGTTTAATCAAGTTTTGATTTACTTAAGTAAAATGTACCGGGATTTATCACAATCAAGAATAAACGAATAATTCCGTGTGCTAATAGTGTGATAATGCGACTGCTTAATTGTTGTATAATAACTATCGGCGTGAATTTCATTGTTCAGCGCTAAACATGGCAGGCGTGCAGGAATTTCCCGATTCTTTCAAATTATTTTATGCTCGGTTAAGACATAAAAAATTCATCCGAGGAATTTTTCGAATTGGTTGAGCTTTTCTAAACAAAATGTCACCACAATTTGATCAAATTAACAAACCGTTGATAAAAACACTCACAGTGGTTAAGTTTAATTAATCAATTAGCCAATGAAATCCTCTTAAAGCTAATAACAGGCTCCACAGTGTGATATCGATCAGTATTTAACCCGTTTACCGTAGGCTGCCTATCAAAACACGTCCGTCTTGACTCCGTCTCGTTGACTTGGGATCTAAGAAACCTCTGAAGAAAGTGGATACCACCACCTCGGACGCTTTCCCAAGCTGAATACCATGGAAGCTCAATCCACAGCTTTCATCAGATCCTCCAGTTTCTCTATAGATAACATTCTTGGTAGCAAGGGAGAAGAAGCTCCGACAAGTTTAAAACTTGAACTTCCAGCTAACGTAAGCGAGAGTGTACAGCGAGACTTTCAGTTATGTCGTCCATTCCTTCCCGGCGGCCTAAATACATGGCAGCACTATCAGCCACATGCATGCCCTCCGTTCGACAGATCACGAAAAACAACCGGTAAGAGATCAGAATACCTTAAATGAACCGATTAGGTGCCACGAATTAGATAAGCATAACTGATTTATTAACGACAAAATTAAATACTTCTGTCAACCAACCTCAAAGGCAAGATAACAAATGACGCCTGTTGGAGGTGAGTTGAGGAGGCCTTGCTTGTCATATTATCTTCGAATTGTGAACGCTTAAGCAACGAGATTTACCTCGTTTGACGGATAGGCTTCTTTTGAAGTTTATTTTTTTTAAAATCAATATCTGTCTTTCCCTGAAGACTTCTGAGAAGTGGAATTAAAACGACAAATAGTTTTAGTTTTTTTCATAACTGGAAACTGATCTTATCAATTTATATGTGACCTGGTGTTTTTCAAGCATAAGACTGCTATCTTTTCATGGAGAAATAATAGTTATTTAGAGAGTATCGTGTAACGTGGCAATTATCTTTAAGAAGTCGTACGAAATGGACTCATGGTAATCTGGGTACGCAGAACTTCGGGGAGGTTCTCATTCTGCGGGGTTTTTTGAAGGAATGTACGGTTAAGCTCATAAAAAGGGAAGAAAAACCTTGGAAGGTTATAGTTCGATTGTGGTCCTCGGTTTTCAATGGATTTTCGACCAACAAAGCATGCCGCTTCTTTTCATGCAGTAGGCTAGTTTTATTTGGGCAGAATAGCATTTAAGGCTACAGGCAATTTAAATGACTGAAATCAAGAAAACGTCTCTTACTAGTAAATTTAAAAAATATATATTTCAGATAAATATTTGGCAGACCTGTGCAAATCTTTTCGCAGAAGTCTTTAAAAGCAAGCTTTGTTCAGTTTCTTTAAAACGTGTTCTGTTTTCAGCGGTGATTTGTTCAAGTTTATGTTTTTAGGAAGTGAAGTATTACAGTTTTTCTCACGGTGTGGGCACTTCTGGTGTAAAGAAAGTGTAAGAGCTCTTTCACATCAGATGTGTAAAATGAATAACAATTTCCTCAGACCTGAGGGGTGGTGATGAAATAAGGTTTTCTCAACTTTGTAAAATCTCCCTCAAGTATTTATGGAGGTGATAAATTTCATGGTGCATCAAGTAATGGTCTGATTATCATGTCAACCGTTTTCGATCTCAGGATCTCAGTATTAATTTTCCTTTACATTTACAACAAATTTTTTAGTACCGAGAATTCTAGATTTGTGTTAATCAAACAATCCTGCTGGTATTTCTTAATTCTCATCACTTGTATACTGAAGATGTTTTCTGATCGCTAAGCGAAATTAACTACCCATTTAAGGAGTTACGAAGCTTTAAGACATTCTCTTACCTTAGCCTATCAGTATATTGATTCTCTACGGTCAGTTTGGCCATTTCGAGCAATTTGGCAGAAAATTAACAAACGGAAATCAATAACTCGTGTTAATCTTCTTTAACATCTACCTTATTAGTTTATTTTTTTTTTCTCTGCCTCTTTGGTGTTAATCCATCCTAACAAACCATATTTAACCCTTCAACTCCCATGAGCGACCAAGACAGAATTTCTCCTTACAATATCAATATAATATCAAGAAGAAAAGTGGTGAGAATAAACTAAAATATCTATTAGGGGATTGCTAGTTGATCCAATATCAAATTCTCCAAACCAACATTATAAGAATTGAATGGCAGACGGGGAGAGAATTGGGAGTGAAAGGATTAAAAGAACGCTCCAATATGTACAAGAATTTTCAACGAGCTAAAAAAAAAGAAAAGAGATATCAGAAGGCAGCTTCTTGTAAAAAAGTCAGGGAAAATATTTCAAAACGGCAAGTCAAGTGAAAGGTACCAGCGAAAGCTAAATTAAAAATCATTCTTCTCTTCCAGTTATACAACAAGAAAGCAGCCCAAGAGAGCGACGAAGATGCCGAGATCCGTCAAAGAAGCGTAAAAGAACGGCTTTCACCACAACACAAGTTAAAGAACTTGAAGGCGAATTTCGCAGGAGCAAATATTTGACCATTTCTCGTCGAACAGAGCTTTCAAAATCTCTCAAGCTGACCGAAACACAAATCAAAATCTGGTTTCAAAATCGCCGGACCAAATGGAAAAGAAAAATAGCGGCAGAGATGGAATTTAGTGTCAGATCATCCGGGAACGTGTATGGTCCCCATCATCCGGGAATTCATCATTGCAACCAACACTGTCACCCTGGTAATAACATGCCATATAATTACTGTCAGTCAGGATTCTCACCGGTTCTCTACCATCCTCAGCTGTCTTACCCCACAGCGCATGTTTCTCATATAGGATTTTAGCCAATGACAAAACGCTAACATGACAAAGAATATGTATCTCTGAGCCGGAGGGCCGGGGATACTTGGACAGATCCCATTCGTAAAATCCTGGCCATTTCGCTGAGAATTCGTCTGCAAGTTTTATGTTTTCATGTCAATTTATTGTCGCGGATGAAGACTTTTTTAACGGATTACTTGGATATCACTGTGGTAACTGATGCAATCCACGTGTTCATCTTGGACTACTGTTGCTATTGATATATTTGTAGCAGATGTATGTACAATGTTATTTTTTTAAAAATGTAATTGACCCAATTATGCAAAATTAAAGCAGGAATTTTCCTGCGGAAAAAGGATGACAATAATGAATAAATATTCGAGATTAACTCGTTATATTTTTCTTTTAGTATCTATCAGTTTTTTTCTGACTTCAAGCCACTCAGGTCACCGTCTAAACTGTGCCTGGAATTTTTTTTTAATTATAAGGAATACACATGCCGGATTCGCCTCCGACACTTGCAATACATGTTACTTAAGCACAAATTACTCAAATCCTCAGTTACAATCGCTTCCCTGATGTACGCAAGGTATTTTTTCAAAGCGAGCTCGTTCAAGATTTTCTGAAAACCAACCTTTCCGTTTTCGCTACAAATAACCTGTTCCGGGCGTTTAGTTAATAAAATGAAGCGAAGTAACAAACGGCACGACAGTAGCAAGGGATAAAAAAAGCGAGCAAGATCTGGGTCAGAACGGGTAAAGATCGTGTTCATTACACGACACGTCCCAAACCTCCCTCGTTTTTTTCACTCCTCCGTTACTATAGCACTGTCTATTACTGCGCTTTGTATAACACGCACTGAACGCCTGGAAAAGACTAGACTGAAACGAAATGTCGGTCAAATAAATATTTTACGAAAGAAAAGCAATCACATTGCTTTGATAATTGATAGCATGCAGTATTATAGAAATAATAGTCTTAGTCTTAAGAAATTCTCCCCAATAAAAAACGATAACCTGCATGTCATTGTTTACAAAAAATTTTCTCCCATTAAGTTTCCAGATCCATTTTGAACATAAAAATGTAAAATTAACAGTTAGAATTACGCGTGTCGTCTTCCAGTCTTAGCCTATTTATTACAAACGGAACAATTGCAAATAATTTGACGACACATGCACATAGAAAGTATGGCAGGTGATTCTTCCTCAAATGAAACATCCTTAAATCTCATGCTGAGTCCTTTCACTGCTCGCCGCCATTTAATTGTTGGCACGTTTCTGCTCTCTTTGACAATTTAAGATCACCCGCGAATGTTACCTGTAATTTTATATGAATTAAGCCGAAGACTGAATGTAAAATTCAACTAACCAATTTTCCATTTTTAACGATATAGTTTATTGCTACGCACAAGTAGGTAACTTAGTCAGTCAAGTTGGTGTAAGATTTTCAGCGGTCGAAAGGATAAGAGTATTTTCGTGTTTTAACCAGCCGCAGACTGTATAGGTACTAAAAACACCTTTTTCAACAAAAAAAACATCGAAAACCCTCTCTTTCCCTGGGAATCAAATGATTGTCGGTTAAAATTTTGATTATGGTTTTGCATCGCACTGTTCCCTTCGTTTTGGTCCGATGTTTGTTGGTTAAGATTTTGAGCATAGTTCTACATCGTTAGCAGCTTTTTGTGAACTGAGAGGGCACCGAGGTATTTTTAGAAACCCGCTAAAAGCGATTATAGCTGCGGCTAAATCAAAACAGAATGTTTTCCTTCACTGTTTCCTAAACATGATCGTTATGGTGTTGTATACTTCCCTATTACGTAGCAAGAGTGCATCTTAAAAATCACTTAAACCATGCATCAAAATTGTTAGTCGTGTCAATATTTACCAACTTTGTATATATAATAGAAAGCAGTTATTCGGGGCGTTTGGTATAGTTTGGTCAGATTTACTGAAAACTCCGATTCGATTTGTAGGTCACGGGTTCAAAAAAAGGGCACGGAAAAGAGCATCTCATTTGAAACTGTAGTTTACACAACTGACCACATGTTGCGCAGAATTTTGTTCCTTTACTCACACATACGAAAAAAAAAACACAAAAATGAACACTGGTGCGGAGAAACTGCATTGTTGTATTATTGTTAAAGAAAACTAATCGCTTAAAAATAATTTTTTCTTTTACGTGGTGACAACGATGAACATCATTAGAACAGTAATTAGTGGTTGTTTTAACATCTTCGGTAGACAATCAAGGTCGTCATCCTTAAGAAAGTACTTAGAGGTTACTTAATTATGAGTTTTGTAAACAGAGTTTAGATCAAAACACTGTCTGGTCGCTCTCTCTCTGTCACGAAAGAGAGCGACATTGCAATACTCTTACTTTTACCTTTTTAAATTTTTTAAATCCTCTTATAAAATATGTTTGTGTTGAAGAAAAATTATTAATCGATGACAATTCCCTGAAAAATTAATTGGAAATTGAATTCTTTATCCTTTTTCTGACTGAACCTTGACGCACGTGATTGAAGATAACTAACTTCTCTTTTGTTTGGCAGATTATTTTCTCCCGTCTCTTTGTATTTCTTTCCCTGTTTACCTCCACCTGAAAGTGCATCGCTTATCAACTAATGTAACGCGGGCGCGCAAGGAGCTTTACTACGAGCGCCCTGATGGTCGAAAGCTTATCGATTATTGCACGGGTAAACCCACAAAAAAGTTGAATTTTGTTCTATAAAGCAATAGACCACAACTTATTTCTGTTTACTGGCGTCAGTAATAACCCACTTGGGATATTAAGAAGACACTCAAGAAGTTGTAATTTTAGAGGCCTGAGGCAAGTAGTTTACAAACTTTTTAAGTGTTTTTTTTTTTCCAACATCTTAAGTGGGTTATTACGCTGGTAAACCGATAGAAAGGATGTCTTAGTGCTTAAGTATTCCGCTCCAAGAGGTTAGATAATGCAGAAATTAAAGTTGTTGTACAAACACATATTGCCAAACAAAGGCGACAGGTGCTCTAATTTTAGTAAATTTATTAAACCAGTCATTAAAATGGAAGAAACAAGTGGTATGCTGGTGATGATGGCGCCATATTAACTCCGTCGTAACTCAAATTGACAGAAGTCGAGTGCAGACTTTCTGTAATTTGTTATCTAACAAGAAATGAGACTTCAGACAATTACCTTGTCGACAAACATCCGGTATTTATACGGAAAATGCTTAAATTAAGGGTTCGTAATTGTTTGCCTTGCAGATCTCGATAAAAACATATTCTGGAATAACAAAACACTCGCAAAAGGTCGCTATCGCAGGATAAACCTATTTTATAATATTGCTAATATATTTTGGTTCAGTTTTATTCATTCATTTCTTCTTGAATAAAGGCAGTTGATTAGTCGTCTTCTGTACTTGTCGTTTGATAATAAAGAGTTTTAATTGCAGTAACAGCCAGTAGCCTAGCGTGTGATGTAATCAAGTACCTTCCTAAAGATAAAAAGCAATTAACTCAGTATTATCATTTTAAAAAAGAACATTGAAGAAAAAAAGTCACTTAAATTTGGAGTCAATGTTTCTACGGGTTTTCAGTATTTTTGTCAAGAAATTTTTAAAAATAACGGAAAATTCTGTTTTGCAAAAGATCTCATTCAGCTGAAATTCATTGAAAATTATTCATTACAGAGAGTTCGTTTTTTTAAACCTTCTTTATCATCTTTCAAACAATTAACAATTGTTTTTAAATTATTTTCTCGTCGGCTACAATAATTTTGTCATTTTACGACAAGATCAATTTTTTTTTCCAGAAAAGCTATCTGGCGCCGTCTTGGAAAAGTGCTGTCCTAATGGCGTGATTAAAATCCTGATGCTTAAAATCTATATTTCCGAAAACCAGAGAATAGAAATAAATAACTCAAAAAAAGGCGTTAAAAAGAACAAAAATCTCATTTACCACCTTTTGCTTGCGCTCTCCTGCAATTTGGGCTTTCCCATGCCTCTGGCTATCACTGTTAGTTCATGTGATCTTGTATAAGCCGCGGCGCTCATGTAAACTAACGCAATATTTTTGCTCTAAAAGTTTCAAGTCACCTGCACTTTACGTAAAATTTTCCATTCATAAGATGTCTGCTCAATTTTAAAACATTTTTAAAGCTACTTTTCCTTACCACGGAGGAGAATTTTATTTTTTTGAATTATTATTGAAGGAAGAGCGTCGAAGGCATTATAATACTGGGTTTCATCACAAGAATCATGGCCTTTTTCTTGGAACAAAAAAAACGTGTCAACAGTTGAAAAAAAGTAAATGAAAAAGCCTCTCTCCGCCATCAAAGCAAATAAAAAAATAAATAAAAAGATTATACAGACTCTGCTTAGAATTTTTCGGCCAATTTTGAGCGCCGACTTATTCGAAAACTTTTTCTCAACTGGCTGTTTGAATATCATACGCGCTGCATTTTTTAAGCTGAAACAAAATATCATAGCAATTGTATACCTTTTAGTTCATTCAGACCGATTCAAAGGAATCTTAGTCCCAATTTGCGGAAATTTTTGTATTTCAGCCTTTTTTCTTGCGTTTTTCTTTTAGTGGAGGGACTGATCTGTGAAAACGTCAGATACTCCGTGTTTTTGAAGATCTGTCAAATGCAATATGTAAGGAAGGTGGCACGATTTTAATTACAATCTGTCCGAAAATACTGATGATGTTCAATCAAAATGCAACTAAAAGTGCATTCATATTCCACGAAAACAGGAGTTTTACGAACCGTATCCTTCGTATCTTGCCTAAAACTGGGAACATAATACAATAGTTGGGATCTGTAACTTCTGATCAAGAAGACAATTGAGTGACGCCTTAATCACAATGTCATTTTAAAACCAAAGTTAATTTTCTGTTCTGCGCTAAGACACACCATCTTACCTCAAGATCATCAAAGTGCGTCAAAGTTTTTGCACCAATGACTAATTACGCACAAAAAGCATCAAACCGATCAGTATCGCTTACAAATCGTGCGTATATCTAGCCCTGTATGAAATTACACCTAAAGTTCAGACTACAACATACTCATCAGGAAAAAATCCAAATTGAAGGTGTCCGAGACTCAATGAAATCAAATCCCACGGACAATAAAGTTCATCTCTCGGAGCAGATTGTTCATTTCGATCGAAGTCAAACCGGATTATTGAATTTCATTTTTTCTTACATTGATGCCGATTTGTCAGAAGTAGGGTAGGGAGGAATTTAGGAAATAATTTAAAGTTTTAAACCCTATTATATGGCATGGAGATTTTATCAAGGAATTTGGTGGAATCGTCACATACTGAGATCTCTCTTTTCCAAAGAAAGATTGTATGTAGAAAGGAAATTGTGAGTAATCGGGAGCATCAAAGTTAAATTGACATTTGCTTTTTCATCAAGCGGTGTCATAGCTGAATTTGCATTTAATTATTTGTTATCGCCCAAAAAAGACTGTATAGAATGAATTTATAGCCTTCAAGATGTAAAAAAAAAAAAATGAAATTCGAAAGAGGAAAGAAAAAAAGAAAAGATATTTTCAGTTATATTAAGCCGATACTCATTTTCGTTTTTTGAGAGGGACAGCCTTAAGTCGACCCATCCAAAATTCCGGCTGAAAATTATTGCTATCGTTGGAGCAATTTCACAGGTTATTCGTGACTTTTACATATCTGATTTGAAACCATATGTTGGCAGGTTTGAGACCTCGAGAGAACTGAATTCAAAGCTGAATTGCTTATCACCGCAAGTAAGAAAATAAATGATCAAAAAATTAACAAGTTTGAAACTTCTATTCAAATGCAAGTGTCATCATATTAATTAACCATCAAAGCCAGCAAATCCTTAAAGAACGAAGCACTTGATTATGTAAAGAAGCAGCTAGGAGTCTTTTCAACGCCTTCGTTTTTGAAAACAAAATGAGTAATAGATGTTTCATGGGTAAAACACCATCTGAAAGTAGTTGAATAGTTAAGGTAGCGTGAACTACAGGATAATTTAAGTAATGCGACCGTAAGCTATCTCCAAAGCTCTAAATAGCCAGATTTAAGGCAATTTTGAGCAACTTTTCAGAGCTAAAAACGCCTCAAATTTTCGCCTTTAAAACATAAAATAAAGAATTTTCTATCGTTAAAAAATGCCTCCTAAGTTTGAGCATTTAAAGTCGATAATTCGCATTGATATCTAAACTGAAAGTGCATCACAGTATCATCGATCTGCAAGGTTGAGTTGCATTAGGTTCATCAAACGATCAAGCTTTGTATCCTAACACGAACCCTGAAGATGAAATTTGAGAACTGTTCGACAGGATCATGTTAAGATGGATAAATGGCGTGAAACAGTGGATTTTGTCCGTTTGGAAATGCTACTAGCTAACTGTGGCTCCGAATGGGTTAAAATCTGTATCCACACTGAAACTCAAACAAGGTCACAAGGTTTGTTTATCGTATATTGTCAGTTTATTCAATGTAAGCTTTAGATTTTTTTTGCAGTCAACTTCTGCTCCAAAAAACGAAAACTTGGGATAAAAATTTCAAAATGTAAGAATTGTTTGCATGAATGACTAAAAATGACAGATTTTTTTGCAGGAGATTGTTGAGTTTTTGCAAAGATTTGTTTTTTTGGCCAAGGTTTGTGGAAATGTTATGCCCTGTTTTCAATTTTATTCCCGGTCAGTTTAAGCTATTCGGTATCACAGATCAAAAAGCGGGTTCCCAGCTGTTTGGATAAAAACCAACAATACTTTCTTTTAATGACCTGCTCGCAAGAAGCAAAACAAATCTTCAGTAAAAAAATTCATTCCATACTTAGGTTCCTTAAAACCATGGAGCACAAAAATTGAACAAAGAAAATGTTTCAATGCTGAAATCGTTGGCTTATCAGTTCGCTACTTGCTCTCTCAAATCGATTTGTACGATTTTTTCACCTACACGGCATTTTCCTGTCCAAATGAGCTTCCTTTGTGTTCGATTATGTACATCTTGACACCGCTGCCTTTGTTATTTGTTCGTTTATGAATGAAGTACACCGAAAAATCGCCTTTACCGTCAGATTTCCCACAGCTCCGAAACGCACAATACCGTGAGAAGGCTAAAATGTACAGATGTTAAGGAAATTCTGTTGGTTTTAATTCTATTGCTGTTCTATAGGTATCACAAGCCCCTCCATCAACAATCAAAGAGAAGAGGAGGTTGCTTTTTCCTTTTGAAAACTTATTTTCGGAAACGAACAGAGCAAATTTTATTTATAGAAACAGGGCCGAATTTTTATTTCATATAAAGGTCACTGTAATTTTAAAAGAGAGAGTATTTCAATGTTAAGCCACTGACCATGAAGAAACAACTTTATTGCTTTTCCTAAGAGGTAAAAGCTGCGCGTAGTTACATTTAGAAGCTCTCGTGAAATTTCAATGAAAGGTGAGTTCGTTTACACCGACCTCCTGCAGTTGTTTAGTTTTGGGCCGATGAAATTTCAAGCTGTGCACTGTAGTTAGTTTTTCGCATTCAATGTCATTCACGGGTAGGGTACTGAAGACGGGTTAGCATCTTTGTGTACGCATTTCAAACGTATTCTGCTATTTCGTCATATTTCTTCGAATTCTGCTTAAAGTGAAATTTTCGTTTGTCCTTGAAATTACTTGAACTACTTCGAAAAAAAACATGATTAGAAAAGTTTGAATCCAAAGTTTGCATAATTGGTCTAGAGATACTTGAAATTCTAAATTAACATGGTAAAGGTAGTTCTTTCTTCAGTTTTTCCCTTTTCTCAAAAGATTTATTCTTTTACACCTTAACATACTCTTAAAATGCTCTTAAAAATTTTTCAGTTTCAGTTTTGAGGGTTGCCTTTTCTCTACAATAGCGACATTGCTCCTTTCTCAGGCGATAGGAGGGAAATTTGTCTCTGATTTCAACAGATGGTTTGTTTGTCACGATTTGGTTAACCTGGATGATTGAAAACTTTTGCGCAAGATTAATATTTCGGTTGCTCTTTGACAGCCATGTAAACACTGTGCGGTTGACATTGTTGTGCAAGTGGAATGAGCAAAGCTTATTACTTCCTGGTGTACCCAGCCGCTTTTGCTATAAAATTAAAAACTTTGAAAAAAAAGGGCGCCACGACTTTATTTGTGGACCATTCTCGAATTGGAAAACACATTTTAAAAGTCTAATGCATAATATTTCATTTTAACCTTTAACGTAAAGGAAACGAAAGGTAACTTTACCACCAGCCATTTTTAAACTAAAAAAAGTGCTTCGTTATTACTTCGAAAATAATGGATTCGGTTATGATTGTTCATTACAACTTTGTTCGAGCGCACGCATATGTTCGAAATATTCCAAACGAAAATGTTTTCCATTAAAAGAAAACCCCGAAGAAAGGGAAGAAACAGATTAATACTTGTAAATTATTGTTTTTGCCGTAGGGATTGAAAAACTTCGAATTGCTAACACTAGTCATTTGAGATTTAGACTTCAAGATGGTCAAGATGGTTTTATGTATGCTTGGCCTTGACTATCAACTTGCTTTTTTTCCTTTTATTTCTTTTCTTTTCTTTTTTTTTGTCGGTCTATTCTTTTCCAAGGGGTTGCCAAACTTCGCGTTTTAATTATTTCACTGCAAGATCGAATTAACCAGCCAGAGTAAAACCCCGTCGGGCGGGGACCTAATCCCACAATTTCTTTTTCCCATTGTGTTGTTGTTAACTAAACATCGGGTTTTTCATGTTATTTTGCCATGAGATTGAAACCGGCCGCGAACCATCTTCCAAGGTGCGTAAAAATGAGTCAGAACGGTTATAGTGTCAAAAGCACTCGAGACAAAACACATTTCGTCGTAATGATACATTGTGGTTTGAGTGAAAGGGTACCGCTAAATTACTTGGCGTTGTTTTGCACACTTTTTTCTATCAGAGTTTAAAGCAATTATTCGGTGGAATACAACGGTTTGTGAATCACATTGTTTGGTGCCTTAGAATATTGAGTAATTTAGCCGTTTTTAGCCTCTTTATATGGCAAATTGTTATAAATCTTTAATGTTTTAACGTCAGCGATTACTACTTTCGCCCATCATTTATAGGAAAGAAAAGTTATTTCGGCGAGCTGGTCTAATTTCGTCATCCGCTCTCTTAAAAAACTGCAAGGCCCACGGAAAAGTCCACGTACGAATTTTTCTATAGGCGTTTAATGAAAAGGACACTTAGCTCCAATTAAACAACATGTGCTAATGATCCCTAGCCAAAAAAGGATGGATTTCTCGTTTAGGCTCAAATACATCAATTGCTTTGCTTCTCTTTTGGACAAATGAGGGATTTTTCTCCTCATGCGTAAAAATTCTGAAGAAATTCCTGTTTTTAATCGCAAAAAAAAAATGCTGATCAATTTTAGCTCTTACGCCGTGTTTACTGAGCCTTGGCAACAATGGGAAATTAGACAGTGATGATGAAGACATACTGACAACAGCAGCTGCTTTTGTTGTGCGTGAAGGCTATTAGAAGATAAAATACAATGTAATTAGAACCATATTATCATAACAGCCAATTAGATTTGCATAAGCCATTCTTGCAAGAATCCTCTCCGCAATATATACATATTAACCAGACCAGCACGCGTGCCCCCAAAGTTTGTTGTTTAACAGCCAGTCAGGTGGCCATTTGGTCTCATATCGAGGTTGCGAACACGGCGAGTTATCAATTTGTCACATCTGCGAGCACGAGTTGTTATAATTGAGTCGTTCTGCAGTTATCGCTACCACATGAACCTCAACTTCCAAGCCGACTACTTTGAACCTCCTGCGCCTTGCAAATCCGCCTTCATGGAGTTGCCGTCAACACCGGGGCCGCATAGCTACTCCAGCTATAATCCAGTGCCGCCGAATTATAACCCGTACACTGCGATGCGCTACTACCATCACCCTCCAGCGAACCAAGAGTACTCCTTAGCCTGCAATGCCAGAAGCTCCTTTCCAATGCCGCCGGTTTTGAACCATCATCCGCTGTCGCATCATCCATACTTATCGCCTTCTATGCAAGGCTTTGGATCCCCTCACGATTCTCCTCACGATGGTACGTAGACTATGGAATATTTACGTTGTTTACTAGTGATAGGCATGAGTTACTCAAAGAAGATTCGGAAGTGATTTAGCGCACAATCCGCTTGTGGTTGCCCAAGTTAATAAAAATTAGTGAAGTTAAAGGAGTCGCAAAATTCTTATAATATAAGCTCGAAGTGTTAAACTGTATTGTCAAATGGAACAAAATTAGTCGAAAATTGACTGGTAAAATTTTTCCTAGCCCTTTGCTTGATAAGTATAAAGGCAAAATGATACAATTTATCCATCATTTGAAGCCGTTATTTTTGTAATTCTTAAGAGAGTTTTAACATACTTTAACACATTACCATGCAGATTTGAAAGGAACATGTGATGAACCCAGGCTAAACGGCAAAGGAAAAAAGATTCGAAAGCCGCGAACCATCTACTCCAGCTTTCAACTTCGGGAACTCACCAAGCGATTTAACAAGACACAATATTTAGCTCTACCTGAACGCGCTGATTTGGCTGCCTGCCTCGGCCTAACGCAGACCCAAGTGAAAATTTGGTTTCAGAACAGAAGATCTAAGTTTAAGAAGCACAGCGCCAGAGTGAACGAAGACAGCCCAGGTGAAGAGACTAGTAAATCAGAGAGCACGGCAAGCCCATCAAACAGCTCAGGAACTTGGTCAAATACAGACGTATCAACATCTGGAAGTCATGACACAGAGAGTCCAAGCCTTGCCGCTTTAGCGACCACTAAACAGACGATACAGTTAGGACCAAATTTGAGCCAATGGTGTCTTACAAGTGGACTAAAGTCTCCTTTCCCTGCAGACCGATGCCAAAGAATGTGATTAACTCATATTTACGAATTACCTAACTGTAAAGATAAATAATCATATGTATAAAGCGTAGATAATGTACCGAGCCTTGCTTTAACTCAAGGATAAGTATTGCCAAAAAATCAGCAACGTGTGTACTTGCAAGTCCTCTGATGTTACAAGGAAAGGTCCAATCTATGAAATTTTAATCGTGTTAACATTAAAGAGGTTTTAATTCTGTAAATATAATTTATTCGTGCGATAAGTTAAGCAGGCATAGTGTAAACTTAAAAGGAGTTATTTCACTGAAGTCGAGTTCTTGAGATTATTCATGTAACATATGCTTAGACCGAACGTGATTGAGGCATTAAGACTTTTTAACATCAATAGGTAATTAGCCCGCATAACAGGTGATGTTTAATGCTGTTTTCCCAAAGGTAGGACAAGAAAACAGTTCTTAGAACACGTTAAATGCGATAGTTGATATTATTGACATTTATTTTCCAATATAGTGAGGAAAATTTTCAAACTAAAACTGTAGAAATGCCCTTGGCTTAATCGAGTCGCGTCGCTTTCAACTTCGTTTCAACCCACGGGCCAATTCCTCAAAGAACCGCATGCTACGCGTGCCACCGGCCGTTGACGTATAACGTGAAACGCCACGAGATCGTTTTAAAGCTCTCATTTCTTAAAAGAGTATCAATGACATTTTAGTGATACCACACCATCTGTTAAGTGAATAAAAAGACCCGTTATCAAGTTATAAGGGGCTTTGTGCTGTTATTTATCATGTAGCTCGCACTCTTGTCACCAGATTGGTCCGTTTCGACACGGCTATGACGCCCTCTGAATGACAAGCATGTGCGAGAAAAACGGCTCTAAAAATGGCCCTTGTGTTTACTTTTCTTGTTTCTGTCAGTGGCTTCAAAGAGATATTTTCATTGTTCTGTGCTCGATTATTATACAAACATATCGTCATCACACAATGATGACTTCATTGTTTTGCTATTTGGATTGGATCTCGATGATTTACGACAAGCAAACAGAAGTAAAATATCGGTCACCGAGGTGCGCTCAAATAAGAACGATGTTTATATCAATTCTAACGCTCGGTTCGTCACACATTGCAACCGCAAGAATTTTCAGTAACACAGTTATCGCTCTGATGGATTAACGAAGAAAACTTCAACAATATTTCGGTTTGAGAGACTTGATTGTACAACCATTATCAAAACCAACATAATATGAATACACACTGACTGTCTATTGTGTCGTGTTATTGTTTCTTGTGTTGGATATGTGTCTTGTCTACATGTGAATGATTTCGAACAAAAAAAAAATACCTCCCCATTACTTTTCATTTGACGAACGCTATTTCTCGGGCGAACCCAACTAGCTAATGTTTCGAGGTGGTTCTACTAGTTCCGAATTCCGGCTATAAATATTTGATATTCCTCATACTCAAACTTTGCGGAAGATGCTAAAAGTCTCTTTGGACCTGTTAGGTCATTCAAACACTTGACCGCCACCTTGCGGCAGTTTTATAAACTATTTTTATACATCTCGTGTAAAGACTTGATAATTTCTAGATTTTTCAGCACAAAGGAAGTTGTCCTCGGATACCGTCGAAAATAAAAAAGGAACGAAAGAACACTCAATATCTGCAGGTAGAGAATAACTTTCAGTATTACCATCAAGCCTAGAACATTGAGGACAAATCTTGTCGCTTACTGCACTTCTTAAGAATAAGACAGCAAAGGCTTGTTAAATTAGGTGAAAATGGAATTTATTTTCATCTTAACAGGAAGTAAATTAAGGAAATGTTTACTAGTGAACTTGAGGGTAAGCACTATTAGATATGCAAATACGCAGAGGAAGTAGACGAGCTGGTTTTTTTTCCCTCTACCGAAATGTCAGCGTGAATTGAAGGTTGGAGTTCAGACTCAAAATTCCACCGATCAAAAATACGAGAATGATATCATTACTACAATATAACACCGGCTAGATCTACGAGGTTAGTATTCTTCTCATCTGCTGGTAGGTATTTTTATCACAGCTATTTACTTAGTTCCATTAATTTCAAATTGAAAATTCCTGTTAAATACAGCGACGCCATTGCAATGTATATATTTCATGGCTATACCAAATGATTAAGAGTCGCTCGAGTGTGTACATCAAGAATGTCTATAATTGACTGGCAAAGAGATTACTCAAAGAAGTTTTCATTAAAATAGCCTAACCTTTGTTATCTAAAAGGAAGAAACAGAGAGACGGAGACAGAAAGAGAGAGAGGGCAAGACTCACGCAACGCCAATTGGTGGTTTTCAGCGCAAATGCACAAGAAATAGTTCGTGGTATGAATATAGTTCTATATATGATCTATAGGATAAATTTAAAGGGGAAAGAGTTGCTTCCTCATTTTGTATTAATAATTAATTCTCGAGTTTACACGTAATGCATATGATGGATCTTCTCAGCATTAAATTGATGACACAGCGATCCATATCACTCAGTACAGTTTCATGTTGAATACTTGTTTGGTGAGAAGAGGTTTAATTGAGGCAAATTGTTGTTAATATCAAGGCGAGCGTATCGAAATAACTTCATATTAACACTGAGAAACAATAAAAAGGATCTTTAGCACTTTTGCTCGTTAAGAGCGAGATTGATTTGTGTTGAACTGGATCAGTACTTTTACCACCTCACACTGAATAAAACATGGTTGACTTATACAACGCAAGGCGCTGAAAAGTTCCTTACTGACTGTTTTGCTTTGTTCGCCATCAAAAGAAAGGATTTGTGTAAACTCTGCGCGTCAAAAAGCTGAAAGAATAATAGACTCACAATATAACAAACTATACACCACTGCGGTTAATTAGTCTTGGAAAATGACACTCAGGTTTATAATTTGAGTTTTTGTCGTCTCCGTTTGGTACAATTTGAGAAAGGCTACAAAGCCTTAAACGAACTCAGCATTGGAAATCTATGTCTCCCCAAAACACCTGCAGCCAATTTTTTTTTAATCTTTGCTTAGCTTTGTTATATATATTTTTATCTCTAGGCTATATCGACTCTTAAGACACTTCAAAATTCTATTCAAACCCATTGGCACATAACTTATCCTTATCTTTTCCTTGCACTCGACTCTAAAAAGAAAAACAAAACAAAACCAGCCGTTCTTCATTGTTGCGAGATGAATGCTTTCTCTCTATAGAAGGATCAGCTACGTTTTTTATTATATATCTCTCTTTCAGAGGGAAAGGGCTGCCATCGTATTCATATAAAAACGACCACAGGCCATGCCTGCCTGTTTTGTTCAAATGCTAATTCCCTCTACATGTTGTCTTTGTTCCGCCTGTCGACTTAATGGACTAATTACTAAATGGCCGTCAAGACGCAATTTTCGCATATAATTAGCCATGAATACAGATAGAAAGATAATTTGAAATATCCTTTAATGGCTCCAAAGTGGCAAGAACCGATTGAGTTGGCGTTTTGTTAGCCAAAAGTGGTATTCGGGGCTAATTCGCGTTGATAGTTTCAATTGGGCAAGGGTAAAATTAAAGATAATTTCGTTAGACAAATATGGAATAATACCTGGGTGGAGTTGGCGACTGCGTGTTATGCTCTTAAAAGACAGAAATCTTTGTTTCCAACACATATACGAAGTTAATTAAGAGCAACATTCACTTCTCCCATATAACATTTTAAGGGAAATTTGGGCGTTTTGGAAACCACTTTGCCGATGTTTAAGCAATTTCCTGTGTGTTTAACAAATGTATCTTATCTCCAAAATAGCCTTTCGATGACAAAACTAGTGTGGTTCATTTAGTGATTTTGTTAATAGAGTTGATTAACAGGAGTTACGGGTCACAGATAATTAGTCTAATGAACAATGGCCCTTAATGGAGGGCTTCGAAGTGTATTTACAAAACAAAGAGCCTCGACCGTTTGCACAAACTCAAAAGTTTGTTTTGTCGAAAAGTCATTGTATCGTTGCTAATTCTTTTTGTAAATAGCTCTCCCAAAACTCCATTGTACATTGTACTACCAAACACAGCCCTCTAAGACAAAAAAGTAAGGCATTAATGACGTTAACCACAGCTTAAATAAAAACGTGTTCCGTCGTTTCTACGTTTTTACGAGCTTGCCAATATTACTAGTATGACTGTGCACATTGTTTTTATTCTTTCTTCATTGCGTGCGTACAATAATAAAGACTGTTCCTCGCGAGAGCTTTTAGGGACTTAAAAGAGACCGAATTGCTTCAAATACCGGCTCTTTCTGCCATAAACGATTAATTTGTAGGGCTAAAGACTCTTTAAGAGTGTCCCGTAAACTCGTACTCAATCTAATTACAGGGTAATAGCTTTGTGCCAACAAAACCATTGAGATAATTGTCGAGTTTTAGGATCTCTCGCTGAGCTAATTTAACTTTGAATTGTTTTATGCCTTACCTCGGTATCATTACGTTCAATAGCGCACGGCGGCAGTTTTGTTCTGTTTTGTGTGTTGAGAAATAGAGAAAAACCGATCATGAGAACGGCCGATCAAGAAACTTCGCTTTTTTTTTAATGATGCATCTAACTTGGATACTCAGTGAACCATGGTGCTAACGAAAAGTTAGGAATCCATTGTTGCATATTTGCTTAATTTGAATGCATTTATAAATTTCCTTTTTTTTTAAGAAAATGTTGGCAAACATTACTACAATTTGATTAGACTAATAGAAACACAGCTTTCAGCGATAAAAACATTGGAGAGATAATAATAACATAAGCGGCACCTTGCGTGATATTTGCTTTGGCGCAGTTTGGCTTAAAACACCCTTTAAGTACAAAGGTCTTTGTAAATATTCAGATTTGGAGGTCTTTGGAAAATAGTTAATAGTATGAACCTTTTGTATGAAGCTTCTCGATTTCGCTTTAAATAACGCTAAAATTCGATTAACGCTGTTGAACATGACAATCAGCGTATGATGAACATGATCTAGTTGGAGTGAAATTCCAAGACCCATTATATTCGCAACCGTACAAAAGCAACATAGAAGATTCTATCCTTGTCTGAATGAGAAAACATGAATTTTATTTCACAAGTTACGGGTGTCTTCATTCAGCGGACACCGCTACTTGCAGGTGGTTTACCAGAGATATAGTGGAGTGGGAAAAGTCCTAAGGATATACTTTAAATTAGGAGCTATTTTTATTTTTTTTTTTTTTACTACTGTAAGCGCTATTTCACTACCATAAGTGCTAACGAGTTGTAATGGTGTTTGGGCACGCACCATTAAGCTTATTAACTCCCAGTGGCTTTTCTTTCATACGCTTAGAACATCTAGGTGAACACACTAAACAACAACAGGTGAAGCGTTGATAAAAACCGAATATAAAACGAAACCCAAACAAAATACATAATTGAATTTCAAAAATTCTTTATTTACGATTAACACATGAAAATAAAACTCTCTTGACAGAAGAGAAACGTCAGAGAGTTTGTTTTGGTTTTAGTATGGTTTGGGTTCCTTTCATACACAGTTTAAAGGTAATCTGATAAAATTCATGCCATGGGCAAAATGGACTGGTTGGAGCCGTCAGAACAAAGGCAAGTCAAGAAGCTTAAGTGTATGTCTAGAAAACAAGCTCAATCCATTGACCTATGTGAACAGTGAGCTTTATCTAATGGTGATAAAAATCGCGTCGATTTTACCGCTTGGGCTAATTTTTTAATAATATCAATTACGACATCACTTTCCAAAAAGTAAT